TTCCACCATCTGTTTATATTTCATGTATCATTTCTACTGTATTGGCGTCATAGTGGGGCAGACCATTCAGGACTTGAGTGGAAGAAGGGAATCATTGATTCGCCAGAAATGAAAAAATACTTTAGGTTTCCGTTTTTTTTCTTGAAGTTACATCAGTTTTGGGTTGAAATAAATAAGTACACTCTTTAGTCTTTCACAGGGAAAACGTGGGATCACTCTCTAAGGCCCTTTCACTCCTGCCAAACATATAAAATGGTTAATCCACTCTGTGCAAGTTGACAAGAGTGATCTTGCTGCAGTCAAGAGAGCCAAGTTTTTTGATGCTGCAGCAAATCTCCTCCTACTAAATTAATTTCAGGATATCAAAATAAAAAGACAGAAAAGAGAAGAAAAGATGGCAAGTTGAGGTAAAATATTTTAGCTAACTTCTTGGCACAGGAAAGGTGAGCATAACACACAACTTGTATTGACACCGCCTCCCGTGGAGTGATATTTAACACCTAGCTTTGCAATTTCGATATCAACAGATTCACTGCAATGTGATAGATTCATATGATACCTGGTGTTCAGAATAACTTGTTAGATGTCAAGAGAAGCAACAGTATTGGTGTGATTTTTGTGAGTGAGTTTCAGATAAATTTGTCAGAGTGTGTAAAGCTGTTTGTTTATTATGTTTTTATGAATAGTGTCATTGAGAGCTACTCCACCCTGTACATAGAGTGATCCAGAACGATATATATTAATTAAAAAATGACAAGAGACAGTAACTTTTTTACTCTCCCTTTTTACTTCTGAGATGTTGTCTGGTACTCTGTAGTTTATCACAGACCAGTCCTCCCCAAAGGTCTGAAAGTAGTTGCCAGGAAAAGTATCACATGATCGTGTCGCACCACGAGGAACAATCTGAACGTCTCAAAAGAGTTCATTTTCAGAAAAGAGCTCCAATTAGCTACTTAATTCTGAGCTCTTTCAAAGGTTTACTGAGCCTTTACTCTCTTACTCTGGTTCAGTACACACAACCACAATCACAGGGAAGACCACTGACTGAAAAGCTGTCGATCGTTGACACCCTCCACAAGGAAGATAAGCCACAGAGGGCCGGCTTGTTGTACCACTGACATCTATCCTCCGTACTCCACTTATGTGGCATATCTTTCTTTATAAATGGGATGCTACGTTCTGTGAGGGTCCAAGATACTTGCACCTGCAACAGAAGAAGCAAAGTTGCCAGTTTGGTTTCAACTTATGGTCTTTACTGTATGACATACAAACAGGTCATGCTGACAAAGATCTGTAAAGATAACTTGTTTTCAGCAAATCCTTGACCCTGTAGTAAATCTTGATACTGTGGAGACCAAGTCAGTTGAAACAGGAATTACTTTTAAGTGTCTGTTTAATGAAATGATAGAAACAAAAAGCCTCTTGATAATAAATCAGTAGAAAGTGACATCAACTGCATGAAACCTAAAACCGCAGGGCAGATATGATCTTCCTGGGCTCATTCAGGTATTTAAACAGTTTCACTCTCACATTTTTGTACTATAGATCACCTCTGGTCGTGTGTATTTTTCTCTGTAAATATTGATGAGACCGGTGTTGCGTAACATGTTATTATGCTAAAGATGCTGCTATGACTGATACAGAGTTTCGATTCATTTTGCACTCGTTGCCTCCAGCTCTGAAGAAAAGCTGAATCAGGTCTTCTTAAAAACATTTTCATAGTGTCAACGTCACTCAAGTGTCTGGGGGGATGAAAAACAACACATGGGGCGGAAAGGCAGCACATTCGGAATCACTAAATCTGAATTCCCATCATTCCTGTGACTCATGCCGACAGACGCTGCTGAGTGGAATTCCTGGTTCCAGTGCTGTATCTGGACAAGTAATCTGATCCTGTGTCAGGCTTGTTAACACAGCTCCCACGAGAACAGTAAAAAAGCTTAATGTTCGTCATATAGCCCATATATTATATTATCTTTCGTCATTAACTGATTAAGCAGTTGCATCAATTGCACCTTAAAGTGTCCCTGAAAATTGTGCATGCTCTGTGTGTGCAAGTGTATATAAGTTAATAAAGAAGGAGCACACACCTCTTCAGAGGATATGACTCACACGCTCCCGTAAGTCATGTGACACTGAGTCCTCATGAATTATTAATGCAGCCCTGCAGCGTCCCATAGTCATACTCAGGAAAGTGACTTCTTGTCTATCAGGGCTGCAGTCTGATTGATCAGCTATGATCTCATGGACGAGGAACATCCACACACCAGTCATAGACTCTCAAAGTCTGGGTTTCTAACTTGGCCACGAAAGTGTAAGTGAGTGAGAGTGAGTGTGCATGTGTCAAACATTTTTCTGTTGTTGTTTAGACTTAATTTGTCGATGCCGAGAAGTGTGGGCTGAATAAACAGATTAATACCCTAAAACTCTGTCTGGTAAGAAGGACGTACCTCTGAGTCATCCTTTTAAAGACGAGGAGATTTTTTTTATTCTTAATAGAACAACCAAAAAAAAAAAAGACAGGAACATTAAAAAAAACACAATCAAATAAACAGATTTGACCAATTTTTCAAAAGCTTGTAGTTGTCAAAGATTTATCATTAATACAAAGACTGGGCACAGGGGTCCTGTTTGTTGAAGAACAATGCACAATGTCAGAAGTGAAACTAAATGAATGACCTGAAATTATCTTAAAACGTTTCCTGTATTCCATGATGTCACGCACTTGCAGGAAAATTTCTGATTTAAAAATAGTTGCAAACGCATGCAGCTTTAATCCATCCCAGATGACATGGAAATATTTTTGCTCCGCTAAAACCTGCACAGTTGCCGGAAAGCTTTCCAAGCCATTACAGAGCAAAACTCCAGAGAAATGAGCTAAAATAATACATGGAAAGTAACCAGCAGGTTATGTTTATCATTCCCTTAATTCCTGTGTATTTTCCCCTGCTAAATAAATACTTCTCCTTTTAGAAATACAACTGGGACACATGCTTTGATCCTTACCAGAAACATGTCCTTGGTGTATTTTCCCAACTGTGTCCAGTTCCTATCACTGTCCTGGTTATGGTGCCAAAAGTGTAGTAATACAGTGTCTGCAGTTTAAAAACACCTCTGTGTCTCTGTGTGTGTGAGTGAGCAAGTTGGAGCATGTTTGTGTTGGTCGCTAAAGTTACTGTAAGTTACTTAGAAGGAAAGGTGAAATTACCATCACAGCCTTGCTCCAATGGGAGCAGAACTCCCTGTAATGCAAAACTGTTCTCCGGCCTGCTTGACCTTTGATGGCTTCTGAGAAAATGAAACTTTACTAGCAAGGCCACTCCTCCTTCTCCTCAATGTAGAGAAAACAGACATCTGCTTAGGGAAAAAAAACACAAGGGGTAAATATATAAAAATTAACCCTTAAAGTGAACAAAGAGGCCAGTGAAAGGTTGGCATTGAAACACATCTGGCATCAATTGTATAACATTCAGTTGTTTGTCAGAGGACAGCACATACACCCCACTTGGGTAGAGGGTTATTGAGCAAGTTTTGACGTTAGATGCAGTGGTGGTCCAAAAAAGACAAAAATTTCCATTTTCTGTTAAAATAAACAAGACCGAGAAAGTGACTAAGTGCTGCAGAGAAGCTTGCTTCAACCTGGTAAAAAGCTGTAAATGTTGCCGTCACATGCTGTGTCATCTAAAGCCAATCATCCTAATCCTTCCTTGTGAAATCTGATTTTTGTATCATCCTGATTTGCTCGTGTAAATTATGGAAATTCACAGATGTTTTGCTTATTTTTTATGGCGCAGAAGTTAACGACATGGAAAATAGAGATTTATTGACTGACAACTCTTGGCCTTCAGGGATTTTTAAAACAAGAGAGGAAAGCGAAGATGGAAATGACTCAAAACTGGCTAAAGAAGAAACGTTTCTGTCATCCTCACACTCAATAATAAGCAAAGCATGAGAGTATAAAAAAGGATCATGCATTCAAATCTTCACAAAGTACACCTGCTCACTTCATTTTTTTGTTCTCCATGTTATTAAAACATGACACTGAGAATATCCATGTTGTTTGTTGATTTTGAATGCTGACCTAAACAAGCAAGAGTGTGAAATTCCTGATTTGTTTTCCTTCCGAAGTGTGGGATCAGCAAAAACGCTCCTAATCTCCACAGTCACCGCAGTAATCAGGCGACTTCAGTGAAAGCTTGTTTCCTCAAGCAGCTGCACTCAGAAACCCTTCCTAATTCTAGGCGTCAGAAGTTTCTGTAGGTTTCAACCTGTGACTCAAATATGTCACACGGCATTCATAAAAAATGTACTTCAAACTCAACTTGTGTCCCGTTCCATCCCCTGCAGCACCACCAGGGGATTGAGGGGTGTGAGATGGAGAGAGAGAGGTAAGTGAGGGGGGTGGATAAGGGGGGAACGGGGGTCGGAGAGAGGTGAGTAAGAGATGAGTCAACAGTCCTCCACTATAAGATACCCTGATGGAGCCTAACAGTGGCTCACTCACAGAGACACCAGCAAAGGTAAGGTCAACTCTCCTCACATCTCGTTCACTGTCTAGAGCCGACTCTTCTGTCATTGTTTCGTTGGTGATCACAGGAGCATTTTCTCCTCATTAACAGCTTTAAAGCATGTGTGAACGCTGGGTTGATTTGTAGATTCCCGATCTGTTTATTTTTATTTTTTATGAGCTTAATCTTTTTTACTTTCTTTTTGCCAAGCATGTGGCAGAGTTTAGGATTGTTTGCTAAGTCGGTGATCTTTGTACCTTCAACACAGGAAAAAATTCACAGGTGTCTCTAACTCAGTATTTCCTGCCACAAACAAACATATTGAGTAATTTACCGGAAGATGTTTGAGTGTAAGTGATGCCATGCAAATATTAACTCATGCCTGACGTTGTAGTGAGATGACATAATAATGAAACAGCTTGTAAAGGGACGATTACAGGAACCTATAAAAGAAAGGAAACTCTTCATGTCTGGTTTCTTCTTCTTCTTCCAGGGGTACCAGCTTTTGTCAGCAGCAGAAACATGCACTACACCGTGGCACTTCTGTTTTCTCTTCTGCAGCTCATCAGCTTGGGTACAGCTGCTCCTCTGTCGGTCGAGGTGGTGAAGATGAAGACAAAAGTAAAATGGATGGCTGAGCAGCTGGTGGTTCGGCTGAACAAAGACTTCCAGGTATGATATAAATGTTTATAATGATCCAGTCTTTGAAATGTTCACTTATTGATGCCATTTGAACCAATCATACTTTTTTTTTTTGCAGGCTCCTTCCAGCCTGACCATCAATCAGACTGCTGACGACCTGAATGGATCCGCCTCCATTGTGACCATCCTAGAAGGCTGTAACAGTCTGATCTCCGACACGCTTGATGGGGTCATCCAGGTCAAGTTTGAAATCTCTTCGCTGTCGGGTTACCTCAATCACTGGAGGCAAGGACACTGCAGCGAACAGCAGCAAAAGCCTCCACTACCAGCACCGCTGCAAGAGCTGCAGAGCCGTAAGGAGTTTATTCACACAGTGAGCATGGAGGCTCTCATGAGATTGAAGGAGTTCCTCAAACTACTGCTGAAGAATCTGGACCATCTGGAGACATGCTGAGAGACCGGCAGGGCAGGCAATACTTGTAAGTTGTTGACTTGTTTATTGGGCAATATATGCCAGGTTTGCATCAGTGATGTCTGACTTTGCATCCTCCCGGGCCATGCTGGACTCATGAGATATGTTTTTAAGGGAAATGTATTCTTGAATATGCATTTATTTATGCACATATATATTTATTTATGCATTATTTTACAGAAGGGTATATTTTTAAAACTGATGTTATTTTTCACTGAAATGTTCATGTAAAAAAAAAAAAAAAACGCCTGAGAGAACGGTGTGTTGTTTTGAAAAGTGATCAATGCATAGCATACAAAAATAAGTGATACAAAAGTTAGCTTTGAAGTCCCACTCTTGATGTTTTTTTTTTTTTTTACTACTTAAAGTGTTTTCAGTGGTCTTTAAACCGTGATTATTTAGTTTTTAGCCAAAATCACGTTACCAGTGTCGTTTTCAAGCGCCTTTCTTCTGCAGAGCTCCAGTAGCTCATTAGCAATTCGCCTCTGAGTCGTGGGTGGAGACAGCGCTGCTCTACACACTTCTTGAGTTAGCTTGCAGCCAAACGGTGTAGTAGAAGAAACAGGTAACATAGGAGCTATTCAGCTCTCGGACACTATTGTCTTTAGGGGCATAAAGAAAGCTAATATCATAATTAACTTTCTTACGAGCATTTCAATCCGCTAACGCAGACGCTCGTTCTGCAATCGTCCTCTCTATTTCTCCGAGCCTGGCCTGCATAGCAGGGCTCCAGGGGCGGAGCTTGGATTGGTTACGTATGACATCTCACTGAATCTGAACCTGCCGTTTTAGTCTGCCAGACATTCACAGCGATTTGAATGCAGAAATACTCAGCAATGCAATTTCGCACTTCTTTTTCTCATTAAATGTCCTCTAGTATCAGAAAAATGCCATACGAACATGTAGGCGACAAGAAAAACATGATTTTCATCAGAGTGGGTCTTTAACTCCTTCCTATGATATGCAAAAAGCCCTGAGATGGAAAAAAAAGTTTTATATTTTATACAGAAGCTGAATCAGTCAGGAGGAAGCATGACCCTGAGCTCTCGAGTCATGGAAAAGCAGGAGTAAACTCGCCAAAATAAACACAGGTGTTTGAAAATTTCACAGAGAAAGGGGTGAAGGGCAACTTCTATTGCAGGGTAATGTCAACAGCTCTTCCAAAACTGCTATTTATATTTGTGGATTAAATTATGAATATTTCTGTACAGTTTATTGTGAGTTTTATTTCTTGTTGTAAACTGAATAAATATTTGATACAAAAAAGATGAGATGTGTGAGTCTGTCTAGTAGGTCAAAATATCACTTCATTTCCATGTCTGAGTGTGTTAGTCTCTTGGTATGCTTGTACATTCAGAGTTCATGAGTGGGAGTTATTGTTGTTGTTTATACAGAGTTTATGATTAACTCCTGTATGTGGAAAGTGGACAGTGTGGCAACTTCCTTAACTAAATGACTAGTATATGAATCAAACACATATGGGTTTAATACAAATATGGAAGGATTTACAAGACAACACAAATTCAAGGTTTATGAATAATTTCATGGCAGGACTAATACACAAAAAATGTATTTAAAGTCAGATTATTCAGTTTCTCATGGTTGTAAAAAACAAACATTGATAACAGAGAAGCAGAAACTCTGGGAAGTTTAAGAATGAACTCTTCAATCTGACATGAATCTGGTCGATGAGCTCTGCTTTGCTTCTTTTAAAACTTCAGGGGGTCAGATAAAAAGGGTTTCTTGAGCACGCGCACACACACACATACACTCGTACACACTTTCAGTCACACTTGAAATAACAACCACGCACAGCATTACGCATCAAACCACTTATTCCTTTTCATGCCGGCGTTCTTGTCGCTGCTGCCCATCAGTTTCCTCTTGTACTGCTCCACCAGGTTGTCAAAGCGGTCCCCGTCCCTCTTTCTGAAATGCCTTTGTGCTTGTTTGACCTTGTGCAAAACAACAAAAGGACAAAAGTCATCAGGCGTGACACAGGAGCTCATAGAGAGGTCACTAAACTAGGAAGCACAACTGACAGAGACTGGTAACCACAGCGAATTGTGAGACTGGGAATGGGTTACACTTCAGTCTGCTATGTGCAGTGGGATTCACGCTTCAACTTTAAACACAGCTGCACTGGAGTCTGTTTCACAAAGAAGGTTTGCATGATGACAATACAAATGGAGCCATTATACCACACTCATCCACAGTCTTTAAGAGTGCTTGTTAACCTTATTAGTTTCCTTTTTTAGTATCAGTGTTCCTGGACATGTAGGAGTATGGAGATGTTTAAACACGTCACTCTGTGTTTTACTTGTTTTTCTTAAGCAAATACCAGCCTGTATAAAATCTCATAGGTGACAGAAAAGACTTAAGTTTTCACTGTCGTTTCAACCATCATTTTCATGTATAAAGCCAGCACAAGCAGAGCAGTCCTCTGCGTGTCTGCTGTCATTCAGTCTGGTGTAAAGTTCTCTATACTTCAGTTAGGAGGAGGCTGTAATTGATGCTTTTTGGACCAATATGGCATCATGTGTGTGTAAAGTCTAAAGCAGCTTTCTGGTAAATAAGTGATGTTATCACTGACGTGTGCAGTGACGTAATGACTCAGCTCTTTGGCAACCCTTGCCTGTAGAAAAAAAAGGTTCTTAAAAAGGTCATGATTAGAGTCCACTCTGAACTGGCTTCAGCCTCAGCACCTCTACTGGACAAAAGTGATCTGTGAGCAGGAACAAAGGTTGCAAAGAGGAATACAACATAACATGTGTTCACCTGGTTTCTGGACTGTGTGGGCTTTTCCATCTGTCGTCTTTGATGCTCTTTCCTGTTGGGTCCTGGTCTTCCTTTGTTGGGAGGTGGGGCCTTTTGTTTTCCTCGATCACGCATCCTGAAAAAGACGCAGGTAAAAATAAGTTGATTACACCGCTCTTATGGGAATTTTTCCAGGACATGTCAATGAAAACCTTTAAAATGTCAAATTCAAATCACCGCTGCTCTAGAGATTCACTCTGAGCGATGGCGTGTTTTTGTAAACAGAAGTGAAGTGAGGAAAAGGACACCATACCTAATCTTGGGTCCTCGGTGGGAGGGAAACGGTAACACTTTCTTTCGTTTTTTTCCGTTCTGAAGATCGACATGCTCAACCTCAGGATTAGTCTGGAAGCCTGAATAGCGTCCGTCCTGCCGCCGGGGCTGAGGGTAAGCTGATAAATGCACAAAGTGAGAGATAACATCAAGGATAAGAGAAACACTCGTGGTAACAGCAAAATTCAAAACTACATCTTGTTAATTCTCACATAATTCGACTGTCTAACAAATTGGTGCAAACGAAAAAACAATGAGAGGGATAACAATGTCATACTTCTCTGCCTGTCTGTTTGCTCTGCAGGTGCTTTATTTCCACCTCTACCTGTCTGGGATTGATGGGATTGAGGATTGGCTCCCCCTTTAAAAGGCTGCTTTCTGAAAACCTGAGAATATCAAAACAGAGTTATTCTGCATGTAGTATAACCACCTTTTGAAATTAGATCAGGATTAGAGATCAGGATCACACTGACACTAACATACCTGGCTTTTTTGTTGTCGTAACTCTTTTATTTTGAGTTTTTTTGAGTCCTCCAAGGAGAACTCCACAATAGGTCTCTGCAGGGCGACACACAGTACAATGCAGGATTAATCATACATCAAGAACACAGAATTCGACTTTTGGCGTCTATTTTCTTTTATGTTATAACTTACCTTGTTTGGGCAAAAGATGTTAGGGTTGTTGTTGAGGTAGCGGAGTGTAGCAAGCGCATGTTCATGCTCCTGGAACTCAACAAAGCCGTAACCTAACGACTGTCCCATCACCTGACCCTTCTCTGGCTTCTTATCGTACATCACTCGACACTAGAAAAGAGACAGAGTCACATACAAACTGACTGGAACATAACACCCTCTCTACTGGGCACAAGCACACGTTATATTTTACTCTCTGAAGGCCTACTACTTCTCCCAGAAAGCTGCTTCCTGACGTATTTTTCACGGCTGAACGTATATCATTACTACCCGTTTGCCAGCGTGTCCCTTACCTCCTTGATGCGAACACCCTTTTTGTCTTTAGAAGCTTGGAGGCAGAGGGTTCTGAGTTTTTTATTGTCCACTGACTTAGGCAGGTTATGGACACACAGACGAGTCTTTGACACAAACACGTTGATATTCTTGAGCTTGGTCCTTTTGATTTCTTCAAACTGAGGGAAACAGAGAATACAGCGATAGGCAGAGTCATTTCAAGAATATGGAAAGAAAATGAAGCACTCTTTATTCATGGTGAAAACCTTTCTCCTAGAGCAAATTTCTGTACTCACTCTGGTTCTTTTGACCATGTCTGCCTCTGGAACGCCCTCTGCAGCCTTGGTACCAGCTCGGATCACTGCAGGGAGTAAAAAAAGCATTCAGTGTAAAATTAGAGCTGGTGTTCTCAAGACAGAATGAGTCAAAAACATGGATTAGAATTATAATATTTCTTAACTTTAGCATGGTCATATGGCCTTCATAGTTTTGAAGAAATCTGTGACTCTGTGAGACTGTAAGTTGCAGGAGGTGGACAGCTGGATGATCGACAGGCTTTAACATGAACTCCCATCAGTTTTTAAATTCTTTTTCGCAAGAGTTGTGCCAAGGTAAATATTCCTGACAAAACCCTAATCTAGCCTAGCCTTATTATTACTCTCAGACCTGAACCCTTAGTGGTGAATGATGACACCACATGCATGAATATAAGGACCTTGGCATTACGTCACCATGAGAACTTGCAAGGTGAGACCTCAAATTCCGTTTCACAGGGACCTAGGCCTGTCGCGATAATCAATAAATCGCCTTATCGCTCGGTAAATAAAAACGAGGTCGGTCATTTTGCCAGCCTCGATAATTGACGTGCGTTTGTTTTCCTCCTCTCTCGCTACCAAACACGCTGGATGAGAGAAGAGGTCTCACTCTGCGCATTTTTCTCGGCACCTGGGGGCGTTGGCTCTATAGCGGAATGAACGGAGTTAGTGAACCCTCCTGTCAGTCATTCAGTGTCTTTGTCACGAGGGGGCTGGCACGCACAGGCACACAGACACAGACTTTTGGATACAGTGCTGCAAGTGAGCGTCGTGAGTGAAAAGCAAGCAAACAGAATGAACACGACAGCTTTGGTGTCTAAACCGAACGCAACAGCCCAAGTGTGGGAATATTTCGGCTTTAAACCAGTTTTGTTTTCGTCAACCACAAAACTCCACGTGTGTGTGCGAGCGCGCGTGTGTCTGTGTGTTGGAGGAGCACAGCAGGCTGATGAGAGCTGTCAGAGCGGACTGAAGCTGCTCCTATATGTTTAGCGTTTAACTGACTGAGTTTTGCAACTCTGTTCGTCATTTTCGTCTCCTCCCATCAACGAAAACGCACTTTCGTCTCGTCACATTTTAGTCATCTCCGATTTATGTTTAGCTCGTCAACGTTACGTCTTCGTCGTGGGTGAAATTTAAGTTTATCACTTTTGACACGATGTACTCGCATTATTATGCCATTTAATATCATTATCTATAATTTAAAAAACAGTGTCAATAATATCGTTTATCGGCAATAATTTGTAGCACAATTATCGTCCAGCAAAATTTGTTATCGTGACAGGCCTACAGGGACCTTTTCTGGGCAGATTTAACAAAGTTTCGCAGCTCATTAAGCTAGTTCTCCTTTTTCATTTGACTCAAAGCTGAAATGTTGCACGTGAAGCGAGGTTACATTTAGGGACTAGTGAAGTGTCTGTTCATTCTGTCATCAAGAAGCCTTGATTACCTCAAGAGTTTAGTGACTGTACAGACGTGAATTTAGGAGGAGAAAGAAAATAAAGCACGAAACAGGTTTACTCACATCCTTCCCTCGCAAGATACAGGTTCCTTGTGCCTGTTTCGACTTTGACTTTGTTCACTTTCAGCTTGGCAGCATCTTCTCTGCTCACTGCAGCGAGAATGAACAGCTTTCTGCCGTCCACGCGGACACCACCACTCTGCAACAAATAAATGGATGCACGAATCAGGACTGGAGACATTGTAATATTTAAAAGATCAGAATTCCAACAGAATCTCAGAATAGTCAACTTTAGATGAAAAAAACTGCAACTGACCTCTGCCTCGTCCTGTGCTGCAGCTATGCACCTGTCTGCAGCCTCCTTTGTCTTAAATTGAGCAAATGCAACACCTGACAAAACAACAAACCACAAAATGGTCAAACATGCTTTCTCATACAGTTAAACGCCTTAATACCAAAGTATGATACACTAACCTTTTGAATGCTCTGTGTCTGGGTGGATAACAATCTTTATGTAGTTGAGCTCTCCATAGCGTAGAAGAACTTCCTCTAGACCTTCTTCCTCTGTGTCAAAGGACAGATTCCTGTATCAGACCGGAGAGAGAAAAACAAAGACTATTAACAGAGACCATTTGAGGATGGAAAAATGAACAATTCAGGCCGAGAAGAAAATGAAATCAGGTTAGAGAATCAGAATGATGAGGAGTGCAAACCTGATAAAAACTGTTCTTCCCTCATTCACATCTGATGGAAGAAGTTTGTTCTGAGTTTTCTTTTTAGCTGTAGGTGAAAAATGGAGAATAAAAAAGCATTTTAAAAAATGAAAATATGATGTATTATAAAATGTTCAAACTAAGCAGGAAATTCATACTTGTTTCATCTTCATCATCATCTTCTTCCTCACTGTCATCTTGATCATCACTTGAATCCAGGCTCCCTTTATCATCATCATCATCGTCATCATCGTCTTCTGCTTCTTCTTCCTCATCATCGTCATCCTGAGACTCATCCTCCTCCTCCTCCTCCTCCTTCTTCATGTCTTGGTCCACACTTTCATCTTCTTCTGACTCGGTTCCTGATTCCTCTTCCTGCTGCACAGCTTTTTTGGCAGTGACTCTAAGGACAATTTTTACAGAATAATCAACCTCTGAACCAAACTGGTCTCATCCAAAGGTTTATAAACAGGAAGAAAAAAAATAAACACAACTGAGATCCTCACTTTTTACTCCCTCCTGCTTGAGGCTTTTCTTCCTCTTCATCCTCATCTTCAGAGTCACCCTCTGTGTCTGACTGCTCTGTAGTTTCCTCCTTTGCGCTCTTTTTTTCTATCAGGTCATAAAAAGTTACTTTAATGTTCAACATTTTGGTCTCTTCTAGTATCTTCTGGGTGACACAGAGAGCTGGTGGTGCAAAGAGGAAACTCACCTGCAGCTGACGACTGCTGTGTGGCAATAAATTTGTCTTTAGGAACGGCCCAGTCAACTGCCACCTGTCGGCCTGTGAAAAAAGCAATACCAGTAAATTAACAGTAATGTGGTACATGACAATTAGCTGTAAATATTTCTGTAGTCTAAATGTATCCCTGACAGACCTTTAATCTCCTTCAAGTTCATAGCACCGAGCGCTCTTGCAGCCTCAGACACACTTTTAAAAAGGACGAAGGCAAATCCTCGCATTTTTCCATCTGTGTAGAGAACAAAAAATAAACATCATCAAAAATGTTATCAACTAACTCAAGATTCACACAAGTATTAAGTTTGTTTAAGCGCATTTGAGCACTCCAGAAGAACTCAATTCTACCTGGTTTGAGGGGGATCTTGGACTCAATAACTGTTCCGAACTGGGAAAAGACTTGTTTCACATCATCCTCTGAGCACTGTAAAACAAGATCAAGAAGATCTATTAAAAATCATGGCTAAACTGCTTTCACAGCGGAGATGGAGGACTTTTCAGTGACATTTAGAGGAGACAGTGGATGCACTTTAAAATGATGTTACATACTTTACCTTGAAACTAAGGTTCCTAATGATGAGTCTTGACTTAAGCAAGTTTTTCCTGAAGCCCTTGACTCCAGGCTCTTTCTCTTTAGGCTGTGCAGCAGGCTCTTGGGGTGCTAAATGAAGATTCAGAGCAAGTTATCAGTACCAGAACAGTCAAAGCAGCTACTGTCTGATTATGTGTCTAACACGCACCTCTTTTCCTTTTGTCTCTTAATTTTTTCTTGGCCACTGACAGACGGATCTTCTGCCCATCATAGTCTTTGATTTCTTTAAGAGCCCGCTGAGCATCTTCCTCCATTGAATATGTCACATAGCCAAATCCACGACATTTCTCTGCGCCTAAATGAGAAGAAAATGTCACTTCAATGCGTTGAATCAAGTGTCCCACCAGTTTAATTCAATATAAGCTTTTAGAAAGTGAGTTAGACAATGTAATACCTTTTTCTCGGACCACGAAGCACTGCTTTATTGGTCCAATTTCAGAAAATATCTCCGTCAAACGTTCATTTGAGGCTGTAGCTGGTAAAGAACCAACAAATATGGTCTGAGCAGGCATGGCTGCCTCTCGCCTGGCTGGCTTATGTTAGTTAGCTCCGATCCAATAATGTCAACACCTGTCCCTCCACAAAACACGAAAATCACCCACTAACGATATTAAAGTTATACAACAAACACAAGCTGGTATTTAATGTCAAACTAAGAGATGTCACGAGATTTGTTAGCCAAAAAAGTGTCATATATGGGATCCCTGAAGATACAATCAGCGTGCAGCGTCCGTCGCATGTTTACAAACGCGAGCAGCCATCTTGGAAATCAACGGATATCACGTCATATAGGACTCCCGAGAAAATCGGTAAATGCCGCCCCCTGCTGTCTCGGAGGTCAACTCAACAACGTGTTGTGGATGAAGTGACAGTAACCTGAAGGAGCCCTTTTTAAGATTTTGACCATGGACTGTATATTCTATAGACTACTTGGTCCACTTCCACCAGTATACAGTTTGAAGCCAAAAAGCTCGAAGTAATTCTGCGTTTTCTCTCCACTTCCTGAAACCAACATTGCGCAGTAGCATAGTACGCTTTCGGCGGGAGAGTCGCCGAGGGTCGAGGTGATGGCGCTCGGCTCAAACAGCGTACTATCCCCCGGGTGAGCCATGCAATCTTTGTACGCCCATAGTCTGTATGAAGTGTCAATCATAGAAAACATGAACCTCCAAATTTTTACAAACAGAGCTGTGAAAAAAACGGGGGGGGGGGGGGGGTATTCTGTGTAATAAATTTCTAAAGTCCCATAAGCTTTGCGGGTGGAGGCAGGATTTATGACCTATACTGCAGCCCGCCGCCAGAGGGTGCTGTTCTCGGAGTGGCTTCACCCAGCGAGGAGGCAGACGGCGTCCATTATACAGTCTATAATTTAACAGTTAAAAACATGAAAAAGGAGAAAAAAAGATTTTAAATAGCACTCTTAGAAATATGTATTTACAAAGTATATTGATTTTGATCATGTGAAATATATTCATTTAATAAATAATAAATATATATTTTAAATTTTTTTATTATTATATATAAGGACAAGCCAAACCAATAGAAATTAAACTGTATGGAATGTTATGAATATGTGCAAGTTTGGAAAAAAAAAAAAAAAAAAGAAACTGCACCAGACTCAAGATACGTTAAAGTTTATTTCTAGAAACACTCGAGAACATCACTAAAAAACAAAGCATGACACTTAACTGCATCCATAAATGTATAAAATGTTCAAGTTAAGTTTCAAAAGCCAAGTAGTTTAATAAGTTGGACCTTATCTGCTGCTTTGTTTGAGAAGGCATTAGGAAGTTTGCAAAAAAACTGGTCTAACAAGTGGCAAATAAGGGGAGGGAGAGAGGTATATCATGTTACTATTTCAAGGTACCAGAAGGTTCACACACAACATCTGTAGCATAATAAATATACATTAGATAATGAGGACAGTTAAGGAAGATTTGCATACTTTATACAACACAAATTAAGATTGAAGAGGGGTTTGCTTGTTTGTGTGGTAAAATTATCATATGATGTCAGATTATGAAAAAAAGAGCAGTGGTTATTCAAGAAATGTAAACAGACCAACTTGAATTAGCAACTTCAACAATGCAGCAGTGGTTCACTTCAAGTCATGACATCAGAATTAAGGCACCGTACCTCAACATTCACAAAATATACACGACTGTGTACTTTTAAAGTGATTCTTCTCTCTGACCAGACATAAATAGCACTGCGTGAACATGGTCTACACTGTCAACCAAGAAAATGTAAAACTGAATCTTTACACTGATAAAGTTAGAGCTCAGAATTAAGTACTACGGAGGTGGAGTGGAGCACATAGGAGCACTTTCTGTGATGTTGAGAAGATCAGTATTTTCATCCAAAGAGAACAGATACAACCAAGTATTTTATTTTGCTACATCATTGAATCCAAAGTCTTTTGCACACTTATGAAACTTGTGAAATACTTTTATTTTAAATGTGTGTTGGTAAGCCATAAGAAAGTGTTAATCTTTGGTATTTTGTTAGTTGTCTGCATGGTTATTTCACCCACTGTACTTAAGTGTAATCAGAACATCCATTTGATGCACTTTCACAGAGTTAATAGTGCTGCTACAGTAACACAAAACATGTTAAACATTTTTTATCAGACAAAAATTCAAGCAAATAAGGCACTAAAACCATCTTATAATTTGGCCTTCAGCGGAGCGATGTGGAGTGACTCTAGAAACATGTTGAGGGTGGATAGATATTCCTCTGGGTGCATTTTCAGGTGACCTGCATGCGTTGAATCCTTCCACTTTTTTGCAGTCACAACTATACCGCGCTTTCGCAGGTGATCGATCAAGTCCTCCACAACTTCTGGGTCACTCAACACATCATTCTCACAAAAAAAGAACAGCGCAGGGGCGGTGATTGGTGTGTTCCAAAAAGCATCTATCCCTGCGTTAAAGTAGTCCACTGTTTGGCGTTTAAATGTGCCGAAGTACAACAAGCTCACTCTTCTTACCACACCCTCCATAAACGGGAACAGAGTTTTGCCAAGACCTGTGAAGGAGAGAGAAAACACACCAAATCATGCCTACTGATGTTAAAAAAAATCAAAACATCAATGTAATATTCAAAATGAACTGACCTACAGCCATCCTCTCCACAGAGCCCACCACCAAACTGTCATAAATTTGACCTTTGATCCTTTGATTAAGTGGCTGGTATTTTTGCATGTTCTCTGATACATTTACGAGCAGCTGGGAAAATGTGTAGCCACCAATCGAGAAGGCATGGACTAGCAGTGGGCGGGACACAAAGCGTTCACTGTGGAGCAAATCAAGCAACTTCTTCCCGTGCTCCAGACCCCAGCGGGGCCACAGGAACTCCTTTGCCTGTTATAAAGCATACAAGAACCTATAAGCACAGAATATTACAAACATTCAATGAAGTTGACTTAATTTACTTCAAGAAATAAAGAATAAACATCAAAAAATAAAAAAAAAAGATGTGTTGCATCACATTTTCAATTTTTCAACATGCCATACACCTATCATAAATCCCCCAGCTTTGTATTCCTTTCAATAAGACAAGAAAATCAGTGTTAGCGAGTTATATTAATAATTATAACATAACTTTTTAACATTAAAAAGTGGAATTAAGGATATGCAGGAAATCACACTTGACCCCTAAAACATTTTCTATACGCACTTCCAGCAGTCATAAAAACATAAAAATCAAAGTTTGGTTCTATGCAGACTGAGTTTAAATAACCTCTTTACTATTAAGAGGTGTCCTGTTATCTGCTCCGGAGAGCAGCTTGAACAAACAATCTAACCGTAAACCCAGAGTGGACCAATCACACAATAGGAAGCTCACAAGCTACATTCAAACAGTGACGTTCAGCTTTCCTCACAAAGTACATATTACGCATGCAGTTCAAACAGAACAAGACATTCTTGTCCTCACTGAGGTCTGGGTCAAATAAGTCAAAAATAAAGTATGTTTGCTAACACACAGAGGAACACAACTTGTGTGGAACGCATACTGATACTTCGGAAACATTAAATTTCCATAAAATACGAGTTTTGAGACATATTGAGTGTTTTTTTTTAAGCATACTGATTATGCTATATGATATAGATCAGATAAAGCTGCAGTTGGCATGACTTCAATCAACCCAAGAATATGTTTAATCTGAGTCCATCATGTATTTGGGAGATCACACAAACATCAGATACACGTACATAATACAAAGTTAGTGTATTTCGTAATCTATAGGCTGACACAAAGAAGCACAAACACTGGGAGAAGTTTGTATGTTGCTTAGCAGCAGCTTGTTTCTTTGACAAGTTGCTAAACGAGAATTTCTCAGTTGCTGATATATGATACCCTTACCTCACTCTGCACTACCAGCACATCAAATCCGGTTTTGAAGTAGATGTCACAGTACTTAGCCAAAGCGTGAGGACGAGATCCCAGCCACGGTAACATAAGCATAAGAGGTTTGTGGTCTTCAGGGGCTCGGGTCTGACATCCCGGGACTGGAGGTGCTGGCTCATTCATGTACAAAGTGATATTCTTACTGAGTCTGTGGGCTGTGATGCCTCTGCTCAAGGCTACCCTGCTCAACATAGTGACCTCTTGCTGTCAGGCTTCCCAACCGGCTGAAGGTGATGTTAGGAGTGTCTACAATGAAGAGATAATCAAAGGTCCAGAGTTAAAACGTAGAATACAGCTGCATGAAGCTTTAAGAACGGTTAGCACCATTACCAGCCTATGAGAACACATGAACAATCACAGTCGTCGCAGAGCATGTCATGTTGCTGAGCACTGATTTAAGACTTAACCCTTCACCTGCTCTGAAATTCCCCAAACTAGCCTAGAGCGTCAGCCGAAGACAGTAACGTACACTGAACAGAGCAGCCCCACTTCGTAAACACCTGGGAAATCTGCAACCTGATACAACAGCTCTACTGCAAATTCTACTTTCACAGAGGTTTGGCATTTTCAGGTTTTACTGAGATGGTAACAAGTTCTTTATATTAACTGTCAAAGATGTAGAGATGTACTTTACGTCTGTTCGAGCTACTGTGAGGAAATATCAAGTTGTATCAACTCTGGCTTCCTATGGACAAGGAGGAACGACATATCTCTGCTAATCTTGTCCTGTACGCTGTGTAAGTAGCATTTTCTGACTAAGTATGAGTTAGTTTACAGTATCTTTTATGTCTAACATGTGACTCAAAATGAGATTTTGTCATGGAAAATTGACAGCCATCCCGCCTTAGTGGGACTGAGATGGCAGGGCTTGACACTAACTTTTCTCACAAGGAGCACATGTGCTAAGTTGAAAAAGTAAGGAGCACATAAAGAACTTCAGGGGCACCATGGAAATGGATCAAATAATGTTTGTCTCATTGGTCGACCTTAGTACTATTATTTGAAATCAATTTTAGGTCTTTCCGTCACATGACATGGAAGCTATTGAAGAAAATATTCAAAATTTGCCTTTAATTTAACACAAATTTTTTTAGAGGACAAATTAGGGAAATTAAGAGGTGTGTCTTCTTGGTTGACATAAGGACTATTGTTTGAAATCAATTTTAGGTCTTTCGGTCACATGACATGGAAGCTATTGAAGAAAATATTCAAAATTTGCCTTTAATTTAACACACTTTTTTTTTTTTAAGAGGACAAATTAGGGAAATTAAGAGGTGTGTCTTCTTGGTTGACATAAGGACTATTGTTTGAAATCAATTTTAGGTCTTTCGGTCACATGACATGAAAGCTATTGAAGAAAATATTCAAAATTTGCCTTTAAATTTAACAGATTTTTTTTTGAGAGGGCAAATCAGGGAAATAAAGAGGTGTGTCTTCTTGGTTGACATAAGGACTATTGTTTGAAATCAATTCTAGGTCAATTGGTCACCTGATATGGAAGCTATTGAAGGAAAACAGCCTTTTTTGAGAACATCAACTGGTAATTTACTCACTTCAGTCGCTCATATAGAGGTACGAGTTTTAATTTCAATCTACTCCATCCATAGCCAACAACAACTCTTAACAGGGGCTTTAATGTAGTGGACATAATCACCTTAAACACACTCCAGTTCACACCACCACCCTTGCATAATGAATTTAAAGCCCAATAATCACATGATTGTTCATGTTAAAAACGGGATAAGTAGAAAAGCCTCCTTAAAGTACCGTAGGTGGTGGAGCTGTTAAGGTTAAAGCAGATTTCCCAGGCGCATTAATGTATGTTGTAATAGATACTCTACTTATGCAAAACCATAGACAGCGGTTTAAAACAACTTAACAGGTTTCAGTTTTGTAGACGACAAAACGTCTTTAACACTGAATAAAACAAACAGTATGAAACAGGCAGGCTGAAGCTCTAAGCTGAAACTCAAACTTACCGTAAAGCTCCTACGTTTCCGTATCTTCGTCTTGTTTTGAGTCGGTTCGCTTCAAGTGTTTCGACATGTTACCAACATAAACTTCACTCCGTCATCTCTCCCTGTGATGCTGCTGTACGCTCTCGTTTAGTATGTCAGTACACGGAGGTCAGTGGCGTAAAGGTTACACGACGAGTTGAGGACCCGAGGTTTGAGGTCACCGAGTTCTGGAGGTTGTCAAATACCGACCAGTGAGTTGTCGTCTCGTGCATTTCTCAGTGTACCCTTCTTCTTCTTCTTCTTCTTCTTCATTCAGGGAGCGTGTTGTCCTCACTGAACCGCCAAGGGCATTTAAGGTGAACTGCTGCCCTCCTTTGGACAACAAGGGGACTCACTATTAACAGAAGAACAACCCGAACCAAACTCAGAATACTAAACACTTTGTCCCGAGACCAGTATGTGATTTTTGGTCTGAATGGTTTACTGTATCTGGGCTTTTACTTATTTTTTAACGCAGTAAACACTGCTGCCTGATTTTTTTCTATCAGTGTTGTGAAAATATAGCCTTATTTTACCTTTCCAAAGCAAACATACACAGTTAGTTACATGTGCAGGACAAAAGCAATGCATATGTAAGGGACTCTCATTTGTCCATACGTGGTGCCAAAATGGTGCAAACCCATAGACTGTATATACTATGGACAATTTGGTTCCGCCAGTGTACAGACTTAGCCAAAAAGCTCTTGATAATTCAGCGTTTTTTCTCCACATCTTGAAACCAACAGTAACCACATGTCAACATCGCAAGCAGGGGAAAATTTACATTCCATGTAATAAATTTCGAAAGTTTGTCCACAGCCCCATAAAGATGGCTGGCAGAGGTGGGATTTATGACCTATACTGCAACCCGTCACCAGAGGGTGCCGTTGTCAGAGTGGCTTCACCCAGAAGCCACTCCAACAGTAGATGCTGTCCATTCTTTATTCAGTCTTTTCACAAACCGAAAACTCATCACTTGAGCTTTAAGCAATTTGACTTGGTTTCTTTAGCTGAAACTCACCACTTATCAGTCTGATTGTTAACACATCTGGGACAATGTTTCTGCAAAGCACAGTGATTCTTTTACGCTACACTTGCTGCTTCTCCTAGTCTCCTTTTGGCCTTCCTCATGCCAACATAATGCAGAATGTCTCACCTTCATTTTTTTATTAGCTCTATCCAAATAACTTTCCTTTAGCACCTTTTCAGTCATATATTTGCACCTGTGACTAGGGCTGTGTTTTTAATGTTTGTGAGCCCCCTAAACCTTTTAGCCTGTTTTAAGTTATTTAATGGGACAAGACCATGGTTCCATTTTTCCAATGTCAAACAAGGTAAATTAAACACCAAACCAACCTGCTGAGGGCTTTCTGTGCTTTCATGGGTATGTTTTTCGAACTCAGTGTACAAAATATAACGAATTTTATCCCAACAAAGGAATTGTTTTCTCTACTTTTTGCTTCTGCTTCCTTGTTTCTGTGTCTTACCCTGAGTTTACATTCCGAGCTGGACCCCTGTCCTTGCTGACTTTGTCTTGTTGAGGGATGACTTGTCTAAACAGAAACTATTAGCTCAATGAACCCTAATTGCAAGTGTGAGGCGGCAATAATTTGACCATGTCCCTCTCTGAGCTCATATGTTTGGCCTGTCATTGTCTCTATCCAGCCCCTTTAGTTACGGCTGGGTTGGTGGTTTCCTGTGTCCTCATCAGACAGCGGGTTAACCACACCCTCAGGGGAGTTCTTATCTTCACCACTGTCCTTTGTGCGTAAGGCTGTAATCATTTCAACAAAGACTAAAGTCCATTCTTCCTGCGGCTGAGGCTTGTGTCAAGGCCGGATGAAATAAGGATAACTCTGACATACTTGTCTCTTCATGGCAGGCTGTAGTATGTGCTTTCAGTGCCAAATGCATTCTTGGCATGCAGAAGTATCCCTTAATGCCTTTGCATTTTGTGCTGAACATTTATTTGTTAGGATACAGTTTGACTGATATTGTAGAGATTTTATAAGTATAAATCTATCTGGCGATCAAGCAGAGCCTTCGACTCTAATGTTAAAAAATCTTATGTAAACACAGACACCATTTGAAAGAGCATGAGTGGCTTTAAAACTCACTGACTAATGCATCTAAAGGTATGTGGACCAGTGTCTATTTTAAAACGATCCTTGGGAATTGAATTAGGCCATGAGGCTACTGGATTTTCCCTGTTGGGTTGAAGCGGCACACGTGGACAAGACAGATACCACCAGAAAATAAAGACAGGGAGTGAAATAACACTTGAAGAGAGAGATCATTCATGGCATAAACCCCCACCACATGAGATATGAATAAGGTCACAAGCTATTTATCTAGTTGATTGGATCTTTTAAATTCACAACTAAAGGTCAGCAATTGTTCATTATTCTTTTGTTTAATTTAAAAGATCTATAGTTGTACTCATATGTGAAGTAAAAGTCTCTCAGTGTTGATTGTGCTCCAGCTGCATGAATATTTGAAGCAGAGCGGTTGATGTAATGGCTGCTTTAAGAGAAAGTGTGCAGCATCAATTGTAAATCAAACTCAATAGCATTCATTGATCTGTTGCTTTGGCTGTTGAGTGCAGCCCGGATGAGGGCTGACAAACATCCTAACCTTATCTTTGTTTCTCCTTAACGTTGATCTTAAAACTTGATATTGCACATTAACACAGCAGAGGAATGTGTGCATGTGTTTATGAGGGGCAGAGACAGCAGTTAGGTTCCCATGTATTATGCAAAAGATGATCCCGAGCGCAGCACTAATAAAGCCTTTTAGATTTATGGAGATTTTAGGGGATGGGATTGTGCAAACAGTCCCACTCACTGACAGACCAGTGCAGAGGCAGAGCATTGGACAGCAGGGGTTGAATCGAGGAGGTGGGGTCTGTCCCATGTCGGCTGTCTGATGGAGAGAAGAGGGGCACTGCACAGTGGTATGAAAAGACAGAGTGCTACGCAGAGTGAGTGAGAGAGAGAGAGATAGACTGCAGGCATGCAGCGACAGAGCTGCATGTATGTTTAAAGAGGCTGCTACAGAGTGGGCTGCTGATGAGGTAAGAAGCTCAAACATGGCATGCTAAAAGAAAGCAGCTGTGCACTCCTTTTCTGCTGTTGTTATGAATGACTGTTCGTGCTCGTTGTTTGCAGAATGCTGTGGTTAATAACCTAGTTGGAGTATTTTTCATACACAGTGTTTGCATTAATATGCTCACTCCACAAGCAGGGATTCAAGCTACCTACTGATGATACCCTAGCAGTGCGGTTACATTGATTGTGCTTTGAATTTAATGTACCTTTCTTTTTTCTCCAGGTCTGTAAAGCATGATATCCAAAGAGACCCGAAGTTAGAGATCTGTCAAACATGTGATTGGATAACACCCCTCAAGACCTTTGTCATGTGACTCAGTGGCGGAGTTGGTAGACCCTCGCCATGCTCTCTCTGTGGAATCTTTATCTTCTCCTCTCCCTGCCCTCACTTCTCTCACTTCATGTCATTGCCTTCACTAAAGAGATTATTCTAGAAACAGGGCAGCCGGACAGTGACAAAGGAGCACACCATCTCACACAGTCCTTACCTCATGGTTTTGGTACAGCAGGGGACCCCGAGTTTGGAAATAACTTCCTGGGTCAACCTTTGAGCTGGTCCTTATCATCATCATCTGAGGAATCAGATAGGCAAGGTGTTATTGGTGAATACACTGATATACTGGAGAGCACAGAGGAGCCTGTTTCGTATCCTAATGAGAAAGGACTGATCATATCCAGCCCAACAAATGGTGCAACAAAAGACGCTGCCTTGGAGGACAGCGCACAAACAACAAAGTCGACATTAAAGTATCTACCAGCCGAGACCAGCACTGAGTTGATATTTCATTCCTCACAGGCTGGAAAAAATCTGCCAACTTTTTCATCATCACAGAGAGAGACGTCAGATGGCAAGTCACCTTTGTTTCTGTCTGGCTCACAGGACTTCCCGATATCAACCACCACACCTGGGTCAAGTCCAGGGCTCCCCACTCCACAAGTGTCCACTGAAACTTTGGGATGGACTGCAAACCCTTCTGTTGTCACACTAGGACAGACACAAGAGGGGACTGTCCAGTCAAAAGAGACCGGCGCTGGACTGACTGATGTTACAGAGCAGAATTTGCAGAGCGGAACTGTCAGAACAGAGACAGTCAAAGGTAACGGTTCTTCCTTCACATTTATAAAACTATTTCTGACATAATTTTTCACACCAGTTGTAAATGATCACATTTATTTTTCCAAGATCAAAGAGGAGAAAACTCTGTGGCTCTGTTTGACTGCAGAGTTTGTGATATGTATTCTGCTGGCAGACACACTTGTTTTATATTCAGACTGGATTTTGGCTCCAAGCCTTCACACCATTCAAACAGATTTTTTAGTCCTTCACCTCCTCTCCCTTTTTATGCTCTAAAGATTCACAGTTAAACCTGCATGTCCAGTATTTACTTGAAACACACACACACACAAACAAGATGTCATTCACTTGTCAAATAAACGATGTGTTGTGTCCACAGCCACCAGGGGTGAAAGGTTAATACAGACCTGTGTGACATTAACCTTTGCATTTATAAGTCGACATAGTTTCTGCCAAAGTGTGTTGTTTCTTGTGTTCAAAAGGAAAAAGCAAGTTATAGTGTTTTCCAAATAGTGCGGTGAACACAGTGTTTGAAGGTCAGTCAATGTTTGCTTTAGAAATGTGCATTAACAGAATAACTTTACCACGAATGGATGAACAGGAATACAGTCCATTTAGAGGAAGTGTTTCTCTGTTTCTGTTGGCTGCATACAGTTTACTTTGAACGTGTTTTACTCAGAATGAGATGCCTCTATTATTTAGAGGTTACACAACCTCAGTCAGACATGATTGTCAAACATTTCTGTATTTCCCAATAATATAAGAACACCTTTCAACCATACTTAACGTGAGCCTCGAAAAATGAGAGCAGCAACGAGGTCAATACTGGCTAATCATCACACATCCCACTCTTTCTTTTTTTATGAACACACACGCATGCACACACTGTGTACTTATGCTCCCGCTCTCTCTGACCCAGTTAGACATTCCCAGTAACATGCCTGCTCTGTTTTATTATAGATTACCGTCATACGTTTCTGACTCTTCTCTACGCTCCTCTTAGACAATAAAAGATAATTACTTTGGGTTTTTTTTTAAAGTTGTCTTCATTGCAAAATGCTAATGAAGAACTGAAGGCAAAGAAATGGAATATGAGGGAACATAAGCACATGCAAAGTGAGGCTATATTTTGAGCTAGTAACTGCATGCTAACAGACTCTGTTGTCCTGCTGGTAATGTTCAGATTATTTACCACCTTGATTTAGTGTGTAGACACAGTTTGGCCTTAATTCAAACCTTAAAATCTTTCTTCACATTTGACACAATCCGGGGGTAACTGATGTCTTTTTTTGTACTTGGTTTACAGATAATCCAAAGGATGACAGGTCACAGACAGTTGGCACACAGTTGCTCGATGGCAACATAGACACAACTGCCACACCCTGCAAAACATCCAATCAGTCCCTGACGCCCACCTTCCCTGAGGATCTTATTCCTAATGAATCCCTTCGCCACTCCCTGGCTCTCACCTCCACCCTCTTTGTCCCTCTGTACTCAGACTGGAACTCTGCCCTCGCCACATGGGGATTTGCGTGGGAAGCTCACATCTATGGCCTCGGGGCTGTGTTCGCTGTATTTGGCCTGATCTCTGTGGTCTGCCTGTTGGGCTTGCCCTTGCGATGTCCCTCTGGAAGCCCCTTCTTCACCTTGTTGCATTTGTTTCTCCTGTCTTTCGCAGGGATTCAAGCTTTCTGTTTGCTCTACGATGCTTATAATCAACAAGACCGTCTGCCTCCTCTGGTCTCTCTGTTGCTGTCTGAGTTGCTCTACCCTTGTCTGATATCAGCCTTTACTCTGGCGTTTTTCCTCCTCTCTTTCCGCTCACGCAAACATCTTTCGCTGCCTCTTGCTAATTCCACCTCATTCTCCATCTTACCCAAACCTAGCTTGTTGTTGTGCATGATCCTGTTGCACATTACTGTGTCTCTTGGGAGTGTTGGCATGCTCCAGCTCTTCCACAGCCTCCCCAGCGTGATCTTGCTGCTTCCTCAGGGTTTGTTTGTGTGTCTCTCCATCTTCCTCTCATGCTATTACCTCATCTTTTTCTGCTTGATGCAAGTCAACACAAAACACATCTACAGGCTGAATGACAATATAGAAAGTGGAGGATCTCCTGAAGTCATGCGACCTGCAAGTGCCCCCTTTGCCAAAGAGGAGGACTGGGGTAGGGCAGCAGGAGCAGGTTTAGGGGCTTCATTGTGTTTGTTGGGATGTGGAGGCTTCCAGCTGTACGGGATCCTGCATGCCCTTGGTTTTGGAGGGGTTGATGGGTATGGGTTCCAACCCTGGCCCTGGTGGGGCTTCCAGGTAGGCTGCAGGATCTGCGAGGTTGGGGTATGTCTTGGTTTGTCTCTAATTGGTACTCACCCTCTGTTCTGTCAAAATAACTCCTCCATCAAGACCATATCGCATCCTCGACCAGGAACTTGGTCTCGCCTCTCCTGCAGCTCCCCCTCTCAAAGACTCACCCTGCCCTCTGACAAGGGTGCACATTCCTCTGTCCACTCTTCCAATGAGTCCTGGTCCCAGAGTAAACAGGAAAACCTGGTTGTCTGTGATGTAATCTCCAAAGGACAAACAGAAACTTTACCCCTTTTTTCAATGGTGGATTCTCCAGGGAATGGACTGGACTGTGACCCCAAGTCCAGTCGAGTCTGTAACACTGTACTGCCTCTACCTACACCCCCAAGCCCACCGCACAGGCCTAAACCTGCAGTTGAGTCTCAGATATCCTCACTGGATAGTCTAAGACCAGACTCTGACTCTACTGTGGATCTGCGGCCTCCATCTCCAATTAACTTGTCACGCAGCATCGACCAAGCCCTGTTTAGTGAATCCCTCTTCTCTCAAAGTATCTTTGGTACGCCAAGACTATTTCAAACTTCATCAAGCCTCTCCTTGAGCTCCCCTAGCCAAGGCACATCAAAGCAAGGGCCAAGCGCCATGGAAAATGCCCTCTACCGCACATCTTCCTGCGGAGACGCTGATCAAGAGAACCTGTCCCTTTCGAGGCCCCCCCAGTCACATCGCTCTCATGGCAAGTCACCAGAGTCATCACAGCAATGGGATTCCAAAGGGAGTATCTCTGGTTCAACCCAGGAACTGTGCAACAATTCTAAGGACATGGGAAAGTTGCGATCACACTCCTGGGCCAACAGAGGTCAGAACTTTGCTCAGAGCAGCCTCCCAAGAGCAATCCCTCACCTGTCTTACCACAGGCGTTACCGAACCCTGAGCCTGGCCTCCCAGGACAGTCAAGGGTCTGGCCGGCTGGCAGGGACTAAACAGCTGAGTGAGAGCAAACAGCTGGAATGGGATTTGGCTGTTCAGGCAGAGTTCGTCAATGTGTGCAGACAAATTGATGCCCTGAGTGTGTGTAGTGACACCATTGAATTGTAGAACTTACACAAGTTCACTCATGGATCAAAATGCAGCTCGCTCCAAATAGATGAGGTAGTGGTGTAAAACTGTACATTATCAAGTATACAAAAAAGGATAACTACATGGACTAAAGGCAATTTCTATAAGAGTTTTAAAGTTATTGTTGTATGTATATCTCCCTTGATCTGAAGGGTCATCCATATATTTTTTCCCCAACAAATATTAACTAGCTCCTGTTTTTGCAGTCCCAATGAATGTAAATGGAGCTTTGATGATGTATAATTTACAAAGTGAGCTTTTTACGTTGGGTACGATCCTGCTAAAAGAAAGGTTTGATGTTCTGCGGTTGTTGAACAGTTGTTATTCCAACAGTGGGGAGTGGAAAAAAGACTTGAAATAAAAGTAGCCATTTTAATCTGTTCCAAATGTGTGGAATGATACTAAATCCAAACTCAGCTGGGATAAAGAGAAAAATAGTCAATCTGTAGTAAAAATGCCCAATCTCCGAATAGTTCTGTGAATAAGCGAAGAATACAAAATACTTCCCTTGTTAAAATGACCTTTATTAATACAACACTATTTACAGTAAATATAAATCAGGGGATAGGTGACAGAGCTGGACAGCTGTTTGCTCTGTAGTTTCTGTAACCATCAAGACAGAAAATTGTAAAATAAGTTTGTTAACCAACAAAGTAGCTCATTTAGCTGTTGTCAGGTTAATACTACGTCACTGTAAGATTAAGAATCAATCACAGAGCTACAATTCATGTTTTAAATCAAAGACATTGAGTACTTTCATGACAAAAAAATCAAGCACAAAAGAAACCAACATTGCCTACAACTCTGAAAGGAAAGATATTGAACTAGAGCTTTTCACCTAGCTCACAGCTCTATTTCAGTGACCCACAATTTTATTTTTGCTTTTCAAAATTTGAGACAAAAATAGACAAAAAACAATCTACATGTACATTCAATAGTCATGTTTTTAATTTTCATTATATTCTATTTATTATATGACATTTATATCATATTTATTGCAAAATTAAATTGTGGAAGATCTCCATATGTCAAGCCAATCTGACTTATTTGTATTATTTCTACAAACTCGGGGATGATTTGATCAGATTACTAGAACTTAAGGTGTGGAAAGTCTCCTGTCTTTAAAACTCAAACATTTTTCATCCAATATTTTGGTTCCGGAGAAGATAAAGATATTATAAATATTTGCTCCTTTAAGGCTCTCTTAAGTATAAACTCATATTTATCGGTTAAGGCTGGTGCTAAGCTTATGTCCCCTCTGCAGCAGTGCAGCACATACATACATCCATTCAATGACACTGAATGTGCTTCAGCCACATTTAACTACTGCATTGTGAGGATGATGACAACATAATGTGCTATATAGTTAATTTCCTCCTGAGTCAGTAAGCTTTACACACAAGATTGCAGGCAAGAAAATGGTGTGTCTAAATATAATCATGTCACTTCACATTTCTGGAGTCTGCTCCCACTATCAGAGGATCGCTGTCTCACAGCAATTTAATATTTTTTGTCTTTCCTTTTAAACAAAATGATTATTTTAAATCTGCAAGGTTTTTTGTGCATTCCTCTGTACCACGGAGAAAAAGACTACTTCTGCAATTGAACCTTGATCCTTGAGTGGGAAATGAAAAGTGTGCTTGTTTGAAAGGATCAACAGAAAAGTTAATGATGTTACCCTTGCTTCACGTTGTCTGCACAGAGGGAAAAAACTGATGAAAGAGTTCATGTGCAGTCACTTTCAATAATCTACGTTACTGGTGTTATTGCTACTTTTATATGTGGTCAGAGGGGGGAAACAAAAGAAAGCAGATTGTGAAGTGGATTTTGACTGCTTCCTCATTGTAGTCTGATCACGTGCGCCCACTGCATCTGCTCAGAGTTGCCGGGGTTGGTACGTTAGGTAGTGATCGAGGGTTTCCTTTTCCTGCACCCTCAGTAAAGCCGCTTCTCGTAACTACACAGGATAAAAAAATAAAAAATAATTAGCATTTTCTGTGTCAGGAAAGTGTTTTACCCCCACAAGAACTAGCTTGGGTGGGGAAGATTAAACAGAAGAGAAAGATAGGAATGTGATGACCAGATGGATGTACTTACATGGCACAAAAGAATATCTAATGTGATAGCATGGGTTAGAAAAGAGGAAGAGAGAAGACAAATTTGATGCTACCAAGTAAACAGCAGTCCATTTGACAGCAAGAAGGTTTCTCACTGAGAGACTGAACACAGATGGCACTTTGACACAGAATGTTAGTTTCATTACTGTTTTTTAAGCAGCCAAGGATCAGGGGTCAGACTTACGAATGTAGGCCGTGGACTCCCCCCTCCATCTGGGCCGACATGGTTCTCTTCTCAAACTTCAGCTCACCGGAGTACATCATTGACCTGGTACAAAAAAAACCCCGACACTGTTCATGTACGTCAAAGCACCAGCACAAGTAAAACCTTTGACAACATGAAAACTGGATGTAGTCTTACCTTAAAATGGACAAACTTTTTGCTCCTATATCCTGACAGCCATGTTGGATACCAGCTATGAGATAAGGAACGAACTTGTGGATGGAGCCTTTATCTTGGACTGATCCTGAAACACCTTGGGCCACCTTCACCTTATCTCCCTCACTGGACACGCACAAGGTAAAAGAAAAAAAAACAGTGTAAGAAATGCTATAAAATATTAAGCATAGGGTACAAGAAAAGTAGCCACCTTTGCAACCACGCACACTTACCTGAAGTAGCGTTTCTGGCTGTTGTTTTTTTCCATGGCATCCAGCGAGCCCATACCTCTATATTTCTTCAAGCGCACACCATCCGAGAAGAAATATTCTCCCGGAGCTTCAGTGGTCGCAGCAAGCAATGACCCCATCATCACTAAGGACAGACAAATATAAGATTTTTTGGTACAACACTGCAAAGAAAGAAAATAATGTAACACTTGAGGATACGTTGGAATTGTAGTTCTCTACCCGTAGATGCTCCCAGGGCCAGGGCTTTTACCACGTGTCCAACAGTCTGAATGCCTCCATCAGCGATTACCGGCACACCAAAACGCCGGGCATACTCTGCAACCTTATACACTGAAGTACCTTGGGGTCGTCCACATGCCATCACTGAAGACCAAAGCAGTAATATCTTGTGTTAACAGCTGATTTTTCCATTGTTTTCCAATCTTTCTTGTCTGACATTCACAGAACTTGACTCTTCAGTAATACCTTCCTGAGTGATACAGATGGAGCCACACCCCATGCCCACCCTCAGTGCATCCACGCCAGCATCTATAAGGTTTTTAGCCTGAGCAGCTGTCACCACTAGAGAGAGACAAACACACAGAGAAGAGCTCAGTTGTAGGAAACAGGTGTAGTATGTTAAAAGAAGAAGACTTCATGTGTTAGTTGTGGTTAGACCTGACGGAGCCCCTCTTTCCTGTTATGAGCACACACCCACTGAGACTGCCTCAGTGAGATTCAGTAACCCAGACTCTTATCACACTCTCTGTTGCAGTTTCTCCTCACTTTACAAAGACCAGTAATAAAATATAAAAAAAACAGCTGATAGACTCAAGATCCTTTATTGATTCTTATGATAAAACATGAAATTTCCAAAACAAAAGAAAGCATGCTCACCATTTCCTCCCACTACTTGTAGTTCAGGATATTTTTGTTTGATGTAGTTTATCGTGTTGATCTGATAAACTGAGTTTCCTTGAGAGGAATCCTTTAAAATGAAACAAAACACAAAAACAAAACACTGAATAGAGAAGCAATACTTTAAATCAGAGATGACGCACCCAGAGGGTAAAATTTGTTGCTGATCTATAGAGGTAAAAGGTACAAAAGAATAACACACTAGTCAAGCTAAGATAATCATTCATCATAGATTGCTGGTTTGTTTTGGCTTGTACTGTCATTTTACAGAATTAAACTCTCACAGCTAATGCTTAACTCAGTATAGCCAAGATGCTACAGTCAACACTAGCACCTGCAGCCATCGGTAATGATCCATCAGTGGTTGATGTTAGAATAACTCAGTGTACAAACCTTAAAATAGCAGTAATTATCAGAAACAAAATCCAAAGCCCTCCTGTGTCAATAGGCTGAACATCTTTGGCTGACATCAAATTTGCATAATAACCACCAAAAGCTTAATCAGCCCACAGTCCACACCTACCAGTACCACCACGTCCACCCCAGCTTGAATGAGCAGCTCCAGTCTGTATTTGTCATCCTCCCTTGTACCGATGGCAGCTCCGCACAGAAGCTGTTTGCGTGAGTCCTTGGAAGCCAGAGGATAATCTCTGTTCTTTTTCAAGTCAGTCCTCGCAATGATGGCAACCAGTTCATCACTGTCGTTAACGATGGGAAGCTTACCTGGGAGAGCCAAACAAAAACAAAGCCTGAGTGTTTAAGTGAGTTTAAGCGTCTGCCTACCAGCTGTGTGACTTAGTTCACTGAGATTGACCTTTTTTGCTACGTTGCAGTATGTCATTAGCTTCTTTTAGAGTGACCCCAGCAGGTGCAACAACCAAATCTTCCCTTTTAGTCATTGCCTAAAAGAAGAAAGTGTATAAGTTTACATAGAGACAATTTATTTGCTTTGTTTGTAAGGTCTTAAGACACAAATCCTTATGAATCAGTTTTACACCCACCTCCTCCAGGGGTCTGTCATGGTCCTTCTCAGACAAAAAGTCTATGTCTCTGGAGGTCACGATACCAACAAGCTTGCTGCCCATCTTGCCAGTCTCTGTGACAGGGATCCCTGAGAAACCATGGCGTATCTTTGCCTCAAACACATCCCCGACTGTGTGCCTGGGACTCATTACCACTGGGTCTGTGATAAAGCCCTGCTCAAATTTCTGTGAAGGACAAAAAAAAGTGATTATTTTGACTGGTGATGTTTGATTCTAAAAAATAAAAATACTTCATGCTCTTTTAAATTTTGTTCATCTTACCTTGACCTTGCGAACCTCATTGGCCTGAAACTCTGCAGTACAGTTATGATGAATTATTCCAATCCCGCCCATCAGCTGAAACCAGCCAATCAGAGAAAGGAAAATCAACAACAGTGGAAAAGTACACAATTGTTGACAGAAGTGCTGACTATCTGAAGTGGAGGAGAATGGTGCTAAGCCAAGACTGACTCTTAGAAACGCTGCACATGCATGTGTGTGCTCTTGTGCTAAGCTTGTACTCACTGCCATGGCAATAGCCATAGATGACTCTGTGACTGTATCCATGGGAGATGAAATAAGAGGGGTCTTCAGGGTTATCTTCCTCGTCAATGCAGAGGTTAGATCCTGAAAATAAAAAGATATATGATCTGATTTTTGATCTTCAAAGGTTATTAACATAAATGACAAAGTAAATCTGAAGTAAAACTGTGATGAAATTAGGAGTTTGTGCATTGAAACTAGAAGATTGATCAGCATTACTCATTCAAATGGCATCTCCAGTGTTGCAGATTTAGCACACGGGTAACTCACAGTATTTGCTAATGTAATGTTAGGATGTGTTTTTAATTTGCTCTGCATCGACCCACAGCTGAAGCCACTTCAGGCACATTAGAGGCTAGTTTGTTGGATTCACCTGCTGAGTATTAGATGGCTCAGGTGTGCATCTGCTTGTAAACACTTGTTATTGTGATCCAGGCATGAAATTAATTAAATGTCCCGGCAGACTTTGCGAGGAAAATTCAAAACAAGCCAAACAAATAAACCTATGCTCTAAGGATCTCAACAAAGAGATCCTTTTCTTTTACAAAGGTCTGGCAAATTTTGTGAACATTTGAATGTTTATTACAGTTTTTGGCTCTTTTTTCTACAATACTCACCACTTCATCAGACATAAAATCAATGAAACCAGGGAGGATCAGGAAGTCACTGCAAGTACAGACATAATATATCACTTTGCTTATAAAAATAACCAACAATCAGTATTTGACGATCACATAGCTGAAACTGTGCATGTAACTGTTGAGCACTTAACCATTCCTTTAAAGCAGCTACTAAGTTGACCAACACTCAGCAGACATAATCTGTCACCCTCTCAACCCTCTGCATCAATCCCCTGTACACTGATAAACCCTGCATATAGCCTCCATTAAGAGACAACATCAACACCCACTGATATGTACAATCCCACACACACACAGATACACACACACTCTGCTTTTAATGTCTGTGACACCACTCACTGTCATCCTTGATAGTAGTATTACTCGTTCTAATCCTCCATATAAAACCCAAGCACATGTGTCATCACTGATATTACTAAACATCTAATGGAAGACATTGCATAACGTTAATGCACATATCTGTTGATGCACATGTGCACGTGTATGCATGATCATAAATTTTTTTTTTTTTTTTTAGGCATCTCTTACTTGTATGTAAGTCCGTCGCCGATTGAAAAGAGTTGTTGTGCTGTTAATCCGTCTTCAGGAACATAACCTGTGCCTCCGCTGATCAGATAGTCTGCCATACTGAAACAAACAAACAAAAAACCCAAAAATTCAAACAAAATCTAGGGGAAAAAAAGTTTAAAAAAGTCAGTTTCATGTTAAATGTTAATATGACATTGGATTTTTGATCCTCTTTTAACACCATGTCTCCCAAAGTCATAGCTCCAAACGATGGATGGTAACTGATCTTTAATGTTCTAATCAACATTTTAATGACTTTTAAAATCACAATTCTCAATCTATTTTCCCATGTTTTCCAGTCTATTATACTTTAAAACTACATGCTAGTTTAGCCAGTCGTTTATTTCTGAAGGTTTTGATCCTCTGTGAGTAACTAACATGTTGCCGTGGACGTTCTTGTTCTTTTCTTGACCTCTCTTCAGATCCTATTACAAACAGGAAATGGGAAGGGAAGTGCTAATAGGAAGAGTCTATCCCTTCTTGAAACTACATCTATGACCACAGCACAGCAGGTAAGAGGATTTGGTTGGCTGCCTAGGTAGCTGGTAAATGAGCTTGAAAAGGACACAAGCAGTGCCAGGAGAAAGTGACAACAACTCGGTTGCTGCTTAAGTAACAGTTTCGATGGGTAACAAGGGTTCGCGTGATCACAAGGGTGACTCAGAGAAGTTTAGGAATCACAGTTAGCAGGTTTGACTGACCTCTCTGGTTCATATCCTGCTTGGATTCGTGTAGCACTGTAGCGCTGTGCTGCGGTCTCATGACCGTGTCCATGTGGTGTTGAGTGGACATAGGCCCCATAGGTATGAGGCTGCTCCCCTTCTCTGTTCGGGATACGGGGGCGTGCCGGTTCCATGTCCCCCACAATCCTACGGTAGTCGATTTGGTAAGTGTCCCTATCTCCATCACCGAACCGGTCATAGCCATGACCCTCCATCTCCAGGAAATCCAGGGTTACTGACTCCAGTGGGCCCCAGCAGCTCACACACACACACACAAACTTCAGTTTCCTCTGATTTGTTTCATACACACAAAGTCACACTGAGGCGCACTCCAAAACCCCAGCAACTCCCAGGAGACACACAGCCACAGACTGAAATGTCCTGTTCAATTATAACCAATCATAAACACCCAATGCTTTAAGTGCTTGCTCACACAAACACCTTTCAGACACACCTGACATGGAAGGAAGCTGTCTTGCCATCTGTTTCGTGGACGGTATAGCAGTTACAGGAAAATAACCAAAAGTATTATGATTGCCCAAATATTATCCAAGAAAGGAGAAAAATTGCATTTAGTCCCTCAAAACAAAAATGTTTGCAAAAAGAAAAGTTTGTATTCCACTTTGTCTGCTCTCATCCCTGGATTTCAAGGCCCACAAGGCATGTTGAAAGCAGCAGAGTTTCAAACCTGCAAGCCAACCTGTTGACAAGGCTTGCTACACCTGTCTGCTCCCTAGTCACAGACACGTGCATCACCTGGGGAGGAGAGAGTCAGGATTTCTCTCCCCTGGAGGCCCAAGAACACAGAGCTGCTGCTTCTGCTGCTGCTGCTTGGTTTATCTGTGAAGCTCCTCTCCCCCTCCGTCCCCCTCGATGCCTGCTCAGCTTAACTCTGTTTCTGACAGTAGCAGACGTCACTCTCCCACAAAGAGGATTGGAAGCATTAATGCAGGATGGGGTGGGGTGAGATGGGTGTGTGAGGGTGGAGTGAGGCAAGGAGACTGAGGAGGAGACAGACAGGTCAAGATAACACTTGAACACACTTTCTTCCTCAGAGGATTACCGCGGGGTAGAGGTGTAGGGTTGTTGTTGTTGTTTTTTTTTTTTCCTCTTAGAGCTGTGAATGAGGCTCAGGTCAAATCCCAAAATACTCTTCGGAAGAAAGCTCTGCTCATTTGAAATGCAGACAGGTAGAGCTGTTGGCTTGAGATAAATAAAAGAGGTTGTGCGTGTTGAAGTTTAGAAAGATGGAAACTTTAATTGCAGTAACCGGTTACATCTTATTTACACCTTTTAAAAACTGTTTTTTTTTTTTCTGTGAATTTACATTTTAGAAATAACAGTCAGTAAACAAGGCTACTAAATACAAGAACAGTTGTATCTTTAAAACTTTTATACACGTATGTTCTCAGTTTTAAGGGGTTTTTCTCTGCTTTTGATCTGACAGTTGTTTGGACCAGTAAATTCTGCAGTAACTGACAAAGGCAGACAATCTAAAACAGTAAGAATGATTTCTATTTGGAGAAATGTGCTGCAGAAGCAAACATGTTGTTAGTAGTGCTGTTTGCTATCTGGTGTAAGGCTCTGACTACATTGGTGTGTATTTTTCTAACAACTACAGGCACTTTAAACTGCCTAGATAACAGAGCTATCAGACCCATAGACGCCTCATAGACTGGCGCTGCCTATTGGAGCTCACATTTCAGCATGGCTGCCATCTTGGATGGGTCCCCCATGCGCTTCCCAGTGCATTAATTTCTATTGAGGAAGGTAGAAATGCCAAACTGTATTAATCATAATTCCCTGAATTTTTACCCAATTTTCACATGATTTGGTTTGTTACAAACAGCAGAGATGTAGCTAAGAAACATGACGCTGTCACACATTAAAAATCACCAAAATTATTTTTCAATCTTACTTGTGAAATGTTATCCTACGTGATCTGGTGTCAATACTTTGTCAATTTTTTGCAATCCTGGGGTACACAATATACAGGCATAGTTGCTCATTCTTCATTGACTCTGTAGGCTCTAGTGCGAGCCTAGAGTGAGGAGACCCATCCATTATGGCAATGATGCTGGATAACGCTCCAGCATGTAATGAGGCGTTTATATGTACTATGTCTATGATCAGACTGGGGCATAATGTGTTCAACAACATGGTGTAATGTTAAAGTTACAGTTAGCAGTTACTTAGAGTTACTGACTGTTACTGTTTAAGTTGACATCCGTTCAGGCCTGGAGCACATCTGTTTAAAATTCTTGATTTGCAGTGTTTGTATTTTGCAGCTGTTTGCTTTGGGGTGTTTTTGTGTGCCACCATGTTGCTTTTCATGAGCAGTTTTCTCGTTTTCTCAGCTCTTGTGATTGTGTTAGAATTGTGTTTACGTTTAGCGCTTTGCCAGTACACTTTCCCTAATGAAGATCACTCTGTATGTCTGTCTCTGTCTCTGATCATAGAATTCAGGGTCAAAGTGAATAGTGACAAACCTGAACATTAAACTACAACAGGAGAGTAATTTTTTGCCTGGGATGCCCTCTACACTATCATCTGCAGGTGACTGACTGACTGCTTGTGACAGTTACAGAGGGATTGAACCAGAAAAGCCTCTTATCCTGTCTCTCTCTCTCTTTCTTTCTCTCCCCCTCCACTAGAAAAAACAAGCTGCGTCTCCTCTTCAGAAAATTGACATTCCCAAAATGTCTGTCTTTGGTTATTAAAGCATGTCACCTATACAATACTTCTCTTCCTTCTTAAACCTTTATATAAAACAAAAGTGGAAACAGAAGTTTGTTTCTTTCAGTTTATTTATAAACTTTGTTTAAAAGAGTCACAAGTAAAAAAAAACGGCATCAATATTTACAGTATTTTGAAAATAAAAGTTGAAGGAAATTGGTCGAAGCCACTGCTTTGGAATCAGCCACCTAAGGGAACATAAAATGAGATTTGAGAATGAGAATTGCAATTATTTGATGACTTATGACAAATGAAACAACCACATTTAAATATTTTAATATAAATGAAAAACCCTACCGAGCTGCTCCACTGTTTTAGGATGATGTTTTTTTAAGGCGTCGAAGAAAGCTGCTTTAACCGCTATGCCTCCTGACCGAAGAGTCCTGCTATAGAGCAGCCTCATCTTCTCCATACTTGTGGGTTTAGCTTTAATCAAAGCGTAGGTTTCACTATGGACCATGTCTCCGAGCTCCTCTGTTATCGCCATGACTTCAGAAATGACTTGAATCAAATCTGCCCGTTTGTCATCGACAAACTTTGCTGTTTTGAAATATCAAAGAACAGAGGCACGCATGCAAAGCACACATGTTATGAATATAAGCACTGGTATCATGTCTAATTTGAGTTATTTTGTTGAAAAAATAAAAACATAAACAAACTTAGTCCTACAAGAAAATAGTACTAACCTTTTTTTTCAGGGCTCATTGTTATAGTATACACACTGACCTCATCAGGAACAGGATCCTGTTTGTAAAAGGTAAAAAAAAAAAAGAAATTAATTAAAGTTAAAAACTATTCTATAATATGTTTTACATCAGTACATTGATAGATGTATAAAAAACAGTTTAGCCTCTTCATCTAAAAGCTACAGTAGTCATCCACTTGATGTGTGGTCTAATACAATAACAAAGCACTGCAATGTCCATCCCTTAGACTATAATCATATAATAATTTCAAACAAAAATGAAATACAATCAAAACTGAACACAATTTCCTCTGAGCATCTCCATGCACTCTTTTGTTGTACTTATAATCTAAATGAGGGACGAATGTTTGCCCTAAAGTCTTTCTTAATCACAGAGAAGCTTCCTGATGACCGGATTAAATTAATCAATTTACAGTTAGCTTACTGTCAGGCTAAGGGCAAACAGGAGTTGGTGTACCTGTACTGATGGACTTTTGGTTTTCATGGGTCTGCAATCCATGGAGTCATGACTTTCTAAAAGAAAAAAAACATTATTTTTCCAAGTGGAGACTAAAATAATTAATAGTTACCAACTAAATCACATGAGCTCAACTGACCTACCTGGTGTCTGAGAAGAAAAACCCACAACCTCATTTATACTTTGATGTTGATTACTGGTTGCTGGATCCTACAGTAAAACAGAAAGAAAGGCAATATATATATTTTTTTCTTTCATATTGTCAGAAAGATTTTGTGCCATATTACATATGCAAGACCAAAATAAACAGGTTGTACCAGTTTTGTTAAAACTTGATAAACTGCAGCAGGAACTCCCGGCCTGTGCATTGAAAACAGTTTCTCCGTCACCCCAAGGCACTCTGAAACAGAAGCCGAATACTGTTAAAGACCCACCTCGATAAAAATCATGTTTTTCTTTTTGTTAACATGTTTGTATGGCATTTTTGTGATGCTACAAGACTTATTGAGAAAACTAAGAGCGAAATTTTTATTTCTAAGCATTTCTGCATTCAGATCACTGGGAACCTCTGGCAGACCCAAACGGCAGATTCAGACACAGAGGAATTTCTACATCACAAATCCATGCTCCCCCCGGAGCCCTGCTCTGCAGGCCAGACTCCAGAAATAGACTGATACGCTAAGGCAGAAGAACTACCGCGTCTGCAGTGCACATACAAGATACGAAAGAACTCTGATTGTATTTCCATGAAGTAATAATCACACATTTTCTTCCTTGAGCTGTGGACCTCTGCTACAGCTGGTCTATAAGGCCTCCAAGCCCTGTTTATACTACATTAATCAAAGTTTAACATTATCATTATCAAAGGACAAGCTCAACGTTACAGCATAAATACCTGCCTTTGAAGGTAGGCCTGTTTGAGGGATCTCCATCCCAGCACTTTTTCATGAGGTCAACCAGCTCTGCCTTCTGGTCAGTGTCCTTTAAGCAAGGTCTGTCCCCTATAGGGACCTTCAGGGCCACCAGACTGTATTCAGCAGCTACAGGTGTGAAAGGAAAATGCATCAAAATAACACATCAGCACGTGACAAACTTCAATAAGTCAAATATAATCACTTCAATGAGGTCTATTGGTATAATAAAGGAAGTATTCTTGAGTGACAAGTGTGTGAAAAAAGAAATAAAAACAAAAATAAAAAGAGACAGATTATTTAAATGAAGTATTTGAAACTTTCATTTGTAACTTCATTACGTCAAAAGGGAGGAGATCACCAAATCTAAACAATAATCTAACACATGTACCTGGATAGGGCTCTTTCCCAGTGAAAATGCACCAGAGCAGGATACCATAGCTGATTAAATGAGAGAAAATTGGACACTTTAGTGACATTGAAGAAACTTTTTTATAAGATATAGAATTACAGTCCAATTTAGGAGTCTTAAATGGAAACCTGTAACTATCAAAAGCTCGGCGAGGTTCATAGGATGTGTCAAAAGCTTCTGGAGGCTTGAACTTGAATGTGTATCCAATCAGCTCGGTTTCTCTGTTTCCATCAGAAGCACTAGCAGAAACCCTACACAGGCCAAAGTCTGCAAGCTGGAGAAAAAGAGGAGACACATTCAATACAGAGTCCACAATTAAATCAGCTTTGTTTTTAAACAAATTCACGTTCAGTCTGCCACTCACCTTAGCATTAAGATCATCACTCAACAGGACATTGCTTGGCTTTAGGTCACAGTGTAGAAGCTTCCTTGAATGGAGAAAGTTCATGCCCAAAGCCACCTGATGAGCCAGGCGGGAGACCAGGGGCTGTGGCGGAGGGCCGCCAAGGTCACGCAGCAGGGACTGAACAGATCCTTTTCCCATAAACTCCATCACTATCCCCTGTCTTGGGAGTCCCTGAATCAGTCCCTGATAAATTCCATAAACCCTCAGAACATATTCACAGGAAACCTTCTCCATGTGACCTGCCTCTGCAAACAATGCACTCTCCTCAGGCAGGCTGGAGTTTAAAAGGGAAAGTTTTTGAGGAGAAGAGAGACAACATAGTGAAAAAGTTTAGACAATTTTTTAATTTTTTTTATAATATGTACAACCAAGTAACAAGAGACAAAAATAAAATATTAAGCCATTTACCTAACATCATCTCGGAGTATCTTGACTGCCACATCAAAGCCCCAGTCCTTGTGCCTAGCTTTGTAGACAGAACCAAATCCCCCTTTGCCAACAAACTCCCAGTTCTCCAGGTTTTCACCACCAACTGGTTTAGTCTTGTGGCTCAGTAGTGCCATCTCATGCTCAACTCGGATAAACAACTGCGACCTCAATAAACAAAATAATGAAAGAGCAAAAGCTTCAAATCAAAACAGCAAAGGAGTTGGATTACTTGAAAAAGTGTCTCTTGTAGAAATAAGACTGTCTTTACTTTAAGATAAGAGCAAGACAGGATTACTTAAAAATACATCAGCTCACTCAGGGTTTTGATTCAGTTTATGGTCAAATAAAATTTTACTGGCTTCCCTCATGTTTTGAGTTAGTTGTATTGTTAAAGCTAGTCTCCACTCACCGTATATACCCTCTTGTGTTGTCCTCATAAAGGTTAGTTCACAGCCGCAGAAAAGTAAAACACATAGGTTCCTGTCCCGCTTCCTTTTCCTGCTCTGCTTCATGGGCAGCTCGAGGCAGTGGGAGGAGTTAAACTTGGGTTGGGCAAAGAAGATTCTGCATGACGACTGGTGGTGTAAAAGAGTGGTGGTAGTTAATCATTTTTGTAAAGGTTTATCGTAGGGGCATTATTTCTTGATGTTTCAGGGTTTATGTGGAAACAACAAAGTCACAAAAACCACAGGCCAAACAGCAGTATCAAACCCTTAACCACAGCAGATATTTTTGTTTTGTGTGTAGATCACAAGAGTAGCCTACATGTCACTTCCCCATGACACATGAGTGGTGAGCAGAAATCAGAGAGGGCACTTACTGTAATATGGTGGATGGAAAAACCTCACAAGGGGAAGAAAGGCTATACATTGCTGATCTGGCAACTTCACTTCATTTGGATTTGAGAAAGATAGTGTAGAGGAAGAAAGCTTTCAGAAATTCACAAGTACTGCCCTTTCAATTTATATTTAAAGAAATTGAAGTTGACAAATCAAGGTTTTTAATGCTTCTGTAAATGCGACTTGAAAATATATATACTTTTAGTGGGGAGTGGAATTACACATCCACAAAAATCTGATTTAAGCTTTCAAAGGTAGGCAGAGGACTTAGTCCAAAAGCAGCTCAGTTTGCTATTTAGTCTTTTATCAGGCATGTGTAAGTATGGAAGATTAGGTTTTGAATGGCACCTCTCCTGCTCCACTCACGGTGATGTGGTATGTGACAGCTAGAGTATTACTGCTAAATAAATTTGAGAAATCTGAGCAAAATTCGAAGAGGAACAATGATTCATTTTAAAGAAATGTTCAATAATTAGTGAAAAATGTCTTGCTGTCAGTATTCAGGAGTTTGCATATAGGTTACATGCAGCATTAGCTCACATGCTCTTCTGCAGGGAAACCTTGTGCAGCAGTATAACAAACTAATTCTCGAGTGCTAAAACCCAATGTAAGGTGCCATCAGAAAATAATTGATATCCTATAAAAGTTTTTTTATTTATTTATCTATTTATTTATTAATTTATTTACATGCTGGGACTACATCCTGTGGGGAACTCGAAGGGATATTCTGGCGTAAAATTAATCAAGGGTCAAACACACCGTAACACAGAGTTAGACCGCTTGCTCCTCTAGTTAAACCAACTTTAGTAACGACGGCATGATAGCAATACACAGCGGTCTGAGGAGCCATAAACAGACCTCAACCAAAAAGCCACTTTTTAGCCACAAATAATGCTCAGAACAGCACCTAACTTCATCAACAGTACATATAGGGTCACAGCCACAGCACTAGCCACGAAACATCTTTTTAACTTTCCCTAATTTCTTTAGTAAAGAGACTAAACAACTCACCTACTCTCTTCCAGCAGCCGCTCGTTTGTACGGAGACCTCAGGCCAGTCCATTACAGACTGATGCGGGGTGACGCAGCTCAAGGAAGAATGCTCATGTTACGGTGTGTTCGACCCTAAATTAATTTTACGCGGGAATACCCCTTTAACAACTTCCAGGCAGAGCTGCGCATGCGTCGGTCAAACTATTAGTCGTTAAATATCGAAGTTACTTTTTCAAGTAAACTTTTGAGGTGGAGGTTACTTCGACAAAACATTACTACTCTTAAAACTCGCGTTAGATTTTGTTTCGTGTAACTTGCTCAGTTTCGCGACTTGACTTTTAATCATAGGTCTTTCCCCCCACAAATATGAAACACAACATAGGCTATATCCTGCTCCAAACGGTCTGAAAATCACGACCTAACGTAAAGGCCGCCAAACACGCCGGCGGCAGTGGACAGAAAGTGGCCTCCATTTGACAAAATATTTGGAAGAGGAAAGACAGTCCAGTATTTTATAACAACACGAGCTAACGCGGACGGTTAGCTTATCTGTAGGCTTGTTAGAGGCTTCGGTTGAGGATGAGGGCTCCGCTCAGGACGACGAAGACCCAAGAGGGAGACTCGGAGATAAGTTTTCCAGCATTGAGCAAAGTCAGAAGCTCGTTTTTCTGTAAATGGATTCGGAGTACACCTCCCGCAAAATGGATTTATGCCAAGGATTTTGAGGCTTCGGGAGATTATCGACAGATACAGGAGGTGAAGCACATCAACAGGTGAGTATGTCGGGGAGGGGCGATTGTCCTAAAAAAGTAAGGTTAGGGTTGCCAGTCAGTTTGTGTTTTTAATGACAGCGATAGTAATGTGTGTGTGTAGAGTGTGTACTGTACGGTGGCCGAGAACCGCCACTGCGGCATATAAAAAAAGAAAAAAAGAAATTGAAGCCCACTGCTCATAAAAAAAGAAACGGGGCAGATAAAAAGCCACAATGGAAGTCAATGACACACGCACAAAAAAAAAACGTTGCGATGGAAAAAAAAGTTACTTTCTGCGAAAATAAAAGGATGCAAATAAAAAAAGCCACAACGGAAGTGAGCTGCGGTGGACCAGTAATGATGATGTTTTACGATCAAGGCACAGAAGACAACAGTGAGAAAACGAGCAAAGAAGTTAGTGGGAAGGTTATTGTTTAATTCCACTTAGTATGTTTTTCAATTTGTCATTTGGTTAGGCAGTGTAGCGCCTGAGTAGATATGAAGTTGAACTGAAGCTAACACTATGCTGGCATCCTCCAGATCAACTTCATATTGACTTAGGCGCTACATGGCCTAACCAAATGACACATTGAAAAGTGTAGGAAGTGAAATTAAACAATAACCTTTCCACTTACTTCTTTGCTAACTTCTTTGAGACCCTAAATGTACTGTTGATGAAGTTAGGTGCTGTTCTGAGCATTATTTGTGGCTATAGAGTGGCTTTTTGGTTGAGGTTTGTTAATGGCTCCTCAGACCGCTGTGTATTGTTATCGTGCGGTCGTTACTAAAGTTGGTATAACTAGAGAAGCAAGCGGTCAGCAACATTCATCTCTCGAGGGGGTGTCTAACTCCGTGTTATGGTGTGTTTGACCCTAAATTAATTTTATGCCAGGATATCCCTTTAAACCTGGCAAAGCCCTACAGAACGTTGTGTAAAAAGAAACTGATCTAGTGAAAAAAGAAACTCCTCTTGCTTGTTAACTTGCTTGTCAAACTGTGGAGTTCTGCAGAATATCAACTCAAAACGGCACAAAAATAGAAATAACCAGTCTTGGAACTGAAGATCTCATTTTACTGTGTGGGTCAAGAAAGTCTTCAGCATTAAAGTGACACAAATTTACTAAAGTCAGTGAAAAACTTAAACCTGCGTTTTTATAATTAAAAATTCAGAAGCTCAATTATTAATTTTTGAGTGTCGCTTTGATTATGTAATACACTGACTGCGCACCAGCTGGCAAAAACATTCACACCAAACAAAATGAATGTTTCCCTGATGTTCCAAACTGAGTGGCTTTAGTTCTTGCTTCTCTTCCGGCAATATCATAAAGCAGTCATGAAAATGATTTCTGACCTTCTGCTCAGTCTCTCTTTACTTCTCTCTCAATCACTTTTCCCTGCGTGCAGTCCTGGGCGAACTCAAGACAAAAGCCACACTGAGACTGTTTTGTGTCTAAATTATTAATACAGAACACTACTAGAAAAAAAAAACATAGTCTGGAGCGCATGTGTCTGTGTAGTAGCAACTGCAATTGATCTAAATCATGTGCATAATCACATTTGCACTGCCTGTTCATTACAGTGAGCTGAGGTGTCTTTACTCACACATCCCATGCTGCCTTGCTGCTACAGCCGGCATCGATAGGCGCGGTCTGCTCTCGCTCCCGGCATATCCATTGCGCTCTCCCCTCCCTCTTCTCCACCCACCCTCATTTACACTCAGCACAGTGTGGACCTCTTGTAGCGGTGGCTGCTTTCTCTGCTACATCTCTCTCCTCCTGGCTGCCTTAAACCTCAGACTCTGTCCTTTCAAAACTGTAACTCTCCTTTTCTTTGCTTTCTTTGCTCATAAGTTGATGATTTATAAGGAAGGGGGGTTAATTGAAAGGGGATCTCTCTGAACTGGAGTAAAGAGGTGAGGTGAGCGTTTGTCTTTAGAGGTGTGCTTTAAAGCGGGAAGCATCTCTGATCCAGGTTGCATCCTCTGGAGCAGCGACAGGACAGCCTGAGGAAAAAAAGGACCGAAAACCCACGTGCAAGCTTGGATGTGCTTTGTGTTGTGAGGAGTGTAGACGCAAAAGGAAGAAGGGAGGCAGAAGGCAGCAAGACAGGGAGGGGATCATTTAGCAAGAGACACCCCAGTCACTGGGGTTTAGAGGTAGGTGGGCGTGGGGTCTGTGGGGAGTGTTTTAAAAGTGAAAGGAGGAGTAGGGGGGGGATCTGCACTGCTCTCAGATCAAAGAAGAAGAAGAAGAAGGAGGGGGATTGCTTCTGCTCTGTCTGAAGAGTCGCAGAGAGAGTGTGGAGTCACAGGCACTCCAGAGACTGTGGCTTTACAACCCAAGACCAGAGGCTGTCTGCAACGCTGACCAAGGGAGGGGGCTAAGGACACAAAGTGGAGGGGGGGGTGTCTTCATCTGGACAGAGGTGAGCTCGGCTTCCGAATAAGAAGAACGAAGAAGAAGAGGATAACGAAGAGAGTGCTCCGGGAAATTGGCAACATTCCTGTTTTCTCAACAATCTACTGGAGGACCCCACGATGGCTGTCCAACTCATTCCTGAATCGGCTGTGTGTTTGCTCATGGTGAGTCTAAGAAGCGCTAAGTATTACCGGTGCTTTGTACTGTCTGCCTTTGTTTCTGTCTCTCATCACTCCATCCTCATGGCAGGAGGTGAGATGTCATCTCATTAAAATAGATGTTTGCTCCTCCTCCTTTACTACTACCTACAAACCTGACATCCTTCAATAACCTCCCTGCGAGGCTCAGAAGCTGAATTTCTTTTGCGGCTGACATGGAAAACTCAAGCTTTTGTCCAACTCCTCCACGTGTTTAACTACTGCAGTGGCCAGGTGTGGGAGGAACCCTCGACACACCATCACCACGCTGAATGTGGCGTCTTTTACATGTTACAGACAGATCTGATTTAAAACCTATAATACCATGGCATGTGTGTGTTTCTGCAAAGCCTGGCAAAAGTTGCTGAAAGGATCGGTGCTTGTGTTTGTCTCAACAAGATTATTGTGCATCTTACAGTAAGACTGAATCAATACAAATACGCTATCATAGAAAAACTGTTTATCTAGAGCCTGCGGCAGATGGTTTGCCGGATCTTGTTAGTGTAGTAAAAGTCCCTCACTGACATGAAACAGATTGGGTTGGCATGGCCTGGTTTAGACCTGGCTGTAGAGAGTGTTGTAATAGACACACACACACACTGAAATCCACTGAACCACTCTCTCTCTTTTCTGTCCAGCCTCACAGTGAAACAATGGTAGTGTGGCTTTCATGCATGTTAAGAATACGGATAAGGCTTGGACCCCTCTTATAATTATGATTGCTCTCAACGTGTGCAGAGCCTGTGTGCTGGTTTGACTCTGTGTAAGAGAGCATGTTCTGCTCATTCTCATTCTATAGTGCTGGCATTCTGCAGTCCCAAGGGGAGTCATGCATCGCCGCACTACCTGCTATCTCCACCTGTCATGGCTGTCTGTTACTATGGCGATAGGCCATGCACCCCATTCAAGGGGAGAGGATGCAGTTAAAGACGCAAGGGAGGGAGGAGAGAGTAAAAGATGATGGACAGGGCAGAAGGAGGAAGGAAAAAAAGGAAGTGTGAGTGATGAGGGCAGAAGTAGAAGTAGAAGATAAGGAAAGTGAAACAAAAATGATGATAGTTTTGAACCATGAAAATCAACACACTCTTGAATTTCTAGACAATGTGTCATCTCATGTTGTTGGCAAGCAGTTGGTGTCCCTTGACTCCATTTTGCTCTGCCTCTCCCTCAGCAAATGGCATTAGCATAGAGGGCGTTCCCTTACAAGTGCTCTTACTGTCAAAGCTGTCACCCAAAGACTTTTTACTGTCAACCCACGTCGCACAGGGAAAATTGCTTAGTGTCACAACTCCTGCTTCTGTTTCATTTGTGATTACAGCCCCACGTGCAATGTCCTCACCAACAGAGCTGCTTTACACCGGTTGGCTATCAGCAACATACTTCAGTTTGGATGACACTGGCTCCTACAGGGTTTCACTGGCAGAGATTTATTTTTTGCTGTTAGGCCACCCAACGCGAAAGAAAGGCACAACTCAAATCTGGTTTGTGCTGAATTTCCCTTTAAGTGCACGCTGGAAAAGACTGATATTTAATATCTTATCTCGTAGCACAGTGATTTGTTCACAAAATCTCTGACATTTGTATTCACACTGACTTACTCCAGGCTTGAACCTATCTTAATTATTGATGGGTGCTGCATCTGTGTGTGTGTATTGATCATGCCGTCTGCCTATGTGTATTAATATTTTAGGCGAATGTGTGATTATCTGCTGCTGTAATTGCAGAAACAGCTTCAATTGACAACACAACATATTACCAAGATAGATAGATAGAAAGATGGATTCATTCATTCATTCAATTATCCATCCCTCAGTTTCAGAATGAACAATGCTTTCTTGCTTTGTGCCATCGCTCAGACTATAAAAAATGATGCCGGTAAGAATTATTTTACTTCTCCTCCGAGTTTCATTTCCTTGACCTAATGTGATTGGCTCAGACTAACATTAAATCAGCCATAAAACAGAATGGTCTCCAGCCTATCATATAGACTACGCCAAGTGAGGGAGACTATGGCCTTATCCTATTGTTTATGAAAGGATTAAATAAATGACACGCTGTAAGATTTTGATGAATGAGTCCAACAGGAAATGTTAAAAACACACTTCATCTCATTGATTAATTACAAATGGGTATACCCTATGCATGAGGGGGATATACCTGTCGTAAAAACATATACAAACACAGATTTTCTCCTTGCATCTGCCTGGTCTGGTGGCTTTCTGAACTAGTGAAGGATAGAGAGATCGATAAGTCAGTCTGCAGTTAGGACACACAGAGGAATTCAGCATCTGATATCAGGAGGGATCAGAGTCCAAATGGATTCATCTAACCTCACTGAGACATGTTACAGCTTCACTCTTCATCTCCGGGTTTTGAAACAAGCTTTACTCGAGCTTAATCAACCTGAACTGCACAATACTGGATGGTCTATTTTGATTCTGGTCTTTTGTAATTACATACAAATTGTTCCATTTGTGGTTTCAGCTAGTATCTGTGTACAGGGACGGTGTGTGTGTGTGTGTGTGTGTGTGTGTGTGTGTGTGTGTGTGTGTGTGTGTGTGTGTGTGTGTGTGTGTGTGTGTGTGTGTACTGGCTCTTGATTGCAGTTTTCTCTTTGTACTTAAAATAAGAACTGGAGCAGCTTTAGTGTTTGCCACCATGTTCATCAGTGAGCTGATTAGCTCCGCTCTTGAGGGCTCTGAGAGGAGCAGCTCATACCCGTCTATATAATGGAGTTTTATCCAGAAGGGTGAAGTTAAATGCCAAAAAGTCAAATAAAATAGGGAGTTTTAAGCAGTTGAGTTTAAATCTGTAACTTTGTTAGATTAAGGAGGTAAATAATTGCGGTGATGACAGAAATAATCCAATGATATCTGAGAGGCTCCAGGAAGGTGGATGTTTTTTTTTTGCTGTTAATCCTGCTGTCATCATAAAACCCACACTGATAAAATTCCATTAGGATTTCAACTTTAAGATGAGGGTCAGAGAAAGTCAGAAGGGGACTGTCTACCTTGTTGTTGTTTTTCCTTTTTTTTTTTTAATCCACATCTTCTTATCTGTCAGAGAGGCTGTCTGGTTCCATCCACTTGATCAATACATTACTATCTGTTACACCGTGCACATCTGAGGAAAAGCAGGGCAAGTTGCTATCTCGACACACACACAAGCTAAGTGGATTATCTTTATAATGCTGGAGGGTTCGGCTCTGCATGCAAGGAGAGAAACAGCAGCTTCACAGCCCCACTGTTTCTCAGTGGAACAGCAGCATGTCTGTGCGACAGATGTCGTCTTTCAGTCTGGACGGCATCAACACACACCTGCCAAACAGTTATCGAATGTATAAAACTGTAGAAGTGTGTTGCTTTCTCTTTGCCTGGTGTAAAGTCATATAAGGCAAACATTGGTCTATACAAACTACCGTTGTACATTGAGGTCAACCAAAAAAAGCAGACCTTACACTGCCCCTCATGTTGGCGCCTATGTCTCTTCATTACCGCCCTTCATTCAATTATTCTGCCAGCGAGGACGGAGACCAGAGGATTCATTCAGCCTTAATCAAATCACTGCTTTATGATGTCATGTACTGTGTGTACATGTGACCTAATTGCAATCTGCATGAGCTGTGTGTGTATCCTGGAAAACTTCTAGTATCTGTGTTGTTTTCATGAATTTTATTATTACTCTTTAGAAGTAATGTCCCACAATATGTCCAGATAGTTTTTTGTGCTTTATGTTCTTATGCTCATTACTCAATAAAGCAGGCAGTGTACAAACAGAGGAGGGCTGAACAGTATGGGGGAGGGTTAGCCGAATGACATCATACTGAGATAATTGATTACTGCCCGGTAACAATGGCACAGGGGGAGAAGCAGATAACATTTTGTGGAAGAGTGTGTATCAGTTCAAAGCTGGCGAGAGGAGTATTTGTTACCCTCAGTGGTTTGGGTTGGAGCGTGCACACAATAGTCCACTCACTGTCCTAGTCTGTGAGTTAACACGTCACTTAGAATCAACCCAGAATCTGCACCAGTTTCAACATCAACAAAGCGCAGAGGAACAGAACACGAGCACCAACACCTCAGGAGTACTGCATGAAGTGGAAAAAAAAACGATTGCCTCTCTGAATTCATCCTGTGAAGACTCCTGTCTCATGAGTGATTATTGTGGAAGAGAGGCAGATGGCTTTCTATTTTTTTATTTCCACAGATGGCTTTCTATTATTACTAGTTCCTTACTTATGCTCTTTTTATTTGACACTTAACTGTCTTGTGCTTAGAGCCTCTGTAATAGTATTAATAAAGAACTTTTTTTCCCCGGTCCATTATTGCCATAAAGCCGCAGTCCGACTGCAGAACAGTCATGCTTGAGTGATGCTAGGAGCAGGTTATGCTGATGTCAGCCAACTAATGCGCAGTAGTTGCTGCAGGAGAAAGAAATGCTTCAATTTCCAACAGTAAAAAAATGCATCTAACAAACCATATTGTGCTAGTCTTGTCCGATGGTCTGTTTCCCAGATCCCCACTCAACTGAATTTACAGTTTGTTCACATATTTGGTCGATATGAAGAAAAGACTAGTGTGACTTTGGAAGAGCAGCACAAGTCAAAACAGTTCTGTGGATAATAATGAATCATTAAACCAGGTATACACTAAACAAAAAAAAAAGGAATTCTCACATAACTTTTTAAATATTGTGTATGAACAACATTAAAAGTTGATTTTGGGTGACCCTACTAACTGGTTTTTAGTCAAAACTTACTAAACTTACTCACTTTTGATACCACAACACCGACTTAAACACCAAGTTTTAAGCAAAGTGAAGAGATGTGTAAATAGGAGCCAACATTAACACTAATACTTAAGAAGTAGTCATCCATACAGTTATTAATTTTTATCCATTTGTGCTGAGCAAATGTTTCTATCTTTCCACCATACTGTTTTTTTGATATAGGCTAAATGTTACCGTGTATTTGTCTGAATACTAGTGTTAACAGTGCTCTGATTTTACTGCAGAGGGATGCCACCTGGCTGTGTGGTGGATTTAACCGACTCTGTCTGCTGACACAGCTTTCTAGAAAAAAAATATGAATTGATATTGACTCGTACTTGAAATGAGCAGACAAGTGTGATGATGGGTTCTTTGTGTCCTTGTTAGGAATGACCAGTTTTAGTATGTGTCGTCTTAATAAAATATCTGTAAACAGAGGTTAATTTTATGATCAGGGCATTATTGCTGACATTATGTATATACTTTAAAACCTTTGTAGAGCTCACAGAGCCGTGGCTACACCTCAGGTTTAGTAGGCTGATATCCAGCATTGAAAGTTGTCCAAGATACTGGGATTGATTGGTTTGTTTAAGATCAAAGGGATTTCTTTAAGACGTGTTTCTTTAAGTTTTAATCTTTGAAAAGTTGGTCAATTCAGTTGAGATTTTTTTTTCCCCAAAAGTGTTTTTCTGTGAGCATAAATGCTAAATGTTTCAGATTCAAATGAAGAGGAGAATGAAGGAGATAAGAAAGAATGAACAAGAAGCTCGAATGTGGGGAATGGTCTTAACTTTTTACCACATGTATAAATGAATGAGGGTTTGGTGTGTGTGTGTGTATGTGTGTATGTGTGTGGTGGTGGTGGTGGTGGTGGTGGATCCTGAACCTACATCATACCATTAATTCTCCTGAGCTGTTTACACTGCAGTGTGTTTAAAGACTATTGATGAGCTGTGGAGGTGAAGGCGCCTGGAATGTAATCGACTTCAGTGGAGTGTCTTCTCTCTCAGCCGTGGTCCTCTGTGTATGTGTGCGTGCACATGTGTGTGTGTGTGTACATATATATAGATAAGTACAGTGCATCTTGTCCTTCATGTAAGCCTTTGCAGCAGGCTCCTACTTGAGTGTAACATCCGACTTGCTTCAAACTAGGCCGTTAACTGGGCTTAGGTTTAGTGCAGGTGATATGAGGAGGTTTTAATTATATTTATGTACAGGAAATGACCCTGCATTTGCAGCAAAGCAGATGCTCATTAAGGTCTTCTGGTCCTCCCATGCGCTCTGCCTCTGCCTTCATCTTGATGTTTATCGGGGCTCTGAATCTCTCTGGCCACTTCTGCAGGTGCATAATTATGTGGTTGCTGTGCTGTGGAAGAGCTTGTGTTTGCATTTGCATTCACTGTAAGATACCGACCATTTCATTGATCCAACAACAGCGGGAGAGGGAACTGCATCCATCTTTCTTTCTTCTTCGCCCACACAAAAACTCCTACATGTATGTACACATCATCCTTCTCACACATGACCTACTACTGTAGGTCGTTGACTGTACCTATGATGCAGTCAATGATGTGAAAGCAAACCCAACATAGAGATGGAAATTTTACAGCAGTCTGTGAGGATTTTCTGTGTTTTCAGTCCTTTCATTGCAGGATATTACCTGCAGGAGAGCTGGCATATGACATTTATCTGTCGCCTGTCCCCTTTAGAAGGTCAAGCTACCGTAGCAAAAACCTTTCAGGCTGGATAAATGAGAATTTTCTGCCTGATGTGACTGTACCAAACACAATAGGCCTAGCTTACGCCACTTAAATCAATCATATCCGTATCTAAGCCTCTGGGTAAATGTGCTTTGCATTTACCCAGAGAGAGGAGGTCAGTTTGTGTGTGTGTGTGTGTGTGTGTGTGTGTGTGTGTGTGTGTGTGTGTGTGTGTGTGTGTGTGTGTCTTCTGCTGTGTGCCACTGTTTTGAGCATGGAAATATATGCACATTGATACTGAATCAAGTGTTAGAGAAAAAATATTCATGTTTATGCTCCCCTAGTTTCTGAAATGAGCACGATTTATTTTTTTCAGGGGCCACAGTGTTGACACATTTGCAAGGTGCCAGCTGTCAAGTGTGCCAGGGTGAAGGTTTATGGGTGGGGTAGCAGGGTGGCACAGGAGGAGCAGAGGCAGCAGGAGGTCTGATTGGCTCACCATCTGTCTCTGGGACTGAGCAGATGTCTGAGTAGAAAGACCAATCTCTACTTGACTCCAAGTTCACTCTCTCCTCCTTTTGTGTGTACATATGAGAGAGTGTAATTTAGTGTGCATGCGTCTGACGTTTCACACTCTGGTTGACACAGGTCCCAGTGGGGCGGACTGTCTCCCATCTGGGGTGAGTTAACAGTTCCTTGACATAATGAAGAGACGTCTTGTCAGCAAGCACTTACTCAGTGCTACGGTGGGAATTACTTGGCTCATGCAACATTAAAGATTAAATTAACTAATGAAAATATTCCAAAAAAAATGAAAGAGAGGCTTTGTACATTTAATCCACCACACAGGCATCTTCACCTGTGGGAGCACACAATCTGTCAGGGTTTACTGCGAGTCTAAAGTTGAATCGGGAAAGGCACTCGGGCCACGTCCAGGGTGGTGGCCAAAGGTGGCATGGATCCGTCTTGAAATACAGTTGACCACTATAGGGCCATCTTAAAAATGTTTTACCTATGATTGGCTATGTGGCTGCTTTAGGCTGCAACAGTGGTTTTGAGTGGTTTTGTGTTTACATGGCTATTTCCTGAAATTATTCTGTCTATACAGAAAACTTTTTCAAAACCAAATGGCAATATATCGTTTTTGTTTCTGTGTGGACAAGGCCCAAAACATTTAAATGTTTCTGCTCTGTCGTGATGATAAAGTTGAGTAATAATAGTTTACAGAAAACAACTTTTAGATGCACAGTAAAAGATCAGCAAGGAGTTAGGAGGTATCTTTATGTCCATGAAGGCCACTAACATCGATCCACATTGAAAGTTTCTCACAAGAGTTTCGAAGTAAAGCTCCTGTAAGGTAAAGCTCTAAACACTTTGCATTTCCAGCAGAGGCCAGTACCCTGGCCGGGCCACCCAAGACAAAAAAATCTTGTTACACCCCTGAAAGGCACATAGAAAATGTTACACACACAGTGTGTATCGTATTAGAAAGTGTGTTAACTCTCTGCTCTTGGCTCTCTAGTATGCACACACACCCTGTCAGGTAAGCTCATTCAAAACAGTATCATTAAAATCAGTGCCGTTGAGTTGATTAGTGCTCTGATAAAGACTCAGTAGGTGGCGAGTTTCATGTTGGCTGGAAGAAACTTGCTTTTGGTGGTGAATGACCTGTATTTTTTCTAGTTTGATTCTGTGAAAATTAAGCATAAGCTGTGAAAACAAGAGGGAAAAGTGCACCGACACCAACATCCTGTCTGCAACAAGAAGTAGCTTGGTTTTTGAGAAATGAACTTGTTAAACTTGCACTTCCTGCTGCAATAAAGAAAAGTGTTGACTCATTTGGCTCTGGAATTTAAACAATAAACATCACACTGACACTTTGACTCTCCCTCCTAGTAGACAATTATCTTTTACATTTTCTCTTACGAGAACAAGGTCCTGAATCTGCTCCACATTTGGACCAGCTCTGACTTGGCAACCTATCCTCTTAGGAATCTCTCACCTACACACTAAACTGTGATCTTGGTTGCTCTAGCAGCAGCTGCCGAAGTCTTTTAAAAATATCTTTACTGATGATGAATCTTTACCTCTTTGATGAATTAATCAATACAGTTACTTAAACAGTACAGTTTTGCTCACAAGGTAAAAGTTATCTTTAGCCAATTGTTGCAGCTCTATAAACAATCAAACTATGATAAAATTCGGGGTTTAATAATATTTTAAAAAATGTGTGTAGGGGGATAAAACAAGATTAATACTGTGCTGCTTACATATATAACTATGATGGTAGGGACATCTCTTTTTGTCTGTAAATGATAACTGAGGTAAGTGAATTATAGGTTACGGCTGATAAGAGGTGGGTTTTAAATATGGAATTGATTTTATTTTGAAACTGCGGCAAAGCTGTGATAGGATTTGGAAAAGTAGGATACAGACATAACCACCAAACAAATTTTACGGAGGAGTTGCCCTCAAGCGATGATAGAGTAAAGATGATGAAAGACCAGGACACATGAAGAGAGAGAGAGAGAGAGGACACTGAAAATGATTTGTTGTAGTTCCTCCAGTTTACCTCTAGAGGGAGCCAAAGAATATAATTCATCACATCTGAACCATATTGAGTCTTCGCTGGAATAGTGCTTTTGAGTTTCTGTGTTTGGTCTCCTTGTTCAAATGGCATTTCAGTTCTTGATCGTTGAAGTTAAGACCTGTGACCCCTGGAGCTCTGATCAGTGAAGGGAGCGGAGAAGTCAGCAGCTTTTCCACAGCACGATTGCTGGAAATGGCAACTTTCCATGAGTCAACTCGCATTTGCACACAGTGACTCAGAGTCACAAAGAGTTAAAGTGGGACACGAAGTTACCCTTGACAAAGACTGTGCAGGGTGTTGCTAACAATAGAATGGGCTGATGTACAGTGACTGATACTGAAATCAGAGCTGCTGCTGAAAACCTTAACCACGCTCATCCCCATCTGACGCACAACAAACTGTGCTACTCCACAGACACAGCAGGCAGCAATCCATAAACTGTAAATGTGCTTTATGGCCACATCTTATTAAGGGATGTACACCACTTTTTAACATATTGTTTATAAATTATTCACATGTGGTTCACTTAACCCTGGGTTGATTGCATTGTCAACACTGTTACTATAAGTGCAAACATTTATTATAAGAGGATTTAGAAGAAAGGACTGGAGATACAATAGGGAGTGAGTGGTGACATGACAAAGTAAACATCTTATAGTTAAACCTGTCGGAGGTCTGCTTTTAAAACTGTTGGTCTGGGCCTGTACCCTCAGAAAACTTGAATATATCACTGTATCGCCTTGTTGTAAGTCACTATGTCTAGGAAAGTCTGCTCATCATGGCACACTGTATGCTGACCTTTAAGCTTGAATCAAGACTGCTTCTTCTGCCTCTAGGCTACCACTGCTTATAAATTTTTTTGCCACGTTCTTTTCCTTTCTAATAAAGGAACCATAAAATATTAAATGGACTGAAGATTAAACAATGGAGACACTCATGCCCCTTTTTCATGTCCCTTATATATCCTGAGGATTTCATCTCCTCCACTGATGTGCGACTGCATACCCTGCAAGTTACTAGTCTTACATCAAATCTCAAAGAGTAGAAGACGCGATTATTATGCAGACAAGTACTGTGTGTTATCTACAGTCTCTTTTTCATGGTGTTTCTGCAGGAACATTTAAAAACTTATATCAGTTTGTATGAAAACTCACTCTGAGTAAACCAGCAACATCTTGCAGTTTAGAAGAATTTCACTTCAAAGGTGGTAATGCTAGTGTAGGATAATTTTGTTGGCACAAGCTGTAGCTGTACTTTTAGTAATAGAGAGATTTATTTACATTTACATAAAGCAAATATAACCCCCATTATCTTCCATATAATGCTGCTGTTTGTATATCAGTTAAAAAAACAGTTAAAACAATGAAACAGTAATACCCTCATGTAATCAGCCATGTTTTCCTTCTCCTTTTGGCCCCTTTTATCACATTCTCAAACAGTAATTTTCCTTCTTTCCAGAATAGTTTTTATCTGAGCAGTATGGTAATGCATGTATATTAGTGCTACGGACTCTTGGACAAGAATTCAATTATAGTCAGATCAAAGATACTCAACGACAAAGAGATGAATGTGATAAATAAGGACAGTGTTTTTTAATGTGAGGACGTTATCTTCATAGGACAGCAGATTGAATGCTGTTCTCATTATCTATGTTATTATTGGATCGTTCATGCATGCATTCTACATTATTCATAGCCGATGGAATCAGACTTGGACAAAGACTGCTGATATTGATTTTACCTCCGCTGTATTGGTCATGTCAAATCCTCTTTAGGTCACTTTTTTTGCATGCTATGTTTAAGGTTGAGCAGCAGAGGGCAGTGTGGGAATGGTGTAGTAGATGATCTGTCAGGAGTAATCCTGGAAAAGGGGGAGTGTGTCCATGCTGAAGGCATGTGTGCAAGTATTCAGTGTGTCAGAAATATAGAAATAGGTCAGATTTCTGTGGGTGCCTGCAAACAAAATTAGTACGCCAAGCATGCAGAACTGGCACTCTGTGAATAAGATGAGACAATTTAGGAACCATTGTGGGAGTAATGACACATGATGGTGGATGAGTAATCTGGATTAGCAAAGATTGTGTTTCTCTTATAATGCCACAAAGACATAGCAAATGGTATTTTAACAATACTAAACTTGTAACTACTCTGTCACTCAACCTTTTCTCTCTCTCTTAACACTGATTCTCTCTTCCCCCTGTCTCTCTTTACAATGATCCTTGTGCTGCCTGCAGAGAATGCTGGTTGCCCCTGACAACAGTTGCTAGGAAACCACTCTGGAGTGACTTCATAGCATCGGGCATGCTTTACACTGTGGCTCACGATGAATAAAACCAATTTACTTCCCTTTCAAACACAAATGTGCATTTAAATAGGCGAAAATACTTTATAGTAGTGTTACCGATACGTCCGTGCACACATATAGGCTAGTGTGGCGGGAAGGTAGGAAGTATTTTTTACGTTAGAAGCGGCTTCTTCACTTCTGATGATGAGAATATGGAGTTTAGTGGATTTTCTGTCAACTCTGTCTAAATGAACATGTTTCTACTCAGTAAGACCACAAAGGAGGCCGGCTGTTTCAAAGTTATGGAAATTAGATTGATTATGTATTTCTCTCTCTCTGTTACCGCAATTCTCTCTCGCCCACTTTCTCTCCCTCAATCCCTTATGTCCTTCCCCTGCAAAACCCTGCTCACATTACCCTCCACCATCCATCTTTCTGCCTCTCTAATTCTTCGTCTCTCTGCAGTGGTGAGATAAGATGTTCCTCCCTCTGAACTGTGGCGAGGTGTGGGTGAAGAGAGGATGGGCTTTCCCTCTCGCCCCTTAACTATACCCCCAGGACTTCCGGCCAATGAGGGAAGCCACACAGGGCGAATGTATGTTTCTCTATGCATGCTGGTGGAGGAAATTCTCTGTGTGTATGTCTGTGTAGGGTTGTATCAGTGCGCGTGTGCAGCATGTATACTGGGATTGCTGTTTAATGAACTTTAGATTGGATGTCAGACAAATTCCCTCTGGCTACAATCAGCCCGCTCTCTCAAACATGGCCAGGACCCTTGGCTCAGGGAATTGGTTGAAGTAGTTTCACACTCCAATATATCATAGTAAATCTCAGCCGTGGCCATGAGTTCGACACCTAACAGCAGCGACCAATTGCACTAAAATCTTGTTAAAAGCTCCTGGAGTTAGTACAAACCCCTCACAGTCTTCAGATGTACAGTATATGAGTGTTTTTTGAAGATATAACCGCATAAATTAATTCCTGGATTAACCCATCTACTGTGCAGCAGCGTACTTTAATTCTCCACCAGGAGAGGGATTTAAATATTTAAAAATAATAATACGGCTAATTGATTTAAACACTAATTAAGTCCCCCTTGCTTAGTTTTTAATCCAACAGATACACAGCACAGTTAATATCAACTAACTGGATTGCTTTTAACCTCTCTAAATAGCTTAACCTGATTGTTAAATTGGGATATGGAAGTTGGGGACTTAGATGATACTTCCACGGCTGAGAACTTAAAACCAAAATGTGCAGTTCTTTTACTGGCCACTGGGAACTGACTCCAAAAAGCATTTGAATCCCCACAGGGTTTATATTAAAATCCTCATCTTTATTTACAAACATATTTACGAGGGGCGGGAGAAAAAATCGATTCACATAAGTATCGCAGTTTTTTGTTTTACTATTTCTAAATCACCTTTTTTGTTCAAAAATCTTTTTTTTTTTTTCAAATGTAAGAATAAATTTTAAAAACTGACTTACATGTGATGTTAATTTTTTGGAGAATATGGTTCCTGGAATTGTCAGTAGACAATCATAATCATTCAACTGTTTCATTGGTGTTACAATTGCAGACTAAAAATCGAGAAAATCAACAATACCGTTGAATCGCAATTTAAATCGCATCAGCATCCAAAAAATCGTGGAAGAATCGAATCGGGAGAAAAGCATTTCGTCCCAACCCTAAAATTTCCAGCTTCCTACAAGAACAATTCTAATGTGATAATATTTATTGTCATATTTTATTTGTTGTTTCAGCATTTATGAAAACTGCACCCTCACTTATAACTGATCTAACTTTGAGTTCATTTTCTGGGGGACGTTTTACCTCTGTGTGGAAAAAAACAGTTATTCACTTGCTTATGAATAAACCAATCTTTTTAGGTAGCTGCCTTAATGTCTAGTTCTCAGTATTTATTTATAGGTGTGGAAACCAGACTTGAGACCTCCCTTCGATATCCACCCTACAGTCCTAGAAAGAATTTCTGGGTCCAAAATATTTTTAAAAAAATGAAAAGATACAAAACCTGATACTTTCAAATGGCAGTCAACAAACACTAGCTAGATGTATTATTTATTAGTTATTTCACATACAAACATTGAGAAATTTTTGTTCCATGACAATTTGATATTGATAGCAGCAACAAGAATATGTGCTCACATTATAGAGAACTTGTAGCAGCAGAGAGTAAGGTCTCATGTCCCAACAGACCACCTGCAGTATTGACAGTGATTGTTAACAAGCACACATCTTCTCTCTCGAACACCCTCCTGAGCTGATGCATGATAAAAGAAGTGTGTTGAATGAGAGTCAGCAGCAGTTCCCTCTCTGCTGGCATTGATTTAGCGGTAACGCTGTGACAGGGCCACACATTGACTTATGGGGCCCTGTGTTCCCAGCCAGACACCTGGGCACACACAGCGAATAACGATGAATATGATGTTTCTTTGTTTCTTGTTTATTTTTTCTCTTCTTTCTTCTGCTTTGCCACCTTGCTTTTGTTCAGTCTTGTAACCTTGAGTTGCTGATTTGTGGAAGTTTTAGTATTGTCACGCTTCCGCACAAAAATATATTCCCTTGCATGAAAATACCAAAAAGTAAACTCAATAAACCAACGACACAAACTAAATTGACACTCGAGTGTCCACAGAGACAGATGGGGCAGCAGGTTAAACAACAAAAAGGCAGCAGGTCATAACATGAAGCTAGAGTGTCTCTGAGAAAGAGAAGGAAAACTCCCTGATGTATTAAATTGATAATCATTACGATTCATTCCTTTGTTTTCATGTGAAGTTACAGCCTGTTTAGCTACGGCTAATTACCTCAGCCCATTGGATGACCGTTTTCTGCAGCATAATTGCAGCCCTCAGTGGAAACAAAAACAGCCTGAGACAATTACAAGCCATTCTCACATTTGTCTGGCTCGCTGTAAATGCTGTTTTTTTCCTGCCCCAAAATATTACAGCAAAAATTCAGAAACTGCATAATAATATCTGAAAAGCAAGATTAAAAAAAAAAAAAACCCAGCAGAGCATTAGACCGATAAATCTTGGTGTTGTCATTTTAGATTTGCGTAAAGGAAACACTCAAGAGAGATTCATTTTGGGATCCAGCTGCGGTGCTGGGACACGAGTGTGGTTAGAGGAGGGGGATGGGGGGGACAGGGGAGGGTTTAAGGGCAATATAAGGGCTGTATATTGCAGTGTGCACTGCACTGTGCAGTATTGTCCTGTGATTGTAGAGGTTATCAACCCCCATAACCCATCCATCCCTCCGCTCCTTTATGTATGGCTATGTGCAGCTTTAATAGGAACTGGGAACGAGTTGGGGGTTTGGTTTGGTGTGTGTGTGTGTGTGTGTGTGTGTGTGTGTGATTGGAGGATCTGCTGACAGGTTAACATTCACTGTCAGCAGTAATGTCTGATGGTGATATATTGGGCTGAATGTCTCTGTGGCTCACCGAAAACCTCAAGTCGACTAAAAAGAAAAGATTCATTTGGACCTGAAACTATTTTTTTTCTTTTACAAAAGTACAGTTGTCCTTAAAAAACATTATTTAATTCCATAAAACACTGTGAGTCAAACTAAAGTGGCAACATCCAAGCATTACCAGGATGGGAGAGTAACCAGACTACAGAATAAATCAAATAGAGCACTGTTTGGTGGAAAATGAGAAAATAAGCATTCTGGGAATAGTGAGGGGTAAAGGTTCTCGGGGTTTATTTATGAGGCTATATTTAGAAGACTATCATGGGTCCTCTGCCACTCAGAGGTCAGGGGTCAACCGAATAATGAGATTTGAGCTCTTCTCACTTCCCTCCTCCCTGCAGTGATCTGTGCAGCACTTATCCAATTTTTACATCATCAGCTAAGTGTGTGTGTGAGAGAATTAGGAGTTGATCTAGTGGGTGGCGGTGTGTGTGTTCATTCATCTGTGTCTGGTTTGTGTCCTTGATATGTGTGTGTGTGTGAGTTTCAGCTGTGATACAATCATATGGTCTGATGGCGCTGTTCCATGTGAGGTGCTCGATTGTCTGATGTGAAGTGGACCAAGAAATGCCGTCCTTTGAGAAAAAGCTTTGTAAAAGAAATACATGTAAATGAGCCCTCTTCTGTGATCAGCTAAATAATTACAAATATTGCTGAACAGCGTTCATTGTTCACCACCAACATTTCATGTCCACTATCCTGTATTCCAAGTCAGATAATAATCACAGTTTTCCAAATTTTTCTACTAAAATAGAAAAATCACACCAGTATATTTGGACTCTGCGTTTTTTACATCTGACACCATTCCTGTATTGACCCGCACACAGACATGTGTAAGTCCACAATAGCTTTGCCACCTGCAGGTTGACTGTTATTGATCTCGTCCATATGTTGTGCTGGGATGTCTGTGTTTTCCAGGCCAGTGTGAGATCTATGCTGTTGTGCTGCAGCCGGTTCCCATCCATCCACTTTTTTCATAGATGCAGCGGTCATTTGAAAAAGTACCAACGTCATTTTTTTCAGGCTTTCACAGCGACCTCAAAAACTCATGTTAAAACATGCACAGTGTCTGTATAAAGTCTTATTCACCCAGATTAAGGTTTGTAGTAGCTGACCGATAACAGTTTTAGACAATGCTGATAATTGGCCGGCTGGTTGGCCAATGGCAAATAAGAAAAAGTGTTGCTGAACTCAAGTGAATGTTTTGTTGAATAAATGTAGACCGAAAAATGTTGAATATTTTTGGGATTTCTGACCAGATATCTGAAATTTAAAAAAATAATCAGCAGCGTCAGATGCAATTTTCATTCTGTTGCAAAACCATAGTGGTCACTGAAGCACCCGTTTTGCCCTAAATGAATGAAAAGAGGCAATAATAGTGAAAACATACAGAACCATCTCTATAAGCTGTGCATTAATTCTGATTCTGATTCGAATAAGCAGAAGTACAAGGTTGATTTTCTGTACAAGAGTATTTAACAACCTTTAGGGACAGTATGATGCTTTCTAAAATGTGATGGTACATGGTACTGTAATGAAATGCACTGTGCAAAAAGCTGATGTAGATCCTCCAGGGCATGTCCACTGTGGCTAATTTGGGTAATCCAATGTTTTTTTTTTCGGTCCTATCTGGGTCACTTTACAGAAGCCAGACTAAAAATAACGAAGAGGAGAAGAAAAAAGTGAAAATAGGGACAGGACTTCACTGGCTGTCACGCAGCACAGCAGTGAAGCTCATCACCTCAGCCACTGTTGTCTCCTCCTCACACAGCACGGTTAGATTCGGGTGCAGCGCCTGAGGAAGGCAACCGGTACAGGAATGCACCCTTTTTTATTTATATATTTTTCACTGCTCTGTGCTCTTGCTTTGTTGCCATGGCAACGGCAAAATGCAGCTCAGAGCAGAGGTGATGATATGTCAGTGTTTTACAGCCATGATCACAAAAACACACTCACACAAACACAAATGCATGTCCAGTGGCACCCAGAATTATCGTGAAAAGACGCGGCTCGACTGCTCTTTAGAGAAAGATTGAAACCATCAGTGAGGATGAGAAGCCTGTCATTGAAGGACTGTTGCAGCAGCCTCCCATGACCTGACACATGTAATAGCTGTATACAGTGGGATACAGAGCAGCTGGAGCAGCTCCAGCATGAATATGAGCAAAAAAAAGGGAACCTGTTTTTCGTGGGTGTTTGTGTGTTTTAGAGGGTGACTCACGCCTTGTCTATTAAGAGAATAGAGGGTGATCAGGTTGCTAGGCGATTAAGAGCTGCTATTGTCTGGAGGGACAATAGTGGCCCCTGAGAGTGCGCTCTCTCTTCTCTTTCGTTTTTCTTTCACACACACACACCAATAATGTACATTTTGTCTGACCCCTGCTTCGAGCTTGGGCGGGAAAAAAAGGAGTTGACAGTGAGCAGGAGGACTAGAAAAGAGAAGCATAATGGGAGGCTGAGAGAGGAGAGGAGAGGAGGGACAGAGGAGAGGAAAGAGGGGAGGAGAGAAGGAGGGAGACTAGAAGAGAGAGAAGATAGAGAGCATAGGGAGAGCAGTAGCATAAAAAAAGACCTGCAATCATTTGCCACATTGAAGGGAACAAATGTAGCTGGAGGCAGTGAGGGAGAGTGAGAGAGGGGGACAGGCAAAGAGAGAGAGAGAAGGAGAGGGAGAGAGAGAGAGAGAGAGCATGGACATTGCACATGAGCACCACAGTGCTGTATAGAAGAAGATCACACAACTGACAGGTCGGTGAAAGGAGGAGAGGAGCTGGGAGTTTGGCACTGCCCTCTCTCCTCCTGCTCCCCTCAGTGTGTGTGTGTGTGTGTGTTTGTGTCTGTGTGCCTCCATACACACACAGACACACAGACTCTCTCTGTGTGCCTGTCAGTGAGCTGGACTTTCTGGGTGGGTAGGGAGCTGCGTTTTGTAGAGGGAGATGCTCGCTCTGAGGATGAGACAGCGTTTCTAACAGGATCTATTTGCGGACTGGGATAATACAGCAACACAGCAAAAGGGGACTTGAGCCCACCGGAACCAAACTCAATCAGCCATGGAGGGTCTGCTGTCACCAATGAGGACGCGGGTAGGTTACCATGGGGATTACCGAGCATCTAAACCACTGTTTCTTCCACAGGAATCCATCAGCAGTAGACATACTGGGAGGTAGCAGCTTTTGCAAACTGCTGGAAATGAATCAGTGCATGCATGCCGCTGTCACTGTGGTGATGCTTGAACTCGAGCTGAGAAGTTTCCAGAGCTACCAGCGTTGCCAGGGGCGATGGGCAGAATGCTGAGCGAGTGTGAGGTTACAGATAGTTTATACAAATGTTAAAACACTGCAGAGAAAACTGATGCAGTTTGCATGCAAGGTTTATGAGCTTTCTAGTGTGTGTCCGTGCGCAGATTAACAAGGGGCTGCTCTGAAAGAATGACTTAGTGTTTCCGAGCCGTGCCTATCTCCCTTCAGTACAAATCCACTGGCCTTTTTATTTAGGGTAGAAAGAGAGAGGAGATGTACAAGGGAGGAACTGGTTTCAATTTATACAGCAAAACGGGTGTATGTCTGAAAGTGTTGATTCACTATTGTTCTTACTAGGAAGACCTAACCGCTCTATAAACCATGGGAGCGTTTAGGTTGGTGTCTCAGAGAACACAGTCCGACTGTTTTCTAGTGAATGTCTGTGTCTGTTCCATACAAGAAAGGGTAATGAAGTAGAAAATGGTTTGAGAAAAACAGTGTGTTCATGTGATATTCGGCAGCAGTGTGAGGACAGTAATGGACCCCCAGAGGTGTCTTCCTAGCCGAGATGAGATCTGACACTTAAACTTACTTGTTTCAGCAGTTTTATGTTGAGGAATGTGTTTGAAAGGATAAGGTAGGCTCTGTATTGTAGACGCTGTGATGGTGGTATTAATGTTTATAAAAGCATGATTGCGTATTGGAGAGGAGAGTAATTTGCAGTTTCTAACAGTGACAAACACATTAAACATCGTCTTTGAAATGAAGTTTCGCACCTTTTAAACAATGCTCTTTTGTATTCTTTATAGTCTCAGACACACACCCCTCCCCCTCCTCTTTATTATAGCGCCACATAGTTAGACCTGCACAGCCACAACTAAATACTTGGTGCATCTTCTTAGAAAACCACACATGGGAATATTTGCATGGTTAGTTGTTTGTTCTGTTTGATCATATTCCAGCTGTGAACCTGTTCAGTGTCTCCTGCTGCACAAACCTCAGTTTTTTTTTTAGGGCACTGAAAGGGTTAAATCTAAGTTGACCTAATGGTGCTGTCACACACGAGTGCATTCATCTCTTCACCTCTCTATTCTCGTCTTTACAATTTCCCTCATCTTCATCATCCTTTTTATATTAAAGCTAACTGTGTGTCCGTCTCTTTCTCACCTCTCTGTCCTGTTTGTCTGCCCACCTGCCTTACTGCCTGTCTGTCTGTCTGTCTGTCTGCCCCTCGCTGTGCTTTGGCAGTTATAACGAGCGCTGTAATTGGTATTTGCAGATCCGCCCATGATATAAGCCAAAGAGAGGAGTGTTAGCGGGGCCGTTTGGAGATAGACTTGGCTTCAAAGACATGGCACCAAATCAAGCCCGCTATATCTGTGCTGTCTGCCACCATGGCCAGATTTGCCCACCAGCGTTTGGGAATCACTCTCAATGGCTAAATGACTTTTGCATTTATCTTCATCAGCCACATTGAGCTTCACATGCCCCACAGTTGATCTTCTCAGTTTTGGCATGAAAGTCACTTTCATAGATGGATGTGAATGAATCAGAGCAAAACGAGCCAGGGCAGGAGTCCCTCTAAGTTTGCACGGCATTATCTGGATTAAATGTGATTTTTTTTCATCTTTGGTGTTGAACCTACTTAGATTTGACACTTTCCTCATCCCAAATTTACTTAGAACAAGCAGTGGAGGTTGCAAGAGTTAAAGAGGATCAAACCTTTCGAAAGAAAGACTGTTTTCACATGTTTTCTTGTTCGGGGAGAGCACCAATGGGATGTTTATCAGTGGCAGCTAGGGCTGGGCGATATGGGAAAAAGTTTATCACGAGATATTTTTTTCATATCAGTTGGTATTGATGTATATCACGATATAAAAAATGAAATTTAACAGTGCTTATTGGTAGCATGTCCTTTTCAATACAATAAGCTGCATCTATGAGGTCTTGGTGTCTCTTCGACGTTTTGTCGTAAGGTGTTGCGCTGGAGAAAGCGGACAGAATGGTCGGCTGTTTCGGCTGCACAGGCGCCATGGGCTTCTTGCTCCGCTCTGGGGTTTGAAACCTTTTGCAGTGGGCTCTGCCGCGTGGCACTGCTTCAGGTGGTGAAAAAGATTTGAGGTATTCCCCGGCTTTGTGAGAACATTCACTCAACATAATTTGCAGTGCACATTACTCTGCTTCGTGTCCGACCTCAAAAAAACAAAATACCTCCACACCGCAGACATTTTCGTGCCACTGTTGTCAACGATGTCGTCATCAGTTGAGCCTTCATCCACATTTCTGCCGGGGGGTAGCACTTATTTTCCTTTCTTCTCACCAACAGTGCTGTCAGGCTTCACGTGTTTAAATGCTATGGTTGCGTGTAGCTGCAGTCTGCTACCAATGCAGTTGTTCGCCACTTGGTTCTAATTCAGCACATGATTGGTTCAGCAAGAAGTGGACCCGGAGCAAATCCCCTTTTCATTGGCTTTATATTGATATTGAGGGAAATGAATTTTTGATATTTATCGTTATCATTTTATCGCCCAGCCCTGTGGCAGAGCAGAAAACATCATCAAAGCTCCCCTTTGCGTTAATACAAGAAAAGTGCCATCTCCTCCATCAGTTGCTCTAATGTGTGTTATGTTTTTACTCACATAAACCACAGCTAAATTTGTGTTTCTCTTATATCAAAAGACTTAAAAGAACCATAAAAATCAATTTCTTTTTGTCTTTGTAGGGCGGTATTCCTCTAGGTCTCGCCTCAGGGATACAGAAAAGGTGACCTCAAGCTGAAGATAACACACATGGAATAGTAATAGCCTACTAAAAGCTGCACAGCCTCTCATCCCCTGCTCACTAAAATTGGAAAAAAAAAGCGTACTGCTTATTTGAGATGGCTCTGTAGTGGACTTTAGAGGAGTTGCACTCGTATCTCCTTGAAGCCCTCTTTCCTCTGCTGCACTCCGTATCGCTCTTCCTCTCAGTTTCTTTAGTTAGGAGGACAGTAATGGGCAGTGGAGCAGGAAAATGAAATAAAATAAGCATCAGTGAACTGTGCGTCAGCGTTGCCTTTTTGTGTAGTTGCATATCAGGAAAACAGGTCAACACAAACACACAAAACATGCAGAAACAGAGCAACCATGAGGAGAAATAACGTAGACAATTTGTTTTGATATCTCTCTTTTCGTCCTTTTAATTTGAGGCACAACGTCTACATCTCTCCTCCGCTAAACTTTGCAGAGAGAAAGAGGAGAAAACGAACAGACGCAAACTCTCCCAGAATCTAAATCAGAAAGATCAAGTTCTTCTGTTGGTATCCCCAGTTGTATGTAATCTATGCATATAGGTCAGTAGAACAAGTTCTTCCTTCTTCTGGAAATGTGTTGTATCTCTCATCATGCACACATTATCAGTCAGTGTGTGTCTGTACGTGTCAGCTCTGCAGTCAGCTCCTCCTGTGTTAGTGGATCAATAGGGAGTAGTTATCAAGAGATTAACCCTGTCAATGCTTTATCAGTCCAATCAGAGAAACTCCTCCACCCTCACTCCATCTCTTATTCACTCCATCACTCTCTCACTCTTGTCATTTAACTGCTGGCCAGCCCTCTTTTTTTTTCGACACAGTGTCATCTCCTCTCCTGTCTTTCCTTGTTCAGGTCATGCGAGTGCGAAAATGCATGTGCATCCAGCTGCCCATGACAGATGGAGCCGTGGCAGGAGAGGCTCAGGGCTTGGACACATATGCGCCCTCACCCATGTGCACATATTTATTTTATTAAAGAGTGTGCAGCACGCGCGCTTACACACACACACACATTTCTCACCTTCTCTCCCTTTATGTTGCTGCTTCAGCTCCACTGAATTGCATGCGAAAATCAGCCTGAATCATCCTCCCGCACTCTCAAAATCCCCACAAGCCGTGGGTACCAAATGTTGTTGTTCCCCCAACCCCCCCTGCTTTTCGTTCTTTCCTCCTTTCCTCTACATCCCCTCCGTCCGTCCACCTGGTTCATTAGTGGGCGGACGGCTGTCAGATAGCTGAGGTCAGAGTGTTACAGAGGGGAGGACACGGCAGCCAAAAGGGAAACTGCTAGACCCTTGTCCCTAAAGCCGGGTGCCTAGCTGCCTGGATGAAAATAATTAGGAAAGAAAGGCAGGGCTAGGGGGGTTTGGAAAAAGGTGGGACTGTCTTTGGCAATCACTCTCTCGCCCTCTCTCTCTCTCTGTATGCACACACATACACACACATACACATACTCAATGCACAGCGGGTTGGCTGGCAGCTTTTAAAGGCCTAAGTAAGCAGGGTTGTCTGGTGGCTGGAACCACATGGGGCACACACACACACACACACACACAGTATGTAGAGCCCATCTCCCAGCTGTCACCTTAGCCTATGAAGTGCATTGCCAAGGGTAGTTACAATGAGGGGGCAGGGCCTTTATACATTTTAAGCAACAACATATTGTAATGTAATTGAAACTGGAAACCCAGAGTTATTCAGGTGCCCCTTTTATGAAGAAAGCCTACATTTTTAATACACAAAATTTTGCTTCCTTTGAGGTAGCCGATTTTTCATTCGTATTTTATCACGATTAAGGCTCCTGTGAGGAAAAAAGAGCTGTTTGTTAATCACTTTGGCATTAAAATGACTAAAAAAGAATGATCAGTCTTCCTCCTGCTGCTCCTGTCTGCAATTGTGGATTAAGTGGGCTTCGGTTTTCATCTTAGTATGTTTTATAAACAGTAAAAAAAAAAAAAAAAAAATCTCTCAGGAGTTTCTAACTGACAAAAATCTCTTCGTCGATGACACACAGAGGGACAGAGGTGTTGTTTTGCATTGTTGGACAAGATCAGCGAGGCACCACGCAGAGAGAGAGATGTCGTGCTGTTTCCTGGTTGAAGCTTTTTTTTTTTTTTCTCTCTGCTGAACATCTTTGCTTACCCGGTTTGAAAATGTAACACTGCACGTCAGCCATAAGTCATCTCTGATTATGTTGGTGGTTGTATGTGTGTGTATGTGTGTGCCCTTCTATGTCAAGCATGTCAAACTCTCTCTTGTTCCCTTGAAGAGGCCCAAATGATGAGATCAACCAGAGCACAGCTGAACAACCAGGGAAGCAAACCAGTGATGCACTTAATGTTAGACGTCGTCATGGAAACACAGGGTGCAGATTTTCCACTTCATTGGCTGCTATCAGGCTAAGGGCAATCTTCAAATTATTTCCAAGAAAGGCAATTGAGAGATGGGAGGGAAAAATTAGTCAAGTGTTCGTCAAGACAGTTAAAAGACACAGCAAGACTCAGGAGTATGCAAATGAGAAATTTACCGTAACATCATCCTTCAATTGAAAGCATGTGTTGTTGGTGTGTTGCAGTTGAAACCATGCACTTTGGATTAAAGAGCCTCAAGCAGTCCCATTATGAATATTGACTTTATCCGTGTAATTGCATAGAATAGACAGTCCCCGAGGTCGTTTCTTTGTACTGCTTTTAGCCTTCAGAGAATCAGAATGGCAATTACACGTTTCCCTATTGGATTGTAATCACACACATATACACACGCACACACACAAACATGGAGCCGCCCTTGACGAACAAGCAGAGGAATGGTGGTGTCAACCCTGCAACAAAGAATGACCCTGCACTGAACAGGTATCATACATCAAACGATCATTACATCTGCATGGCACAGACAATTTCACAAATACGCACACACTCACATGTGTGCACTCACACAGGAAATAAGAGGTTCTATCTTCCTTTTTGCCCCATTACCTTTTATCTCTTATCTTCTTAAGTCGCACACAATTAAGCTTTGCTTCCACTCTGTTACTCTGCCCTTTCCACCTCCACCTCACCAGAGACCTGCCCTTTTTCCACCAGTTTCTCCCCTCTCTCCTAAACCATCCTTCCTCCATCCCACCACAGCTTCCCCTGAGCTCCAAACTCTGACATCTTAACATGAGCAGGCAGAAAGCCAGAGCTGGTCAGCGGCAGCATTCTGAGAGTTTGATTGGAGGAGGAAGAAGCGGGCTTGTGTCAATACGGCCCTAAACGGAGGAGAGAGAAAGAAAGGAGCATGATTATCGCTGAGCCATATTTCCATTGCTCTCAGTTCATGCATTTCAGCAGAAACGACCACATGAAACAAACCAACACTTAGTTATCACAGTTGATCTCCAGCAGCGACTGTGCTGTTCCTGCTCTGACCTCTTCACATGCACTGAGGGATGCTGGCTTTATTACAATTACAAATTCAGTCTGAAGTGCTGATTAGTGCAAAGAAGAATCACTCCCCTCTGCCAGTGCAAGGATTCAGGTTCAGTCCCCGGCTGTGGTGGTTCCTGATCCTGACCCCTTTGAGTACCTAACTGGCGAAGTTGCAGGTAACAGACTCAAAGAATATCGACTTGCAAAGCTTTGACAACCTTCGACTACTTCATTAAACTTCAGATTTTTAAAAGTAGTGTTTGAATCTATCCCCATTGGACCTCTACACCTTCCTTAGACTTGATCCAGCAGCAGGAGAACTGTACTAAAGGAAAAGGCAATCCAGAGAATAAGAGCGGCAATCACAGACACTAAAGGGGAAAATGGATTTCTGATCATTTTTGTTCAACATCAGTGACCTTAAAAAGAAGTATTTAAAATTTGAAACATTTATTTAAAAATGCAGTGTTGCTGATTAAAATATTTCATGTTTTTTTTCTTATAAGAAGCTACCAACCCACTGAATTTAGATATTACAGCTCACAAAGAGCTGAGCTGAAATAGCAATGCACAGATTTTACATTTGTACTCTTTCTGCTCTGTCGCGTTAATGCCTCATACATGACTGCACAAAGAGACTAAGACACTGAACACTTCCACATACGCATGTATACTGATATACCCGCACAAAAAAAAGTGCTCCTGCTGGTCACTTTTCATGCTTCATAACGCCTGCTCCATACGGCTCCAAGCGTATGGACCCATGTACTGCTGCCACCAGACAGCCATATTGATGTCGGCCTGTCAACCTCCCAGAGGCAGAGGCGAGGGCTCGGGCAGGTTTAAAGCTGCGGGAAGAAAAGATGGATGATGGAATGGAGGGATAGGAAAAAACAGAGTGAAAGAAGATGGAGATGATGAAGGGCCTCGGATGAAAAAGGACTAAAATGTTCAGTGTGGCGAATAGGATGTGGAGGAGGGGTGATCTTTAGAGGCTCTCTTGATTTTCAGCCTCTGATTTCTGAAGCAGTAGTCCATGACACTGCAGACACTTTGCCAATCCCATCCGGCTTCACTGACCTTATTGGTTTGTCTCTGAGGGGGAAGTCAGTGAGGGGAAATGTGCTTTTAATAAATATGCTTTTCTAAAATAGATCTACTTCAAGAGAGTGGCTGTTAGAGTGCCCACATCCTCAGCTCCAGAGTCCAGACAGCACTTGATGTTTTTCTAAATCCTTTTTGTCAATGTTTTCACCTCATCCTGTCTCTGGTTATGGAAACTGTGCAGTGGTTGCCAGGTATCCTATTATCCCCTCCATCTGCATTTACGCTGAATTAAACCCAAATATGAAATCAAGGTTGCCAGATTGATGCTCATATATTCTCAGAGGAATACTTACATCACTCTAAGTGTCCCGCTGACCCTCTCTGCTCTCATTACTGCTTGTTAAAACGATTAAATGTGACGTGTGTCAGATTTATAACTCACCCCTGTGTGTGTGTTGAGGTGTGTGCACACGTGTGTGTTTGTTTTAATCTGAACAGATGTGAGCATCTGCCATTGCAGTTAAGGCCATTAATACATGTCTAGAGGTGTTTGTATGTGGATGCGTCTGCTTTTGGGGAACAGCTGTTGTTGTTTGCTGTGTGTTTTGTGAGTGCACGCACGTTTGCAAGTCGTCTGCCATACCTGATTTTAAAAATGCATGTGCATTTATGACACAAAGGAAGTCAATGAGGGAGTCTTTTCCTGTTTGAGATTGGCTGGAGCCTCAGCTTAATGTCAACACAGACTGAAACAGCTACCACAGTCACATTAAGAGGATATGGTATGAACTGATTAGAAATTATGGATGCACCGATCCAATTGTTGGATCAGAGATCGGCTTCGATGTTGACAAATTAACTGGATCGGATATCTGATGAATGACGCAGATCCAGAATTCTGATCCAGTCTTTTTATTCTTTTAATTCATATCATACACAGCAACACAGGATTCTGCTCGCTCTATATTTGATGTCTGACTATCCTTTTGCACTAAATGTTTACACGAAAGTCTTCTTGCTGTGTGCTAATGTGCAATTTGTTATTTGTTAATAAATAATATTAGGTCAATTTAAATTTGTGTTAATTTGTTACCTTTTTTTTTTTAGCAAGGCTTAATGTCAAGCCGGATGCCTTCACTCACAGGGCAAGGTATACAGTTCATTCAGCCAACAGTAGTATTGAATCAGTATCGGATATCGGCCGATACACTCAGGTATCGGTATCAGATTGGATCGGAAAAAAATTGATCGGTGCATCTTCATTAGAAACGAACCTCAGATGCTCTTTTTAGTTCGGGTTGTGAAAAAGAGTCTAACCTTCTTTTCCCACGTTTCAACTTTTGCTGCGGTTAGTTTGTTCTCAGTCAAAGGCTGTATTTAAAGCTACATGTCAACACTTGTGCAGGTGTTGAATAGAACTCAGGAAATGCTCTTATCATGCACACAAAAGACACTATGATAAGTGATTCAAAGGAAGCCAGCCCTTCCCATTCAGTACACCATTAACCTTACGGGAAAGGTTGCCAAGCAAGTCACAAAGTGGGTGCAGTTTGTTGTTGTGTGATTATTATGTAATTATACAATTGAATGGAAGCAGTTTCAAAATAACAACATTTTTTTAACCACAGCTGTGATTTTTCTAAGAGATTAGATTGCACTGATCCAACTCTGTGGTAAAAGAATATGTAGATGTATGTGTTGCCTCTGCATCTGTGGACCAGTTGGGACCATGTTGCAGTTTTAAATCCTATATTTCCTGTCCTTTATTAAAACCTAAGCCTCTGTGTTTCATCTCCTCTTAGATCTTTATCCCGTATTTGTACTTTTTAATTTATCCACCTCTAATAACCTTGTCCCTGAGCGCTGTCGACATGTTGCATTTCATGCTCTGACCACCAGAGCGCGCTGTGTGATGGGATTCCCCTCGCTCGGCTTAGAGCTTCTTTAAATCCTGAGCTCCAGCACTTGAAAGTTGAATCTAGTTTTGTGTGCTGGAAAAGAACATGCTCTCTTGCTTTCTTGTGTGAAGGAGTGTCTTCACTTCTTCCTGTGGGCCCTTCAGGGAGGTGAAGTGAAGTGGAGTGAAGGGAGTCTCTCCACAGCAGAGAGAAAAAACTTCTTTCCTTGCTTAAGATTCTCAGCTGTCAGGAGCAACCAGCCTTCGCCCTGTAGTGTCCTGTCTGATGTATGGAGCCAATAAGCACAGACCCTCAGCTCTAATGAACAGTAGTCTGCCACCCTGCTGCTGCCCTGTGTGTGAGAGAGCTGGCCATTTGGCCCTGATAAACACCCGGCTTCATGGTATGACTCCACAGTTCCTCTCATCCTTCTTCTTAGGAGACATACAGACTTGTGGGGATGGGGGGTAGGGGGGGGCACAGATGAGGCAGCGTGTGTGCGAGGTGAGCAGAGAACTGTTATGTGTATAATTAATGACCTCATCCTGATCCTCCTGCTGTCCAAGGAGGAGACGATGAGCAGACAAAAGACAAAAGAGCAGGAAAAATCAAGAGAGGAAATGACAAGAAGGGGAAAGGAGACGACTGCGGGGGACAAAGAGGTTGAAGGAGAGAAGCATATGTTAAAGGCTTCACTCGATAAATAATGAGGTTTGACGGTGACCGAGTGGCCATCCCATTACCCCTGCTGCCACTGAAGGGGCAATTACAAAAGATTTAACCCCCTCCTCACCCCACCCCCCAAAAGAAGAAAAAAAAACATGCACACTCTCCTTCTCTCTGTTTCTCTTTCTTCCCACTCAATCCCTCTCCTTTTATATTTTTAGTACACCCCAATCTTCCCATGCCCTCACTTTGATATAAATGGTAGCCACCAAAGCGGGTAATGGTGGCTGAATGTAAATCAGTAGGTAATGTGAGAAATAGAGACTTTGGCTTGCTGATAAATCTGTGCAGAAGTGCAGCAAGGACAAAGGTGGGAGGAGAGTAGGGGGCAACATGTCTGTCTAGTTGGAGACTCTCTGACTGTCAAGGCTGTGGTCCCATGTTGTCTGTCTGGGCGGCCCATCTTAGGCTTCCTCATTAAATCTATCCATTCAGGAATTACAACCTGAGAACAAGCGAGGAAGTAGCTACCTTAAATTAATCAGCGTAAAACCACACACAGTCAAACAAGAGTCGTAATTGTACAATTTACATCCTCAGTAATGGGAGGGATGGCCTGGAGTCATGTCAAGGAGGTGGAGACATGCTCATATTACGACTCTCCTTCTAACCCTGAATCCCCGAAGGGCTCTCCTCCTCCTCCTCCTCCTCCTCCTCCTCCTCTACACGTTAACAAAGACAATCTGCCTGAGTCATTCGGCCAGCATTAGCATTGGTTTGCAGGGCAGTCTAGGTTCTGGTGCACCTGTCAGAGGTGTGGGCCCCATCTGCAGCATAACAAGCATCTCAGTCCCCTGCCTGCAGCAAGAGGAGGAGCTGGCACGGTCTGGTTTGGGTTACTCAACTCCTGAGAGGATGCAGGCGTGTGTGTTGTTGATTATAGAATGAGTAGGTCATGCTGGCTCATTATATGAACAAGGAAATGCAAGAATGTGCACAGGTGCATCCCATTTGTATTTTGTTTGTTATTTCGTGGTTCGCATGCCTGAGGGATTGAATGATTCATTGTCTATGAAGAGTTGTGTAGTTACAAGGGGCTGAGAGGTTTACAAGGTTATAAGCACAGCTGCATCCTGTGTGTTGACAAATGAGTCTGAGGAATGAAAACTGTTTGTCCGGAGTGTGCGTAGTGCAGGAAGGCTGACGGGAGGATGTGGGGATTTTATTCCTCAAACATTTGCTCAGTTATTCCATAACTGTGTAATTGAAGTTTTAGCTGATGATAGAGTAAAATGAGAATGTGCTTTTTTATTGGTAATAAACATAATTTCATTCATTTTTTTGAGTAGTTTGATGCTGTAACTCTTGGTCATGGTGCTCTGGAGACTTATTTCTGCACCTCTTTATCTGGGCACATAGAACCTATAGGACAATGATCCATTACCCATATTGGTAACACTTTACTTGATGCCTATCTCTATAATGCATTTTAAATATATGTATGATGCATTATAATCATGTTATAGCACTGTATAACTATAGTTATAAACACTCATAAATGAGCATAATGCTTTATAGCAATTATCATAACACATTATAAAGTGTTTTATCATGACTCACAAGCTCAGGTGTTATAATGTGTTATAACTGTTAACAACTCACTGACAATACCCACATAGATAATGCATTATACATATACTTATGATGTGTTATAATTTGCTTATAAACTTGTATAACTATCATTGTAAACACTTATTAATTATCATAAGGCTTCATAACAGTGAGCATAACACATTATAATACCTTATCATAGCGATAAATATACACATTTATAAGCAAGTTATAACACATCATAAATTTATGTATAATGCATTATCTATATGAGCATTGTCAGTGAGTTGTTAACAGTTATAACACATTATAATACCTGACCTTGTGAGTCATGATAAAATGCTTTATAATGTGTTATAATTACTGCTATAAAGCATTATGATCATTATGAGTGTTTATAACTGTAGATATACAGTGCTATAACGTGATTATAACGCATTATACATATATTCATCATGCGTTATATAGATTTTCTGCCCACTGTATACTCGGCACAATGACATACATTTAAACATGCAAACCCGTGTTCCCCATTTTCCCAGTATCCAAGTGTTTCCCCTGGAGAGTACGATCATGTATAACCCATTTCCCCTCATGATCTGGCCTGTAAAGATTAAATATGTAGCTGTATCATCAAACATTTACAACTCACGCTGCTACAAATCAGATTCCTAATCGTGTGTAGACTTTGGGGACTGAGGCTCACGTGCATGTTTTGATCCTAAGTTGATGTGAATGTGCCGTTTGCACGCTGGAGTAATTCAGGAAGGTCGGGACTACTTGCAGGCTGATGGCCTGCTTCCCGGAGTGTTAATTGTTAAATCAGTGTTAGGGAAACAATGTTTTCTTATCCACTTAGTGGTGTTTGTGAGTGTGGGCCTGTGCACATCTTTCTGTGTCTATTGCTGCCTCCTCGGCTCTGGGTAAAGTGGGCTGAGTTTACTGGGGCAGAAAATGGTGAAGCGTGACTCAATCCAGCGCCTTCATACAACCAGCCTCTGAAATATGCCTCTGTCGCATTCTGTCTGCTCAGTGCCTCTTAGACACACACTCACTCAGTGTCGAGAGGCTTGTATGTAGGGCAGGGATGACAGAAACAAATACTCTGACCGAGATACAAAAGGTGGAAAGTGTGTAAATGTGTTTTGGAAATGGCTGTTGAGATATCTTTTTGTCTACGTGGTTATTCCAGTGAAACTTTGCCTCGTTTCTCCTGAGTGTGAGTATGTTTTGCTAAAACTCAAGGTGACTTCACTGGAGCTGGAATGATAAAAAGATAGTCAAGTGCACCTGCTTCCCTCTCTTTCCTTTCGAGTAGCCACACTCACACATCCACACATACTCAGCTGTACTGAGAGAGACATCGAAGTAACAGAGAGCCATTCACTGTAATGTGGAATGACAGATTTGGGGTGCGGAGTGACACAGCAAAATTCAGATTACCAATAGCGCTGCAGAGAATGACTTAGCAGGATCCTTCTCATCATCACTTGCTGTCCTTCATCACTCGAGGGAGGAGAAAAAGACATCAAAAAGAGAAAAAAAGATTGAGTGTCAGTGGGAAGATAAAAATACCCAGTGATCCACAATGCATAAAAACATGTGATAATGCTAATTATAGTCAGGCTAAGTGGTAGACATAGAAAATGAAGCTAACACAGTGACTTAAGGTTTAAGGCCATTCCTGCAGACGAAGATTAAGTGCAGACAGACTTTAACACCTTCTTGTCTGGTGTATGTGAACTGGCAGTAAACCTTTTAAACAGTTAGCTCCAAACACATGCTTAAGCTGCTTTATCAACGTGTCTGGATGGATACTATTTTTGAATCAGCCAGTGTGTGTTCCCAAACCTCAAACCACTTGGAACGCTGCCCGGAGTTTGATTAGCACATATCCCTATTTTCCACGCCAGGTGGACATCACAATCGATTAGTCTCTCACAGACACACACACTCACTGTACTTGTTGTTCAATATTAGAATTATAAGAGACCAAAGCTGTCCTCTGAGCTGTGGCTATGGTTCAGAGACAGAGAGGCCTGAAAAGAGGAAGTTTGCAATGATCAATCTGAGCTGCTGTAATAGTCACCAGCATGGCCTTCTTCATGCTTACTGGATCACGGGGACTGTTGACTTCCATGAGGGAACCAGGAGTGGAGAGGAGAAAATCTTCTCAGACCTCAGTGCGCTTCATCTTAAGGTACTGTAACGAGTAGTTAAGAACTCACTGATGTAGGGTGACCATACATCCTCTTTTACCTGGACGTCCTCTTTTTTAGGGGCTGTCCGGCTTTATCCAGCTTTGTCTGGGGAAGTCCTTAAAATCCTTCAAATGTCCATGGTTTTTTATGTAAGTTTCGATTTTGTGTCACATGGATTTACTGAGTTAGAAGCGTGTAAAAGACACTTGATCCAACCCAAAATTAACTCAGTGCAACTCCGTGACTCCACCCACAGGTAGTCGTGTCCTCTTTTTGGGAAGTCAGAGTATGGTCACCCTAACTGATGCAACAAGCCTGCTTTACGGATACTTTTTTGTACAGTTGCCACTGAAAAGTATCTGAATCTTTTCAATAGTTTCTCCTTAGTCTAAATTATTCTGATGTTTGCATTGTGTGTTTGCCTGTTCCACTTTAATTTTGGAAAAAAATCTAGGCAAACAGGAGCAGCTTAAATCTCTTGTCGAAGTGTTTTGTTTGGGTATTTGAAATCACGTGCATGTACCTTGGATTAGTGAGTTAGAGTACAGTGTGTCTGTTTCTGATGTATAATTCTACGAGGGGGATTTTTTTGCATTGCTGAAGAGATTGCAGTGATGTTTTATGCTGTTAAATTAAGTGTCTCTCCGACACAAACACGTCCACCAGCACACATGTACACACCCCGGATTACACACCAAAATCTGGGTGTTAACCCTAGCAGTACCTAGGTGTCACAGTGGGACAGGAACATACTGTCCTGGGCTGCATCCCTGTTGGTGGCTAAGCTCCTCACTAATGACAAATGTCAGTCTACTTGGGCTACCTGCTGCTTTCAACACCTTTTACTGCACTTTGTCTCCATGTGCCACCTGCTTCACAAGTCTTAGTGGCCATATACTGTCCATCTCCACCCTGCTGCAGGGTATTTATAATGCATGAGCGACATGTAGATGAGAATTAGAGGGATATTTCTCAGTTATTAATGGGGATGTTACATATTCACAGCAGGTAGCATAAGAAATGAGCTCAGAAGACAGGGAAGTCCCCTGAGGGCAGCAAACGACTGATGAATCCACGCTCTTTGTCTTTAACACCCAGTGATGTGTTTTATGCAGACACAGATCCGTGTGTGTTTGTGTGTCCATAGAATCATTGCTATGCAAAAGACTCAGTCACACTCCAGTGCTTCACGCAACGTAGTTGATGGGAGGGCTGATGAGTGGCTCATCTTGTGGATCTCACTCCCAGAAGAGGTCGAAGGCCAAAGGTCATTGTCACTCTGTATCTGAATGATGGAAAAATGGCAGGGGGAGGACAGGAGGTGGAGATCAGAATGAGAGGGATGTTTCTGAGGCAGGGTGGTGCGAAGAAAGATTTATTAAAGAGAAAGGGCGAAGAGAGATATTGCTGGTGTAGAAAGGTTGACTGGGGTGCATCAAAGCTCAAACATTTGCCTGATAGGATATGTCATGGCATTTTAGCTCAAATGCTTTCTTTTTGTAAATGCTAACGGTCTCTGTTGTGGCTGAGTGAGTATGATCAATCTGCTGCAGGAATCATAGTCCTTTAGTATTAAATTAAGAATTGGAAACAACCAGTAAAATTCTTCTAGAAAAACTTCTAGAAGATAGAAAATAGAAAACTTCTAGAAAATATTATTTGGGGTCATCACGTGTGTCTAAGCCACAGCGCAGTCTTCCACAACTCATTGTTGGACTGGCTAAAAGCTGCTGCTACAATACCTGAGTGGCCCAGAGGTGAACGTGCATAAATGTCAGATGATATTCTGTAGCCTGCTGCAGTTTGGCAGTATTTTTGCCAAGAAAATGGAAATAAAGTTGTACGTAGGCTATTTCTGGTTCAGGTAGCATAAAACCCCAGAAGCCATAGGTGACTAGTGAAGAATGTTGACCTTCAAGAAAGAGTAATGCTGCGTTCCAGTTACCACGAAAGTCGGATGTCAGAGCTGGGAATGACGCTACACCCAAGTTAACGGCGTTCCAGTTAACAAGACAAAAACCAAGATGGACTGTTAGCTGTTGTTTACAATTGTCAGCTGTCATTAGTTGTTGTCAGCTGTTGTTAGTTGTTCTTAGCTATACCAGTTGTAAACAACGCAAAACACAGTGTTTTACTATACAAACAAAATAGCACCGTTTTCACAGTTAGACGGGCAGTACAACATATACCACTTATTCGATTTCACATAAACAAAACAGAAGTGCGAATAAATAATACATCAAGAGAGCTTTCGCTGTTACTCTCTACTGTTGATGCACTGCGCTGCCATCTTGGACTATGACATTGTCGTCAAGTTGGGGTTGGTGAGGATCATCCAGCTTTCTTAATCAAAAATCCGACTTCAGGGGGACGTTCCAGATGAATATCTGACTTGGCATTCGGAAATTCCGACTTCCGAGTACAACTGGAATGCAGCATAAAGCCAGGGTGTGATAGCTCTACTAATGGTAGCCACTCCTTCTTTTATACATTTGCAGGTGCCTGACTCCTCCTTGTAACTCTCTGTCCTACATGCCTTTTCAAATTAGCCATTTTTAAATAAGAACTCCCGACAACGACCTGGCAATCAGGTCCTCGTCTGTACCTGTCCTTTATGGGACAAAGCAGAAGATTGCGTGTTGAAAATATATTTGTGACTTCTAACAATGCTCTGAAAGACTGTAAATCAAAAGCAGCGATAGCCTGTGCAGCATGAAATAAAACCATTAACATAGCTATTCTCTTGCGTAAACACACCAGTTTGAGCGAGCAAACTAAAGCACAACTTGCGAAATGTTGAGGTCAGCTGTGTTAAAAAATTTGCATTCTCACATGCAACTCTTATGTCTGTATTGTTTTCATAATGTAGTTCATGTGTGAGAGGGGCTGTGTTGTTTCTTCCTCCCCTCAGCTTTTATCCTGTTTGTTGGTTCAACTCGATACAGCTCACTTTTTCCTGAACCTCCTGCTGTGTGACTTAGGCTCTGTTTCTGTCTTGCTCTGTAAGTCTGGCTAAATGAAAGAGATGGGGGGTACATTCCATCAGTGTTTGCCAGAAAAACAATAACAAGCTCCCTCCGTGGAGCACCCCCCTGCTTCCCTTCCTTTCTTCTACCTTCCTTCCTTACTGAATCATTGCTCCACTGCTATGCACCCTAACATCCCTCCCACCCCTCACCTTCTCTGTCAGCCCTCCCCCCCTTTATGTCCCATCCTACACAACCACCGCCCCTCCCTATGTCTGTTACATAAATGTCCAGTCATACATCCAGGCCATATCACAGTTGTTTTCCCCTTCAAGTGTGTATTGGAGCCTCAGCATCCGTGTGCCAGCCCTTAATGAGGCCTCCACAAAGGCCTATTGATGAGAGGCCTAGTGTGAGAGAGGATGACCCCAGCCAAGAGCACCCAGAACTGGGCATCAGCTGCCCCAGGCTCTCCTCTCCACACAAAGACATCCACTGTGGACAGAGACCTGAAAGGGCAGACAAAAAGGGGGGGAGAGACAAAAATGGGAAAAAGAGGGAGGAGATATCCTGTTCAAGCAACTTAGAGTGTAAAAGTGGAAGATATGAAAAAAATTGAACAGATCCATGACTTCATCGCAGAGCACTTGCTTCTCTGGCGATTAACTCTCCCGTCAAGCCTGATGCTTTCTCTTCTGTGCATCCTAAGAGCAGTGAGGCCCACCCTCTGCCCTCCCACCACCATGGAGTTGTTGGTGTCTGTATTTCAGCCATGGATCATAACTCACATCTGAAGGGGGCACAACAAAGCCCCAGTCTGTTGCAGATCCTCACTGGTTCAGTAATAAGTTGCACAGAGGATGAATCCTAGCACTTTGAAGGGGCCCCACACTCTTACTTGGATGCATTTGGAGCACGAGTCCGGACAGATTTTTGGAGCCAAGTGAAGGCATGTAAGCTCATCAGACCTGGACTGAAACTTGTTTTTAAAGCCGTGTACAATGGAGAGTCAAAGAAGACTGTGGACAAATTACGATGGACATCTAGAAGCCGTCATGGTGCGATCACTTGGAGAACGAAGATGTAAAAGACTTTCGAAGGCTAACCTCTTTCTTTGAGTCATCTAGCAGCTACCAACAGAGCGAGATAGAGAAGGCTGTAGAGGCGAATTCGGGGTCTTGATTGAGAGTCTTAAATTTTTTGGAGTGTTTTATTTTGGACCAGCAAAGAGATGACTCTTGCAGCCCGACTTGAGGACATAGAGGTGACCCTGGAGCACATGCTCATGGATGTCTTTGTAAGTTCAGTTTTGTTGTTCAGTTAATTGAAATAACAGCTTTAATTAAGTTCCTCCTTCTTTTTAAAATTTGTTTCATAGACGACCTCCAGGTTTCATAATTATAGTTTGATACCAGAGGCCAACACCCATTTCTCCTTCCAGATGTTTTTGCATTAATTAGCACTAAAAAAGAGGCGACTGTTTAATTGTTTAAATTCTGCACTGAGGGTATCAGGGGATAAATTGACTGTCTTAGACTCTAACTTAAACTGCAGGGCCAATACAGGACTCACCACAGTGTTAGAGGACACAGAACTATGGGGATGTTAACTGAGCATGGGGCAGCCAACTCCAAAGTTTTCAATCTTGGTATCCTCTGTAATCGACACAACCTTCATACTTATTTGCACATAGAGATAAATCTAATGATAAGGAATAAAGTAACTCATCAAGTGAAGGAAAGGAGATTTAGGATGAGGAAATGAGGGATGAAAGAGGAATGAGAGAGAGAGAAGGAAAGAATTGAGGAATGTGATTGTTGGGTTTCTGTGGACTGGGACACTTGGATAGGCTTTGATTACCAATGCCAAACATTCAGGCCGTTGGAATGACAATAAGCTCGACATTTACAACACAAACAAAACAGATATGAAGCGCTAGATACTCTTCACATTAAGCTTGTATGAGAGTGCATTTAAGATGATCACATTTTGTGTGTCTATCTGCTGTATAGTGTCTTCATCATGAACATAGTGTCACTAAACTCACCTAGTTGTTTTTGCAGACTTTTATGAAGTCCAAATATGACAGTTGCTATACTAGAAATGCTGACTCCAACTAACTTCCAACTCATCTCAAAACCAGCAAAGAGGTGATTTTAGGCCGAGCAGCGAACAAGATTAATTTTTCTGCCAAATTCAACATTTTAAATGTCCTCTCACAAGCTTTGGAGATCGCTTCAAGTAGACACTGGAGTAACTGCAATTTCCCGCACTTTCATGTTGGCTCCGTTTTTAGATATTGCTGCTTGGTTTCCAACAGATCACAACTGAATCCAGAAAAAAAAAGAACTTTTTTCATCCTTAAATTAGAACCAAATAATTTGATAGTTGTTTGATCTTCATCCCGCAGCATCAAAATGATGTGAATGCATTGCAGTTGTACTCAAGCCTCCATCCAATAGGTGAAAGGTTAGCTTGCTCATGTATGTAAAATAATCATCTTCACAAGTTTTTCATAATGTTTGTTGCAAATGCTCACAGTAAAATAAGGATGAAACTGCAATTCTCTGTGCAGCTCTAATGCAGTCTACCTCTGTGCCATGTACTCACAACCCCCCAGCCGCTTTGATGTACTGTCTGCTGTAATGACTTTTGTCGTTAAGCTGCTGTTTCCCTTTAACATCGCCAACACTCACAGGCATCTGTTAGGGAAACACAGTAATCTGTCCTTTTCTACAGATATATACTGCTTTCACAAATAAACACTATCAGCACTTATTCCAATGCTTCTACAGGGCATCAATGTCACTGATATATGTAGATATATGGTGCCTGAATCCATCAACCTATTTTCTAGATTTGGTCATTTCATAAATCCAATAGATGATTTATGACTGAAGCAATAAAGATTAGTGTTTATGGCCGAGAAAGGATTTGGATTATTCATGCACTGCATGTGGGATGAAGAAAAGGGGAGTCAGGAAAATGCTTCCTTCCTCTACATTTCATCCCAGCATCCTAATTAGAAAGCTTATATATTTATTTATTGACTTCTTTAATTGCTGGGAGAGGAGGATGGAAAACAGGGAGTTATCTGGCCACTTTGCATTCTTAAATTAGAAATATTCAAATTGACTGCGTCCTCTCCAAGCTGGATGCACACTGAAGAGGCATGAAGCAATGTTTGCGTGCTTCCAGACCTCATGCAAAAACACACAGACACACAAATCTTATGACATGCAGACATGAGCTGAGAAGAGACCCGATTCAATGAACCATCAAATAAAGACAGGGTCAATTAAATGATTTTATGAGCGTGCACACCACCAGCAGCATAAGTGTGTCATGGATCAGGCTTTTTTTTATTAAATACTGGAAAGATTTTAAGGGTCTCAAAAACAGAAAACACAAAGAAAAATACTGAGCTGCAGCATGCATGTAAGGTGAGAACATGTCTGCATGTGTGGATGACCCCAGTCATGAGCAGACGCAGGGGTCATTAGAGGAAAATTAAAGGTGATTAGAATTAGACCTCTAGAGTCCTATCTGTGCTGCTGGTTGGTTTAAAGCCGTAGCTGAGTATGCCGCTATGTTCAAGGCTGCACAGCTATTTTCATTAGCAGAGCAGCACATATGAATGATTCAAGGGAGCCAAGACGATCCCAGGCAAATGGGACTCCCTCTACAACCTCGTCTACTACAAGAAAAGGAGGTCACTATTTTGTTAGCATCAAAGCAGAGTCGTTTTCGAGCTTGTAGAATTTTTTTTTCCGGTCACACTTTTAATTTCTGCACTCGAGAGTGTGATCATAGATCTGGGGCACATGACTACACATGGCATGGAAACAAAGTCATGCCTACCAGCTTAGAAATATGGAATCCAGTATGAAAATCCTTCAGTTTTAATTGAATCAGCTTATATTTCACATGCATTGTCACAAAGGGATTCTATATAGACCAAGTATTTTATAGAAGAGAAATGTCACAGGACAGCCATTGTGGGTGTTTTAATATGAAGCTGAATTTCATGACATTTGTTCCACTGAGGGCACTGTTTAAAGACATCATGATACAAGCGCATATAAGCAGTGACAAGACACTGTGACGTGTTTAAAATAGAGGCCCTATCTCTATCTGGTGATTGCATTTTTTCTGGCTGCTGCAAAATGTCCTTTCATGGCTTCATATCAGCTCCTGCCAAAGCTGTCTTGTATTGTGTCGCCAGTCAGCTGAGCTACAAGGGAAAGGAAGGGGGGAGAGAGAGAGAGAAAGAGAGAGAGAGAGAGAGACGGCGGCTCTTCTTCCAAAAGCTGACAGTCACATCAAGAAAAAATGAAGCGCCTGTGATTAAAAATGCATTCAATCCTTGTGTAGCCTAATTGAATCTCCTCCTGCATTCCCCACAAACATCACCACCCTCTTCTTCCCCAAAACCATCCTTATCCCTCCATGATGTGGGCCTAGAGGCAGAGCATCCCTTCTCCCTCTCCACTTCCTTCAGATCCTCAGTTTTCTCCCCCTCCACCCTTCTTCTTGTCTGCTCTGATGAAGGAAGACCTCAGCTGGACGGGATTGTTTCCATCACAGCTGCTCTTTTCAGCACTGTCTGCTCTGTTTCCAGCAGCTATGAAGTTCATGTCTTTGTAAGAGTTTCTGGTGCAACACAAAGGCCTTTTGGTCTTTGAGATCATTCAAGTCTGCCAGGAGTGCAAACACTGTGATGCACTGATACCAGAGGGTGAGCGCTCTCCACCCTCTTCTCCAACTGGTCTTTTTCGACTGTACTATTGTGCATGTGTGGTTGCAGACAGAGGCTATCGTCTGGGTGTATTATGTGTGACCATGCTGTTATATAATGGGTGTGTCCTCTGCTCTGTGACAAAATAGTTCAATTATAGCACACTGACCTCCTCCTCCTCCTCCTCCTCCTCCTTGCCCAGACTCCCTCGCTCTCTCCTCTGCCCCCTTACATGTTCTTCTCACTCTTGCTTTGCTTTTACTTGCTCTCTTACAAATGGTTGATCGCACATCTAAATTTATCTGATGGCAGTATTGATCAGCTTAAGGACAGAGTTACAGTGTCAAAACCTCTCAATACTGAGGAACAACTTTGGAGAAATTCCAAATCCTCGTCTCTGAAACTTGGCCCTGCTTGTCTTGTTTTTGAAATGATTGTTTTGCTTCTTGGCGTGTTTGCCTTCATTTGATGGCAGACAGGCAAGGCAAGCTTATTTGTGTAGCATCTTGAAACAACATGACAATTCAAAGAATTTTATACAAGACGGTAGAATGACATGCAACAAAGGCCAGGGTCTTACTCAGGATGTTGTTACTGGGTCTTGAAGTGTTCAGTTCTCAGTGAGCCATAGCTGCCCCAACATTTAAAAGTTTAAGCTGATTTATTCTATATTTTTCTCATTATTAAAGAATAGAGGAAAAAGATGGTAACACTTTACTTGACGCCTATCTCTGTAACGCATTATAAATATATGTATAATGCGTTATAATCACATTAAAGTACTTTATAACTATAGTTATAAACACTCATAAATGATCATAATGCTTTATAGCAATAATCATAACACATTATAAAGCATTTTATCATGACTTACAAGGTCAGGTATTATAATGTGTGATGCTTATTGTTATAATAAATGTTCATAATGATAGTTATACAAGCTTATAAGCAGATAATAACACATCATAAATATATGTGTAATGCATTATCTATGTGAGCATTGTCAGTGAGTTGGGAACAGTTATAACACATTATAATATCCGATCTTGTAAGTCATGATAAAATGCTTTATAATGTGTTATGATGAATGATATAAAGCATTATGATAATTTATGAGTGTTTATAACTATATTTATACAGTGCTATAACATGATTGTAATGCATTATACATATATTTATAATGCGTTATAGAGATAGGCGTCAAATAAAGGGTTATCAAAAAGATAAACTGACATAAGTGCATCAGGTTTTGACCTTGAGCATGGGCCTTGCTATTTCTGCTCAAGACATATATGCTAAAAAATGGGTCGCAACAAGACACTGGACTTGTTTTAGTTTTTGCTTAAACAGGAGTGGGTAGTATGAGTGATGTGGTGCCAGTCTAGCTACCTTTCTCCATGGTGAAAGACCAAAGACTTCACCAGCTAATGGTGTATTTGGATTACTAGTCAAGGTTATTACTGCTTTCTAGATATATCACTATCTGCCCTGTGTGATGTGATCTCTACACAAATTCGCCATCTGATCCACGACATCAGTAGCACAGGTTCCACAAAACACACACAGACTTCTGATGTTAGTCCAGTGAGTACGCTCAGTTTGACTGCCCAGTGGCTGGCATGAAAAGGATTTGCACATAAGTGCTCTGGTATGAAGTAAAGAAAAAAAAAGTGAGACATGCTCTTCGTTTTTGTGCTAATAAAAGTGATTACAGTCAGAACTGGAAGGTATAGAACATTAATCACAGTATATACGTCTTTACTCACTCAGTCTTAGCCTTTCTTACCCTTAGGTGCACATAATTTACATATAAAAGTGTTTAAAAATGCAGCTTATTTTATTGGTATCAGCACCAATGAGCATGGTTAACAAATACATATGCATCTATAAAAAATTGCCAAATTTGGTACGTTTAATTGTAGTCATCATTTTATTGTTGTGGTTGGTAAAAATTGAATAATATTCAAAAATATTTAAAAAGGAGTAAAAGTATCCGCTCTCGGGAGATTTACGTCTCTTCCATAGTATGAATCACATTTGAATAATAAGGTCCCGATCTCACAGATGTGCCTCATTTTCTTTCCTCATTAGTCTTCCTTCTGATTGCAGAATCATTCAGAATAAATATGGAAAAGACAATTACCATAAAGTCAATCAGTTTTTTTTTTTTCTGTGCACATCTGTAAGCTGATTCGCTATCACCATTTGGCCTTCAGTTTCAATCCTATGCATGGTCCAGATTCTGCTGTCAACCAGCCCAGCACAGGCAGAGGCTTTCCAGTCGACTCCAGTGAATAATTCAGGAGCCTTGTGTGCTATTCGCTGGAGTAAATTGCACATCTTGCGCCCCATTCAAGTCTGCTGCTGCCGTCATAATAGACTACTGATTGGCCCATTGGAATGATATATTCTAATTCCATTAAGGCACAGATGACTGTATAATGGCAGTGAATGTGGACCGCACTAATACAAAGACACAGTTACTTCTGCCAGTGCAGGGGTGAGGTCATACGCATTCAGAGGTGGAGTAGATCATAAATCGGCGTTTATTTTGTAGTTTTGACAGAAATTTTCCTCATACTGACAGTTACACAAACAGGTATACATTATGTGCACACACCCACACACTCACACAGACAGGCGCCTCGCAGCAGGTTGAGCAGATGTGTTGCAGAGCGACATGCTCAGACCGGGACGACCTGTCCCCGTGTTCAACCGAATCTGTACCAGAAATCTAAACACGTCCCAGTTTTCATCGTGAGTCACAGAAATGCCCCCGTTTCCCTGAGAAATCACATCAGCTGTCTGTTATTTTGGGCATGTAGCAGTGTTTCCCAGACCTCCTTGCACACAGGGACACTGCTGAGGGGAGGATAATTGTGTGGATGCTCCCCCGTGGAGAAGTCATTATGATTGGTTCTGGCCTGGTGAAAGGTTTAAAGGCCTTGCTCTCTGCTCATCTGGCTCTCATGAGATAGAAGATGACAACACTACCATACATCTCTAAGTGAACAGTTAGGAGTAAATCAAATCATGCTGTCAGGGTGGTATTGTTTCAATACATAACTGTTTATCTGTGTCTCCTGTACAATGATAGTGTAACTCAATCCTTTGTAATTCGTAGAGTCTTGAAACATAAACATTCAACCCTCTTCCCTCCACCGCCTGGGACGTGGAGAGAGTCCAGCTAGAGGGCATTTCCATAAACACACCCACACTAACAGAATAAAAGACAAACACATTCGCAAACACACACACACACACACACAAAATCAGGACCACAGGGATGAGTCAGACAGCCGTGGGCAGAAACCGGCTGTGTTATCAGGATAAATTAAAGCTGGGATTCAACGATAGAGAACCTGCGCTTATCGTTATTATAACAATATGAACAAAGACTAAGAAGACACACACACAGAGAGACAAACAAACAGGAGAAACAAAACCCAGGGAGCTCAGACGCTTTGTTTGCACCTCCCTTCTGAGCATCTCTATCCTCTCTTCTTGTCCTTTTCTCTTCTTTTTTACCGGATTTGTAAAATACATTAACAGCCTTTAGTTCACCTTTAGGACAGACATAAAAATAAGCAGGTACAGTTAGGTGAGTTAGAGACTCCCTTTGCCTCTTTTATATCATATACTTTATTACCTCTGTTGGTTCTGTAGTTGGTGTTTTTATCACCAAGTGAAAACCCCATTTTCTTGATTTGTGCGTGCTTGTTGACTGAAATGGGTCATTGTGCATCCAGCCCGAGGCATCAAAAATACAGTAGTAAAAAAAAAAATTCTCTTTGCTTCTGTGTAGAAGAGGGTTTACTCACTGGATTTTAGACAGCCGATTTTAGAAAATCTCACAGCTACAGAAGAGAACAAAGGAGCACCAAGCATACTTAAACTGTTCAATTAAGAGAGGGGATCATGGTCTATCTGTCAACATTTCACATGAGATTACTCTGAAAACGCTCTGAAAATGAAAGGTTCCGTCTCCCAAACCTGTTAATCTCTGTCAGCACTGATCTGAATTCTCATCAAACACAGGCCACCTCTGATCACATCCAAAGATCAAGTCAGGTGCTCTTTATTTTATTCTTCTTGTATGTCTTCTGCAGGACCTAAATGTCTGCACTCTCAGTTTATAAATAGCCCTCTGATATTTCTCATGTAGGCCACAGCCACTCACCCCCACTGATGTGGGCCAGGGTAATGAATAAATAATGTTTACCAGGGATTACCACTGCAGATGATTTTTTTCCCCCCTTCTGTTTGCTTGTTGTGTGGCTTTAGGACAATGTGTGTGTTTTTATATCATGTTGGTAAAGCTGTTGGGGGTCCCCACTTGATATATGATATGGGGGTGGGCGGAGGATGGAAAAGGCTTTTTTGATTGTTCATTTTGACCGGTTGGTTTAATCTGATTCCAAACCCTTTGAACCCCGACATCAAATCGACTCATAACTGGGATATGACCAAGCTTAATCTTACTGGTTATAATCCAGCGCCGTACTGGGTTACCACAGCGAAACGCCCATACAAGGGCTAGCAAAGGGCGTCCGCTGCTTAACCTAGTGTACACGTGTGCGGCATATGTGCATATCGAACATCTGTGCATGCTTTCATGTGTGTTGATCCACTTAGGTTAATCAGCTGACGGCTCAGTATTGATGCGCAGAGGCAAACAGAGCTCAGCGGTGAGTGATGATGAGAATATGACAGTAAGTCACTGGGTGAGGTTGTAACTCATGAGTCCAATAGCTTTAATGGACATGTAAAGACCACCGTGGAGGATACAGGGGACTGACTCAGCTGAACGGAGGCTGCAACCATTGTGATGAGGATCTATGTTGAAGTTTCTGCTACTGGTGTTAAACGAATCAGGCTTTTTTTTTCTGCTAACAGATTAATCAAAGTGATCGGATGATGAATATCTGCGAATGCAAGGATAAATCTTGTACATGTGTGTTGTATCATGTGTGTATACGCTGCCTTTGTGTCCCAGCCCAGACAGAGCAGGGAGAGAAAGCTGGATGTGGGATTTCACAGATAATCTCCCTACCAGATGGCAAAACATCCCATATTCCTTTTGAGGTTCCCCACGTGATCCCCTGTAAAGAGTCTGGGTGTGTGTGTGTGTGTGTTAACGGTGGGTGTATTTTTTGCTCACACACACAATTATTATTGGATCACGTGACATGTGCGTATGCTAATAACAGCCATAACGTCACATTAATCCAGTGACCTGGTTAAGCCCCCAACTGAAGGAAGTGAGTGTGGGAGGCAGGAGGGGAGGGGAGGGGGCAGTACTGGAGGAGAGAGAGGAGACGAGAGAGGAGAGACAAAGCACACTCCCTCTCCCTCTCTCTCTCTCTCCCCCTCACACACTCGTTCACCTCGTGAGCAGCGGGCTGGAGTGTAGCGGAGAGGAGCAGAATGGGAAGAGTTACCACACAGAGGGATATACGAGCCGATAGAGGGACATAGGACTCGCACTTTCACGTACGACTGACACACTGACATCAAACACTTCTTTTCCTGGAACACACCCACGCGTAAAACCCGCGTGAACCCCAGCTGCCAGGCTGGACGGGACGGCGAGGACACCCACTTCACACACACATGCTCACACACCCACGGAAACACACACTCTGGAGCGTACCATGGTGGTCCAGGGAGCGGTGACACCCGGGAGAACCCGCCGGCTGATGCTAAAGCTGCCGGTGGGAACCCTGAGGAGGAACAGTGGAGAGAGGGTAAGACACCAGCAGCTTCCCTCCTGTCCTCACTTTCTCCATCTTCTGAGATTCCCTCTCTTTCTCTCGCTCTCTCTCTGGGTGACCGTGTATTGCCGTGCTCTTGTGTGTGTAAGTGGGATTTAAAAAGGTCCCTGGCTAATCCAGGGGATAGTATTAGATTGGAGTTGGTGCAAGGCAACTCAGGAGCAAAGCTTTTAATCTCAAGCGTGGACAATACTTCTCTGTGTTTCCATCCTGACAGGCTGTGTCTGTCAATCTTTACCCAGCACTCAGTCTGTCTTTGCTAATGTATTCCACCACCGTACTTGCTTTTCAAGGTTACAGGGAAGTCTCACTGTGGGAGAGCTGTCTCTGAGTGTTCACCCGTCACTGTCAGCACAATTGAACTGACTCGAGACATACTTTTATCAAGTAAAAGTCACACATATAGCCTTGTTAAGCTTGATTTGAAGTGCTGGATCCTGTCTCTCTTGGTTTTTTTTTTTCCTTTTGTTGGAATCACTTAGTCTGCCAGACATCAGACGCTTCAGTGTTTATGTGTTTGTGTAAATGTGGCGGGTGTGGGCTGAAGCCAGGAGATAATAGTTTCCAGCGCAGCTTAAGATGTGGAATGTGTATTGCGTGGTGGACCTTTATGTCAGTAGTTAGACAAGCTGAAACCTGCCAGGTGATTCACCTGTTTTGCTCTCACAATGTTGTTAATGCCACGAGGAAGAGGAGAGCTGTTTGTGTATGTGAAGAAGAACTCACTCCTGTGTACAAGTTTGCAGCTCTTAAGTGTGTGTTTGCCTCTCTCATGTTGTAAACACATTGGTATTAACTGATTCAGTGAGACCAGACTGTGCAGGTGATGAGCCAGCTGGACCTACAACTCATCCAAAGCGGCTTCCTTTGGTCCGCAACTCGCTTCCCACATCATACCAAGCTGGATCCCATTTCCCTCTATGGTCATCATCTCCCTCCCCCCCTTGTGTTCTCACAATGTGACTTCAACGTCTTTAACTCATTAATTTTTCTCTGATTCAGCTTTCAGATTCCCTGTGCTCTCTTTGTGTTTCTCTCTCTTTCTGGTTGAACACGCACAGAGAGGACGCAGTAACACACACAAAGCACACACATACTGTACCCATGATGTCATAAATTACACAGCGCGGCTTCTGCATATTGGATGAGAGCTGCTTTCACTTTAATAAGCCCGGATAAATATATTCCCAACCTGATTCAACATAAAATAACTCCTTTAACCTCCACATTTCAAATACAGAAACAGCTAAAAACACAAACACGGGCTTTCTTTTAATTTAGTCGAGTAAGAGCACAAGATACCAGAGGAGTTTTGCACAGATCTCACCATCCAAACTCTGCAGGTTGTGTTTCATTAAAGTTGTTATGACAGGAAAGCTGATTGATCTAACTGAATGTGGCTGGCTGTCATAATACGGCTTGCTTGATTGGAGGGAACTGAAAATTCACTATCCTTTTGAAAGTAGTAATAATTGCCACTGGTACTGATTGGATGCATTTGCACCTACACACACACACACAAACACACAGTCACTCAGAAAGCACCTTAATTAATGGAGAAAGCAGATTTTCTCACAGAGGAATAGAGGGAGGTCTCTCTCTCTTTCTCCATCCTGATTGCATTCCTGTTGCCTCCCTTTCTTCTTGCAGCCAGCTGTGTGCAGACAGACTGAAAGGGGGATTACTTGTTGTGATTTGCATACACTCGCTGGCATTATTGTAGCGTGTTCCTGGAAAAACGACTGAAGAGATGGATGCGCATCAGCCTGCTGGGGATGGCAGTAAAATTCATCACATTTTTTTGGAACGGTTATCAAAGTGCGCAGGCGGTGGAAGTGCTCAATAGATTGACAAAGATTATTTGAAAGTGAATTTAAATGATTACATTTTGTGGGAGATTTCTTTCTGAACATAGCGTATTAAAGGTTTCTTCCAGGGGCTTTTTAAAGCTGTTGGGTTCAGGCTGAACCTTCACGTGTCCCCCGCTAAACCACCAAAATGCTTTTCACTTTGTCCTGCTGCGACTTGTCATGTTAGATAACTCATTGCATTTTCATCCTAACTCCGCCTTATGTAACTTTATACGCTGCAGACAGAAAAAACTATTGACAAAATCTGCAGCTGACAGAGTACTGTAGCGGTAATGCACTAGTTAAACGCACTTTAAAATTCATAGCCTAGTTTTTCATATCCTTTAGCTACTCTTTTCATGTTATTTGTGGAGGCATCATTTTTCCCAAAATCATTACGGTTCATTTCCTGGTTTGAGGGATTTTTTTGAAAATGGATCCATCAGTCATCCCATCCTCTCATCTGCGCTCTCTCACTCTGCTAACACAGATAAATGGACACGTCTGTGTCAGTAGTTTATGATGGATGTGTGGGTCTATCGCACTTGATTGAGTAATATCTACAGAGAGAGAACACAACCATCTTTGTTCAACAGCCGTGACACATCCGAACAAAACGTGCCTCGTTAGCCGCAGAACAAAAGGAGAGTCAAACCTGATTAGTCCCCCTCTTGTCTCTGTGAATCACTTTCTTTTCTTTACCTCATTTCTTTCGCTCCTCCCTCAGACGGTAGCTCAGGACTCTTATCTTCATATCTAGACTTGTCATGCGTCTTCCCCTCCTGCATACCTTTCGTTACAAGAGTTTCAATGAGTCCAGCTGGCAGCACATAAAAGAAACCTGTCAGTGTGGACTAAACGGGATCCAAAGAATTACAGATAGTCTGAGCAGAGCCCTCAGTGTTTACTGTCTAATATGGTGACGATAGTGTTGACAGTTTAAAACGGCTTCTTTAGAGGATGTTTACTGTTTATTTTGCCTCTCTGGGCTGTCTGAATTAGGATTATACTCCACCTTTGTTGTCCTGCTATCATGCTAAGCTGCTCAGCACTTCACTGTAAAATTAAGAACAAACACAACAGATACACAAAGAGAGCACGAGAGGGAGGGAGCGAGACATGTGTTTGTGAGTGTGTGAGGAAAACATTTCAGACTTCAGGAGGGGGGAACCGCTCTCCGAGGAAACATGTTGTTGTCAGGGGGGCACGGCAGGGGAGCGAGGGGCTCGAAGGTGGGAGGGGCGGATCACTGTTAGTGAGAGAGAAGTTCACACAAGCACACAAATACAGAGCGAGGAGACATATTCTGAGAAAACACATACATTAGTGGAGAAGGAATGCAAACAGACAATAGCGTGACTGTAATTTACCATCAAAGGCCTAAAAGCCAGAGGTAGCCAGGCATGTGATGAGGCAGGAATACTAATCGATTCCGGTTACCTTTAAACATCTTGTCTGCACCAATCAGAGAGAAGGTCAGCACTGGACTCAGGCACTCTGTGGGTCAGATTGATGCTCTGCTTCTTTCTCATCAGACTGATCCAATTGTTTCAACATTAGAGTCAGGATTCATTAAAGCAAAGCTTGGGTAGAAAAAATACCTTTAAGAGAAGTTTCCCTCAAATGAATATCAGTTTTGGGGATTGCTCTGGTATTGATTTTCAGGGATCTCGACCTGCCTGGACTATAGGTGAGAAAGCTGCGGCCAGTCGGACTAATTAAGCAGACAAAGAAGGGGGAAAGAGAGAGAAAGATGTGGGAAAAACTGGAGCTAAAGGCTCCTGAAGGCCCTGCTTGTACCACACCCTGATCAGCATGAAAGGGGATCCCCCTTTTCTCCCTAAGGCTGCTCAGGAGGAAGAATGTTTTTCAGTAAGGGAGGCAAGGGGGGACTCCAATCCTCCCACCCTCCCCTCCACCCTGTCTCTTTCATCACTCTCTGCTATGATTTTTTTTTTTCTGTCTTTTTATCCCCCGTCCAAAATCAACCCACAGACCTACAGATGCACACGCACAGCTGCGCACTAGTTCAAAGTAAATCTGATCAAACAATGAGGAGATGATCGCCTATTGACTGTGAGTGAAGGCTGAGGGCAGTGAGCTGCTGATAATGTGTTTTCTCTATGGAGACAGTTTGCTAGTAGTAGGGGTAGCTATGGAGAGAGTGGACTCTTCTGTCCTCGGCCAAAACATCCCCAGCGGATCAACGGATGTGTGCGTGGGTCTGTTTGTGTGCCTCAATCCCCACCAGCAGCCTCCATGCAGAGCTCCAAACGATTTCTTCATTATCCCAGCTCCTCTTCTCTTAGAAATAACTGCGTGGAATCCTTTTCAAGAAAGAGAGAGAGAGCGAGAGAAGAGAAAAGAGGAGTGTCGGTTGATGGGAAGGAGTTTGTTAAATTCCATCTGCCTCAGAAAACAGGATGTGGAGACCCCAAATTTTCCTGAAATATCCCAGCACAATCTGTGCCCTTTGTTAGGCTGAGATAACACGACTCAATGAGAACGGAGGCACTGTCTGTGACTCACTCATATGAAGGGGTTTATTCATAGTGCAATATGTGCGTGGCTGCATGCGTGTGCGCGCGGCGTATGAATCTGCCTCCGACTATGAATACAAGGCATCGCACAGAGTTAGAAAGGAAAGGATTTGTGTTAAATTTAAAGACTTTTTCTTGACGATGTTGGAGCTAGTTGCAGCGTGTGAATGCGTTTGTGTATGCGGGTGGGCGTGCAGGAGTGACAGAGAGACAGAGCGGTTATAAAGAGAGGGATGCAGCCTCTTGTTTTCCCGTGGGTGTGCAGCAGTAAAATAGTAATCCTCATTAATATTTATCTGCCAGGCAAAGTGGAGAGAATGATTAGCTACAGAGAGAGAATGTGTGTGTGTGTGTGCGCAAACACCCCTTTGTGCACGTGTGTGTAGCATATTACAGCATCTAACACACGAACTAGGTCAACTTCTATACTTAAGAGACCTAGGCATCCTGATACTTCAAAGGTTCTGTGTCATCGCGGGGTCCTAACTGTACGCGTATCTCTATTGTAATTATCTTGAGCTAACATATTATAAAAAGGGAAAAGTGAAGTTCACTGCCTGCACACACATTCTCTCACACACTGATACATGAAGACGCTCCCTGACTTTCATGCCTCTCCTGAGCCACATTACGTTATGTTATTGATTTTCCTGCTTGCACCTCTAATACAATCACATTAAACTGGACTGATCGGGATTGAATTTCAGACTGGGTCTATACACGTATGTCACTTATAATCTCTATCACGGTGGTAGTGGTGGTGGTTGTGATGTGTGTGTGTGTGTGTGGGTAGGTGGGTGTTAAAAGTGAACATGTAAGGAAATTACGACTGCAGTATCAAGTATTTATTGCCATTTTGAGGAGTATTGTAACAGCTGAGAAACATGCAGTGCTCTTATTCTGGTAGATTAGTGTCGGACTTCAGAATATACTTGAGAGTTTATGGTGTCTTTGACCCATTTCCCTCCACTGCTTGCCTCTCTCTTCCCCTCTATCTCCTCCTCTCTCTTTGACTTTCCTGCACTCTAGTATAACATGCCTGAGTGGAGATCAGAGAGCGGCATGGGGACGATTGAAAGATGGAGAGCGATATGAGGGAGAGATGAAAGAGGAAAAGCGAGGAAGAGATGGAGACAGGAGAAAAGTAAAGGGGTTTGGATGAGAAAGTGAGAGAGTTCACCTCTGATTTTGTGCTTTCAAGTTGGTATCAGGGCTGGGATATACACACCCAAGTTGTTTTGCCAATATCATGCATTTAAAGTCCTACTCCGATTGTTTTTTGTTACTACTTAAAGTGTTCTGATTGTGATTACGAAGTTTTTACCAGAAATCGCATTACTTGTGTCATTTTCAAGGACTCTTCTTCTGCGGAGCTTCAGTAGCTCATTAGCAATTCGCCTCTCAGTCGTGGGCGGAGACAGCGCTGCTCTGCACACTCATCTTCACATTAGCTACATATTGCCAGTGTAGTAGAAGTGGCAGGTAACATAGGAGCTATTCAGCACTCGGACACTGATGTCTTTAGGGACACGATGAAAGCTAATATCCTAATTAGCTTTCTAATGTACACGCTTGTTCCATGATTGTTCTCTGCATAGCGGGACTCTGGGGGCGGAGCTTGGATTGGTTACATATGAAATCTCACTGTTTCTGAATCTGCTGTTTGGGTCTGCCAGAGATTCACAGCGATTTGAATGAAGAAACACTCAGAAAAGCAATTACGCATTTAGTTTTCTCATGATATGTCCTGTAGCATCAGAAAAATGCTATATGAACATATAAAAAACAAGAAAAACGTGATTTTCATTGTCTGTAAAAGAAAAGTCATTTACATGAAAGAAAAATGAATATCTCTATTGTAGATTGTATAACCCCAAGCATCTTCTCCTCTCTGCCTTATTGCTATGGTGCTAGTCAGCCAGCTGACACTCCAGCGTTGACTGTTTACATCATAAGGCCTGCCTGACCTTTCCCAGGATTCAGCGGGACATTGCACGCACACAGAATCATGGGAACATCTCACTGTCATTCCAAAGCTCTCGCCTCCCTCCGTACCACAACAAATATTTACACCCCTCATAAATTACAGTGGCTGAGAGGTAAACGTCTCCAGCCTTGTGTGTGTAACCCTGATTCATTTTGGAAAATTCACACCATAGGAATGCCCCACATTCCTCATGGGTTTCTCAAGACACCACTGGGACAGCAGCATGAGAGAGAGAGAGAGAGAAAGAGAGCGGGGTGGGAAATGAGTTTCTTGGAGGGGTGATATTGGAATATGCAGCTTGAGAAATTGAGTATATCTATTAGATACCACACATCAACTGGAGAGGGAGAATCACAGCAACTTCTATTATTTTTGTCACGGTGTGAAAAAGTTAGAGAAAAAACTTTATATTCATGTCGATTTTAATATTTCTTAATGATAAAACCTTGTTATGTCCAGTATGGTAAGGACACAGACACACTCACAACCTACTCAGCAGTACTGAGCGACCCCTTGCATCGATAAACCCCTCCATGAATCAGAGCGTGCTCTGAGAGGACATTTAATCCACCCACAGTCAGATTGGTTTTGGTAGGCAGGCGAAGAATTACTGTAGAGCACAGAGTCATTGAATTCTTTATTGATCACGGCTCTCCGATGAAAGTGGAAGGAACGCGGACAAAAAAAAGGAATCAGTTCCAAGTGAAAAAACACCAGACTAGTACAGCTTTTTTATTTCTAAATATTTAGACAGACTCACAGAAGAAATCCTAGTGGTTTGTTGAAACTAGGAAAAAGTGTTAGACTGTGTTTTTTTTTTTTTTTTTCAAATCATAATTATGAAAAAACAAAAAAAACATGTCCGTTTGGGAATATTGATTAATAAAATTGGGTTGTTTCAGTGATGCGTTCAAGCCAAGAGTTTATCACAGACTGGCAGGGATACACTCACAGTCTGCAGGCCTGGCACAGGTTGTTATGTTGTGCTTGTGTTGCCTCCATGTGGCCATTGTTTCGAATGGGTGTGTGTGCAAAAGTAAGATAAGCTTCATTTTGTATTTCCGCCTCGAATAATCAAACTTTGACTTAAACATGAAGAATCATATTCTCACGCAGCAGCATCCTGTAAAAAAGAAAAGGGAGCATATCTATTGGGTGGATAAAAACGGAAGACTGGGTTTCTTTAAGCCCAAAGAAAACCATTAGATGAGGTCAGGTCAGGATACTCCAGCCTGGGAAAACTGCCTCCACTAAATATGCCTCCTTTTTTAAAAGCATTCTGGCAACAAACCAACTCCTGCTTGAAAGTAGCATGCTCATGACATTGATGAAAAAATATCTGCATTTTTTTAGATCAGCTTGTGTGCGTGAATTCCTGCATTTTCATGTCCAGCTGGATTATGCATGTGTGTGCGGTTTAATGCGCATCTTCTTCAGAGACTTTGACAGACAAGCGTTGACATCTGCTTTCTCCCCTTGTCAGCAGCAGCAGTGTGAGAGTGCATGTCGCTTTAAAAACAACAACTCAGAGAGACTCAGAAACGGCTGCATTTCCTTAGTAGGAATGTTTGTGTTTGTGACGCTCAGACCAACGGATAGAGAGTGCATTTCTTCACAGAGAAGGGGAAGAGAGAGGAAGAAAAGAGGAGGAGGGAGAGAGACAGGGTCAGTGGGGACCTCTGGCTGTTTGGGACTGGGACAGGAGGACTAGCGCAGAGTGACCTTGAGGAGGCATCAGGCTGCTGAATCCCAAAGAGACTGAAAGGACAGAGAGGGAGGGGATAAGGAGAGGAGACAGCCACAGGGTTTTCTTGTCTATCTGTGGTTTATCTCCAGAGAAAAAATACCTGCTGGGGCTAAGTGACACCAGCAGGACAATAAAGGCTAATTCCCGCTTATTGCCTGGGCCTCTGTGGATCTTAATGGCTCATCTCTGCAGAAAAGGTTTGTGAACATGGTACCTGTGGATATTTTACTTGAAAAACCTTAAACTGCGACATCGCCGGCTGCTGCTGGGAGTTTGTGTCAGTGAAGTTATGGAGGCAGTCTTGTTGGGTCTAGATGAGGCGGTTTGTACTCGGCAGGGTTTGCTGTGGACTCTTACCTCCTCAGCTCTACAACGTCTTCGTGTGCGTGCCAGGAACCTTCCTGCACCCCTGCACCTATTGCACACTCACAGGTGTGTTTCTAGGCCACTTTACCAGGTAGGCTGCATCACTCATACGCAAAACTAACACAAAAAATACACGCATGCATTCTTGTGCATTAAAGGGAAAACATCTCTTCTTAACCCACTATAAGTTATCTTCAAGTAACATGAATTATGGAAATGAGGCTCCTGGTTGGTATCTGTTAAAATGGAAAGATACCAAACTTGTGCAAAGGCTGAGAATGAAAACAGGGAGGCACAAAGAGAACAGAAAAGGCATTTTAGGGCCAGGTATGTCCTCCAGGCTGTAGACGGGGGGCCATGTCCAGGGGCAGAGCTGGACATGACTGATTTGTTTCATTAAGCATGGAGGACAGAACTGGGTTACATGTCCTTGCGGCAGTGTTCCTGCTTGTGAAATGGAACACATAAGGTGAACACAGAGCGTCGTCCTGCCGAGTTCATCTGTTGAATTTAAAAACAGAGCTTTGTTTCCCCACATTGTCGCCCCAGTGGAGAGCCTTCTTTTGTAGTTACTTTTCTCTTCAGGAAGGATGCAGAGCCTCAACAGGAAGTTGTGTTGCTACGGTCACCATTAAGGGGCTGGTAACTGAGCTGTTAAGCCTCTAAGTGTTTCAATGAACATGAAGAGGGGAGCGCTTGCATACAAAACACACAGAGAAGCTGTTATATAGACCGTCCAGTTAGTGACAATGCTGCCATTGCTTTATATGTTCATCCTGGCTCTGAAAACTTCTGAGTGCACTGAATGTGTCTGCAATTTGAGAAGTGAATGACTTATTTTAACTGATGAAATAGAAGGTACTCTGTTTTTCCAGCTGTGAGTCAGCAAAATGGTTGATCAGTATTCCTTTCACCATGTCTGGATTGGTACTTCAGGGCATTCATGGAAACATTAGTATTCCCTGGGCGCCTCACCTGCCCTGTGTGCTGCAGCTGGTACCACTGAACGAACCACACAGGCTGAGAGAGGCTTGTTGCTGGACAGTGGAGCAGAACTTCAGTACACTAACATTTATAAACACACAACTGCACACACCCATAATGTACTTTTTCCTTTTTCTCTAATTCCCTTTTTATTCTCAAGAGAGAAATTAGCCATCACTGTTAGCTCTTCAATTCAGAATCCTGTGGGGGGTCAACACAATCAGAGGAAGCAGAAAAATGAAGCAGCCCTGCCTAAGACAAACTCTCATTTAACACCCCTTCCCCTTTCACCACACCTTCAAACCAGGGACTTCTCAATGTCCTTACAGTGTTTGCTATGACTAGCAATCAACAATATCTTCCCTCCTCTCCTGGTGGGGTGGTACAGTCTATGGTGGGAGTAACAAACAAGGAATGAGGGGTCAGTGTGTCAGGCTGCAGGATGGGGATATCCCACTGTCTCTTCCTTTATTACCATTAATGAGACACCCAGACTCACAACAGAGAGGAACGAAGAAAGAGAGAGAGCGTCATTATGTCTTTACATATTTTATCAGCTTGTTTCCACTTTCTCCACCCCTTTTCTTCCTCTTTAAGTGAAAATACATTTCCACTCCAGTGCTTTGACCTGAACCTGCTCCCGTTTGTCTCCTCTCTCCCCTTTTGACGCTCTGTTTTGGCGTTTCTTTTTTCTTCTTAAATTGCTTCTTCATCTCTTATTCAACTCTCTTTGCTGTCTTTCTCCTCACTCTGGAGAAGACAGCAGACCTGCTCACTCATTCAGGACACCAGCATGGATGTTTTTCTGCGCTCCAGTGTGTGACACATATTTCAAGGTGATAATTTTACGCTTTGCATGTAGCATGAGGTGGCACGCTGCTCAATCACGCAGCGTGGCTTTGCAGTAACCAGCAGAGTGCGACATTTGCGATATGTTGTTTTCACATGCAGATGTGATCTTATTACTCCTGTGAGAGAATGCAGCTGCATGTTCACACTTTTGTACATCAGGCTGAGTACTATTGACTCAACAGCCTGCAGTCACACATTTTCCTCTGGTGGTATGACCCTTAAATAGGTTGAGCACAGACAGGCGTGTGAGGGCAGCACTCTGCTGTTGCCGTGTTAGATGGTTCTCTCAGGGTGTTTGTTGCACTGTGTCATTTCTCATATTGCTTTTGATTTTTATTGATTTCATCTGTCTACAACATTATATCTCCCATTTTTCTCCTACCTGCCCTCTGTCTAACTATAGCCCCTTGGTTAGACTTGCACTGATGTCCTGAAATTCCCCAGACATTGCCTTGGTTGGATGCCAAAGATTACCTGAGTTAATGTAGACTTTCCCAGCCAGCTTTCTCGTAAAACAACTTAAGTGTTGTTTTCCACAACTGTATATTTGTATTGATATTAATGTAGAAACAGTCAGTCACTCAGTACATCAAGTCTGAATGGAACTGGACTCTTAAGAAACATGTAAACACATAAGCCAAACTCAACTCACAAGTCTAAATATGAACGTTTTTTAGATGTCTAAATGTAGATCAAGTTTAGACCTAAAGAAGTCTAAGTCTGGGCTATATCTATACTACACTGTATATTGCTCAACGCCTATTATAATTATTTTGGTTAAGTACTTGGAGATCAGTTATGCTACTCACAGTTGCTTTTTGAAATAAATAGTTATCGAATAATGGGTCAAAGTACAACGTCTAATTTCCATCTGAAAATATACAGAATCTAGATGGTTGAAATTAGGTCAAAAAATAAACTAGATGTCTAATAGCCATCTATTGCTCAGTGGCCGAAATAGCACCAAGATAGAACTTCTTATGGTTTGGTCTAATATACATAGCATTCTCTGTCATGTGTATAGCTCAGTCGAACTGAAACTGGCCCAGGTAGTTGAAAAGCATGGATGTATTGCTAGGAAGCCAGATAGTTAACAAACCATGACAGATGAAGAAAGGACGTGAAAAAGATTAAACTTTCCCAAACAAATGGAACACACAATATCACAATATCATGTTCTTCCCTGATGTTTTTTGCTGGTCGAACTTGAGCTGATGGCCACACAGCTTGACACTGGCCCAATGATTTCCAGTAGAACTGCAACATTTAGCCTGTATTCGTACTTTTCCAGAAAATGTGCAGAAACATGCACAACAAGTATGCAGTACAGATAAAAAGCCCCTTTCATAATAGGAAAGCATTAGCTTTTTCCACCTACCTCTAAACCAGAAGTAGTATTTTACTTTATGAGAGCACATGACACAGCTAATCTCCCTCTGAGATTTGCCTATGCAAACGGCAAGTTCCTCAAAATCATCTAGCTATGTGCAAAAAGGGCTCACCGGACACAACCCCAAAGGTTGGATATCCTACATGGGGTGATCGGTGTTAGAGTTTCTGTCCTGTAATGATGGACTGCTCCTCAGACAGCAGTAAAGTCTCACTATGAACCATCATTTTGTTCTTCAGAATCAGAAGTGACTTGTTATTAGGCAGGACTCGTCATCAGTGTGTTAAACATCATTGTTTCAGACTTGACGAGATAAACACCTCAAATTTATTTCCTGTAATAATGTTTGCTCACAACAGACAGGAAGTTGGATCTCCTGAATGTCTGTCGAATGCAGATCCGTGTTGTTTCCTAGCAACAGAGTCCCACTGAGAATTTGTATACATATTTAAAATCCTGCATTATGTCACTTTAAATATACATAGTCATTAATTAAACCTGGCTGTTTTATCAGCTTTCAGACTCTACTGCAGTATATTTAGGATTGGAAATCAGACCTGTTTATTCCAGCCTAAATCTTCTGCTTCTGTTTTCTATAAAAGTCAAGCAGCTCTGTCTTGACTTCTTTTTCTTTGACAATTTCCAGTCTGTTTATATATGAAGCAGACACAGCATTGCTGAAATAACTAAGACACACAGTCCTCCCTCTGTCTAGGAGCCGGTTCACGTGTGTCTATTTTGTCACCAAGTTTGCGGTCTGATATGTAGAGGGCATTCAGTCATACTGTGGTGTTTTCATGCCAGTGGATTCTTAGACAAGATAGTACTCATTCCTCTGTGCCTCTTAGATTAATTTCATCGTCCTTTTGTTGCCATGTTCCTCTGAAGCAGATGTCCGTTCATAGAAATCTGACAGGCAGGCAAATATCCAGAATAGGAAATCAGTGTATCCTTGCAATTTCTCAGGATTATTCATTTTTTCCCCTATTCCAGCCAAAAAATCACTGGACAGAGGTTGTAGTTGAACTTGTGACTTCCTACTGAAGAATTTTGATCGCTTTCCATGTCTGGCAGCCATCTTTCTCTGATCGCCAAAGTCAGGATCTGCCTGTGAGAAAGTATTTTCCCAGAACAAATATGCGCTGTGATGGAAGGAGGGGAAGAGAACCAGGAAGGTCATTGTCTTAAATTTTACAAGCCCTTTGTTTGTTTTGGTTGTAATTTTCTAATTTCTTTATAGCTAGCTGGAGGGATGTTTGTGTTTGATACTCTTACAAAGATACCCACACTCGCTCTCACACGCACGGCTGTGTGGATTCAGTTGGTGGTTGAAGCCGTTTACGGTGTGTCCCTGGGGATAAGGTCTTATTTGCATAGTTCATCTGGAAAACATTTCCACTTCTCCATTCCCAGGTTTATCAAGTACACAGTGTGAGTGTAATAGTGCATGTAAAAAGAGAAAAGGAGAGAGAGAACGGCTTGGCTTCTTGATATCTAACTTCAGGAAAACATATTTCAAACATGGGAAACTTTCTTCTCCACCCATATTTCCTGAATGATCATCTACATTTTATCGTCCCCTCATTTGTTGTCAAAATAAACGTGTCTGACAAGTCCCTTGGTGCCGTTTCATGCAAAACGCTTAAAGCTTGATGACTCCCATTCCTCGTGTTGTTTAGTTACTCTGCACCGTAAGCTTCTTTTCTCATGCCAGGATCTAATTTCTCTGGTAATGTGAGATTGATAGGATGGCCGCTCACTTGATTAATTACATGAGTTTGCATGCTTACACACTTGCTATCTTGCACGTAGCACACAGCTGTCCTTAAGGACTAATCTGATCGTGAGATTTAAAGCAAAACATGTTAGTGATTTTTTTTGTTAGCCACACCATCTTGGAGTATGTAATGTCTTGGGGCATCCTTTAGCGCTTAGAAATTACAAATAAAAAGAGGCGTCAGTTATAATTTCAGTCAGTAAATCTGTCATCCTTATGTCAGCTCTGTGGTACAGAAGCGAAACTGCTCTGGTTTGACAAAGACTACAAATTCTGAACACTTTGAGAAGTCAGCTGGAGACTGCGCAGATGTTGAACTTGATACAAACTGAGGCCTCTGTGTCTTGCTGGTGTTGTTCTGGTTGATCGGCCTCCTTGATAAATTAATCTGGTATCCTTCTTAATCCTCTAACTGTGTCAGAGTCGTGCCCAGAGTCAATAATGAGGACCCATAGTGGACATGATAGTGGGTTTTTGGAGGTGGTCTCTGGTTTAACTGTGGCATTAGTGAAGGGGATGTAGGGGTTTATAATGTTTTAAATTCAGAGGTTATGGCCCTGGTATAGAATGGTAATCCCTCAGGATTACTGGGGAATCTGGTGAATATCTGAGGAAATCCCTGTTAGTGACTCTTAGATCCTCCGTTTTTACGGATATAATAGCCTCTAACTGCATGTCCACGTGTGTTTACAGAATAGAGGTTTACAATTTTGTATATGTATAAATTCATATCTATAAACCAGAGAAATTAGAGGAAACATAAACATCTGAAAAACAAATAATAAACAGTTTTGAACAAAATGTTTTCATCAGTTTTCAGTTTTTATTTGTTAATGGAGTGTTTCAGCATATTTAAAGCCTTTTTTAGGAACTCTCTGTTTGTGTGAATGTTGGCGCCCCCTGTGGGCAGTTATATCTCTGATCTCTTTGCTTATCTGGTCTTGTACAAAAGCTCCTCCTATTGTCTTTTAAAAGTCTATTACAACTCACGATGGGACTATTTTCTGTAGCAACAGTGACCAAAAAAAGATAACTCTTTACTGTGCTTTAAATTATCCCCTCTGCGGTTACAGGTATTAAGATTCATGATCTAGAAATTGTCAGTCTTTTTGCCAATGGTCATGTTCGTGTTGTTAGGGCATAAAGAGGCCTCACTGTTCATTTCAGTTTCATAACCAGTTAAAACTCCTCACAGGGGCTGTAAAAACTTAGTAGACTATAGAAACTTACTGAGTCATTATAATCGTCACAATAAGTCTAATTTGAAGAGGAAAATATAATGCAGATGTCTTCAGACAAGTCACTGATTTCCCACAGTCATTTTGGAAAGCATACTCAGCCACTTCCTGTGTTATGCCAGTCATCATTTTGTGATAAATGCGGAAACTGGAGGGTCATAAATATTTATCATGCTTCCTTCACACTGGAAATGCTGTAAATCGGTCTCTCTCAGGTATTTACATCTGTTGGCGTAATAATGCATAAATAAACCAGGCATACACTAATCTGCTGAAAGATTTCATGTGTGCATGACACATTCACTGCTGTGTTCACAGAGTTGTAAATGTGTGCATTTGTGTGGACTGATAGATCTGCAAAGGCCATAGCACCAAGAGCGACACCGCTCTTATGTGTTGTTGTTTCACATGACTGATCTTATGTGTTTTTTCATGTATTCAGCAGAAGCGTTCCACCTCCTACCTTCAGATTTTGGCTCCCCCTGAAGCCAAATGGCCAAATGGGAGACATTCAATACCATTACAATGACGGGATTCCCTTCGGACAAGGAGAACTGCACACACACATAAACACAGGCAGCCAGACACACACATATGAACTTGCCAAAGGGCTCTCCCTGCAGATGAGCTGGGTCATTTTTCATTACCCTGGCTCAGAGGAATCAAGTGTGTAGTAATAGAGCACAATCACATTGAGCCAAAGCTATGGAGGGATAAATCCTGACTGTAGAGCACAGGGGCTGCGGGACAGTGGCATATAGCTCCTTTTTTCACTCCTGTATTTGTCATTTGAAGCCCTCAGACCAGAGAAGGGGAATTTTTGCCACTGCATCACGCTCATACTGTCTCATCTTGTCCCTCTGTTGCTTCTGTTTTCTTTATTATGTTCCCTCTCTTCGTCTGACCGCCTCATTTACCGCCTGTTTGTCTGTTTTGCTCTTCAAACTCTTCCTTTGTGAGTTCATTGCCTAGCTGTCCTTACTGAGTGAGCATGTGTTGTTCTTCTTCTGTACACCTGTCCCTATACTGATCTTTTAGTTCACCTGAGCCAGTATAGCCCGAGGCCGAGCATGGGGAGGTATGATGGGAGGATTGGTGAGGTGGAATGAAGGGTTGGAGTAGGGGGGAGGGTTGCCTTTGAAAAACTGTGAGTGCGTATCAACTTTGCAGAGCGAAGTGATTCTCTTTTCAGTGCCATCCAGGGATCATGGTGCTGTTGTTGGCTGGATTTAGGCACTTTGTGTAAGGAAGCTCCGTGGAATTTGTGTTTTCACTTTAAGTTCAAATACCCTGGAGTCTAACCTCTGTCTGTTACAGTGTGTTCACATTGTCTTACAGTGTCTCCTCCTCTAAGTGCCCTACATTTCTGGCAGAGTGCTCAGCAGAGACAGCTACATCTCCCTGAGAGTTGTCATGACAACTTTTGTTTGCATCTTTGGTTCAAGAGCAAGGAAGGGGGACTAAGGGTTGGTCAAACATTTATGCATGTCTGTGTGTGTATCTGTGTGCTTGACAGTGCAGGTTGTGTCCGTGCCACTCAGCTACTCAGAAGTGAGTGCTTCTAAAACCTAAGAGTTATATGGATGGAGGCGCACAGAGCTCTTATAAAGCCAGTGCCTTGAACGATGTCGCTCTGTGGCTGTCTTTCCTAATTGGCCTGGAGGGTCTTTGGAGGCCCTGAGGGACACACACGTACACGGGCGTGCACACACAAGGGCAAAATTAGCGAAAGGGACTGAGAGGATTTAGCCACTCTTTGCCCCAAAAACCCCTTTCTCCTCTCCCCTGCTGTTCTGGTCTCTGAGTACATGTTTAATAGGCTGGTAGAATACATTAGGACTGTGACACACACACATACACACACACGCACACGCAAACACACACTTTCCAGACAGGACTGTTTAATATTCAGCATGCTAAATGGTTGGAGTGTTTGGTATTCTATCCAGTCACAGGACACTGGATAGAGGCCACTGCAGTTCAACTACTCCACAGTTCACACTGCCCTTGAGTTACACCATGTGTTCAGTGTGTGTGTGTGTCTGTGCGTGTGTGTGTGTTTATTTGTTAACAAAAACATAAGAAACAAGCAGAAGAAGCGTCAGAGTGATAAATAAAACCAAGGATGAGGATAACTGATGACAGGGTCTAGAGGACTTCTAGACACCTAGCACACAGATTTAAAAGAAAAGCACACACAAACATACACACACACGTACACACAAGCACTCACACACTGTCTGCAATTATATAGAGGATACTATTATCAGCCTTAGTGCAGAACCAAACGTTGTGCTCTACGTCACTTTGACTCTCTGTGTGCATTGCCGGCAGTATCAGTGAACACAGGGTCACTTGGGTCTGCAGTGATTCTCACTGTGTGAATTATAGATGAAGAGGGGAGGTGTGGGTGTAAACGATCCTTCCCCTGCGAGTGACTCTCACATACACACACATGCACACACGGTGACAGCCTAGATCCTTGCAGATCAACCCCCATGAACACTAAGACCGTGTTTCATTGAGATAAAAGTCTTAAAGACATGACATCACTGGTAGCTATTTGTCCTGAACCCCTCTGCTCTTCTTGTCAGGCTGCTGGTCCTCTGGCTCCCCCTCTCGCTCTGATCACTTACCCTCTTCCTCTGTTCGGGAGCTACTCTGATAATCAAGATCTTTCATATGAAAGTCAAAGCTGATGTATGAGCAGGCTTTATCAACGCTGTGTTTCCTTTATACTGGAAGGAACATCCAGCCCTTATGGGTGAAGGAAAAACTGATCAGAGGAAAATATCTCAGAGGAAAAGCAGGGCCTGAAAGAGGAGGATCAGTATTGGAGGCTCTTCCCTCCTTTGGGACATAAAGTCAAAGAGGAAATCCTCTTTCGAATATTTTAAGCACAACTCCAGAATTGACCAGCTTCAACACACACTCACTGTGGCGCAATGTCAACAAGAAAGCCTTCGTTTTCTTTGCCGTTATCAAGAGCACAGTAACCGGGGTCCTGTCGTAGACTGTTCAGTCTTAATTTCAATTAAAAGCCCTGTAACATGTACCGTAAGTACATGTGAATGAGCACATCTATTTGACCTGCTTTCAAAAAGCACCATAGTTAAGGTTATTTTTAAGCAGCTGAAAGAGATAGTGAAAGAAGATATTATCTGATGGAATGGAATTGAAAGAATCGCAGAGAGACAAGAATTTATCAAGGACAAGGTTAGGCTATTGTGACTACAAGACACATTTAAAGGTACCCGACCAATTCAAGGTGTTAACGCTTTGCTTTTCTGTGTTATCATCACCATTTTTGCTTGCCTTTCTCTGACTCTGACTCTCTGTCATTTAAAGCTATGGTTTTAAACGTTTTTCATTAATAAATCCATCGAAAAGTTTGAAAAAATAACAGTGTGAGACTATTTTGGTTTTATAATAAGTATAGAAAGCAAATATTCAAATAGAATAGTACTAAATGAGCGACTGTGGTCTGGTTTGTGTCAATGTTAAGTTAGAAAGTTTCAAAACAGCTGGTATAGAGATTTTTTTTTTGTTGGTTCATTCTGACAACAAATTTAAACTACTGCTACAGCTGTTGCATTAAGACCTATTGATAGACAGGTAGGATAGTAAAGTATTAGTTCACACAGAAGATGTGTGAAACAGCCAGTGTGAACCTTTTGGATCTTTCCACATTTGGCAGCCTGAGTCTTTGCATTTCTTCAAGGCTTGAGGTTCCTCAAAGCTTAAGTTCTTATGTCTTTATTGTGCCTCCTGAAACACCTCACAGCAATGTTTCTGCAAGCAGCGTTTAAAATTCATAGGCATCTTCATCTTGAAAGTTGTGGTGAAAGTTGTGATTTTATGTAAAGATGTCGAGATGTAAAGAAACATCTGAAGAGAAAAACAGAGAGAGACTGGTAAAGTCTGGGAGTCTGGCTTTGTAGTAAAATAAGAACAAAGCAGGGTTGGTTACAGAAATATCTCCAGCTTGTTTGAAGTGCCAGTGTGTTTCTGATTTTAAAAAACGCCCTAACTGGAACCACATTTTGGTCCCAGAGTCACACACGGGCAGGGAGGGTGGAGCCCACAGACACACACACACACACACTTGAACAAACAAAACAGATCTCTCCGGTCAGTCTTTTCTCTAGACATTCCTGGCTGCCTTTCTATGACCCTCCCTGCTCTGAAGAAGTCTGCATTCAGCCTCCTATTATTTTTCCATCAAGGCAAACATCACCTTTTCAGCTTTTTATGTAGAAATACTATACATTTTGCTGAATCTTATGTTGTAATGTAATACGCACCAGATGCAGACAGTGTTACATCAAAACTGACGACGAGCCATAAAGTCTATTCAGCTATAATGATCTCAGCATCATAAATCACTGTTGTGTCAGACCATGCTTGCTCTCAAAGTGACGTGTTTAAGAGTGTGTGTTTGTTTAGTCTCCATAAATACAGCAGATGTAGACCAAGACAGACGGAGAAAGACAGAGAGTGAGAGTGTAGAGTGTGTACGTATGTGTGTGTGTCAAGCGTATATGCCTACCGCAGCGTCCCACAGCCAGGGTCAAAGAGATTCTCCATCTTGCTTTAATTAACTGTTCAGCTGTGTTTATATCACATTCCACCAATATAGGTTACCTTTTCCAGTACGCACCATCAACCCTGTCCCCCTGCTCGACCTTAAAACCTGACTCTCCGCCTGTTAAACCCACCTCACCCATCCAGCTCGTTCTCCCTTGGACCCCCAGCTCCATAGAAACGCACAAGATCAGCACCTCATTATGACCACACCTTAGCCAGGAATAGAAGCCCACTGGCTCCATAACACAGGCCCAGATATGTCACACCTCCAAGTGTTTGTCACCTTGTGTTTTTTGGCAGAAACACCCTCTGTAGGTCAGTGAAGGGTAGACTTATAATGCACAAGAAACATTAATTCACACGTTTATTGTTCTTTCCTGCCTTGCTTCCTCTCTTCCTTCCTCTTCCTCACTTATACCCTCATCCCTCTCTGACATCCAGCTCCTCTGGACCTCCTCAAATCCACTCTAAACAGGAACCATACCTCATAAACTATTCCTGTGAAAGTGTTCAGAATCTTCCTACAGACATTTTTTATGTTTCGCTCTCCTCCTCTGTGCGTCCTTTTAACCCCATTCATTCATTCCCTGCCGATCTTCATTTTCCCCTTCTTTTTCCCCAGCCTATTAAACTCAGGCCCCTCATGATAGCAAACTGAGGAAGCCTCAAATAAAAGGAGACATGTATTTCACTGGAGAATGTGAAGGAAAAAAGGGGTATATGTATTTAAGCCAAAAAAAAAGAGTCATCTGGAGATGTTTAAGTTGGACAGGCCAGTTTCCGGTGTCTGGAATGGGCCAAAAATATCCAGAAACAGAAGAATCCGGCAGAAGGGGAACGGATACACCTCCTTGTTTCTCATGTGACATTTAGCTAACTAAGCTGAATTTGGGATTGCAGCATGTACAGATGTCTCAACAAGCTTGTTCAAGCCAAGCAGATTTATAATTTACATAAATTTGATTTGTCTTCTTGCTGGCTCATGTCTGGAAAAAGAAGATTCCTCGTGAATCTTGCAAGTTTGACTGATTAGGGATTGGCCGCCATATTGCAAATATGGTGCAACTGCATGTGATTCACACAAACTTATTTACATTCAAGAAAAAAGATAAGAGAATCTGCCTCATTGACATGCAGAAGCATTAACAAGAGTCTTCCATGCATGTATGCATACTTTGGCTACTTTATGTCCTTCTCATAACCTGGGGATTATTGTAATGGGTCTACAGTAATAAAGAGCAGGCAGGCATACACTTGCAGAGTCACTCAAAAACTTTACTGACAGCAGGTAAGGCCTGCAGGCTTTCTCCTGTGGCACACATTAGTATCTATTTATAGTGCCAAAAACTGGACCAATTTTGTTATGTTAACAACCTGTGGTTTCAACGGCTGCTGCCACAGCTGTGTTAGGTGAACACAAGTGCCCAATTTAGTCAGAAAAAATATTCCAACGGCCGCAGTAGACTGAAAGACAAGAAATAACTCAAGCCCTGTGCTCCAGAGAAAGGAAATGGGTTTTCTTAAGATGCAAGGAGGACATGCTAGAAGGAGAGGGGCCAAACAGACAAGTGTTGTGAAGATCTAACCAAAACTAATGCTCTGTTTTGCAAAATGTATTGATTGAAAGGTTAGAAAGCTTATGTAGCTAATGGTATAGATTTGGTATGAAACTGATGTTAAAGCCAAAAGTCATGTAAGGATAGGGTTTTTTAAGGCAACTCATTCTCCCACACTAAGACTCAAAGTAGCCAACAGTTGATTCAGCAGTACACAGACAATGATCAGCTCATTGTTATGTTTCAGTGGACCATTACATGTTTCAAAGACGGATTGTTGGTGTATTTTGCAGACAGAGATGTCATTTTTTCTATTTGCAAACACAATACAAAGAGAGAAAGAGGGGGAAGAGAGAGAGCGGTCTGCAGTTTCTCTCAGTCTCATGGCTGTGTGAGCTGCAGCAGAAAATTTCCCCTCCACTCCTCCTCTCCCCGCCCCCACATCTTGCCTCCATTATTCCCGTGTTTTCGAAGCAACTCCGGTGACAGAGAAACACAGCGGTGAAGAAGTGAAGACGGCTCACACCACACGTTTGACCGCTGGACATCTCTTCCGGTCGCCTGCCCGCCCCCCCTCGGGTTGCTGACCGTTGGTACGGTCTCTTGCTATCCGCACGTTCGCGCACCGTTTGTGCACGGTGCCGGTAGCGAAAGGAGGAGGAGGAGGAGGGGGTTGGTCGACCGGGACTACCACCGTGAGAAGCTCTCTCTCTCTGCTGCTTTCCGAAGGAGGAAGGAGGGAAGCAAGCTTTGGGGAAAAAGAAACGCCTAACGGTCGCTTTTAATTAACGCCCGAGCAGGAATGGCGAGGATAGGAGATGTAACGGCTCTGTGACGTGTTGAGGATACAGAGGAATATACAGCGACCAGCGTCTGTTGTAATTAACGTGAACTAATGGTCACTAACATGGATGCTGATGTGCCTCCTCCCCTAGGCCGGCCGGGAAATGGGGTTTATTTTGACGATTTTCTGGCAGTAACACGACTCGTTTCTTTTTGGGATTAATAATTTCGCTTTTTTTAATTGTTTTTCTTCCCTTGCTGGAGTCAGTTTTGTGTGGGAGTGTCGCTGTGAGCGTGTCTTTGCAAGGTAACTAACTAATAATAACATTACTGCCGTCGACTGAGCATCACTGTCAGCTGCGTTTGTGTGTATGTTATTTTGAAACGCTGTGAATGTGACTGCTTTTTATACATTTTCCTTCCCTTATTTTTCAATCTCGTTTCTTACCAGTGAGTCAGGTTTGAAGATGAAGGATAGACAGCCCTAAACTGACTGGTAATCGGTCAGAAATGTTGGAGGGTAACATACAGCATGAATCACTCAGCGGTGGGCTACATGGTGATGGAGCTAACATGTGTTATTGTTGGTCTTTGTTTTTCTCATTAGAGCAACGTTTTTTTTTGTAGTGCTAACAACATACAACAGAGGCCTGACCATGCCATAAAGAGTGATGTTGCTTACCTGGCTAAAACTGCCTCATTGTGGAGGTATAGTCTATTGCATTCAGTTCAACTTCACAATAACTCTTCTTTTAACTCTGTGTGATGACAAGAAGCCATATGCAGGGATTTTATAAGGATACAAATTTAGTGGCATGTGTCCAAAAACATCTGTCTCCTTGGGCTTTGCCTATGGACAGGGATTATAACCTTGGCTTTAACGTTTATACCATTTCCAGGTGCCTATAGCAAGATGTCAGGGACTTTGCATAGTCTGTCTGCATTGAAGTTTATTGCAGAGACAATAATTAGGGAAGAAGTTTCACTGTATTCTTGTTCTCTCCTGGGTAGGTTAGTTAAGCTGGTAAAGCCCAGAAGTCATTGAAGTAGTAAGGCAATATTTTTAGTATAAACATCGGATATTTTAAACTCTAAGACAGAAGGCTCGGAGATGAAAACAAAATCCTTTGTTGGAAAATTGAAGTGTGTGTGTGTGTGTGTGTGTGTGTGTGTGTGTGTGTGTGTGTGTGTGTGTGTGTGTGTGTGTGTGTGTGTGTGTGTGTTACTGTGTGCACAGGTGCACCCAATCTAAACCCTCAAACCACAGGAGATCAATGGTGAGTGGGTAGGGTAAACTGAACCCTTCAAAGTAGCCAGAAGCCACACACACATTAACACACACATAGTCATTCAGCAGATTTCACACAGGAATGAGTGTTGAGACATACCACTGTCACTCATCTATGAAGCTATTTTGGTATCTTCAGCTCTCTGCTAAACTCTCACCTGTAACCTGTCACCTTAATGTAAGGTGGCTCCGGTTGTGGGAAAGTAGTTGTGCTCATGCTGTGGACACACCCCTACCAAATTGCAGGAGCCTCAGGTGGTCAACTTGATCCTCATGGTGAGGAGTTACAAACCGGTTGTGCTTGTGCTCATGTTTACGGCATTTATGGTTTCTCATAAGACATGAGAAAAATTAAAATGTTCCCCACCCTTTCTCCCTACTCCTTTCTTTGAAAAATTTCTTCCACCGCTCCACACACACCCACACACAAACCCCATCCTCCTGGTCTCCCTCCCAATCTCCCAGATGTGAGGGAAATGTGGGAGGAACCAGGGGGTGTTTGTGTTCCTCAGGGTCCCCTCTTCCTGTTACAGTTACTTGCAGAGAAACTCCACATGTGCTGAGAACACCAGCACACACATACATACCCCAAAACAGATGCAGAATACTCTGGCACAGTTATTTATTTATTTATTTATTTATTTGTTTTTTAGAAATGCTTGACTTTATTTCTGCAGTGAATCACTATACCATTTGACTTGTTTTCATTGGAGTTTTATCATGCTGTCACAAACAGATATGAATGTTTGGTTTAACGTATACACATGCAGTAAATCTCTCTCACAGTTGACTGTTCTTTATTGCACCTGCTCCAGTGTTAATGTCTGAACCTGGAAGAGAGACATTTTTATTATGCAGGACTATTCAGTAAGCTCTATATTGACCAAAACACTCCACAGAAACTTTCTTAAAGGGTACCTCAGTCATTCTGGTCACTGTAGTCCACTGGGGGATAATGTACTTCCTGCCACAGAGGAATGCTAGAAATGTTCCTTAGGAGGAGAGTGGTGAAGGACATTGTCTCTTTTGGTCCATTGTCTCCAGTTGTCCTTTGTGTATTTGATTGAAGAAGCTGCATATCAAATGTCTCTGTCGAGTGGAGACCTATATAAACTTTGCTTTTGCTCTGCGTTGGCATGACATGTCAATCTGTAATATATCTAAACAAGCAAATTAACAGAGTCCATTTCATTTCTGTCTTGTTTTAGATGACAGAGGGGAGGCGATGTCAGGTCCATCTCCTGGACGACAGGAAGCTGGAGCTCCTTGTACAGGTAAGTCTCTCCTCCCGCTGTTCTTCTGCTCTCTTTTCCTTTCTTCTTCCCCCATTCTTTGCGTAGTATTCTGTCTCGAAAGGGAGCAATAAATGCTGTCTGTTGTCTGAAGGGACCCAATCGCTGCTGACTAAGGGTAATGCAGTCAGCAGTAGGTGACTTTGCTTTTTCTTGATGCTCCCTCAATCGTTCCACACAAACACCCCCCACAAAATCACACAAGGACATGTAGCAGCAGACCCTGTCCTGATTTACTCTTTTTACATAAGCCTTGCATCTCAGTACAGAGTTGTACTCATTTTTAGTCTCCCAACTACTACCATCAAATATCTATTTGTTATTGACAAATCTCCCTTACATCTTGGAGCAACAAAGCAGCATGCTGCCCCTCTCCTAGTACACAGAGCCTTCAATAATCTCAGCAGGTCTTTCTGCAGTAATGACCAAAGGCAGCAGCAGCACTCATAACACCATAGTATCTCCCACTCATGCTACTAAAGGCTCCTTACCTTTATCAACTATTTCTTGTTAAGCAGTTATTTTTTATTTAAAAGGCAAGGTGGAAACCTGGGTATGGAATTTTTGTTGTGTCAGACTGTAACCCAGATTCATCAGTCAGGGTTTAGTTGGGGTGTGGCTTTTCCTCACTGCTCAAGTCCAACCTTCCTTTGTCTCTTCTTCATTGATTGTTGATCATATTTCCTTTGCTCACCTGTATCAGCCCTCTCATACTTTGATTGAAGCATTTTCCTTCAAGTACCTTCGACTCTTCCTCACCTCTGGCTCTTTCAGTCCCCTTTGTGCTCTATTACCTGCTTCCACTTAGAAAAAAATGAAAAATACAAAAGAGGGTAATTGCCCTGGAACAGGATAAAATGAGCAAGTACTGAAGATTGACACAGAAACTTGGGCGGGTGAGATGGAAAAGTGAGACAGGAGCTGAGGAATAGAGGAGAGATGATTCTGAAGAGACAGGAAGAGAGGGAAAGAAAATGGAGTGGAGAGCTGAGGAGTGGTCTGCTGACTTTCTGATTTGATTACCCTGCCAGAACTGATCCTCTCTTACAAATTGGTACTTCTCTCTGCTCCTCTTTTCTTCTCTCTATCTTTCGCTCCCTCTCTCCATCTTCCTGACTCTTCACTCTTCACTCCTTATCTTTTTGTCTCACTCATCATACCCTAGCTTGTCTTACTGGTCTTTGCCTATCCATCCATATCTCTGTCTCCTCAGTCCCATAATAACATCAGCTGTCATGTATTTTGTCCATCCATCCCCTTTTCTGCTCAAATTAAATGGCATTACAGCAAAATTTATTCTAGGTATAGAGTTTTTCTACAACTAAACCCCTACTGTTTACCTCATAATACAAAAATGGTCGTAAATGGTATTTTTAAAGTTTAAAAATGGTTCTGTAGTATAAAAAGCACAAGTTATGACAAAAGTCAGGGAGAAGGGATGTTGTTAAAAAACACTTGCCTTGTAAATCAGGATACAGCTGTTTTTTTCTCAACTTTTGACATTGCCTCTCTTCAATCTGAGGATGTTCAACAGCTGTCCACAGGAAATTACCGTGTTATTCTGAGTGCTGTGGTAAACCAAAAAGCTGCCAGGACCTTTACTCATTCATAAAAAAGGATTCTTGAAGGCATGATCATAAAACACATGCTTACCAGAAAGTTGTGTTGAGTATTTGGGCAGATTTTTTTATCCTTCTTGTATACTTGATTCTGTCAGCAGTAGCACTATTAAGTCTGTCCTATTGATACCATCTGATAGCTTGCCTCTGAAGCATCTTATCGCTTTCCTATCTTTTTTTTTGTCATTTACTTGCCAAACTAATGATCAAACAGCTGCCCAAACCCAGAGGTGTTATTCCTCCATTACCCTTTCCACCTTCCCTTCCTTCTACCTTTGTGAGTGTGTCTTCAGTGGTTACTTTGTGGAGTAACGGCTCATTGGCAGGAAATTATGTGCCAGAAGGCCAGCACACCCACTGGCCAGGGGTAATGATGGAAGCCAAACTCCAAATGTGCAAATGTGTAACATGTATGTCAGTCATAATGGCAAAAAGTGTTTGGGGGTTGTCACTGAGCTGGGTATTAAGTTCAGTGAAGGGACATTTCAGGGTTTTTTACTGTAAGATTGTAAGACGCTATTTAAGAATATGTACAAATAGCACTGGTTTACACACAAAAATGTGTAGGGTACGAGGCTTAAAAACCTTTTCCTCACCCACTCTTGTACTCTTTAAGTACTGCCAATGAAAAATCACTGCCATAAATCTGAGCAATCCTGTCAGCACCAAGGGCCTGGCTTGCTGTTTGCAGAGATTGGACTCTGACTTTCTGCCAGCCAGCAGAGTGAGCTACTGTTGTGTGTTTGTCTGAAGGTTTGCTTAGCATGTCTCTTCCTTATTGGCACCTCCCTGTAATTCTTAACCTGTTAATTACCTGTGCTGCTGAGGAGGCACAGGCTAGATGTCTGTTAGCAATAATGCTGTTAAAGCTAGCTGAGGGCTTTCAACACCCATTAGATGGCTCTGTAGTGTGTGTTGTGTGTACATACGCTTGTGTGTATTTTTGTAGAAGTGGTGGCTGCAAGATCTGTATCTGTGTGTGTATTTGTGATGTGTTTTATCACTCACTGCATAATATTTACCAGTTTTGTGTCTTTGTCTCCATGTTGTCTTTTCAAAAATTAGAGTGTCCACGTGTCCTTGTCACCCTGCTCATTACTGGTTATGCTTTGGTGGCATGGGTGTATTTAATTGGTACTTTTGTCAATGCTGTAAACTGCAGTGTCGTAATGAGAGGCCACAACAGTCTGTCTCAGACTAAGCCAAAACATGAATTACTGCTAATACTATGAAGAAAGCCTGTTTCTAACCTTACATTTCCACATTTTTCACGTGTTGATGTCCTCAGTTTTCCTCGAACACAGCTGCATAAACGCCCCCTGCAGCAGGAGCCGTGCTGTTTTCTATCTGACACTATTATCTTGTGCAAGTCTAACAGGCAGGATCGACCTATATGTTAGCTCCTTCTCTTGCATCTTCTCTCTCCTGATCCTCTCTGTGTTGCAGCAGGATCACTGTAGGCATTGTGCTCATATGAGATTTAGGTCATTGAAGCTGTGTGCATATGTGTAAGTGTGTCTCTGTGCGCATTTGCTGTCTGCATGACATCACCTCCTTCTCTTTAAATAGCTCCCAGTGACTGTCACTGTAGTTGTGCACTGAGTAGATAGCACGAGACCTCAGGGGAAGATTTTCACGAATGTGCACACTCGGCACTGGGCACACTGATGTACGAGGTGTGTGTGCAGAGTGTAATTTGTGCTTATCTCTCCTGCATGCACAGCACATGCCTTCATCCTCTTTGTTGAGTATGGGCTTTGAGTTTGTTATATGTGCATGCAGATTTGTGTGTGTGTGTATGTGATAAAAATGCAGGCAGTGAGGCACACCCATGGTTAACCTCAGGGTGGGGCTTGCAGTTGCTCAGGATGTCACAGACCAGCAGCACAAGGCAGCGGTCCCAGGCCTCTGCTTGGCTTCAAGATGGTCTGAGTGCAGTGATGAATGGAGGTTGTCATTACATACAGCACTGGTAGTACTCCACTGTATTCACTTGCTAGCAAGTTCTGCTAGCTGCAACCCTCTCCCTGCAGTACAGTGGTTGAGCCCAGAGCCATGACTCTGCAGTAGAGGTGTGGGTCAGAGAGGCGGAAAGGAGAGAGGGAGGGAGGGGAAGGGCAGGGTTCCTGCACTGTCAGCAACATCCACACACTCCATCCATCTTTCTCACACACTCTCTCTCTCATTTATCCCCTGTTTTCTGGCTCTTTTCCTCTTTTTTTTTTCACACTGTTTGTCAGAATGCTTTGTCATTGCAGTAAATCGATAGCTGATTCATGCATTAGCATAACGCTCTCACACATTTACTTGTTCCAATTTAAAGTAAGGTGTGATAAACCACAATACCCAAACCAAAATCATGATATAACTGATAAATGAAACAATCTGAGACTAATAGGATACTAATATTTCTCTCTCTTTCCAGCCCAAGCTGATGGCTAAGGACCTGCTGGACCTTGTAGCCTCTCACTTCAACCTCAAAGAGAAGGAGTACTTTGGAATTGCATATACAGATGAAACGTAAGTCATTTTCCAATAGTTTTATATCCAAAAAAACAAGTGCAAATGGTGAATCAGTGGCCAAGGACTCTTCAATTTATCTTTTTGGTAGAATTGGGTTTTTCTGTGCTCTCCAATGACTACACTGTTCATTCTGGTTATTTTAGCATTTGCACTCCTGTTTGGATAGATAGGAGTATGTTGGACATTATATCCTTAAAGCTGGAAATAAGCATGATTCGTATCAATGTACAGGTGCAACAGGTTGGGCTGATAAGCAGTGCATAGCTAAAAGGCCATTCAAGTGGAGTTTACTGAATGGGAACCTCTCTATGTGCTCCTTTGGACTTTAAGAACCAACTTACAGGGATTTTGATGTTTACAATGTCCTGAGTGCCTGAAACCTATGGGTGAGGGAGTTAATGGTTTCTTGAGAGTTTCTATAACTATACTCATGTTTGATGTTGATATGGTACGATGATATTAGGAGTAGTGTTTATGGTTATGGTCAATGGATATTCAAGTATTTTGGAAATGTGTCAAATGTCTGCCTCCTTGCTGGGTGAAGCCACTCCGAGAACAGCACCCTCTGTTGACGGGCTGCAGTATAGGCCATAAATCCTGCCTCCGCCAGCAATGCTTATGGAGCTGTGGACAAACTTTAGAAATTTATTACATAGTACATACATTTTTCTCTCCCCTGCTTGCAGTGTTGACATGTAGTTACAGTAAGACTAGTTTGTGTTCAAGTCCTGTTTTTTTCTGTGAAGCTCCGTTTTTAAAAGTTATTAGGGGGTTCATGTTTTCATGTTTGATGTTGATATGGTACGATGATATATACTGTTTGAGCCGAGCGTCATCACAGCAACTCTCGGCGACTCTCCCGCCAAATGCATACAACGCTACTGCGCAATGCTGGTTTTAGGAAATAAAGAAAAATCCCGGAAATACCGAGAGCTTTTTGGCTACAAATCCATATCCAGGCGGGAGGCAGAACCAAGTTGTCCATAGTATATAGAGTCTATGGTTTTGACCTGATAAATGTCTAGTGGGCTTTTCAACACTCCATAGCTCAGTTTTTTTTGTACTTTAATTTCTATTACAGTAGGCCAGTGGTTCTCAAGTCCAGTCCTCGAGGCCCACTGTCCTGCATGTTTTGGATGTTCCCCTGCTCCAACACACCTGATTCAAATGATCAGCTCGTTATCAAGATCTGTAATGGCTTAATAACAAGCTAATCATTTGAATCAGGTGTGCTGGAGCAGGGAAACATGCAAAACATGCAAAACATAAACATAACATAACAAAACATAAAAAAGTCTGAGTCTGAGTCTGAGGACAGTGGGCCTCGAGGACTGGACTTGAGAACCACTGCAGTAGGCTATTAAAATTTGGACAAAACCCCTTCTGTTAAGCTCAAGAATAAAAAGGGACATTTTTAGGTATTGCTGCTCCTATTTTAGTCAAAATATTAAAATCAGTCCAAAAATAAGAAACATTACACTGGTGTATAAACAGATGTGGGAAAGATCCCCACGTGACGTATAAAAGGTCTCTGGTACTCTGAAGTTATGATTGTCTTGCTCTAGACTAGCAAAAGATCACAAGTCTATGTCTGCCTCAAGATTTGCTACCAGGTCCCTGTTGGAAATGCAAAAATGACATTCAAATTAGTTTTATTGTGTTTGGTGACCTAGAAAGGCAGGCGTACCACCGCACAGTCCTGAACAAGTCATGCAAACTAAAACGATTTACATACAGACAAACATTGCAATGGCCTCTGTTTGGTTTGTTTTTTGTTTCATCTTGTGTACCCACTGATGTTACGGGGCTTTGACATATACTGTAACCAATGTCAACACAGCAAAGAAACACCCCCTTTGCAGTCTCAGTCCCCCAGGGCTAATTCTATGATGTGTACATTTGTTGCTTGTGTCATGGGAGAGCAGACACGTCAACTCTGACCGTTCAGTGGTCAAAGAGGCTGTGTGAAGGGAGAAGAGGGAGAACGAGATTGAGAGAGTAACATAGGAGGAGGGAGACTTAGAGAGGGATGTTGCTCAGGAGACCATGTAGGGTTACCAGGGTGACAAGCTGGCGCTGCAGTTTTCTCTCGGTTGGAGAGGGGTAGAAAATTGAGAGGAGAGAGGGAGAGAAGAGGGGGAAACAAAGGGGGAGAAATAGTAACAGGAAGGCAAAAATGAGTTGGTTAAAAGTAAAAGCATTCACTCTTTTATGTAAAGATTTTCTGTACCCTTGTTGAAAACATCTGAGTAATATAATATATCACAGTTTTTGTTATTTGTCTCATCAGGGGCCATTTTAGTTGGCTGCAGTTGGACCGCAGAGTATTAGAGCATGAGTTCCCAAAGAAGTCTGGTCCAATCGTCTTATACTTCTGTGTCAGGTGAGTCTTTTTCAGTTCATTTCTCTAACCTACACTCTCAATATTCTCTGCTTGTGTTTGTGAGGATGAGGGAGTGAGAACGATGGATGCAGTGTGTGTGTTGTCAGTGTGTCTGTTGTATGTGTTTGTGTGCACACAGCTCTCGTGCCATAATAGGAACAGATTAACAAGGTTAGTTGTGACAGGCCCCAATGAAATTGCTTTGACCCAAGTGTTGGGCTCCCGCAACGGGGCCTCACAGCCAATCATGAGTCTTTTAGACCTCATCAGTGTGAGCTGCATGCAAATCCAATCTAACACTGTAGTTATGTTCTGATTTCAACCTGCTGTACTCCAAACATTTGGTCAGAAATGCTTTTCTCCTCGGGAAGGACCATTTCTATATCAGACAAAAGAGCCTTTGCTAGAATCATTTTGAGTTGTTAGCTTCTGCTTCACTGGGTCAGATATACTAGTGATCCCTGCCCTCAACAAATATCCATGACGTTATGGACTGAGCCTCAGTTCACAACCTACATAGCAACATGACGCACAGAACTTTGTTGAACAATGTCTTTGAGCTGTCATTCCCATTTGACATTTTCATTACTGCTTCAAGCTTACATAATTCAGTAACTGCAAACTAAAATCGTATTTTTAGCACTGCGACCTATTGTTCATTATTCCACATGAACAATGAGGTTTCGGTTCAGTGTGGTTCCAATTTTACCCTAAGATGTACTGATAAGATATCAAGTTGCTACTGCTGCTGTTAAGGTCATCTCCACTATTCCTATTGTACTGCAATCTAAATGAGTACAACATTTGTAGCATCATCATATTCAAGCTATGATAGAACATTATTAGCATTCATGTATTTGTGAGCTGTAAAATTATCCATAAAACATGTTGAATTTTGACCTTTGAATTGTGATTCTGGGTGGATTTAAAATAGCTAACAGTTACTTAATTTCCTTAAACTAAGACCACCTATGAGGTCTCATAAAACCACTGTGTGAAGTGTCTGAGGGAGTAGTGATGGTGGTGGGCCGGGGAGGGTGAGGGGTCACTGTGTGAGTATTTACATAGACTAATAGGTGTTGGCATTGTGAACTCTGACACCATTTGAGAGGCTTTATTCCCCTCTTTTCTCTTGCAGCTCAGTCCTGTCTCTAACCTCAATCTCTTTAAATGTCATACCGACTCTGCCCACCTTCCCCCATTCCCACACACACACCTTAAATACACAAACACAGACACATATACACACAGATGTCTTCTCCTACATCCACACTCAGACACAGAATTGGAAGAACAACCAACTGAAATGTCAAGCTCGACTCTATCGTGACTTGCAGTGCATTGTTTTTGTTAGCACAACGCAAGGCTGTGTGTGTCATTACCGGTGCTTGTATAGCGTGTATTTGCCTGCATTCATGATATTTATGTGATGATTGAGTCCCGGGTAAAATTCGTCAGATGCCCACCTCTTGCTGATTCAGTGTACGCCTTTTTGTGTGTTTGCTGCCGCACTGTAATTGTGCGCCTGTCTCATTGACACTGTGACTTTAATTAAATGTTCTCGCTGAATATTGACAAGGCCCCTCTCATTTTCTCTCAGCTCAATGTGTAATGCGATTTAAGCCCTCAAACATCGATCCCCCCACAATCTATCTCACTCTATACCTTTGCGCTAATAAGCAGGGAGATCCACACTTTCATTCTTGTGTGTTAGAGACATGTTTTTAGGTGAGTATTAAAATATTTTTAGGTTTATTCCATCCAAGTTATGTAACAAGCTTGTTTTATGCTTTATATATTGATTTACATTTTCACCAGCTCACAATGAGTAGCTTCCTAGTGTACCATCGTTGCTCCCCTCTGGCTCTGCATGTATTCACAAGCTAAATTTAGACCACATTATTATGTTAGTTCCCTCCTCACCACTCTGCCAGAAGTGGGTTACTGTGCTGCTCTCTCCAGTACGTGGCTGTGTGTGTGTGTGTGTGTGTGTGTGTGTGTGTGTGTGTGTGTGTGTGTGTGTGTGTGTGTGTACTGTATGCGCATGTGGAATTCCTACACACTGCTGATGATGCAGGAGGCAGACAATGTGTGAAGTTCATTATGTGCATATTGTGCCTATAGGTGTGTGTGTGTGTGTTTTTGAGGGGTGGATGGGTTGGGGGGGAGGGGGGTCAGTGAGTGTTTGTGTGTTTTGGTGTTATTGTGTGTGTAGTGTGGAATGTGCTCACACTCACAAACTAATAATGGATCATTGCCAACCACCATGGTGAGAGAACGAGAGAGCATTTGAGATAAAAGGAGTGATTGGATGTTATAGTACTTGGATCAGCCTTTGGTGTGGTCTGCCCCCCACTGGACAGTGTGATACTTGCACAGTTTGTTTCACATCTGGACGTAAATCTAACATAATGTAAATGTTAAGCCTACTGCATTATCCTGTGTTTTTGAGTGGGTTTTTTTCTTTTTTAGAGTTTATACTGATGTTTCCCTGCTAAACTGTCCTGTTCTAATCAGTGGGTGAATGTGACTGAGTGGTTGAAAAGACGGTCCATTTACCTTTCTGTGTTTTCAGGTTCTACATCGAAAGTATATCCTATCTGAAGGACAATGCCACTATTGAGCTGTTTTTCCTCAATGCCAAGTCTATCATCTACAAGGTAAACTATTCATAAATGTTAACTCAATATCCTGTTTTTTTCTTAAATACATAGAATGTTGCTGGTCAGGAATGCTGTAGTTTGTAATGATGGGCTTGAAATACATTTTGCTTTGACTTTTCTCTCAATACAGAATGTAGGGTTCTTCTTTTTCAAGTTGGATTTATGCAGCTTTAGAAGCACACCTCCTCATAAGCCCATTTTTGGCACAAATAAAAGACACCAAAAAAGAGGCCATCTTCAGCATCAGTGCACTGCACAGACTTTAAAATATCACTGCTAAACATTTACAGCAAGATAATTTTATATGATAAGCATCCCTTCCAGAGCTGAGTTGGTAGTCATGCAGTTACCAACTCAGCTCTGGCAGAGACCATGTTGACTAACAGGTATTTATTTTGTCCAGAAGAGGGCGTATGTGGCATGTATGGAGATTCAAGAAAAAATTGTCCCTGCACAACCATGCTGAAAACTCAGATTGTCAGATCTGTATTTTTCCTCTTATATTAGTGGTAATCTTCATCCAAGCCAAGTCCAGACAGCTTACAATTTCAATTTCAATGAGCCTTATTGGCATGACTGTTACTACAATATTGCCAAAGCGATACATATAGTGCTTTATCCCAGATGAGAATAGATCCACCTCCTACCTGTGTGATTTAAGGGTTGAATAAGGCCTGATTAAATAAGACGCTTATTTCTGCGCACAGTCATTTGTAAAACAAATGTTTCTTGCAATTTAGCAAATATTTTTCAAGGGGTAAGTCAACCAAGCTTTTCGTCTGAAGCTTTAGGTTGGGTGTTTTACAAATAACTTTTACAGACGCTGAGATTGAAATGGACGATGTGACCAAGTGATGACAAACAGAAGCTTTGGTCACCTTTAAAGTCATTTGCAGTTGTTTTTGGATACCAGATCCCTATCTGCTCATTTATCACACCCTGATAAGAACATCAGCTATATATCAGGGATGAGACCTGAACAGTTGAAGCACTAGTTGATCCTGACAGCTCCACTGATAGAGACTAGGGAAGGAAATCACTACAAAAATATTATAAGATATTCCCAGAAACGGCTTGACTAGTATGCAGCAGATTAAATCATTAGTTCACCTTCTGCAAAGTCTAAGGAGTAAGTGAGGTATTCAGAGGTACTGTGGGAACACCGACAGTAAACAAATCACACAGTATGTCACGATTTGCAGCCGTGCTGGGTGGTACACTCAGGCTGGGTTTATTCGGTCTAGTGTTTCATCCTGGCTGTCTGATCTCCAAACCAATTAAGAAGTGGATTGTAAAGGGAACATTCCTGGCATACTTGACCCACTACTCACTGCCCTCTAACAGTCACCCTCCCCCAACCCATTGGATTCACAGCAACCCCTCTATAAATCCATGCTCACGGTTGGTGTGCACATTCACGTTCAAAAAATCCACACAAACTTTTGTACAGTTAAAGCTTCATTTACTTCCTGTCTTCTCCATGTGCCTCCAATATCCACCTTTCCCATAAGACAGCCCATCATGAATGTAGGGATGATGATCAGAACCGCTTTTACCTCCAGCATCAGTATTGTGTGTTATTTTCTTCCTGTAAGCAGTAGGAGAGTATGTGTTCATGCCCCCTGTCCTCTTTTCTTTTCTCTGTGCAGGAGCTCATTGAAGTGGACAGCGACGTTGTCTTTGAATTGGCTTCCTTTATTCTCCAAGTAAGATAATGCGTGCATGATTGTGTGTGTGGATGTTCTACTGTGGTTATGTTTTCACCTTAAGCTTCTTAAGCATCACACAGTAGTATTTTTCCAGGAGGCTGTGGCTCTGCAGTGAACCAGTTCAGAAATGTAAATGACTCCTCTAAGTATGAACCCAAATTAACAGAGATGAAAAGTATTTTTACTGCAGCAGTCAAGACTGGTGATGATCTTAGTGACATTAACCAGATTTGTCTATCAATCTATTGAGCCTATTTGAGCCAAAAAAACTGCATCTCTCTTTGCTGGAAGCCCATCCATAAGCTACTATCTTTGTTGTTGATGTATTTTGACAATGCTAATAAAACAGAGCAGCAGGAAAACCCTTTTTCATGTATTTTCCTAGACTGCAGCCCTTTTTCTCCACAGCCGCATCTTAGGGTAGATAAGTCCAAGATGCTGCAAGGTCATATTACACATTGAATGGGCTAGCTGTCCACAGTAATGTATGTGTATGTAGTTGTGTGTGACCTCTAAGCAGGTGCAGATGTACCGTATCAGGTATCCATCACACAGGCTCTCTATTACGATTTTCTATCTGATTTTAGCCCAGCAAGCCTCACTGCTCATTGTCTTATGCACACAGGACATAAACAAGCATTTTATTCTCACTGTGCTAACATATTCATTTATATCAACTGTCCTCTCTGGTCTCAATACTATCATCTTTTTCTTTGTGTTTTACAGGAGGCTAAAGGGGATTTCACAAGGTAAGTGCAATAACCTGACCGTTGTAAGTCATTAATGGATATTTTCATTTAAAGGGAAAACATGAACTCTTCTGCTCTTCCTTTTAAATTTCACCTTAACATATGCTAGATTCTCATGGAAGAGGCACAGATAGACAAAGACACAGTAGAAGCGATAGTCAGCCGTCAGCAGGATAGATTTCTGCAATATACAACAACATGGATAGTATGAAGAATCAGTTTTTAAACCTGCATTAATTGAGCGCTACAGTAGAGGAGCTTTTCGGTCCAATTTTTTTTTTTTCGAGTGAGCTACAACCCATTTTACTTTTGAAAAATCCATCTCTCTGATTGGCCTTCATGTATATCATCATCCTCCTGCTCATCCCTTTGTTTTAGCACAGATAACAAACTACAGCAGGGCCACCTCTGACCTCTTTTCCACCTGTGAAAGGAGTAAATAAACACAGTATCCTTCATAAGGCTGGAATATGACACACTGCAGACACCCCTCCTCCCCCCTTTGTCAAAAAAAATTCATTGCATTTCAAAATGTCCGACAATCGAAACACGTTTTTACACTGCCTAGTGGAGTAGGCTTTGAGAATCTCTTTCTGTTCATTCAGTGATTTGACAGGTGTTGAAATCTTGCAACAAGGTGAACTTCAGTTATCATTTAAATGTCTGAAAAGACTAACACGATGAAGTGGCTGGTGAAGATGTATTAGTCACAATGTCATGGCTCTCTAGTTGAATTTGTTCAAAAAATTCTCTCTCATACCCTTTTATTACTTACCATTACAAGCATGTGCAAAGAAGCTCATTGACTGCACCTAAAAAGTAGTTGCTTTAAAGGATATCTGCAAATGTAGACGCACAGCTGTGTTCACATGTCAGAAAACAGCCACACAAGGCGGATGGGCTCCTTTCCAGGGCTTTAGCTCATAGGTTGTCATGTTCCCAGGGCTTTCCGCAATCCTCCGGGGCCTTGGCGGAGGCTGGAGCGAGGGAGAGAGAGAGGGAATTAGCGCGGTGTATTAAGACCTCTTGCCACTTGAGGTCTGAAAACTGAACCGAGGGCCAATGCTCCTTGGCTCTTTGTGGGTCATTCAGTCTCTCTTTCTCCTTACCTTATTTCCGCTTTATCCTTTTCATAATGTATTTTATCTTCCATGTTTGTCCTTACTGACTAACACCGTTTCCAACTGTAGGTGTGGTTGCAGCTGCTCTGAAGCAGACAGTCTCTATTCTATCAGTATTTATTTGTTTCTTTTGTGGCTGATTGAATTCCTTTGTTACTGTTTTAACAAAATTAAAGTGTCACTTTTAAGTTTTGTTTAGATCTGTAGCAGTTAATATTTCCAGTGTTCTAACTCCTGCTGACACCCACTTTGTATTTTTCAGCAGAACTGTAAGGTCTCCAGCAGAAATGAATGTTCTTCTTTAAAGTAATGTGGACTGTATTTGTGGTTTTATCCTTCCCAGTAATGATGCAACCAGGTCTGACCTAAAAAAGCTGCCTGCTTTGCCCACCCAGGCCTTAAAAGAGCACCCATCTCTGGCCTACTGGTGAGAGACGGCTCAGTTTTTCAGAACACCACCGCAAGATTACACAAGCTTTACTTTTCATGTGCTTTTCTCCTCTTGAAAATTTTCTCTTTTTCTGTCCGCTTTGCCGTCTCACAGTGAAGATCGGGTCATAGAGCATTACAAGAAGCTCAATGGGCAATCCAGAGGACAGGCCATTGTGAAGTAAGTGTGTGTTTGTGGTCTCTGGTTGTGTTTGCTCACTGTCTGTAACCCTGTGCTCTTTGTAGCCGTAACATGTCTGTTTTTCTGCTCCTCACAGTTATATGAGCATTGTGGAGTCCCTGCCCACATATGGAGTACATTACTATGCTGTAAAGGTACAGTTTTACTGCTCTGCCTTTTCTTTACGCACACATATTCTGTGTTCACTCTGGAATGGCATGCAATATGATATTTAAAGATATGGCAAAATCTTTTTGTACTACTCCTTTTATGCGTCTCTTTGTTATCTGTCATCAACTCCATGAACACTGAGACCTCTCCTGAGATATGTTTGGTTGTGTTGTGTTTCAGGACAAGCAGGGGATCCCATGGTGGTTAGGTCTCAGCTATAAAGGCATCTTTCAGTATGATCACCAGGACAAAGTTAAACCCAGGAAGGTAAGATCATGCTCCATGTGAATTTCTATTTCCTACCCAATCCTTTACCATCTTTTCTTTTAGAAAACTTGGTAGTTAATATAAATGATGTGTTACTTAAAGGGGAAACATTTTGTCTGTTTGTTTTCACGGTCATTGTGTCCAGTTTTTCCATTCGGTGAGTCAGGACATTGTGTTTGGGAAGAATACTAACAATGTCGTACAAATACTACTGTCTGGAGACTGTCAGTCTTGGAATGTTTTTGTATCCTGTCCCACTTTATTTCTGCCTCTGTCAATAGAATCCTCCTGCCAGTCAGTGCGCAGGGTCGCTTGTGAAAGCCTTTCTCACTTCACCCCTGACCCCAAGTCATGTTAGGGGCCTTGATCTCTAGCAGTCAGAGTAATCTCACAGGGCGGTAATGGTGTTAACAGCATCCCCAAATGCTAACTGACCAGGAAGACACACAGAGTTACACTGTTAATGTGTTACTCACAAGAACACACACACACACACAAGTATACAGGAAAATGGAGTTTACTCTGAGCTCACCGTGCTGATGAATACTTCCTGTCTGCTGCAGCTTTCCTGTTTTCTGCCATGTTTGTGTGTCTGAGTGTGAGTAAGTCTTAACATGAGCCCGCTAGTTGAGATGAATTTCACACCACTGTGCCTCATTCCTGCCTCATTCCCATGTGCTTCAAATCTCATGGCTGTCAAGGTGTTAATTCACCATGGAGGTGGAAAAAAATCCGCTACTATACGATCCAAAGGAACTCACAGTTACACAAACTTCAAAGCATGCCTCACTAACTCTCACAAACGGTCCTATTTACCATATCATGCATATAAGTAGGCTGATAGAGTGCAAACAGTGAGGTGAATTCTGCAAGGAGAAAGATGAAATATTTTGGAGGCAGAGAACATTAAGTCAACTGTCGTCCCCTCCTTCCATCTCTCTTTTCAGCACACATGTTGAGAGGCAAAGAAAAATGTGCTTAGTCCTCCTCACTGCACAAGTGTTGGTCCAGTTCAAGACGCTTGGACTGGATGTCTTGTTAATGGGACATCACAAAAGTAAATCCCAAAGAAGGTGGGTGGTACTCCTGCTGCCCAAAGCTGTTTAGTGTAACACAGGAAGAGACACTCACGAAGGCTGCCAAGAACTTCCCTTATATTGTCTTTGTCAAAGTAGTCATCCCTGTTTCAACAAACCAGAGACAAGGCAGTTGATATAGTGATTAGTCAGACAGTCCAGTACCAGTAACCGATGACTCAGAGAGGTGAAAGCAGAACACTAATTATGAGGCATTTTGGGATAATTACCATCTCTTTGCAACGGTAAAATGGTTAATCTCCTCAACCACCAACTTTTACATGGTTGAGAAAGAAGTGAGGGACTTCAGGTGGTGCTTTATGTGCACTGTATGTTCTGTGTGGTTGGGAGGGGGGTGCTTGAAGTAATCACTTATAATTAGTTAGTTTTTATAAGGGGAGATCCTGCTGTTTTTTAAGTGCAGATCTTTTACAGCATCCTCCATGTTTATCTGGGGATGCTAAATTACTTTAACCCGTCATCTTTGCTCACCACACGTTCACTACACATAGACTAGGGTTTACAGCTCAACCACACACCTTTTTAGTGTTTTCTGACTCACTGAGACACAGATTATAACGTCTGTGTGCTGCTGACTATATAAGTGACTAACTTAAGGCTATCCAGGAAAAATTCCTGTCAACACTGTGACAAAGCAAAGAAGTGAAATCACATGCAGCATGCTTAAGTAAATGTCATCTTGTGTGAATCTGAGGGAATATTCAACCTTTTTGTCGCAGAGGATTGGAAGTACACACCCAGAGTCTCCACTTTGCTTCTGTCTGTGTTTCATTTAGAGAAAATAGGCACACACAGCCTGTTCTGTTCATTTTTTTTTTTGCATAAATGTCATCTCTGGAAAAAAACAACAACCAAACACAAACAGCGGGAAGTGCCCAAAGAGTGTATCTGCATCTCCATGACAACTGCTGCATGAAGTGTAGCACACCAAAGCCTCACCCATGGGTGAAACAATAGCCTTTCAGAGCGTTGCGTCCATTTGTAGCGCAGAATAATATCTGGCCTCACTTTAGTGCTTCCAGCCTTGATGCTATTTAAACTTTCTATTCTTCCCCTAATCCCCAGGGAGTCCACTACACCGAAGAAAGGCCTGTAAGCTCTATCAGATCTGACCTTTTCATCAGTAATAGATGCGTGCTGGGGTGCACAGACTTTATTATGAGACAGAGGCGGGCTGGTGCACTGGAGCACCCAGTTGTTTATGAATAATGACTTCCTCTGCTTGTGTGTGTTTGTGCCATTGTGCAAGCATTTGACAGTCAAAGGAAGAGGATTTGTAAGGTGCATGCTCCACCCTCATAACAGAAGCATCAACCAGATTTGACAGAGTTACCATCAAAGTGTCCGTCTGTATGTTTTGTTTGAATAATCACAGTTCTCCGTTAAAATTGCAAAGACTTTCCGCTCAATGGTCTTATGTAACTAAATCAGCCCAGAGTCAGATCAAAGAGATCTCGTTCGAAACTTAATGGTGGTTTAGTTGCATCTTGTTGTGACTGCAGGTTATAAACTCCAGATGTAAATGAACACACGGTTATCCTGGAGGCATCAAAGTCTTAACTGCTGCAGCTTACAGGGGGCCTGTGCCTGCACATAGTTTCAAACATTTCAAACACTTATCTTATCTCAACAGCTTTGACCAATCTGTAGTTAACACACACACAGTCACTTATCTGTCCTGCCTGCTATATTTAGCACCATGCTACATTAGCACTTCACACTACATTAATAATGCATGGTACTGTAAAAGTTTTGATAAGAGCTCAGATTTTCTTTCCAAGCACTCCTGCGCACATATATACACACTTATAAGAACATATATTATGCTGCGTTAACATACATGATTTTTCTTCCCTCCCCCCCTTTCCTCCCTCTCATCTCTCTGTGTATTGTTTTCCCAGGCTGTTAAAATTCCTGGGCTGCGACCTCTTAGCTCCTGCTCCCCCCTTTTCCTCCCTTATCCTGTCATAGTTTGGATTTTTTTCTTTGTTTCTTTCCCCTGTTTGTCATTTTCAGGCAGCTCAGTAACTTTCTTCATGAGTGTACATCAGAGGCTTGTGTGTGTGTTTGCATGTCTGTTCCAGCTGATATATGCAGGCCCACTTGTGCTCTGAAATAGCCCTCACTCTTCCCTTTCTCTAACGAGAACCAGACTCAGACCATGTGTGTGTGTGTTTGTGTGTGTGCATGTGTGTGACTACACAAAGTAAGGGGGAACTTCACTTGCCAAGGCCGCAAAAATCTTCTTCCCCCCTTCATCACTCCTCCCCTGACCCCTCGTTACACTAAACTCACACACAAACACACACTCACACACACCTACGAACCATAGAGCCTATGGCAGGAAGTCCTGTCCCCAAGGGAGGGAGGAGGGGTCAGGAGAAGGGGAGGTAAAAACACCCCCTCCCTCCCAAACCCTCCACGCAAAGCTACCGGAGGGGAGGAAACTAAACTTTACACACTTCTCCCTCCACTAGCACTCACTCCCTCTCACACGCACACACACACACACCTACAGATGGTGAACACCCATCACCTCGTAACGTTCCAAGCGTCTGGGAGGACTTAAAATCCACACATGCTGTAGAGTACGTCTTTGGGGAAACTTTCTCACCCAGCTGGCTTTGGCTCTGTTAAAGAGGAGCTGATGGTTCATAAAGGGGGCGGCGAAGAGGAAGAAAGAAAATCCGAGCTGAGGAAAGAAAGCCTCCTCCCTCTCACACTGTCTTTATCCAGAGTGAGGTCATCAGCGGAGGGATCCACTGTGGACAAGAACGGCTGGTCTGGACCTGAGCAGAGAACTCCAGACTAGGTTCTCTTCACTTCCTCCACCTCCTTCACTGTTTCCAACCCCTCCTCCTCCTCCTCTTCAGCTTGTGTTTTTTCTGTCCGCTGTCCAGTGCATTTTCTCTGAAAACAGATGGGAGCACACAGAGAAAAGAATAGAGGATTGTGGCGAAGGACTGTGTGGATAATGTTTAGCATATTTCTGTGTGAGCAGCGCTGAAGAGTCTGTTTCTTCTTAACTTCAGGTGTTTCAATGGCGACAGTTGGAGAACCTCTACTTCAGAGAGAAGAAGTTTTCAGTGGAAGTTCATGACCCCAGGAGGTAAATTTATATCACAGCTTGTTTATTTTTCACTTGCTACAATGCTTTTGTTTCACTGTCGAGATCTACTGTTGACATAAGTGATTATAATCTTTTGAAATCCCTGTATTAGTTATTCAACATATTACCGCAAACACACTTTACCTTTATCTCTAGATTGTATTTGGAAATTATAAAACGTTCCCTCAATTGTGGACGCCTTCCTGTAGCTTTACTGTAAATTACCATTGTTCCACAATGCAAATGTGGTCAAATTAAAGCTATGAAGAGTACGGTACAGGAAAGGGGAGATGGGAATCTCATTCAGTAATGGTTGCAGAGTTTGTTTTGGCAATCAGGCAGGATATTGGGGATGTCCCAAGGGGGCCTGACAGGGATTGATAGCCTGATTATTAACACACTTTCGGGGCCACATGCATGCACAAACACACCTCCTTCACACACACACAAATGCACTCATGGGGTAAACCTTTAATAGTTGACCACAGAAAGAAAAATGGCTGTGTGATCGCTGATTTGTAGAGGAAGTTACCTCTCTTCTGTTTATTTAACATGGCTATATATATGTGGAGTGTTTTTCTACGTATATGGAGGAGGGAGGGGGAGAAAAAGAGACAGACCGGGTGAAAAAGAGAGCATTGGTGTTTTCTTTAAAGGGAGCTGTCATTAGTGTGAGCTGGCCTGTTGCTCAGCTACAGATGTGTGTTTGAATAAGGATGAGTAAACAATGGGGCACAGCGTGTGTGGCTGCTCTGTTGAAAAAAAAGAGTCCTTGCTCGAAAATATTATCCCCTTTAAGAGCAGCAGCAGAAACTGTATTGGCCGGGTGGGTTTGTTGGATGGTTTTAACAGTTGTCTTCTGTATTCAGTGTATATAAGGAGGCCTTGTGTCCGCTTCTACTGTAGGGCGTCGGTGACCAGAAGGACGTTTGGTCACAGTGGCATCGCTGTGCATACGTGGTACGCCTGTCCTGCGCTCATCAAGTCCATCTGGGCCATGGCCATCAGCCAACACCAGTTCTACCTGGACCGCAAGCAGAGCAAGGTCAGTCAGGCCCACCACATTCACATTCACAACCACACCACAGATGTAACTATCAATGCTCTGAACAAATTCAGCAATTGAGGTGAAAATAGTATTTCAATTAATCTGCTTAATGATGTGCCTTTAAAACTCCTCTCCCTTATGTCCATGCAGTCCAAGATCCATGCAGCACGGAGTTTAAGTGAGATCGCTATCGACCTTACAGAAACAGGAACTCTCAAGACCTCCAAGCTGGCCAACATGGGCAGCAAAGGCAAGATCATAAGCGGCAGCAGTGGCAGTCTGCTCTCCTCAGGTCAGTACATGGACAGTGGAGGAGTCTCTGACTCTGAAAAAATGTAGAAGAGACAGATTGATATGTATGTGTGTCTTTGTGTTTGTATGTGTGGTGTTGAGGGAGGTGGGGGAGTCCTTGCTGACAACTGGAGAGACAGAAACAGCTGCTTCTGGAAAGAGGCCATTAATTCTGTTCTCATGCATGGACTGTACACACACCCCACCCAGTTTTTTTATGTGGGTGTAAAACAACACTTCTACCTTCTGTGTCACACAAACTCATCCTAAAAGCCCCCCCAGATTTAGTAGTTGAAGAAATGAAAAGGTCAATAGGTCAGTGTGCAATTCAGTCACAGCAATTACAACTGTTTATATCAAGGTTTATTAAATTAATATAAAACAAGTTAATTAAGGAGATGACAGTGCTGTTGGGAAAAACAACCCAGGCCAGGATGTTAGAAAAGCCGACAAAGTACTTGGGTTGAATGGGAACATAGTCAATCAGTACACTAAAGTGGTCGGCTGATATAGTGTTAGTGTTTTCAAACTAACTTCAGCTGTGATTGAAAAAGTCAGTACGAGTGTCTGCATACGGTTGCCATACCTGTTACTCAGAGGAAAGCCCTCCTTATGAAACCACCTGCTTTCAGGGGAGAAACACGGCTCTCTTTCAGTTTTATTGTACCTGTTCTCCTTTCTCTGATTCCCCACATGACATCTGCTGCATTCAGTCTCTTTTTTTAAGCTAAAAACAAACCTTTTTTCTCAACCTCTGTTTTTTTATTCCTTAAACTCTGCTCAAGTGGAAACTATTTCAATGCAGTACATCTTTGCTAAAAGAGCAGCACTCTGTTTTAGTGTGAGATCTCGTGTCTTACTAGTGTGAATGGCCTAAGGCAGTGGCAGAAAATGATTTGTGCTTGGCATAGTCATCACTCTGCACAGATTTCTTTTAACATCCAAAAGTTGATGAGATAATATCTGAAACTTCCCCGTCAGAGTCTGCAGGTGGATGTTAGGGTAGTGGTGGGGCTTAAAGTTTGAGCGTGTGCAGGACAGCAGTTGCAGAGCCAGATGAAATGCTGCATCTTGAATTGACTATCTAATTGGAAGAAACATTTGTGATGTGATTGTAAGAATTGCACATGTCAAGCGTGAAATCAGTGCAGTTTGAGTTGTGTGCCTGAACTGGCATTGCTTTGTGTGTCTTCTTCCATCAATAGTTTTGGTAGTTTTGTTTTTGTAAGCACAATTAACCACAAAATCAGAGTGTGTGTTTGAGAATGTTGTGTGTGTGCATGTTTTCAACTAGGCACATTGCAAACAAGCCTGGCACCATCACAAGGCCTAAAAGGCTGCATCACAGGCTTTGTCCTAATCTGCCTCTTCCTCCAAACACTCAGTTGTACTAACACGCTGCTAAAACTCATTTTCCTTATCAAAATGTTCCATTCACTTCCCTGTAAACATCCTGGAAGACTAGCAGGTGGACGCACAATCCGTACCTCCCCCCTGCAGTATGCCCCGGCTAATTTCCCCACATTGTAAACATACAAACACACACACACACACACACACCTGTAGTCCTGACTCCTGTTTTGATCAAATGTGTTGTTTATACCCTGCAGGCTCTCAGGAATCAGACAGCTCCCAGACTGCTAAGAAGGACATGCTGGCAGCTCTGAGGGCCAGGCAGGAAGCACTGGAGGAAACGCTAAGACAGAGACTAGAGGAACTCAAAAGCATCTGCATCCGGGAGGCGGTATGAGAAAACACAGACAGCTTTGACATTATTTTGAAAACCTCTACCTCTCCCTTTCAAATCTGATTCAACTCTTCTTCCATTTGCATATTACAGGAGCTGACAGGAAAGCTTCCGAAGGAGTATCCCCTGGATCCAGGAGAGGAGCCACCCACAGTGAGAAGGAAGATAGGTACTGCTTTCAAACTGGATGAGCAGAAAATTCTTCCTAAGGGAGAGGTGAGCTTCTGTTTTCCTTCGGCAGCACCATATCAGACTTTCCATTCTCAGACACAAGCCAAAAATAGTCATTGGGACAAATCCCCAATACCACAGATACATGCAATACAACTGTGCTGAAGTATGTCATATGCTATAGACCCTGCAAATGAGAGTGCTTTTCCCAGCTAGATGTGAACAATAATTTGATGATCAGAGTATTGGCTCTAGAAAAGTCTTGAAATTAAAAAAAAAAATCAAGGTTTGTTAAGGATTTACTTGATTTAAGGTACACACTAAAACATCTTCCACCTTGAAACTATTCCTGCACTGAGTTGCTACGTTGCCTTTTGTGCCACGGCGAGATTTTCCAGAGCAGCAGAATTTCTAAAAATAGTTTGGCAGCATTCTCACAACAGGAAGTGGCGATAGTAGGATTGTGTGCTGTATGTGAGCTGGCATGTGTGTGTGCAATGAGTGGGTGTCACTGAGGCTATATGGTGGGTAAAGGATCCAAGGACACAATATTATGAACTTGCTTAGCAAGCAATATCATGTTTCTGAGTTTACCCCCTAACACCTTATGCACACACAGAGAAACTGACGCTGCTTTGGCAACAGTGTGAATGGACTTTTCAGAGTCAGGGATTCCTCAGGGCTAAGATACAGAAGGAAGATATTGACCCAATTGAACACGTCACCTGCTCTGTCTCTTTGAGGTGGAGTCTCACACAAGTGCACTTATTACATGTGTGCTGCACATAGTGTGTATCAAAGGAATATAATGGATTAATCCACTTTTTTATCATATTTACACATTTCTACTTAACCTCCACTGAGGAGTTTCAGTGCAATATCCTTGGATGCTATTGACAGTGTATTTGCTACATGACGGAGTAAATTTTATTCGGTCCACCTTGCAGTCTGTACTTCCACAAACCTCAGGAGTAGTGTCAAGAGGTGCGGATGGATTGATTGAGCAGCGTTGTTATTGGAGGACATGCTGTCCAACAGAGAAAAAATCCCACGGGGAGAAAATGCAGGGCTGTAGCGCAGATAAATGACTTCCCCAGTGTGTTTTCTCTGGCAAGGCTTTTTGTGTGTGTCTGACCAAATACACTGCATGGGATAGTTACAGCCTGAATACGGGTCTGCAAACCGATCCGTAGCAGTTTTGGATTGTGGATTGATTTCAAAACGAAGTGAAACCCAATCTCTCTATTCTTGTCCTCAGAGCTTAGTCTAACGTGTGTCTCTGTGTGTATGTGTTTTTTCCAGGAAGAAGAACTGGAGCGTTTGGAGCGGGAGTTTGCCATTCAGTCCCAGATTACAGAGGCAGCCAGGCGTCTTGCCAGCGATCCGCATGTGAACAGTAAGAAGCTGAAGAAGCAAAGGAAGACTTCTTATCTGAACGCATTGAAGAAGCTCCAGGAAATTGAAAACTCGATCAATGAGTACCGGGTCCGGTCTGGCAAGAAGCCTACACAAAGGGCGTCCCTTATCATAGAAGGTACCAGTACATTCTTGTTCACGGCAGGAACATCAGTATATTTCACATTTCTTTATTGTTTTCTACTGTAGTGTTCAAAACATAGAGGAGTAGCATTTAAAAGTACAAGTTGATAACAAAGTTGAACAGACAATAAACAACTAGTTTTATACATCAAGACTTCAAGTTTTTAGATTTTAAACTTATAAAACCTTCAACCTGTTCTTTGTCCTTTAGAGGCCAATATTGGTTCTGAAGACAGTTCATTATCAGACGCACTGGTACTGGATGATGGTGAGTCTCAATCCATTACACTGTTGCTATTATAAAACATTTTTTTTCAGTGTTATCCAGAACTGATTTAACTTATTTATTCATTTCAGATGATTCTCAAGTCACAGGTACCCCCACCTTCTCACCGGTAGCATCACCTCACAAGGGTCTCCCCCCACGACCACCATCTCACAGTCGGCCTCCTCCACCCCAGTCCCTGGACGGCCTGCGACACCTGCACTACACACGCTCTGACTATGATAAATCTCCCATCAAGCCCAAAATGTGGAGTGAATCATCACTGGATGAGCCTTATGAGAAAGTGAAGAAGCGCTCTTCCCACTCCAGGTATGATCGAGTCCATCTTAAGAGGAGCTTATAAATTTGTGAACATGTGGTAGTCAATTAAAGGGAAGACCCCCCCCCCCCCCTCGAGAGATTAATTTTGCCTACCGCTAGCTTTTCTAGTTCCACCAACTTCAGCAAAGACCGGCACTAAGATTGCATTTCCATGAAGTAATCATAAATTTTCTTCCTTGAGCTGCGGAACTCCGCTGCACTCAGTGATCAACTCATTAGGGCTCCCCCACAAACAAGCAGCTGCTGGAAGAGAGTGGTTAAGTTGTGTTGATGGCAAGTACTACATGCTGGGACCCTATATGTACTGTTGATGAAGTTAGGTGCTGATCTAAGCATTATTTGTGGCTACGAGTGGCTTTTTGGTTGCGGTTTGCGCGTGGAGACATAGATCGCTGTGTATTGCTATAGTGCGGTCTTTGCTGAAGTTGGTAGAACTAGAGAAGCCAGCAATCGTCAAAATTCATCTCTCAAGGGGGGTCTAACTCTGTGTTGCAGTGTTGCTTAAACTTATGCCGGAATATCCGTTGATGCACCATTGAAACATAACACAATTAGAACTGCACTTGCGTAACTCTTAAGTTATTGTACATGCAAGGGCTGAAAAAAGTAGTCTCTGAATGTGTTTGACTCACAGCACATCAGGCTTATATGTTCAATAACATTAATGCATCGTCTTTCTTTTAGTCACAGGCGTTTCCCAAGCTCTGGCAGTGCAGAAGCAGGGGGTAGTAACTCACTGCAGAGCAGCCCCATCAGAAGCCTCCCTCACTGGAATTCTCAGTCCAGCATGCCATCAACCCCAGATCTGAAGTCCAGGACCCCACACTACATACATTCCACTAGGTCAGTCTTTATACCTTTGAATCTGGAACAATGGTGACTGGTTTTCACAAACTGAACTTGTATTGCAAACTTAAGAGTTATATGAAAATTGTTTGTTACTTATCTCTGGTTAACTCCACTTAAAACTAGGTTTCAGGGCTCCTTGCTCAATGACCGTCTTGTTCCCTTGTTTATTTTCTGTTCTGTACGTATGTTGAGTCAGCCTCCTTATTGAGCATATTTTCTGATACTGCCTCTTACAGGTCAGTGGACATCAGTCCCACCCGTCTGCACAGCCTCGCTCAGCACTTTAGGAACCGCAGCTCAAGCCTTGAGTCTCAGGGCAAACTGTTGGTGTCTGACCCCGATGCACACCCGCACACTTTGGGCACACTTGGCAGCCCTGACTTCTTCTTGGGTCCAGGACGTGGCTCAAATGGCTCGGACCCTCTGGATGATTGCTCATCCTGCACCAGCCAAAGCAGCTCAGAGCATTACTACCCAGGTGGACCCCCCGGCAGCAACCCTAACTACTCTACTCTGGGAGAGGACTCGCCTTCCAAAGCAAGGCAGAGGCAGAGGCAAAGGCACAGGTAATGTCTGAGTCAATGCAGGGGAGGGGGCTTCCTTAACACATCTGTTCTTTGCTTTCTGTATTGTGATCGAGATTTATGTTTGCTGTCTTTTGTTCTTTCTCCAGGTCGGCAGGTCATCTGGGTTCCTCTAACTCCGGCTCCATGCCAAACCTGGCGGCAAAGAATGGCTCAGGGGGACCTTCGAGTGGAGGTGGGATGGGAGGGGGACACCACGGCGTCTACCTCCACAGCCAGAGCCAGCCCTCCTCCCAGTACCGTATCAAGGAGTACCCGCTATACGTAGAGGGCAGCCCCAACCCCGTGGTGGTGCGCAGCCTGGAGAGCGATCAGGAAGGCCACTACAGCGTGAAGGCTCAGTTCAAGACCTCAAGCTCCTACACAGCCGGTGGACTGTACAAAGAAGCCTGGGGGGGAGAGGAGGGGGGAGAGGGGAGCGGCCGACTAACGCCTTCACGCTCTCAGATTGTTCGGACTCCGTCACTTGGGCGGGAGGGTGGTGGAGGAGGGGGAAGGGCGGCAGTGTCTGAAGAGCTGCGGTGCTGGTACCAGAGGTCCTCAGGGAGCCTAAAGGAGAGGAGTCACTCACACTCTGGGTCTTCTTCTGAAACAGGGTCACAGCAAGGCACCCTGGGACATGGTAGAGGGAGTAGAGTGGGGACTCTTGCCAAGGGCTCACCAGGTGGGTTAACATCAAACCTGTCTGATCTGGGTAAAGACTGTGGGTTGTGCTGTTTTTATCAGGGATCACAAACATCCGGTTTATTTAGAGATTCAGTGATCGGGGGATTCAGATTCTCTGCAGCTCCTTGTTTGCATGACCAGGTCCTGATAATAACTTAGAGGAAGAAGTTTACTTTTCCTCATTAAATCTGAACATGAGGGTTCCTGGATTAATACATATCAGCTGTAGGACCATCAATATAAAGAAGAAAAGAATCGTACTCTATTATCAGAGTTTATGTTTTTGGATTTAAATTAGGGATGTTCCCAGCGGTTAATTTCACTGACGTTTAAACGACCATTTTGAAACCAAATATTCGAATACACGAAAATTAATTAACTCCCAGAAAATAGCCCAAATTGAGCACATGTCGATCTATATGGCCAGATTTCATCTGAAATAAATATTAAGAGTACATGAAAGCCATGCTGATAATATTAAAATATGTTACAGAATCTTATTTTAGCACTGAAGAATGACATAAAGTACGTGAAAGATGTTTTATAGAATAAACAGATATCATTTACTAAACGGATCGTAAGGACAGCTCCGTTTACACGAATAACCGCGCACATCCCTAATTTAAATACTGATTTGCTGTAGACTTTCAACAAGGTGTGTATTTACCTCAGGTCTCCCTTCTCTCTGTAGCCTGTATTTTGGCTGTTTGTGCCTGCATATCCATGTGTCTCTGTGTCTCTGTCTCCATGTTCCTCTCTCTCATACAGCTCAGACTGTGTCTAAGTCATCCTAACTTGTGTTGTTTTTTTTTTATCTTCTCCCCACAGCTGCTTCCCCTCACAGCCAGAGGAGTATGACGCCTTCAAGCGAACATGCAGCCACACCCACACCCCCCTGCAGTCCACAGCACATCCTCAACTGGCAGAGCGGGTAAGCGACACATGCTACGTTTACTCCTTGTATTAACATGTGTCCTGGCCTCTACTCAGGGACCACCTACTTAGATACTGGGGGCAACTGTATCTGTTGAGGTACAGATGGCTCGTCCCATCATCTTTGTCTTGCTTTGTTTTGTTTTTTTAGACTCCTACTTAAAATCATGCTTAGCAGCGGACAAAATGACATCATGTTTGAAGCTGGACATGAATTGAAGTAATTTTTGGACCAATATCATTTTGGCTTCTCAGCTTCTTCCTCTCAGTATCCATCCAAACCTCACCTTAACATCCCACACTCTCTGATTGTCAACTGTCCTTGTTTCACCATTAAACTAATCCTCTGGGAAATTATTTGTGATTTGGGTTCCTCCTTTTTTAAACCTTTTTCCATCTTAAAATCATGAATCACATCTCAGCTCTTGCCTCTTAATTCACTTCTTGTTTTGTAATGTTTCACTCACTGGCTCTTTTCCCTTCTTTTTCACATATTTCTCACAACCTCCAATAACCTTAGTCATCACGGGAAATTCTCTTGTAATCTAATATTTGTCATTTATACCTCACCTCTCTTTTCTTTCTGCACTAACCCTCCTTTCCTTGTGTGTGTGTGCTCTCTCCTGGTTTAGAGGCACAGCAGACAGCTCTCCTTCTGTGGACGTCTGTCAGTCTCCCCCTCAGCCCAGCTCTGATGCCTAGAGGTACTGGAAAACACAGCAAAGGCAGAAACAAAACACCTCAAAAGCAACAATTCAAAAGTGACATCAGTCACTATGAGACTTTTTAGTCAAATAAATCACACACACCGTCACCTGTAGGGGGCTGACAATAAGGGAATGTTCTCACTTTCTTGCTTGTTGGTGGTTTGGTGTTGGTCGTGTATTTTCCCTGGCTGAATCTGATCTCTGCATGTGCTCTGCTCTGACACCGGCTCTGTGGCTAATACATTACAGGATCTACTAATAGAAGTACTTAATCCAGTTCTCTATGTGCTGTAACAGAAGAAAAGACTGTCTCAGGATCAGATCAATACTTACAGTCATATCATAGACAGGATTTGGTTTGTCACTTTGCCTTTTGAAAAGTTATAACAAAGTTTGATCCTGCTCTGCTTCCCGCTCCGCAGGTCTTTCAGTGACAGCTGTTTTCTGAGCAGCCCTCTGTGTTCAGAGCTGGCAGATGTGCAGTGGTACGGACATGACAAGGCCAAACCTGGAACCCTGGTCTGAGACCTCCCTACAGGGCCCAGAAACGTTTCTTTGCCCTCTCCTACTGCGTCTCCACTGTCCCTCACCACTACTCATCGACAACTGACAACCTCATCCTTAAAACCCTTCAAAATCCCCCACCCTGACTGGACTGGGGGACTGAACATGAGCCTCCCTTTTACCCTAAACCCTACCCTCCATCCATCTCACCTCTTTATTAAGCCCCTCTCTATCACAGCTCAGCTGGACAGGGACACACTTGCTGGGCTCTGATAAGGGACTTCACAGGACGGACTGAGAAGTGCCATCTCAGCTGTTCAGGTTGACACCTCAGCAGCACAGTAGAGTCCATTCTTTACTCACGTTCAGCACACAAGCAGACAGGACCGGGAAGAGAGAGCACTGGGAAACGATTCGAAAGGAGAGCACAGAGAAATATCAAACTTAGGACTCAACAGAACTGATATCGGCCACTTAATGATCTGTCTAATATCTCAGTTTTTCAGCTTTGTCGCCCTGATATCTCAAACACCAGTGCACTGCCACCAAATCAGAGGATACCTGCTGGATTTGAGCCACCAGCTTTAAAAAAAAAAAACACATTTCAAGGCCCAAAAGAAATGTGCTGGATTCCGTTACTCTCTTCAACGTGGTTCTCCTTTTTTTTGTTTCTTCATTCCTGCATTTTCAAAAGAAAAGAAAATGACACAAACCCCAGAAAACCAGAAGAAACTCTGGATTCACCCACACAACATTAAGATGACAAATCCTCTCAGTCCAACCCACAACCAAAGACAACTTCTGGACAAACTGGTCACACCAGGGTCCCCGGGCTGGTGCTCTCCAAAGTGATGGTGTGTGGATGGTTCATGGGACTCTATCCGGGGTGTAGTGACAAGGACTACAGCAATAACAAACATTGATCAAGCTCACAAACTGGTTTGAATCTGCGTCGTGATGAAGCAGGCACTTTGCCGTGTTCTCGGCCTGGCGAGGTTTGGAGGAGGAGGTGATTAGAGCATCATAAGGAGGATTTGGAGTTGTTGTTATTGGGTTTGGAATTAATCTATGCTTATTTCAGCAACGTCATCATAAATGTTTATTGAAAACCATTGGTCTTGTCAAGATTTCTCTGTCCTCAACTGTCTCTTTGACCACACGCTGCATTGAGCAAGAGATAAAAAGCATTCAAGAGTGTAAAGACGGCCACATTAAGTCCTAATACTGTTCTTCTTTGGTTGTAGTTTTAATATAAACAAAAAATTCAGATTCTGTTTTTTTTAAAGATGACATTCCTGGTCACATTCCCTGATTTTATTTCTTATTAAGGCCATTCAGTAAATTCAAAAATAGATCATCTTTTCAGTATATGTGGCTTTCTCCTCCTTCAGTCTTGGCTCTGTACCAGCTCTCACCATGCTGGGTAACTGTCAGCACCTCTTGTAGCACTGTGGTTTCTCATCTTCCAGTTCATCTCTTCGGTGTGACTACGCACAGGTGGTCTGAACTCAAGGCTGGCTCGTACAACAAGACAAAACATGTCTCTCTCTGGGCATGCGTGAGTGCCAAACATGTTGGTGCTTTATATCTGTACTGTAATTCATTATGGGAACAGAGAATTGTTTTCGCTTCAAAGCCCTTTGAATCCACACAGTTAAACCGCCCTCAGTCTGCAGGCGTTGTATGAAGTAGAAAATGTGAACGGAGTGCTCTTATGATTTTACATCAGCTGTACCAGAAATGATTCAAACTGAATATGAAAAGCACAACATTAACTTTGTCTGTGGGGCTGGACTTTTACAGTGCAATCAGAGTGTGCACATTTTCAAATCTCAGTGTTGTATTAATAAGTTGATTAGAAGTACATGAAGCAAAATCAGACAGAGTTGCGTGATACTTTTGGATGAACTAAAATGCTAGACCCCAACCCCAAACAGTCGCAGGAAAGGCCATCGCCGCACTCGCAACAGTTCTGACCCATAGACTGTATATACTATGGACAACTTGGTTCCGCCTCCCGCCTGTATACGGATTTGAAGCCAAAAAGCTCTCGGTATTGCCGGGATTTTTCTTCATTTCCTGAAACCAGCGCTGCGCAGTAGCGTTCGGCAGGAGAGTCGCTGTGATGACGCTCTGCTCAAACAGTGTATCCCCCGGGTGAGCGACGCAATCCCTGAACGCCAATAGGCTGTATCAGGTGTCAATCAAAGAAAACATGAACCCCCCGCTAATAAATTTTAAAAACGGAGCTTCACTGAAAAAACAGGACTTGAGCACAAACCAGTCTTACTGTAACTACATGTCAACATCACAAGCAGGGGGGGGGAAAATTTATGTTCCGTGTAACAAATTTCTAAAGTTTGTCTACAGCCCCATAAGCTTTGCTGGCGGAGGCGGGATTTATGACCTATACTGCAGCCCGTCAACAGAGGGTGCTGTTCTCGGAGTGGCTTCACCCAGCGAGGAGGCAGACGCTGTCCGTTCTATATACAGCCTATGTTCTGACCCTTTTGGGGCGACATTTTCACATTTAACTCAATCAATCAAAAGTGAAGAAAAGGGTTAAAAAAAAAGCACATCTGGTTTCACATGAAGGGAGAACTCTGCATGTTTGATCTGCCCCTGAATTAATTTTCCTTAACCAGAAACAGTCGAGAACTGCTTGAAAATTTGAATCAATAAGGTTATAAACTCTGAAAAAAGTGGTCACCTTTCTTTAATCACGTTTTAGCACCAATACCTCTGGATAAATGGTGTAACAATGTCTATGGCGTTTGTACCTGTTGGCATAGTTTTTCCCTCATGCACTTGCATCAGTTGTTGTAATCTGCCACTTACTGGTCTATTCAAGTCAAGAAGGTTTCGCCCCCCTCCTCCTGCATGAGTGTTACACCAAGTCCTGCTCCAGTTTGATCAGTCAGGATTGTAAACCAGCACCCCCTGGTTCATGTGTTATAGGAGAAACTACTGAATTGTATCCAATTCACCTTTCAGAGTGCAAGTTTGACCCTCCTTTGCCCATAAAGACACAACCCTATGCATGTCCAGCAAATCCACTGATAAAGACCCCAAAGATAATCAGCATCCCGTTTTTATAAGCACGTTTCGCTCCACCGTGGCCCCCCCAGGACAGCCCCGTTTTAACTTTGTGGTAATCTCTGACCTCTGAGCCCAATGTGAAGAAGTGTGACGTCTCCTCCCCTCTGTAGCTTCAAACATACCAGATTTTCTGTGCTCCATTGAGATGTATGAAGTTTTTGTAACACACCCGAGAGATCTAAACTAATTCTTTTATCAATCTTTGTGTGTGGAGGGGCACTGTAAGGTTTTGTGGGGTTTTTAACATTCACATTCATTGTTTTAACAATGTGTCATTTTATATGAACAAGTATTGAGTTTTTATTTTCCTCTGACATAACAACCCTTTCAGGTGCTACAAAATGACCAGTTACTGCTTTGTCACATAGGATCTTTAGACACCTTTTCATTACTCCAATAGATTCAATACCAGATGTGCAAAATGAAGCTTATTTTAACAGACAGTTTAATAGTAGACACTTCCCCTACCAGACAATAGAGCATGTAACTTGATTTTATCAGTTCCGTCAACTGTAACAATACATTAAAGGTGTTGTAGAAAAAAATGTGGAATTGATGAAAAAAAAAAACTGAATTCCACAGTTAATTTATTCTTTTTTCTATTAAAAATTTGTATAGTAACTTTACATTTTTCAAAAGTGTGTTGTTGGAAATTGACGATGAATTTTCAAGATGAGAAGCCGTGGTGGTTCTTCAGAATAAGAAAAATAAATTATTGATGAATGTTCTCAAAAAAAAAAAGAGGAAAGTTGTCTTTTATTTCTTTCTCTCCCACAGGTTGTTTAGTCATTCACTTCCTGACACAGAATAAATGCTCCAGCAGGCTCATTCGAGGGGATCCCCACATGTACTTCCTCTCCTCTGGACACACTCACTCTCCTGTCATCACATACAGGCCTCACTCACTTCTTTCCTCACACTCTGTCCTCATAGACAAGGAGACGAAGGATATCCGGTGAATTCCAGAGGAGTCACCCCGAAGATAAAAGTCATGACTCACTCACCCGGCAGCTCAGCTCAGCTCAGGATTGGACAGCTGTGTGAATGCATCAGCGCAGGTTTGCATGCCATGATGTCGATTCATTTTCTAACAATCTTTCTTTGTGTTGAATACAACAGGAATTATTCAGGTGTCATGGCCCGGAGAGCATCACCTGATCAAATGGACGGTTCGTGCAGCTTCATGCAGCCCTAACCCTAACAGAACACAACAACACTGACAGCTGCAATGTCAAAATGTCACCACAAGAAAAGTGATTTTAAAGAAAAGTCTAATTTCTGTGAGACACCCAGACTGCTTTCTCTCCCTCTGAGTCTGTTTATTATTGAACCCCATGTTACTCTTTGTCCTTAGTGTGTTCCCATAGCAGCTCTCCCAGCCAGGCAACAGCTGGAAACGGTTAGCCAGACATGCCGTGAGAAACCTTTTACTCAAACAAGACTGTGTATTTGTGCGTCTGTGTGTGTTTGACTGCCATAGGAGAGGTGTGTGACCTTGCTTTAGGTTCTTAATGAAATCCTCCATCATTTGAATACCCCCAAACACCACAACCTTCACTGCTTCCCCTCCTGAGGACTCTGTTCCATCATTTAAGGTACATACCGGCTTAATTTACAGAATGATTAAAGATCAAAACAGGGAATTCACAGTTTACAGATTATACTTTTATTCTTGCACAACAAAGGTCTCCCTGTTCTTGACAGTTTGTGTTTGCTGAGAGCATCTCTGCACAAAGAGTTAAAAATAATTTAGTGATTTATCTTCCATGTCACCTGTCAGATATACTCATCTATATGTCACACCTGCGTGTTGAGCATGAACCTGGAGCATGTAAACACAAATTTGACAAACAGTAGTAGACTTTAAAACAGGTCAAATCACTGACAATACTGCCCTCTAGTGTTGAGTTCATGAAACAAGGAGCAGCTCTAAAGTGTGATCAATTTATTTATATTTTAATAAATAATGAGACAAGCCAAATGTAAACACACATATCTAGTATCTAGTCATCGCTGAGTGTACTACTACGTGTGTAAACATGAGGCTGATTTACATAGTTTTTGACTTTTGCCACTGCACAATAATGAAGCACAGCAGATTCTGACATTTATAGGATCATAATGAGGCAGTGGTCAGGATACTGTTTTATAGTACCTCAAAAAAATACGTTCTATCGGGGTTGCACAAACTTCCCTAAACAGCAGACCAACAGTAACGTAGCAAACAAAAGTAAGTGCAAACAGAAGTTAGCCTCTTTGGGTCTTTGAGATTTACAGATTGACTTCCTCTTGTTCCAGTAGAGGTCCGTGTGTTTCATCTTGATTCTGTTTCAAGAAGAAAAATAAATAAATGCTGTTAAAATCACCCATCTCTGACCTGAACACATTTGAGTGATTTCAAACGTAAAGTAGGGGAGACCGGGGCTTGTTGTCACAAAAGTAAGTTGTCACATTTTAATTGTCTTTGCCACCAGAGGGCGCAGCTAAAAAGTGGAATACAAGTTTTATTTCTTTACATGGTCAGGGGTCGTGTTCTGTCTGAGAAGAGAAGAGCACATTGTGAGCTGAGATGAGCGCCAATTAACCATTTTGCACAACCCAAAGTAAAAAAAAAAAAATACTTTATATATTTTAAAATAAACTTCTTCCAGATAAAAATCCTAGCAGTGATACATGTGGACTTGTTAGAGGAGAGATTAAGACATCCTGTCATACCTCAGTCGTCGTTCTGTTTTAGGCTAACTTTAAGCTAGAGCTTACTAGTTAGTAAACATGGTAGTTTAGGGCAGCATGTCTCAGTTATTTTGGGGTTAGTTATCTCATGTTTAAAATGGAATACCTTTACCATCGAGAGTCTGCTTATTAGCAGTTGTCATAATGAAAATTTGACTGTAATTTTACTGAGAAGAAAGTGGTTTAAAGAGAGGAGACAGCGAGAAGACATGGTCAGGAATCTCAAAAGAAAAACAGAACATGGCAGTGCAGTACCTGACGTGATGCTGAGGGCAGTCAGGCAGGTGACCCTAGCTAATAAATCAATTTGGAGAACCATAAAGGAATTTAATGTCAACTACCATACCTTGACTTGGTACTGCAAAACATTCACCCCAGACAAAACACAGAGTCAGACAGCTCTTCAAACCCCAGAGCATGTTTCATAATATTTTATGTTAACATTTGTTTAATGACTTTTTCTTGCTCAAATAAACATTTTCTGTGCCTGACTTTAATCTTCACTTTCGTGTAAAAAAATGAGAACAGCAATAATTCTGTCTTTGTTTTATTAGCTGTAAAATCCACTGTGACATTTTACCCCATGTAGAGAGACAACTTACCCGATGGTGGGGCAACATGTCACATGATCACACTCTATTTGATTGCTTATAACTCTGCACTGACACAAGATATGAAAATGACACGAATACGAAATATGTACATGAGACTTTGGTCTTTAGCCTGGTACACATTTTGTTCATATATGATGTATTGATTTCAAGAAATGTGTACCAGTGTAAAAAGTGTGACAACAAGCCCCGGTCTCCCCTAGGCCTAATGCTGTTTAAAGGTGTGATCCCTGCCGAGTGCAAGACACATTTCATCAATCAGCAGAGAATTTCTGAATATTAAAAGAGTGAGCTGTCAGACTGAATCAACAGCACTAAGTTTTTTTCTTTCTTATATTATTGAGGTGATTCTGTATGTCCCTCTTTGCTGTCCGTACCTGTGAGACACGACTGTAGGTCTGATTATGGGCTGGACTGTAGCGACGCAGACCTTTCCAGGACAGGAAAAGTATGTAGACTGAAGCAAGAAAACACTGCACGGTAAAAGCCACTGAACTCCCCTTTGCAACAATCGAACCAGCACGCTACATAGAAAGAAGACAGGAGGTTACAGCTGAATTACCCTTCAGAGTGCTTCAATGTTGCTGCTTTTTATTCATACCTGTTCCTTTAAGGTGAGTGGGGTTGACTCTTTCGAGTTCACGCTGTTTGCCAGGAGAGCAGAGAATCCGAACAGCAGACTGAAGATGTTCAGACCCATCAGACTGATGACCTGTTCACGATCAATGCGACAATTAACAAGAGCAAATACAGGTACACCTGACTTTATGATTGACTGTATTTACCTTCGGTTGGTTTGCTTTCCTCTGAACCTCTATTGCCAGACATCCAGCAGCCAGATACTGTAACAGCACCAACAACAGCCAATGTGTGAGCTCCTCTCTATGTCTGTCTGTCTGTCTAACAGGTTTCCACTGAAAGTTAAAAAATGTGGACTTACACATAGGCTTGACCACACCGGTGTTGTCATGGTGACGGAGCAGCTGTAACTCACACATGCATAGGTGACTGTGAATAATATACAAGCCAAGGCACCGATGATCTGGACCGCCTGAGGGCAGACACATACAAACAGGTAGTAGTAGAAAAAAAAGCGTTTTTTCATTTGCTCTGGAAAAGCAGCAGAGTGCAACATCTCACCCCAGCGAGTAAAACTCTGGTATTAACTACGGTCCCAAACCATCGATGAATCCTGGCGTTACACAGCTCCTCAGTGTCAGCAGTGACCCGGCTCGATAGAGAGGCTGGGGGTGTCTCCCTCACAAACACCTGGTACAGCCCCTCCTGAAACATGTTCTGTGTCATCTTACAGTACGTGAAAGAGAAAAACGTCAAAATTGCCCTGCCCTTTCAAATCAGTCAACACACAAACTTCTTACTCAGTCTCAACCATGATATCAGTCTTTGGATCACCCACCTTTGCTAAATGTCCCTCAGCATGAACCTCTGTATCCATAATCTGTCATTACAGCAGAAAATGTCACACAACTGAAATGAGAATCATTCCAACAGGTTTTCTCACAGCTGCTGGAATTTCATGGCTTACTCAAGCAGGTCTGGAGGGTGAAAGTCCACATGGCTTCAATGATAAAGAGAGGTTGAAGTCCGGTCTTGAGGAACTGATTGCAGGTCAGAAATGAGTCATGACTAAAGAGCTTTTCAACTTCTGGGCAGGGTTTGCTTTTGGATTCATTTTCATTTCAGAAGCTGCAAAACAAAACAGATGTCAAGATATGAATTAACTTGGACAAATGATGCAGTTGTAGTTGACCTGCAGTATATTTCTGCAAACTACAGATGCAAAGATGTGCAGACATTATCCAGTCACACAAACTCCGGATATCCAGAAAAACAAATACGAACCAATCATCAACTCCAGATCCCAGTTCAAATTCAAGATGGCCAGACTTCTAGAAGTGATCAAGTTGGTTCAAGCTTAACTCCAGACCATCAGAGGTCCAAGTGTTATCCAGTCACTTCTCCTCCAATGGCAACAACCAGTTGTCATATCTAGATGTTTTCTGATACTTATTCTCACAAAGAAAACTCCAATCATCCTGGTATTATTAAGTCAATGATTCTTCTTCTTCTTCTTCTTCTTCTTCTTCTTCTTCTTCTTCTTCTTCTTCTTCTTCTTCTTCTTCTTCTTCTTCTTCTTCTTCCGGGAAAATACAGATGTCTAGTAGTCTAGAATGGATCCTACTGCAGATCCTCACACCAGTGATGGTTCTGGCTCATGTATACTTACAGAGAAAACTGCAGATGTTGAGAGGCTGTACACTTACTGATACTCACAAACTGATTTGTGATTTAGAGGATGGAGACCACGGCCTGTCTCTGTTAGACCCCTAGTAAACTGGTGGGGCTCGCTTTCCACTCGGCTCCTAGCCTGGGACCTGGAACAAGATCTTGCTGGCCTTGCTCTGGCTCTTCCTGGTATGGAGAAAGCATCTCCTGACAACTGGTTTCTTCGTTTTCATTTCACACATTGACTTGCATTCTCTCACATTTACATACACTCTACATTATATAAAATCTACTTGAAGTTGTTTTAATTTGTGTTTTGTACAATATCAATTAATGTAAAGATCAGCTTATGCTGTTTCCAAATATTTTAGCTCAGTTTTGACGAGAATCAACCAAATTGTAAGTAAAACAGAATCATTCTTGGTAAAATTGTATGTGCTCTATTAGCTCACAAGAGCATTAGAAAGGCAAATTGTAATTTTCATGAATTTACTCCTTTACTGTTTTCAAAGAAAATAGATTACCGTAATAACCTAATGCAGCAAACAAGCAGTGAAAGTGTTCAAACTGAGTTGAGAAAAGCCAAGGAGCACAGAGGTCAGCTAATCTAAACTTTGAAACACAAGTGCCCAAAAGTAAATTTTCCAATAAAGTGTTTTATATTTTCTGGAAATCCAAGCGCAATAATAACAAGGTCTTTGTGTTTCATTTCCCAAATGCAGTTACACAGTTACTGGTAATGCTGTAATCTACACTGTAAAAGTCTTGAATATGTACTTTTTAAAAAAAATCATCTTATCTCCGAATAGCTCCTAAAACCAACTTTTAAAACGTAACTGCCAAAATATTGTCATCCTGCCTCTGACTAGAATGTGTGCCTGTAAATCTGTATTTTGGAGTGGACATTATTGATTTGCGATGATTACTATAATTATTCTCTTTGATTTAACCCTGCATTATCTGTGGATGTTTGTAAAAATACACATACAGCTGGAAAAAGGGAAAGAAATGTATTTGTATTGAGACATATAAACTGTATTGTTGTGGTTAAAAATTTAATAAAAATTAAGTTAAAAAAAAATTTGACTGCCACATTCATTAGACTGGCTCTACAGTAGCTCTGCAGCTCAACCAGAGAGCAGAATCAGTTACTTTTTTACTTTACACGTGAATATATTGACTGAGGAGCTTAAATATTCACTTTTCTTTGAATGTTATTCTGTAAAAATTATTCACCATGCCTGGGGACAGAAGCTCAGGAACACAAGATAAGATGTGTCGTTATATTAAAAAAAATGCAAACATAGCACATTGTTCTAATAAGAAAGGTAAAAATTCATCCACAAAGCAAAAAGAGACATCACACTCTGAGATCAGCAAGACAAAAAAAGAAAGGATAAGATTTTTGAGCGAGCTTTGAGTAACTCCTGAGATGACATGGTGGTTTGAGTTCAGGTTATAAAAATATATGAACAAAGCCACAGACAGCTGCAGGAAGAGGACACAAACCACCCCAAGAACCCAGGACTGGAGGACCCGGTAGTCCACAGAGGCAGATCAAACCCATTCTGTTTTTCCCGGCAGTGTTTCTGTATCATCATCATCCTCCTCTACCCTGCCTGTGTACAGGTCAGCCAACCTGCCGAAACGTGGTCCCCACTGAGACAAGCTCCGGTAGTCCTGCTCCTCATCCGAGTCTGAGGAGTTGATGGAGCTAAGTGAGCTGGCCTCAGAGCCAACGCCCTCGTAGTCGAACACCAGAAGAGAGTCATACGGAGGAGCAGTGGTGTCACCGTCTGCAGCATTAAGGTTCTGTGGAGAAAGCAAAGAAAACACAGATATATGGAGTTCACCGTGTTCAAACAGACTCAACGCTGGAGGCTCAAACTCTGTTACAAGGACATGCAGTGTTTCAGTCTTAAAAATATGGAGTCACACAAATTTTTAATCACAATTAACCAGCAACTGACCGAGAGTTTCAAACATATTTATGTCCTAAAATATCAAACTGAGCATCACTCACATCCTGAATGAATTTCCCAATCTCTTCATTGGCTTGGGGTTGTAGGCGGTAGCTCGGTAGACTCTGGATGGTAGGAAACACGTCAGTGCTGAAGACTTCAGGACGATTATCAAGTCCTCTGTGGAGCTGACTCAGATCATACTCCTGAAGACAGACAGAGAAAAGTCAGTCAGTCAGTCAGTCAGTCAGTCAGTCAGTCAGTCAGTCAGTCACAGGAACGTTAAAGGAACAATTGTGTATTTGTTCGTAATTTAACTCAGTTACTCTGCAGAATCTTTGTGTCCAAAATCTGCCCATCTTTCAATATTCTATGAGCCATTTTATCTATATTATTTTGGGGATTTTGTTTTGTTACTCGCACAATCACCACGAGGGGCACTTCAGGTGAATGGACAGGTAAATGCTACAAAGGGACACAGGTGAAGCAGTGATCTGGGGAACGGGAAGAGCACACGGTTTTTACCACTAATCTCTGACTCCACTCTCACCCTCATCACGTACATCGCCATCATAGTAAGCTTGATGTATCTGTCTTTTTTTTTTTGTTTGTTTTTCATTAAATCAATAAATGGCAAAGATGTAACTCAACAACAACCTTGGACTGGACTTTTTAACTAATATTTCAATTTTCTGCTTTCAGAAGACGTCTAACTCTGCAGCTTCATGGTTTCTCACCTACCTTGTCATCTTCACCTCCTCCTTCTTCATTATAGCAGAGGATGTTGTCTCTGGGTATGTCTTCAAGAAGAGGCACGTCTTTTTCTGACCTCCTCTCTCTCCTCAGTAAAAGCAGCAACAACAAGAGCAGCACTGCAGCCAACACAAATAAATCACAGTAACTAAAGAACCATACCAAGAAAACAACAGACTTCAGCTATCAAGGAACATGCTACATACAAAGAAGACCAAAGACTGCTCCAAGGACTGTTGTTGCCAGAGAAGGACTATGCAAATAAGGGGCAGAGCGTGGAATGAAGCAGGCAGAGACGGCGCCTTGACACTGGCACACCTCCACCAGCAGGGTGCTGTCTTGGAAGAGCATGCCGGCATCATAGATGCGCATCAGCACAGAGTAGTCCCCAGGTGACAGCTCTCGTTTGGGGGCTAAGGCAGCCACGTTGCCTGCAAGGGTGGAAAATAAACATTTGAGCTTGTGTGCTCTTTAAAATAACCAATTGCAGCTTTAATAAAATGGAAAACAACATCAAGTCTTTTCAATGACTTTTTTCAGGTGCCAGTGACTGAAGAGTGACACACCTCATATTTACTCTATAAATTTTCTCACCGTGAACATGCACTCTTCTTTAACGGTCAAAATAATGGGTTTGTTTACTGCTCTATAATGCGATCTCTTACTTGTTGAGTTGGTGCTGATAGTCCAGTTGAACCTGTGCTCTCCCTGCAGCTCCACAGTAAACGGTCCAGCATGACCTGGTCCATCCGAGTCCACGATATCAAGCAGGGCAGGGAAAGGGTCCATGTTGCATAGACTGGCCTTCCTTTGCCTGATGGCAGGACGGTGGTCGTTCACATCTATTAGACTTACAATCATGGTACCGGTACCTGTTGCTGGGACTGTATCTGGGAAGACAAAATACAAATGATACAACAGGGTTAGTCTGGTATAAAACTGACAAAGAGGAGAGAAGGCTTAAATAGTGGTGTGAGATGAGACCAGAGGTGCTGATTTACCGTTGTCATAGGATAAAACCAGTACAGTGAATTTGTCGTCTTTGACAAAGTGTGATTCTCTGTCCATGCTGCTCCGAACTGTGACTGATCCTGTGTCTCTATTTATCCTTAGCCACTTTGCAGCGTCATTGAGTAGTTCATATCTGAAAGCAGGAGCAATTCAACTCATATTTCACACATGGTACATACAAACGCCCACATGTTAATAGTATGTTTATGCCACAACTACCTGACGCCCTGTTTCCTGGCTGTGTCTGGGTCTGAAGCTCTGAGATCAGCAACAGAACTCCCTTCTTCTGCATCCTCTGGGATGCTCACATGGATCTCCACCGGATTAAAAACAGGGGGCTCATTCTTGTCCAGGACTGTTACTGTGACTGTGGCTGTAGAGGTTGACATCGGCCCGGCAAATGGCGCCTCATTTGTCACAGACACCAGCAGAATGAAGACAGGGGTGCTCTCAAAATCCAGCTCCTAAGAGAAGAAGTGCATACATGATGTTCTGGACATTTTTTTAATAGTAAATAGTAAAGTAAAGTAAACTTTATTTATTTAGCACCTTTCACAGACAAGAAGTCATAAAGTGCTTCACATAAACAAACAGTAAAAATGTACATAAAAACATTAACAATCATGGCAGCCCCCCAAAAAACCTAAACAAAAGCCTGGGCAAATCAATATGTCTTGAGTTGGTTTTTAAAGGAGTCAACAGAGTCAAGTAAGCGTAGAGAGAGAGAGGAAGATCATTCCAAAGCCTGGGGGCAACAGCCTGGAGGGATCGGTCTCCTCTGGTCTGAAAACAGACATGTGTTTCCTTACCTTGGCTGTTGTCAGGATTCCCTCCATTTTATTGGAGCCTGTGGTGATGTTGAAGTCTCCCCTCTCGTTGCCCTTAATAATTGAGAATTTACAGTTGGCATTCGGGGACCCTAACTCGTCTTTGTCGGTGGCCTGTAGTCGAACTACTTCAGCCCAGGCCTCATTCTCAGGGACTGATGCAGATATCTGGGGAAGAAAATAAGAAAATGTTATGCAGGGTTTAAATTGCATTTTAGTAGTTCTATGAAGCTTTGCTGCTTAACTCACAGACGTGACTGTGAACTCTGGGGCATTATCATTGCTGTCAGTAATGCCTATAATAACAGTACAGGTGGTTGCGAGCCCCTCTCCCTCCATGTCAGCAGCTTGAACGAGGAGTTTGTACTCTGGGTGGGTCTAACAAAGAAAAATGAATTACAGTCAAAAACAAAATTGATAAGATCAAGAGAGGAAATGTGGTGTTGTGAGTATGATCACATTACCTCTCTGTCCAGACCGTCTGCCTTCAGACTGATCACTCCACTCACTGGGTTTATGGCAAACATGTCTTTATTAGGTGTTTGAGGCGTCTGAGCGTTGATCTTATACCTAACGATAGCGTTGTTTGTGCGTGGGTCGTCTTTATCCTCTGCTTTTACTCTTGTGATGATGTCATCTGATGAAAAAGTGAAAGGTTACCATCAGAGCTTAAAACAATTAAAATTTAGAAAAGTGCACGAGTGTGTTGTGTGTTAAAGACGGTTCAAGGTCTCGTCATGTATGATTCAGGGTGGTGTTCCCGTCCATGTGTTTGTGTTCATGTCAGCTTGTTTATTTATTCATAACAGTGTATGTGTTCATGTGTTCATGTGTGTTTACGCTTGTCTCACCTATCTCAGAGCTCTCGCTGACACTGCCGTAAAAATGGTCCTGAGTGCATTTGGGATGGTTGTCATTCTGGTCCATGATGTTGATGATGAGCTCCATGGGCTCCTCGGCTGCTGTGCCCTCAACCAGAGCATGGGCCCACAGCTGCAACACACACCCAAAACTGTCATTAAACGTAACATGCGTGAACAGAGAGACATAATTATAGAATTAACTGTGAAAAGAGAGATAATATTTATATCTTTTTTAGCTTACACTGTAGTTTGCTATCTTCTCCCTGTCCAGTCGCTGAGTCACATAGAGCACCCCAGATCTCCGATCAACAGTGAAAACTCCCTCAGGAGGCTCATTAGCACCCGGTCCACTGATCTTGTAGGTTATCGCCACCTTTTCCTCGTTGCTTGACTTGATCTGAAGCGAGAGGATCAGGATTACAGTTCTACTTTGGGAGTCCAAATGACAGCAGATATATATTCTGATGAAAACTAACTCAAACTCTGTTTACCTTCACAATGAATTTCGGATATGGACCATTGTCATTCTCTGGGAAGTTAATTGCAGGAATAACCCACTCTCTCCTAACCCGTTTCAGACGAAGAGAGTATGGAAACTCAATGGTGGAGAGCTGTTTGACGTCCATTTTAACTTTGCGCTGTTTGAAACATGTCATGTCAGATATATCATTTAAACTTCATCAACACTGGCTTTATCAAAATTATTTGGTAACACTTTATTAAGGTGGTTGTGATAAGTTGTAATAAAGATGTAATAAGTCACTTATAAGACATTATAGGACCTTATTAGATTCTTATTAACAAAAATAACTCTGTATAAGTGTTGATAGAGGCATAATAAATACCTTTATTATGTCTTAAAAGGCACTTATATGTACTAATTAGAGACTTATTAAATGTTTATATCAGTCATAAACATTAATAAGATGTTTGTTTCCATTAATTACACTTCATAAGGAAATATAAAAGCTTTATAATACTTTGTTAAGCACTTTTTATGCACTAATAAAGCTCCTCTGTAGGCACAGGATCTAAAGTAGGAACACTGCTTATAAAAATTAATAAATACTTTGTAGTGTGCTTATTAAGAGTTAATAAAGCTACTTTGCAGGTTCTGGATCTAAAGTGGAACACTGCTTATAAAGATTATGATCCAGTACCTGCAAATAAGTTTGATTTGCTATTTTCTTTTTTAAATATATTTTCAGGATTTTTGTGCCTTTAGTTAAGTTAAAGTAGAGTTGATAGAGTTAGAAATCAGGGAGGGAGAGAGAGGGAGCCATGACATGTGGGAATGGAGCCAAAGGTGGGGTTTGAACCTGAGCACACTTACCACAGTACCCCCACTTTTATAGCTCTAAATAAGTGCATAACAAAGTATTTATTAATCTTTATACGCAGTTTTCCTACATTAGATCCAGTACCAGCAGAGGAACTTTATTAGTGCATAATAAGTGCCTAACAAAGCATTATAAGGCTTTAATATTTCCTTATGAAGCGTAATTAATGTAACTTATTACAACCACCTTAATATAAAGTGTTACCAATTATTAAAGATTAAACCTTAAATTCACCTCTAGATTGTGGTTATTGGAGCAGCTGGTTCTGTTGCAGCATGGAGGAATTCCTGCTGCAGCCAGAAAGGCCAAACACTGATAATCAAGGCAAGAAACATGTACGTTTCATATTCAGTACTCTGTGGTATGGCAGTTTTATCAACATCAACATCAGTTAAACTAGTCTTTCAAAGACAATTATCATGCAGAGAACATAATTGATAATAGAGACAAAAAAAAAACACAGTAAGAGCTGCTCAAACAGGACAGTTTAAACAAAATAGACAATTAATGTGGTAAGAAAAAAAGCTATGAAATAAACTGTGTAATTACAACATAGACCTTAGCAAAGAAATGTAGTTTTCTGACTGGCACATGTGTAGATATTCACCTTCTGCAGTTACAGCTTTTTAAAACCCACCTGTATTTGGCACATGAGAAAAAGCCCCCACTCGTTCTTGCTGCTCCTCATCATCTCCTTCAGTCCCTCACAGATCTTTCCTCCACTGTCGCTGAAAATCTCCCGTCTGGATCTGCTGCTTCGTCCTGAGGGCAGCCTGCCAAGTTAGTGGCACTGACAAACGTCGCTTACTGTGTTTTTTTGTGTTCCTCAGTCAGTGCGATCAATGCTTCATCCTCTAAACTGTGGCTACAGTAATGTGTTCAGCGTCACTCTGCCCCTATTAGTGCTAACTGAGCATTTGTGTGGTTGTTTGATTTTATCACTAGAGGGTTTGTAAAAAAAACAAGGCTAAAGGTGACCTCAGGCAGTGTAGGACATGCAGGTGTGTGTTTATGGAGTGAGGCTTTTGACGCTTACCTTTAAATTTGACATTGCAGTAACATATAATAATCAGCTTGTCTGAAATTCTGAAAGAGTGGACTGTGGGAAAGTTCGAATCTGTCATAGCATGTGGTTAAATATGTGTAACTTTACTTAGATTGAGTATAAAGGAAATTAGACCATTGGGGGTTGAACTTTCTCGGAGGAGAGCACGCATGTGTTTACAAAACACTCCAGGATCAGATTAGCTCCCACAACACTCAGCAACCAACACTTAGGCAGAGTTTATTTTGAAAACTCTGTTTCCCACACAGCTTTGGACGACAGACTCTCTACTTTTCACAAAATAAATGGTGTCTTTTAATTCATATCTCTCATCTGAAGCAAACTGGAAACAAAATACTTTGTCTTTTCTTTATTACAAAGTATCAGGACCTTCTTCACATTGAACGGAGAGTCAACTGAGCAAACATTTGCATTAAGGACGGCACATCTACACAGGGAATAACTCACAGCTTACACACGGGTATGGTAAACAGAAAGGTAAACAGGAATCACATGGACTGATTGTCTAAAGGAAACTGTGCAAAACAAACAAACAAAGCGCAGACAGTAAAGTGAGTGTTTGTATGTAGAACTTGTAAGTACTTCCATTTTAACATATAACTCCAGCACTGGCCGTTAAAAGTCTTCAATTTTGTGCAGAATCTGTACTTTGACCTGATGGATGGTGGATGAATATGTAACACATGTTAAGTCTATGGATTTGTGATGTTTTAAAAACTTTTTGAACGTAATTTGCTGGTAACTTCCTTCCTTATATGTGAATTTATGTAACAGGTTTTAAATTTGGCCCCAGATGATCCAGAAACTGGCAGCCTGGAGGCGAATTTTTCTTTGTAGGATGGTAGGGAAAGGTCCCGCCCTCCTCCGCCTCTGATTGGCCAGAAGTGCTGGGCTCCGACTGGTTATTCCTCATAGCTGTGAAACGTCATTGTCAGTCAGGTTAGGGCAGTGGTTCTCAATCCAGTCCTCGAGGTCCACTGTCCTGCATGTTTTGGATGTCTCCCTGCTCCAACACACCTGATTCAAATGATCAGCTCGTTATCAAGCTCTGTAATGGCTTAATAACGAGCTGATCATTTGAATCAGGTGTGTTGGAGCAGGGAGAAATCCAAAACATGCAGGACAAGGGGGGCTCGAGAACTGGGTTAGGGTCAGGATCAGGATTAGGGTTGGGAGATTCAGAAGTGCGATAATGTTCTATAATGTTCTGTTTGATGTACAGAGCCGACAGCCTGCATTTGGCTTGAGCGTGTGATGACGTTTCCAGCCTTTCTAGCCAATCAGAGGCAAAAGAGGTGGGACTTTACCCTAGCATCCTACAAAAAAATATATTGCAGCCTGGAGAGGTCTCTGGCTGTAATCTGGTCTGAGTGTTATTACAGTTTGTTTTTAATCTCTGTCAAGCATTGTAAAGAAAGTTTAAAAAATAAACAGACTGTTACCCATGTTGAGGTCTGGCCAGGTTTGAGTTCAAATACACCACAGTAGCTGTGATATCATCTCTATACATGCGAGCCAAATCCTCTGGCAGAGCGAGCATAGAGGCCAGTCTCTCCTGGCAGAGTTCCCCATACTCCCCCGTGCCAAGAGCGCGTCGGATGAGATGTGTGGCGGCGTTGGTGTCCAGAGCGGGGGAGGCACGGGCTCTACGTTTTAGTAGGAGTTCATGCATTTGCCCCAGTTTAAGCTGCCTCTCAGATGGGGAGACTGGAGCCTGTAAGATCGAAACACAGAAGAATCTTTGGAAAATATTCAGGAGTATACAAAGTTACCACATCAGAGCTGTGTGCTGTAGACAGAGAACTAAGATTACTGATCAGTTTGACTCAGTACAGACCTGGAGGTGAACCCCGCTCAGGTGCTCTCCAACAAGCCGTACAGCCTCCTCATTTCCCAGTTCATCCCACAGACCATCAGTGCCGAGGATCAGAAATCGGTCCTTTGGTCTTAACTTGTGATAGGTTATCTCAGGTGCTACATCCAAATAGGGTGGAGTGAAGTAGTTAGGTGGAGTGTACTGGTACAGGTTGAGAGAGTCCAGGTCCACTCCGGACTCAAGGCCAGCTAAAATGCCCTGCTGCAGCTCATGGCTCCACTTGAATCTCACATCACCAAATGCACGCAGTGGCATCAGTACCTGGAGGCAACATAAAAGTTTAAGACTCAAAATTTCAGATCAAGTTGTTTAGCTGCATCTAAGCTATGAGAACTCTCACCCCAAGCAGCCTGTCATCTGTGACCACTGTGTCCCTCTCTGAGGGTGGGTGCTGGGCTCTAATACGCTCCATCTCTGCCTCATTTTGTGAGTTGTGGTCCTGGGAAAGGGGTAGCGCACTCCAAGAACCATCCTCCTCCTGCACTCCTAGAACTACTCTGCAGTCACCTGCATTTGCAACGTGGATCCCTTCTGTGCCAATATGAGCTACCGAAGCAGTGCAACCAGCAAATGCAACCTGGGGAGATAAATACCTGTTTATCAGCACTGTGTGACAAATAAAAGTATCACTGAGGAAAGAAAAAAGGTGTTGTACCTGAATGGCTGTGCTTTTCATGAGGTCATTGGAGAGAGGGACTTGAGCTTCTAAAGAGATGTCTGCATCGAGGCGTTTAAATGCCCGATCCAGAGCGTCAGGAGGACTAAAGAAAGAGGAGATGATGTTAGAGGAAAATCAGTCACATACATCTTTATTGTTATGTAATTGGGAATTCAGGATCTCATACCTCATGCCTTCATCATGTTCTTCACTGTCCAGTAATTCTTGCCAGAAGACTCTGAGTTGGTCAATGTAGAGTGAAGCGGATTCACGATAGTTGAAGTCTGTATGGTGTTTGTACCACTGCAAAATGGGAGGAACAGGTCTGCCATCCTCCATGCATTTTTCAAGCTCCTCGAGGATCTGTTTCGGCATCATTGCAACTGCCGTGTAGTACAACAGCCGCTCACTGACCGCCTGTGCACATGCCCAGCCCCCATGGCCATCAAACACTCCAAAGAGCATGCCCTTTGACTGAAAAGGAAGGATTATTTGATTGAGCAAGAGGGGGAAGAAAATAGGGGGATGGATGCACACAGAGAGAGGAGGATATACTCACCTGTAAACAGGTGGCAGCACTGCGGCGATCCTCATTGGGAGTGTTGGCAGCCAGCTGGTTACTTTCAAACTTCCTCACAGCACTGAGTCCCCTCCCATCAAACTCTGGGACACTGACAGTCTGTGATTTAAATGTACATTTACAGAGATGTGTATATGATAACCCATAACTTTAAGGGGATATTCCAGCGTAAAATTAATTTTCAGCCAGAATATCCCTTTAAAGCTGTCATGTAAGAATAACAATAATACCAGAGAACCACATAACTCATGTTAGACGTTAAAATACAGTAAAAAACATGCATGAGAGTTTAGATATACTCAGTAATAACGTCACTTAATCAATTACCTGCTCATTGGATCGCAGGATGTTGTTGATCTGAACCTGGTTAAGCTGGAAGTCCAGATCCTGACGAGTTGAGAGGTGCTGCCTCCTCTGAGACCAGTTCCCCTGCTCCTGTAGACTGAAGCCCACCTGCTCAGCTCTGGAGGGACCCCAGGATGAGAAGTGAGGATGAGCAGGTCGAGGCTGGGAAAACGGGAGTGCTTCAAAGTGGGTATACTGAACAAAAACAGTAATGAGCACACATTACGATGTGAAACGCCGTGCACGAAACTTTGCACACTTTATTGACAGACAGTCAGTTCACAAACCTGCGATACTGTGGAGATGGGCAGAGTCAGTGTGTAGCATGAAGCTCTTTGCAGAATGCTGGCGCACACACGTCCTGACATCTCTGATGGTCCGACCCTTCGGGATTAGGTTGTTGTGCAACTTTATCACGCTTCTGCCAATGCAAGGGGAAGTGGATCCGGTTATTGTGACACTTTTTTGTACAACTATGTTACAACTGAAGAGCTAACGTATCTTAGCTGCTTCGTCATCTGTAAGTTATCCCCAACTTTAACCGGACATTTTAACGATGTAACATTGAGAAACGCAATCTAAACAATATACAGCCTGCGTTCACATTTTAAATTCATCTATAATGCTGAACTGACTTCGTAAATGTTTGATGTCAACCAGAAAACGTGGCTAGCTTGCCATGGTACCGTTAGCTGGCTAGCTTTGTTTACGTTTACAGACAGACCCCAACATCATGGACTAAACCCTAAATCTGAAGTCGGCCTAACATCGGCACAAAGATTGGTCTTTTAAGTTTACTTAAGCGCATGAAACTAAGCATTTAAAATAAGATACGTACAAACTTTTAAATGAATCAACGTCCACCGTCAAACCAGGCGATTCTACGTAAACCTTTGACGTGTTACTTACACTGGTGTACTGACGAGTTAGGCTACCCCGTACAATTGTGACCAGCTGAAAATGCTCACGAAGCTGATTTCTAGTTTGACATATTTGATATAAACAAGAGTGGATGTTCTGGAATTGTAAGATAATAAGCTATATTGACTGGTATAATGGTTGTAAAATGTTTTTAAAAGTACCAAGTTTCCATGTAAATCCATGGGCAAAATCATCCTTTCCCAGAGCCCCGTGCGTCAGTACGTGAAGGAGCACATCCAGATTGGTAGCAGATATTAACAGAACACCTGGTCTCACTGCGAACGTTTGTGAAAATGCGAAGATGTGGAAACCAAAAAGTGCGATCTTTGTCGAAGTTTTATGTTTTTTATTTTATTTTTTTAGTTGAGCTAACTTGAATACACTGGGGGAAAACACTTTATGATAAAGAAGAAGTTAATGATGTGGGAAAACTACAGGGTTAGGCAAAAGGTCAACGGGAGTTAAAGTTGGCCTTGAGTCAAGCAACTCTTAGTGAACATTGTAGTTATCTACAATAGGACACAGCATGTAATAAGTAGTGCAAAATACCAAATGTGACATTAATTAAGGAACACTTTACTTGTCACAGTGTATATTTGAATTACAAAAGTAGCCCACATCATGATATCTCGATGTCATGTCATTTTGGACAGCTAAAATCCAAACTACAGATAGAAACATCTTGACTGAAATGGAAGATTCTACTGCGGATGTCTAGAATGACTTTTATGGAAAGGAATAATAATATTGTGGATATATAACAGCAAAAGCCATCGAGGCTACGCATAATAGTGTTGTGTGGTTTGCGAACGATTTGTTCAAAGGAACCGAATCTTTCAAGTGAACGTACTGAACGGAATCAACTCCTCAGGTAATTTGTTCGTTTCTCACTTCAGTTTAGCTGTCAGCAGGGCAGATACTAAAGCAAGCAGCATTGACAGGCGAGCAGCCGGCGAACGAGGAATCGCATGCACCGACTCCTGAATCACTTGGTAAAGGAATCACGCATTGAACTACACTCTCTGGAAACATTTTTGTAGGAATAAACTAACTTTAAAACTTTTTTTACAGCTAAATTAACACCACAACAACTTGCATACAATTGGACACAGCATGTAACAAGTAGTGCATAAAACCCGCAGCATCCTATCATTGCAGCGGTTTGTGAAGGAACGATGCATGTTCAGTGTGAATTCTTCTAAACGTTCAGTGAACGAATCACTCACTGAGCCAAATTTACCGACCAGACCTGATAAATAGAATACCATAGGACAGTACACTTAAAACATCATGACTTATAAACAAGTTCATTTTTACAAACCTGTTTGCCATAGCAGCACAGCCAAACACTCTTGTCTCTCGGTCCCAGAAGTGATGAATTGAACTGAATCCCGAACCAGCTGTGTATCAGTACAGGAGGTCGGAGTTCAAGGCTTGGCAGGCTCCTCCTGCCAAGATCTGAATGATTCGGTGATTCGCTGAACAAATCTTTTGAATTAATCTTTTTAGTGACTGATTCTAGTGATTCAGTACATCTAAAAGAAGTACTGTGCCCATCACTAACACATGAAAACATCAGCATTTCACCTACAAATAATGATGTATTTGAAATGGTAATTGGGGATAGAAAAAAGCTATGATAGTATTATTGTTAATATAATTTTAAAAATCTATGTTAAAACAGCTTGCCATAGACGCTCTATTGTGTGTCTTTTTGCTGTCACAAGTTTCCCCCGAGTCGCCGCGTAAACGTGGAGGTGAATTTTTGGGACCACTGGCTTTCCATACCAGGCGCGTGCACAGTCGCGGCGTCGTCGTTGCTAGCTAATCCCGTAATTTAACCAAATTTACACGAACCGTTCACCAACTTTTGACCGGAAAGATGAAGTGGAAGTGATCAATCATTCTTGTATTGGGTTACTCAGGCTTGTGTGACATCTTTACGCTTGTTATGGGCCTATAAATCAACTGTTAGTCATTTTAAAATCGAAATGGGTAAGACCGAAGACACAAACAATAACCGAAGCAGTTCATTGTTTCTCTTTCTAAAGACACGCATTTATAGGTTTTTGCTAAAAAAGTATGTTACACTGTTCATAAACAACTCACGGGATTGTTTAAAACTACATTTACAGTTTAATGCTCTTAATTTCAGCTATAAAGACGGATCTGAGTTTGCTACTTGAGTGTCTGAAGTGTCAAATGAAAAGTCCTGATCTGCAGAAACAAGCTCTTCTTACTATTCACTCCATCTGTGAAAACAAAGGTAACGATAAAAATATAAGTTATGCAGCTCTCTACACTTATCATTCAATTGTCTGATAAGTTTTTGGACACAAATATTCAAAGTCAGTGATACACTTCAGTTTCAAACAGAAAACTTGCACACTTCATGTTTACATTGCCAAATGTTCTTGTGTTTCAGAGGAAAATGTTGACTTCTTGAGACAAATGGGGGGTGTGTCTTTCATGTACAACCTCTCCAAATCCAGTATTGTTCATCCAAATGTGAAGGAGGCTGCTCTCTTTACCCTCAGCACCCTGGCCGAGGCCAATGGTAATATATGTACTGAGGCATGTCCACTTTAAAGTTGACATTTTCACATTTTTATTTTAAATAATAAACCATTTTCTATCTCTTAGTGTATTGCAAGAATTCTCTGTGCAGAAAGGAGACATTTTCAGACCTCGCTGAGTGGTTGACGAAAGAAGATATCCCACTGACACATAAGAGAGTGTCTGTCTATCTGCTGTCTGTGTTGGTTGCCAATAACAGTAAGATCAAGACTCCACAACTGACCTTATGAAAGCTACAAGAGCAGCTATTTAGTTCAAGTGCACCATAATTTAAATGTTATTCCTTTTGGTTTAATTTCAAGTTTATAGAAGCCTTTTCTTATGCAATGGATGAAACGTAATAGGGAGAGAAATTCTGGTGTTAGGTTTGAGAGCGCAGCAGTTGTGGTTTTAATGCAGTCATGTTGAAATAAGATGACTGTTTTTACTATCACAGAATCAGGACAGACTTTAGCCCAAACCACTGGCTGCTTGGATATTCTTCTTGACATCTTCAGGTATTTTTATGATGTTTAATACAGTAATCTTATATGGCTAAACATCCTTCTCAAGTTTACAGAGGTTTGTTAAAGTTCTGTCAGAAGTTTTTAGAAAGCAAAGCAGATATATATGAATTTAATAGTCTGTATCTTCGCAGGACCACTTTCCCCCTCTCCACAGAGACTACATTCAGAGCTGTTGATGCCACCCAAATGTGTCAACTTTGGGCATCTTCATGCAGTGCTCTTTGTGGATGTGTCAACAATCCCCAGAATGGTAATGCTATTTGTGTCTGTCAGACCGAGAAGCATTTCATCTTTGCTGTACTCTCATGTCAAACAAATATGCTTTAACTTTATATCAAGTTATGCTGCTGAGTTGTGTCTTCTTTAATCTTGTAGAGGAGGGTCAGCGTATCTGTGTGGCAGCTTTCCCCGTCGTAAAAACCTGGCTTCAGCAGATTGATTTGTCAAGAACTGAGATTTTCCAGTCTGTATGTTCCTTCATAGCAATGACAGTTGCCAACAACTGTAAGTTAAGATTGTAGGAAACCTGTAACTTTATCCCAACATAAACCCCTGCAGTAGCAATAAAAACCTGGAGTATGAGACTGACTTAAGTCCTTGTTTTTACAGTCTATGCTCAGGAGAGTTTTTCTGCCTCAGGGGGTCTGGACAACCTCTGTTTTGCACTGGTTCAACTGGCCTCTGCTGCAGATACAAGCTTGTTGTCATGCCAGCTTTCAGTCACTCTATCCAAGACGCTGTCAGCTTGCATCACAGACAACCGTGGGTATTGCTTTTACACACACCTTACAGTTCACTACAACAAACTCTCTCTTTCACTAATCATTTCTTCTCTGTAGCTTCTCTTGCCTCAGGTCTGGCGCCGTACGGAGTGGTCTCCCAGCTTTTCTTCCTGCTGGCCAGTCCACACCTGAACCCTGAGGAGAGGCTTTCTGTGTTGCTCACTCTGGGCCTCTGCACCGTGGCCTCTGGTAAGACTGCACATCAGTGTACAGAACAAACCTGACATTGTCTTGTAGAGTCTGAGTGTTGCACTTAATTTTTTATGACCTGCTGTGTGTAGTTTCTTGCGAGTTTTACTTGTTTATTTATGCTCTCTATTTATACTGTGTGTCCTCTGTTTGTAGAGGAGCACCAATCCCAGTTGGTGCAGTGTGGAGGCCTGCCCTTGATCATAACTTTGCTCACTGAAGATACAAGTGAGGAAGTTAGAAAAGCTGCTACATTCATATTGCAGACCTGCAAACAGGCCAGTAAGTCAAGCTGTTTTATTGTATATATTGTATTGTATCATACATCACATTATAGATTTGTTATACAGTCACAATTGAGTCAGTCTTGTCTATTATATTGCATATTGGTGATCTATTATCAGAGATGGATTCTTCTGATGCCCACTGAACATAATCAGTAGCTCAGTGTTACCATTGCTCTTACTCTTTTGTAGAAAGAGATTACAGTCTGCAAAGTATTGATGGGTGTTTTCGGTCCAGGGTGATAAGTGTGTTTTTGAGGCTGTAGAGATTGGGATGATATTCCTCTGAAACCATTTCTTTGTGGAAGTGTTTTCATGCCTCTTTTTGGACATTAACAACAAGTAATTCTCTGAATATCTAAAAATTAGAGAAGACAAAGAGAATAAAGACAACAAAATGAAGTTCTGACGCAGAACATTGAGCTTTCCCGATGATATTTGTGTCTTTGTATTTGTAGCCATGTCTTTGGAAGTGCCAGGATCAATAAAGAAGCTAGGGAAGGGTGAAAACGTGGAGCCTGTAACAAACATGGAGGGCTTCAGGAGTTCTGCAAGAGAGTTTCTGCATAGGATTGATCTGCTAGAAAAGAGACAGGCAAAGGTCAGGCAAACATTCACTCACATCATGTACAGTACATGTACGGTACAACCAGTTTGAAGCACAGCGTCTCATTCTGTGTGTACATTTTTTGGCTTAGGATGTACAGGAGGATATAGACACATCAGCTGTAATTAAAGAACTAGAAGAACCCACCACACCTCCAGCCGTTCTTGTGCCTCTGCAGCCGAGGAAGAGCATTAAAACTGTCTCTGCCGCTCATCGACAGACCGGCACTCTTACACATTTAGAAGCAAGAGGAGAAAACGACATTGAGCGTCATAGCATGAGAAGTATGCAAAAAGAGAAGGCTGAAAACAATCAAGGTGATGTGTTGTGTCATGCATGCAAAGGCACTAGAGAGCCAATAATGTCCCATGAGTGGTCACCAGAGGGAGGCAGAGCACATCAAACTGCAGACAAGTTAGTAGTAGCTCTTGTTGTGGGTCGCCTACAAATTAGAAAAACTTGATGAAACAAAGCACATATATTTAAGTTCTTCCATTGTTTTCCTTTTTGTTTAGTAAGATGTTTAAACTCCCAGCAACAGTGAAACACAGCGTGCCAAAGGAAACGATGAGGGAAAAATACTGTGAAGAAGGTGAGAGTTAAAGCTTTGCACCTTCAACACACTGTTGTAAAAGGTTTTGTCCTTAAATGAAATATAAAGTGATGAATTATTGTGTTTAGAGTTACAGGACCACAGGATGAGCACTGTTAGGGAAATGTCAATGAAGAGAGATTCACCTTCTCAGATTCGGTGTGCAGGTAAGAGTATGTTATGTTGCATCTTTAAAAATGCTTTTCATCTTGTATTATTCAAATATTGTTGGGTATTATTGTCTGACTCTGTTCTAACAATATGGACTGTGTCCTGTTTCTGTTAATGTTGCTGCAATATGTAGAATAAACCGTACATTTCAGCTTTTGACTTTTGGGAGATAAAGGATGTGGGAGTAGTTTGGCCTGTTTCATTTGCTATACCAGTTAAAGTATTTGACAAGTGGAATGAGCCATGTTAATGTCGTATTTTAAAGCACATCCTATAATGTCTTTTCTGTCATATAAAAATGTGTTAATTCTACATTCCATTCCTGTTCTATGCTCTCATTTAGGCTGTGTGCTGCCTTTTGAGGAGGTGACCAGTCATACTTTCTCATCCCTCCAAAACTCCTGCAAACACAGCTGTGACATGCACAAAGTTCTCCAGGAGGCCTCAGAGCGATTCAGAGCTTCTCACTTTTTGTGCAAGAGAGAGCACCGGGACAACAGCATGAATCAGGCCCACCAAGACTCTGCAAGACTTTCAGCAGCAGCAGCAGCAGAGCCACGGAGAAGCAGGAAGAACTGGAGTGGTAAAGGTGTTTAATCTTTAAAGTGCAGAACACTCTGCTCAGAGCGTTCATTCCAGCGCCACATTTTATTCTTATAAGTTACGTAAGATGAATTAGAGAACAGTTTCATGTCAGTTCTTTTCACACTTGAAGAGCGCTTCCTAAATTTGGTTAGTTCAATTCAAAGTTGGCAAAATGAACTTTTATAGCCTTGAATCCTGATGAAATCTGATTATTATTTTAGCAAATGTCACTGTGCCAAAAAAAAGAAGAGATGGCGATAGAAGAACTAGTTAAACAAGTTCACTTCTCCGTGCTTTGCTGTGTATCGGTATCATGTTGCTTTACTGCGACCTGGATGGAAGTTTACAAATCAAAGCAGAAGATCCAGTATGGTCGCGTAGATGCTGTTTCACGATTGGTTTCATTTCTTTAACATCCCATCAGTGTTGTTACTCCCTCTTATGAAACACGTGCTGCTATTTCTTTTTACTACTGTACTTTCTGAGTTTCTCTTTCCTGTCCAGAGGTCTGCCTGACTCCTATACATAGAGCCACAGGGAAAGGAAAGAGCTTCCTGTCAGATAACAACTGGAAGAAGCACAATGGTAAGACGTGTGCATTAAGAAGATTTCTATATAGTTCCTTGAAACATACACGTCATCTGTAAGCTACTGGAAATGAACATTTTATGGTCAAATCAAAAATAAATAGTTGAAAGTGGTTGACTTTGTAGAGGTACAAACAAAAGCACGAACAAACAGAACTGATGCGATAGAAGTTGGCTTTCTTACACGGCAAGACAAGCTTTTCTGCTCTAAAAAAAATCACCACACGGCTCAAGGAAGCATTTTGTCTTTTGTGAAAAGTTGTACCTGAGAGCTTGGAAAGGAACGCAAATGAATCTCTTTGCCATCTTGATCAAATGGACGACACAGGAAGAAAACAAAAAAACATAATATTGAAAAGTTTTGATCTGTATGTGTGCCTCCTCCAATCATAGGCATCACTTTGACTCCCCTTCACAGAGGAGCAACAAAAGAGACATCAACCTCTCACAACAGGACTGGTATGTGAATGACACTATCAGAGCTGTGTATCATTGATTGTTTTTACATTTGTCACACTTGACGGCATTGATTTCACCACTCCTCTCCTCAGGTCCAGGCTTGAATCCCCTGAGAAGGTCTCGTCCTGCTGAAGGTAAACACGCAAAACCAGAATTGTGTATTTACAGAAGATTACTCGGAGTTTGTGTGTGAATGTTGTGATTGCGAGCCTGTGGTGGGAGCTGTCCTCCGCTCTGTGTTGTTGGCAACAGACAATCCAGAGCAGGAGGAATGTTGAACCGAAGCCAGTGTTTCTCACAGCGCAGGCCAGAGCTGGTTCAGAGCCGCACAGCTGTACGAAGCTGTTTCACACTCTGTAAAACACACTGTCTGTCTGTCTTTGTGTGTGTTTGTGTGCGTGAGGGAGTGAGAGAGAGAGCGAGAGAGAGAGAGAAAGAGGGGGACAGAAACAGAGAAAGGGTGTGTTCTGATGCTTTTGTATTACACCAGTGACATGGCACTACCATGTCACTTACATAACGCGGAAAGAAGAAGAGACACTTGAGAATTCTGTACGAGCATCGCATTCACTTCACTGTAATGTCAAAGTTTCTATATCTTCATTTTTCCCTCTTTGAGTCATGCTTTCCAGTTTTGCCAGTTCACAGGCCCTCAGACAGACTTTTGGAGAGGCAGCGAGGCTCTGTTTTTCTTTTTGTGCTGTGGAGCTGAGATTTACTGTATCTTTATACCTCTCAGCCAAATGCATTTTCCAATGCTCACTACTCATTTGGGAGAGTTTATAGTTTTTCTTCCACTGCACTGTCCAGTTCTGTTTCTCTTTTCCTCTGGCTTCTTTTTCTATCAAACTTTTGTCCATCCATCCATCCTAATGTTGCCATCTTTTGTCTATTCTCTTGCTTTTGCATACTTCATCATCCGTCCTCCTGCTCCTGTATTGTTATGTTTGTTCTGCAGCTGTATCAGCCACAACTGGTGATGCATTTTCCCTCTAATGAGGAGGACAAAAGAGAAAAGAGTAATTGTCTGAGAAGAGTCTGAGGCCAGTTTATGAGTGGAAGAAAACAAGGGATTATCTCAGACTTCTGACACTAACACAAACAAACTTTTTTTTCATGTTTTAGATACGGAGAGAAGAGAAGAAAAAAGCAGCGGGCTACGTACTCTTGGTGATGAAATGGAGTCTCACACAGATCTCAATTCAAGTGTGAGAGACAGGAGTTACATAATATTTTCACGATCTGAATAGTTTACAGTGAAAAAGTACTGCGTTACAGAACATGAAAAATCAAACTACTTCGTTGAATGCTGACGCAAAACAGGGTTGATAATACTGACCTAATAACTGTAATGAAGATGAAAATAGTACAGAGTATGCATTAAATTTAAGAAACACAAAATTTTAAAAATAGAGGGCACTACAGAGGATATTAAAAATCATCAGTTGTTTAAGGCATGTGTGATGAGTGTGTTTAGCATCTTTTGCAAAGTCTTCAGTGTTCTGATATTTTTAGAAGTTTATTCCATAACTTTTTCCCACCTACCTGACTTTAGCTGAATCTTTAGGGTCTGTTGGATTTAACAGGGGTACTTTCTAGCAGCTGAGGATGGTGGTGTTCTGGGAAATGAGCAACTGAGGGCTTTTTATGTAGAGGAGATAACCTAAAATGAGTTTGAAAGAAAACAGGAAGCTCCTCTTGTTTCTGGTAAACAGCTGAGCTGAAGTATTTTGAAATTCTAAGAAAAAAGAAGAAGAGGCAACTTACAGTAAAAAAAAACAACAGGATTGAAATTTGAGAATCATTTCCCTTTCCGTGATGCTGAAACCAGTCTCAATTTGAGCGTCTTCATGCTCTGACACTGCATCTTGATATTATAGTGATATAGTAAGGTTCAAATCTTCTGTTAAGTGGTTGATAAGTGTTTTAGAAGATCTGCTAATTCATGTTATAAAAGCTCTGACGCTCTTTAACTATGACGGTGTAGTGCAAATTTAAAATGTACACACATAATCAAACCCACACACAGATCAGACATGAAAAGTTAAGTTCCAACCTGACTTTTTATGGCTTACACATTTATGATGAAACCAGTCGGTGCCTGGAGGCTAGGAAATCAATCCTGAACTACATGATACTTTTCTCAGAAAGCCTACAGGGAAAAAATGCACTGTGCTTTTCATGAGCTAAAATTAGCTGAATTTCCAGTATGGTCTATTAACATCAGTCACACAGTCATCTTTAGAAGATGTTTTTCAGTAAGAAGAGCAAAATATAGGCAAGTTTTGCAGGCACATTTTGCCTACATTTCATGGTTTTTAAGGTTTATGCCATCTGTTTGTAAAGCGTATTATTGCCAGGCTTTGTGACTTGTTGTGGCACAAGAGTTAATAAATCAATATGACCTATGAGTGAACTGAACATTTGTGGGAACTAAATACTGTCAGATGTGTGTCTAAAGGCTTAGTCTGTCCTGAAATCCAGACTCTGCTGTCCAGCTGACACACTTTTCCCTCATAAACTTTTTGCCTCCTCTGCTTCTTTTCATCATTACTCAGAGAAGAAAAAGGAGAGACTTCAGCCACTCTGAGGTGCATTACCTGCTGAGTGGAGTAGAAACCTTGGGCTTCTCCTGGAACTCTATCCTGTGGTCGTACCCCTTCCAGCCTGGGCGCACCAATGTCGACCTGGCCAAGAAATACAGGCAGTTAATGGTAACAGGAGATACTCTCTGCCAAGCTGACATCTGATCTTTCCCATCTTAACTTCCAAACTGCATATTTCTCATGGATTGATTGATATTCTTACTTTCTTTTCCAACAGAAAGCGAGAGAAGCGAATGTGGACCGCGCTTAATCCTGGTCCTGACATCTTGGCACAGCCCTGCTCTGTTATGGTTTGTTTGAATAGTTTGATTTATCTAAAACACCTTATCTCTCTTCGGCCGAACACTTAATGTATTTGATAAATTCTGAAGATATGTCAACTTCATATGCTCATGGAAATTGTGTTTATATATTTATTTATATTTATGTCGTTTTCTAGTATTTGAGATCTCAATTTTGCTACTGATGCTGTTAAATATTTGTATTTATTTATTTATGTTTATGTTGTTTTCTAGTATTTGCGATCTCGATTTTGCTACTGATGCTGTTAAATATCTGTATTTATTTATTTATGTCTATGTTGTTTTCTAGTATTTTTAGATCTTGATTTTTCTACTGATGCTGATAAATACTTGTTTATATTTATGTTTATGTTGTTTTTTTAGTATTCTTAGACCTAGATTTTGCTACTGATTCTGCTACATATTTGTTTTTCCTCATTGAAGCCAATAAAGTAGTTTCTCAGCTGTTTTCAGTCTTTGATTTGTGTTTTCAGACCCTCTTGACTGTAAAAATCCAAATTGTAGCTCCAGGTATTATTACTTTATGTACACAGAGCAAAATAACACTTAAGAAACTATCAAAAACAACTGCAAACTTTTCGAGGAGAAACTTTTCCAGATGAGTTTTGCCAGTGAATTAGAGGTAAAATCTTTGAGGGATGTTTCCAGTCGGTTAGTTGTAGCTCTGTCTAATACTGAATCACCACCACTGTGTTGTCACATGTACAGTAAGGCTGCCAGACTGGATTGCAACAACACCATGTGTTCATGGGTTGAGGCAATAAAATGTCCCAGCCCTTTAACGCTTTGGCAACCTTTCATGGCCAGTCTGTGTCGTAACTCTGTTTCAGGTCAGGGCAAGTTATGTCTTTATATCTTTGCGTTATCTATATCAAAATAAACCACATTTTGCAGAGAAGTTGGTAAAAAGTGATGTTAACATCAGTAGAAAATTGCATCAGCTCCATTGAGTGACAACATTTCTTTAGTAGGGTAAAAAAAAACACTATCCTGCCTCTAGTTTGACCATCAAGAACTCCATATCATGCATGGGCCACTCTGAACATCTCACCATCAGTGCACATCAACAAGAAAAGTAGAGACTATCTGTTTATTGTGCTGAGAGTCTCTGGTATGACAGGAATCACAAATAGTACAAATCATGCTGCTTATCTTTTCTCAGCATGAATCTAGAAGCAGCTCTTTCTCTGCTTACTGCATCTCTCCAACAGCTAGATCACTGTCTGAAGGGAGCCTCTCCCACTCCACTGAGACTCATCAGTGTGTTGCCAGAAGTATGGGACTTAACCACTCGCCATACCCCGAGGCTAATAGGGCTTTAAAGCTAGGTGTGGCTGAACAAGACAACATTGGGAGTGGGGTTTAATACGATTATGACACAAGTGGTGCACAATGATGTTTTGACTTTACTTTGTGTCACGAAGTTTATCAGACCAGCTGTATGCTGTACATCTCAGTGATGAGTGTAGAGTTTTTCCTTTTCTCAGTGATGTTTCACTGTTGAAACGACAAAAACTATTAACGTTTTATTTCCACAAAAGCAGAAATGGCCCCTCATACCATTCTACTGACTACTCAGTCAAGATGTCTGGATAGCAATGCAGTGAGGACAGGGGGGGGAGTGTGGTGGGAGAGGCATGTGAGGAGCAGATTTCTCATGGACTGAAATGCAGTCACACTAAAGACTTTTGACCCAGGCCCCCCGAAAACCGTCTTCCTTTGGAAAGAATGTGGCTTCGTCTCTCCCCCTTCTGCTTCTCCCCCCTCCCCTCTCATCCTCTCTCCCACAAGACTGTGAGACTGTCTTTCATACATGCTCTGTGCTGTGTTGGCTGGAATCTGATTTCCATATGTACACTGTGTTCTATACATGTATACTGGTGTGTTGTCGAACATGCCACATAATGGTGAAAGCACCAGCCGCTCCATTCTGTGCAACAACAAACGCATGCCTTGCATTTTTCCAGGCTTTCTAAATTATACAGCATATCACATTATAAGTATAGAAATGAGCATTTATCTAATTAAGCTTTATAGCCTCACAGCTAGTGAATGCAAAATACAGAGCTAACCTCTCCCTTTACTTCTATCATCTTCTCGTTCAGTAAAAACTAAAAACAAAACACGACCAAAACACGTGGAATAATATCTTTATTTTCACAAGCAAGCCACAACTTGGGTTAAAAAAAAAAACACCATCTCATTGTATTGAAATAACAATTAAGTGGTGATCACACCTGTTAGAGGAATACTGCAAGAATCCAACATAAGTATGTTAAAGAGTAAATGCTTATTGGACCCTTGTTTTTTTTTTAAATTTTATTTATTTATTTTTTTTGCTAAATAGCAGTCTGCACAAACTGTCTCCATCTCTGCATTGCTACTGTCCCTTGCCTGTCATTTTGCATTAACTTATGAGTGCTGTGCATTCCCATAAACACCTTAAAGAGGTTTTAAATTTCATTTTACACACTATTCTTATACCGGGTTTTAATTAGCAATGAAAAAAGAAAAACATTTAAAATCTTGATTAGTGAATTTGCATAGAGAAAAATCTCTGATGTCCAACGATAAACTCAAGTTCACACGTCTCCTGTGTTGTTTGAGCTCCTTTACCCCTCACCCAGACACCTGGTGGCTTTATAAATGTATCAAAAACATAGAGTGTGTCAATACGTAATTTTGTGTATCAAGACGCCAGTTTGATCCATAGTTCATTTGGCACATGATCATTGACAGAAAAAAAAGCCAGTTTTGCCTTGATTATGCCCCTTAAGATGTAAGTAAATCAAACATTGTGTCTGTGATTCTTTCAGACTTCATATCAGGGTTGAGAGGATTTCACAGAAAACATCCATTCACTTCTTTCAGATTTTTCTCCTCTGTGGATTCACATCAGCTCGGTGGAGGTGCTCATGTTTGTGATGAGACTGTCATCTGAGATCTTGACATCGGTCGGAATGAGATCAGTGAGAAGGTCATTTCCTTTCAGCTCCAAGTTCTTTAGGAGTCCATTAACGCTTTCCATGTTGACATCACTCACAAGCTTCTGCAAGTCATCCTCAGCATCAACCTCAATCTGCTTCACCACAAATTCGCAATTTTCCTCTTGCTTTTCAGGCTCCAATGTTGGAATCGCGGGGAATGCAATGTCGTCTTGGCACTCCTCGACAACCGGGACGTCTGAGGGCTCATCTGCAGGAACAAGTTCGGGGATGGAAGGGATGTCGACCAGTTCAGGAGTAGCATCAGGGAAACCCAGGTCTATCAGAGGTGGTGAAGGAAGCATTGGCTCTGGGAGAGGCTCTTGAGTAATCAGATCCTCAACTGGGGCTGGGCTTGACTCAGGAAGTGGCTCAGGAATTGCCTCAACTTCTGGCTCTGGGACTGAGATAGGCTCGGGCTCAGAAACAGGTTCTGGTTCAGGAATGGGCTCTGGAGCTGGCTCTGGGGCAACCTGAGCTGCGGGGACTGGCTCTGGCTCGGCAACAGATTCTGGTTCTGGTTCTGGAGGTGATGGTTCGCTGACTGGGACAGGAGGCTCGGGTTGGACTGGGGCTGGGGTTTCCTTTGCTGCAGGCTCTGGTTCAGGGGCAGCGGGAGCCTCCACCTCCTGACTAACTGCCACACACGGTTCAGATGGTAAACATGCCACTGGTGTCACCACCTCCCCAACAACCACCTCCAGATTCTGTACGTCAACAGCCTCCTGAGTTTGCGTTAACCCAGAGTCCTCCACCGCTTCTGCTGCTGCTGCTGGTGGTGCGGCTGCTGGCTCCTCTGCAGTCTTCTGTTCGGGGGCAGCAGCTTCAGCACTGACGGCCGGGGCATCTCGCCTTCTGCTCAGCCTGTTTCCCATGATAAATCTGGAAAGATTAAAACAACAAATTATTCCAACTAATTAAATACCTGTTTTTTTCCCCCCAGTGTGTAAATACAAACACTTTGAGCTCAAGATTACATAACATTACAGTTGCAGTTACAAATCTGAATTTTGTTGCTTTTCTCCTAAATTAATGAATATGAAACTATTTGAAGTTATTCAAGCAAAAGAAAGGCAAAAGATAAAGTGTCTCAAATGTGCCAGAGATCACACAACTGGTTGAGCGTATAGCTTTCCCGTTGGGGAGTTATGGTACATGATGTTCTTAACACACATCCCGTGTTGAATGTACAGCATGTGCTACGCAGAGTCAGGATTACACCGTGTGTGCACATATAGAGGGCGGTTTGAACGTGCAATATGGACATTTTAAGCATTTCTTTGCTTGATTCTTCTTTGCTTACTCTTCAATGCCTGTCTCCCTTCACTTGTTTACTATAGTTTAAATAAATCTGGACGTGTTAAAACAACACTGAAAATGCACTTAACAAAACGTGCCAGTCCCCTGATTTGCAATCTGCCGTGTGTGATTTCTCTTTGATTGCATTTTTCATCATTTTGCAAAAACAACCACCAACATTTCCACGCTTTCTTTCAAATCCAGGAAACCAAAACGCATGTATTTGAAATATTGCAATTTAACAACAAAACTAGGTGAGAAAATCCAAATTATTGAGATTTCCAACGTTAAAATGTTTGAAAACAACCAATAAATGCTGGTTAGAGGAAAACGAACAAAGAAACTCATGCAGGCGACCCCGCCTCCCTCTCGTGCTGAACAATTTTTAAAACTATCCACGGAGTACTCGAGAAAAAACAACACTGGTTATAACATGCAGATACTTAAAAAGAAAATATCCTACCTTTTAAGCCTCTTTGTGATGTAGTGAAAATAGACAAAGTCGCAGATTGATCCCGCACTCTCGGCGTGGAGGAGTCCGCAAGTCAAACTGGCTGATAAAGCGTGCACCACTTAAAGCATAGCCCCGAAGACGCTGCTGCGTGCCGTGCGCGGTCACGGTATGCACGTGCCCTGCATCATTCTCCAGACCACTGCAATTCCTGAGGCCCAATGGTTTTACTTTTGGCTTATATTCACTATAAAGTTAGACTCCAGCTTGTCAAACCTTACAGCCATGAATTACATGTTTCATTACATCATTACATGATGTTTTTGTCATTTTCATACAAATTGATGATGACAACAGCATGTCACCTCTTCATTCACCACTTCATAAACACCATTCGGGGGGATTTGGACATTTTGATTATGATTTTGAGACTTGACTGCTGTCTATGCTGGAAATGAAATGTGTGTTCCTGTTTTAAAGCGCTTACTGTAGGGAACTGGTGCATTTGGACATGATCAGGTGATCTGGTGGTTAAACAATAACCCTGTCACACTTTGGTTGCTAGAACAAGTGCGACAGACTGACCAGATGACAACCGGTTTCCTCAAGACTGTTTCTTCAAGATAAGCTTAAGTAAGTATAGAAGTTTTACCAGCTGCTTAAATTTTTAACAATAATATCATCAAGCAATACTGTAGTGGTTATTGTCATTGAGGGTGATCTGAAGTGCTTTTGTTGACACGCATGTTTTACAGGTCAGGGATCAGACGGCTTAAGGTGGCTCCTGTAATGGCTGCTCCTTCTTCAAGAACCACAGGCCTCTTACTCAGAGTTTCGTGCCTCCTCATGCTCGTGTACATCCAGATAATAACCTCCTTGGTGATTAATGCCGGTGTGTTTATCTTCTCTGATGAAGTTCTCATCAGCCCCTTTAATTTTCATCTGACAAGTCAACATGAACCATCCTACCAGAGCCCCACTGCTGGTGCTTACTTTTGGACAACAATCCTTTCAGCAGCCATGACCCTGGGTTTGTGTGTTCCTGTGGCTCTTGTGGCCTTCGCTCTGCTTGCCATGATGTTAGCCGTTTATGCCAAAGACATCCCCGCACTCTGGTTGAGCACCGGCTGCCAGGGGGTATCAAGTCTGCTGATACTGACAGGCATCATCACTTTTTTACTTCTCAATAATTCATATGTGAGCCTGGAACACATGACCCTCTGGTTTTATCTCTGCGTGGGTGTGCTGGTCGAGCTCGTTATCACAACTGCTTTGACTTTTGTGTCAATGAGGAGGCTGAAGTCTGAGTGGGACCAGAGCTGTTAACCCCAAAAGTCATTCTCGTCATCTTAAAAGTGAAACTTGGATCATCGAAGCTCCTTTCCTGTAAGACATGTACAGTCTGTTTTGATTTTATTGCCCCATGTGGACAAAGTAATAGCTCTTATCTTTGCACTGATTTTGTCCTCTTCATAGTGTTCTATCCTCATCTTGTCTTTTGAATGTCAAATACGTTTGCTGTAGAAAAAATATATTTTTTTACTGTCAATCTTTGTCTATTTTATTAAATCTTTTTCTAAGTCCTCTTCACAGGAGCTTTGAGCTAAAATGTGAAATAGTGATACAATCGAAATATATATTTGATAAATTGAAATCACTTTGATGCATGCTTTCTGTAACTTTGTCACCAAACAGTTTTTAAATCTTTGTTTCGATTGACAGTTTATTCAGGATTAAGTAATGATCCTCAAATTCAGTATGGATACAAAACTTTAATCTTCATGTCAAAAAGAAAAACCTCAGGCTATTTGAACGGCACAAGGTCTGTTACAAAAAAGTAAATCATAGGAAAATAAGTGACAAGTCTTCTCTGCTCCTCTCATGGGTTGAACAGACCACAAAGATTTTTTTCCGTACGCTGAGTATCTCTGAACACTGAAACACATAACACCAAAACTTTACCACAGAATCAGTAAGTTTCATAATCATTTTTATCTTGTCATCAAAAGATTTCCTGAGATCTTCTACATTTACATTACAGTAGTTGATTCAAGGAGTTGTAGCAGCTCTTTTTATGCCGAGGGGGCCTCAGACCCACAGAAGCTATCAGTAAGATGCTGACTGGTGTCTTTACAGTTTCAGTTCTCCAATTTACAGCTTTATGGGGGGTTTGTGCATGATTATAACAGCTAATAATACTTCTAAAGGACTTGTAACGTAGTATCCTCTTTTAAATGGTAAAGCTAAATTTAAATTGAGCGCACAAATTCATGGGAATTCAACTCTGAACATCATGAAGCGAAAAATATTTCTCGCACAAGACGTAAATCATCGTCCTCTTCAGCTGCATCTGTTGGCATCTGTGCATGCTCCTCTTCAGTCTTACCCTGAGCTGGTCCTGACCTTTGACCCACAGCTCCCTGATACTGTGGGCTCCTGGTGTATGGCACAGTTTCCACCTCTGTAATGTCCATATCTGTTTCTGAAACATATGTGGACTCCTGGTCTTCACCACAGTCTGAGAGCTCGTCCTGTAAAACCTCTGGGAGTTGTTTGGCGGTGGCAGGTTTCTCTGTTATCTTCGCGGATTCGTCCACTGCCTTATCTTGAACCTGTAAACAGGTGACGGGGATTGATAAGAACTCACTTTTTGCTGGCTGCTTGACATTTTATATTAAATATTTACATTCTCTACATGCTCTGACCGATTCTGGACAATGGGACTAAAATGCCCTTTTTTTTAAATTAGACATCATCAGTGGTTCCAAGTAATTTCACTTGGAGGCAAGGAAGGACTGGGGCTTTGGTGGCTTGCTATAAAGGAGTTTGACCATATACACTACAGGTCAAAAGTTTGGACACACCTTCTCATTCAATGCATTTTCTTTATTCTCATTACTATTTAAATTGTAGATTCTCAGTTAAGGCATCAAAACTATGAATGAACACATGTAGAATCATGTGCTTAAGGAAAAAGTGTGAAAGAACTTAAGATTCCTCAAAGTAGCCACCCTTTGCTTTTTTGATAGCACTGCAAACTTTTGCTGCTCTCTCAATGAGCTTCATGAGGTAGTCACCTGAAATGGTTTTTACTTCACAGGTGTGCCTGGTCAGGGTTAGTTCGTGACCGACAGAGTCAGTCACTAAGTACTTCTGTCATCAAGAGCAAAGGGTGGCTATTTTAAAGAAACTAGAATATAAAACATGTTTTCAGTTATTTCACACTTTTTTTGTAAGTACAAAATTCCACATGTGATTTGATGCCTTCAGTGATAATCTACAATGTAAATAGTTATATAAAAAAAATAAAGAAGACATTGAATGAGAAGAGGTGTCCAAACTTTAGGTCTGTACTGTATCTTATTATATAATCTTATATTATATACTTCAAAGAGAAATCTGAACGATTCAACTGTCATTATATTTCACATCAAATAACCAGGTCGTTGATAGCAGCTTTATCAGTATGTATAATAATAATAATAATGACGAAATAAAAAGGAAACAGCGCCACCTCTTGTTCAGCCACGTGAACCGCGTCCACAGCAGGAAGGTTGGACAGATACGAGACAGCAGCTTGTACCAGCTCTCTCTCGTTCATGCAGTAGAAAACAGCCCTAAAACCACAGGTGTGTATTTTGTTATGAAAACCGACCCAGTGTGTCATAAAATGGAGTATTTGTAGTATGTGCTTTTTAAAAATGTACATCGACAAACTACCTCGCAGTTCTCCGTTTTCTCGTATTAAGCCTCTCCTTCTCAATTCCTTTCCCCTCCTTCTTCGCCATCCATGGCGGCAGTGCGCGGTGCCTTTCGGTCATATTAGACGCTGTATTGAATAATCTAACATTTTTGGCACACTCACATCAGAGTTAATGAAATTTTAACCCTCCATTTATCGTGTAACACCCGTGGGAGCCACATTTGCTTTTCATATCGTTGTTTTCATCCATGAAAACATGTGGGGTTCATAGCGACAAACCAATTGGTCGATTTGTTTGATTGATCAGCGGTTGAGCCAATCACAACCTTCGGAGTAACCTACAGGTTTACCCAATAACAGCGCAGGGCTCTGGCAAGCACTCTTTGGTCACGTGCCTGTAAAAGCTGCCTTTATTTTTTTGCGCATTTGTTTGTTGTATTTATTATCTTAACTCACCGTAGCGTGTGTTTTTACGATTTAATTTCACACACAGTAACAGCAGCGCGTTTTCTCCTCGGGATTACAAAGTTTCGTGCCTTTTTGCCATTTCTCCGAGCAGTTCTCAGCCCACTCTGAAATTTACGACTTACCAGAAGCTTTTTTGTTGAACTTTCAGAATAAAAGCACATTGTTATCAGAACACGGAAACAAGTGAATGGGGCTTTTGGCAGGAAGAAAAGCAGAAAATAAAAGCATGGGAGAAAACAATTGTGTTACATAACTAAACTTTGAAGCACGAGTTTAACTGGTCACTTCCAACCGATGTTTTACTAACTCTAAAGTTTCTTATGTTATTATTTATTTGCCAGAGTAAACAGCAAATTGAAGTCTTAATGCTCTCTTCCCTTGGGTCCACCTCTTTGTACTTTCAGTGCAATGTGTCTTAAAAATGCTTGAAAGTATCTTAAGGACACAAATGATAGCTTTTTAATGATGTCCAGTACAATTTGATATTGTTCGACATTCTTGTTTTCCTTTTTATTCTGTAAGTTATTGATAGATGCACTGAGACATTTTCCTGACCCTACTATGTTCTGCTTATTTAGGATAGGTTAAATGAGACACGATACAGGATAAAAGTGAGCAGGTTAATAAAATCAGTTCCAAGGTTTGTCAATATCTTGTCTGATCAGAGATTTTTTTGTTGTATCTGACAGTAACTTGACATGTGCAGGGTTAAAGAAGCTGAATGCACGATGGGAGTAGAGAGTTAAGAATAAGAATAACGTAGGTAGAGGGTTACAGCTGTTTTCAAGTCCTTTCCACACTTTTCAAATCTCTGCTCCACCTCTGGGAACACATTTCAGAGGATAAAGTCATATTTACAAAGTGGCAAGATGAGTAGTTTGGCGCCACCCAGAGGACAAATAGCTAAATGCATCGCAAGGAACTCTGAAAACCATCACACCCTCTGATAATAACAAAAATACAATTACAGGGAAAACACCTAACATTTGGATTATGCTTTTTCCAGCAGTGAACCCCCTTTTTCAGCCCCACCTTTATTTATTTATTTTTTTTGCAATAGAGTTGGGCTGTTCAAGTTGTACCTATGCATCTTATTTAATTTCTTGGTATAATGTTTTACAGTTTAACCCGTGTAAATTAATCCATTAAGCAGTAGCTCTAACTCAAGCTTTGAAAATAAAAGGAGTCATAGTTTAGCTTAAATAGAGAACAGTCACAAAAGACAAAAAAAAAAAAAAAAATCTGTATAACTTGATTGGGAAAAGGTACCACCTTTAGTTTACTACATGTTGCTGCCTCAGATCAAAATATTCAGAAACAAATTTTATTTTTGATGTTACAGTTCTACTTTGAAGTTGAGTTGGGGGATTTATAAATGCAATGAGACATTTTTATTGATTTAGCACACGTGGAGTCAGTGTATTTAAATGTGTGGAAAATGCACATAAATTAATCTTTTATTTCACACAAATTGTTGCTAAGGCCACTTACACACTTATTTTATGTACCTTTGTTTACACTAAAATGATCAAATTATTCTGCAGGTACACCTAAACTCTAGAACACTATCGCTCAAATTAGTAACACCATCACTATCACGGGTGGTTTTTACACAAAATAATAAATCCAAGAAAAAGTATTTGTCAACAAAATATACCAAAATAGGACAATATATAACAAATTAAAGTAGTTTTCTTTTATTTTAACTGTGCAATGTCCAAAGGGAGGGAAAAAGTGCCATGAGGGAACCATGTAAAAATGCGACAAAATAACTGAAATTAGACATTCATGAACTAAAAATTCCTAAAAAAACATATATACATACCTAAACTATAAACATTAGTTTCTTTTTCACCCATTCCTGGGGCATGTGAGTCTTCCCTGGTGAAGACTCAGTCTCCTTGGCACAATAACAGCTGCAGGAGAGAGAACCAAAATATGGCAGATTTTGAGTGAGTAAAAATGACCAGCTGACTACAATATTTCTTATCACCACATGAATTCCCTTGAAAATCACTACTTTGTTATAGTTATTCATAACCACTGTGCTAAATAAAGATAGCACTCAAATTCCAGGACCACTCTTACTAAACTTATTCCTACCTACCCAGAGACCCATGATACTTAGTCAAACGCAACATAATAAAAAAATCACATAAACATGTTTGGTCAGGTGAAAATCCCCCAGTGATAGTGTTCTAGGGCTAAAACTGTTTATAGTTTACTTTGTAATATGCTGATATTTTAAAACCTCTCCATGCAGCTCTTTAGTCTTTTCTTTTACTAGCACACTCATGTAAACTTCCACTTCCACTGTTGAGTATATATGTGGATATGATGAAGCACCAATGGCTCTGTGTGTATGTTACTCTGGACAGCAGCAGATAATCCGTTGGTCTAGTCGCATGACACATTTTCTCCCTCTTTTCCCTCCGTCCCCTCTCTCCCCTTTCATCACCCTCCTTCAATATGTGATGTTCAAACAACCTCCAGACTCTCACTTTCTGTCACTTTGTACCCGAATCTGCCTCTTCTCTCTCTTTCTCTCAGTCCTTTTAATTATGTCTGTAAAGCCCCTCTCTGCTAGCGCTTAGGCCTTGATTGCAAAGACCAGCTTTGTATATTTGACTAAATTAAAAAGTGGGGGGAAAGGGAGGGGAAAAAAAAACCTCAGAGCAGAGAGCATGTTTACAGCCAGATGCACGCACATTGTCACTTTCTCTGAAGCTCTTTAGTTCAGAGCTTTTTAGGGACTACAAGTAATCAAGACAGTGAACTAGTTTTTAAAAAGACATTTCTCTACATAATCCTGTCAAGATAGATGTACTTTTCAAGAATAATTGTAGACTTGTTGTCATTGTTTGTTGAGCACCATTGAATTTTTTTAAGACTATGAGCTCAGACTGATAGGTGTTAGACTGGTAAATTAACTGGTATCAAGTTGAAGAAACACACCCCATAATAGTTTCAGATAATTCCTTGAAGCAGCCGCTGATCCGTCTCATTAATGACAACTACCCTTTAAATGCTGGACAAAAAAATCATCTCTAAGTCATATAAGTTGTAATTTTGTTATCACAATTTTAAAAATGCTTAATTTCATTTTAAGATGATTCAAAAGACCTTTGAAGAAACTCAAGTGGCATTGACCTCATCCTCCCTCAGGCTTGATGCCACATCCACAGATCAGGCTGTGCTAAGAAGATTTCTGTTTGTGCTCTAACAGACTAAAGCTTGTTGCTTCTTTGCGGCAGAATTTGTGGGTCAAACATGTCCAAAATGTCTGCTGAACTGCCTGGCATGAGAGCATGAGCACTGTGATTTTATTCAAGGCTACTTTGGTGTTGAAATTATGGACCATGTTATGATTAAATCATACATACACTTGTACAAGAAAATCTTGTTTGTTCAGGTTATATTTTTTTAAATGACAAAATAAGCTTTTGAAGTCGAATCAAGCACAAACAGCTTGATCAGTTAGCCTTAGTTTGTCATTTTTATCTCATTTGATCTATATCTACTATCTCTTTCTACAGCTTTTACCCCACATGTTCCTCCTTCTCAGAGGGCCTAATTGATGAGAACCAGACTAATCTTCTGGTTGTCTTCCTTTTCTATAATCCTGCTCCTAGTGAGGGTCATTCCCATTGGCCTTCTGTCGCTGAATCTTTAGTTGTGATTGGCCATATGGCACGAGAGAGAGAGAGACAGAGGAGGAGCAGAATGTTTAAAATAAATGAAGATATCGTGCTGGTAAAGAAGGGGATGATGCGATCTTCTCAGGGAAAGAGCAGACCTTGATATGTCACTGAGGGTCATATAAGTACATGTCTGTGCTCAGACTGTACTTTATCTTGAAGCCTAAACCTTGTCTTTCTTTTTTCTGTGTAGCAGCACGGAAAACACAAACATCTCGGGGCATTTTGGTTTAATGTCTCTCTTTGCTTTCTCTTGGCTTTGACTGATGTCAGTCATAAAAGAGCTGGCTTACGGTGTTCAACCATGCCTTCAATTTTTAACACTTTTTCAGTTTTTGTACTCTGTGTTGATGTGCAGATTTTTGCTTATAATTTGCTGAACACATTGCCTTAAATCAATCTTGACCCTGTCATGTAGTTGCTCCTAAAGCTTCATATCATTGCTGTTTTACATTTCAATATTTTTTCCTTAAAAGCACAAATTTAAAGCACAATAATATAATAATGGCTCCTTATGATTGTGAAAATATTGTAATTGTGATTAAATGATTGCTGTGGGCTGCGGTATCTTCACAGCGGTACAAACTATGATGCGACCACAGGTGGAGAAAGGAGAGCAGGGGGAGACAGGTTTGTGTGTTTGTTTGAAAACACGAGGACAAAGTAATGAGCTAACAACAGGTTTAACAGTGACGTAGATCCATAAACCATCGTAAATATAACCCTATACTCTCAGACAGACAGACATGCTTTTGGGAAAAAAAATGTGTTTTTTTTTTCATTTACTGCTGCTTTTTTCAAAGAATTGGGAATGTTTCAGTTTTAAAGATTTTTTGTTTTAGTTCTTTAAAGTATGTGATTCAGATGTCAATTTATGAGTAAGGGTGTTTGATAACCATAAGCAGTCGTGTTTGATATCTCGTTATCAATCAAATAATCAAATGATTATTCAAACAGCCCTAAACAATACTGTAGATCAACGCTCTTTTTCCAGGGGAGTGTATTTCTGACATCTTTGTCGGTTTACTTCACAACTGGTTTACTTATGCTGAAAAATTCTGGCTGAGTTTGATCTTAGAAAATATTAGACGGTAAAGGGTGTTTAAAGTGCTTTATCCCTGTAAAGTAATTAAAATGATTTCGAATGGCTTTTAAGTGGAAACCAAGAGTATTCTGTGAAACTGGCAGTGCCTCCAGTGACTGCTTCTGTCTGACATTTTTTTTTTTTTTTTTAACCAAATATCAGTCAGACAGACGCCACATAAAACAAATTGTACGCAATATAGCTGAAGTGAGAGGAAATGTGCGAAGTAGAGAGTGAGGGAAGACAGGCAGGAAAGGTTCATAACAGGAATCAAACCAGCACCACATAAGTGAATTTGTAACAACACAAAAATGTTCCAGATTTAACAGAAATAAACAAATTAGACAAATAATAAAAAATAATGATAAAAAGATTAGGAATCAGCTAATTTAGTGTTAGGTAATAAACCAAACCTTGTTTTTACAATGGATTTCTCCTTGGGTTGTTTTGATGGTATTTAGTATAGCTGTATTTTGGACATTTGTCAAATTGTGTTGTTTTTTTGTTTCCTCTGTTTTTTCCATGTAATCTGTTGTTGTATGAGCCAGAGATAAGATTGGGGTTAAGCATCAACTCTTCCTGAAATTACATATGTGTAAATCTGTCCAGGAATGGGATGTTTGTGTTTATTCTCAGAGGACGAGGAAGGGGCTGCTTGGCATTAAGCTGCAGACTATTATGTAAGGAATTATCTTCTGGGGTCAACTGCATTTCTTGTTGAAGTGCATTTGTCTTTGGAATATTGTAAGTCATGCAGATATTAAGGCTTTTATTGCATTGCTGAATGTGTGTTTGCCTCCTCCACTTTGGCCCATACACGCAAACATAATCAACAGCTGTATTATCAAGTTCTGTGGCAGCAGGAACGGCAACATGAGGGCAAAAATTTATGCACACAAATCAATGTGATGTCAGAAGCCAGTGGAGCACAGTAATCTGTTCCACCCTGTTGTAGTCGGGACTTGCCGGCTACTTCCTCATCAACAGTAATAGGCCAAATCCGGAGGGATTTCCTGCCAATCACAAGCTGGTGGTAGAATCTTAATGAGTTTTCCTGGGAAGCTGATAAAAGCGCTTTCTTTTCTTTCTAAAATTGTCAATCTGTTGTGTTGCACTGCACCAAGAAGATCAAGCGACACTGGTGAGGATTCAGTACAAGTCGATATAGAAAATAAATGTGGGAGAAAATCTGCTTGACTTCATTCATGACAGCTTTTTGCACTTTCTTCAAGTTATTTTTAAAACTCACATGTGACCCTACCATAGCCTACATGAACTGAATGTGTTTTCCCAGAATAATAAAAACAAGAACTAATGAAGTGACGAAAGTTAATTTACCCCAGCGGCAACACCTGACTCACTCTACCGTAAACTGTGCCAAATTAAAGATGTTAATTTCATCCTTAAGCAGGCACTAATAAGAGCAATCAACTGCCTAGTTGAGACTCTAATCAAAATGCTAATTACAATGCTAGCAAGAAGTAGTGTTCAGTCTTTTTCACCCTCTTCAAATTTGACTTTTCTCTTCATTCTCCTTTAGGTGGTTACCAAGCATTATATTCAAAACAAAGACGTTTTTAACATGACAAAAGAAAAATGTCTCAGTAATTCTACGATGAAGGAACTGCATGTGTTTACTAAAAGTGATGTGAGGGATTTTGGTGATCGGTGCAACAGTTCAATGTGCAGATGTTTATTTTTATGGAATGCTTTTGGTGCAGTCATGGCGGACACTTCATATTTCGTTATTTTGTGTATTGTTGTTGTGACTGATGTTAAAACCTGCAAGAGAAGCCAAAGATGCCAACCACACTATACTAATCTGGCATGGTAACTTCAGTCCAACGGTACCTCTGTCCCAGATTCTTTGAAATATCACTGTTTTATACTCAAAAAGGGAAAAAGTTAACAAAAAAAAAAATCTCTTCTTACTTTTTTCAATCCAGAAATGATGTCGGCACTTTAAGTTGGAAAAGCAATGTCACAACAAAGTCATTTGTAAGCTCTCCAACAGCTTTTGCAATATAAAAGGAGTTGTGCCAGAAGCAATGCATGCCTCCGAAGGTTTCTTTTCTCATTATCTTTTAAAGATTACTTACAGAGAGCATAAATTCACGCACAGTGCTGGAAAAGTGATATTAAAGAGCATTTTAAAGAGAACACTGAAGACTTCAGGGGCACCTCTGTGTTAGAAAAACTTCCATAACACCGCAGTAAATCACAGAGGACTGAAAGGAAATATATTCGTTTTCTTCAGGTAAGCTACACTACATCTTTTTCTTTAGTAGCAGTACAAATGTGTTTTTGTGTTTCTTGTTCCTCTTTGATCTATTCTCTGCAAACCTGCTAAAACCTCTGCTTTCTAGGTCCCGAATCGCAGCCGAAGAAACAGACGAGACACTTGATTAGTTGTCATGGAAACAGCACAGCTACAGAGTTTGATGTCTTTTGATGTGCATCAAATTAAGGTGTGTGACTTCATGTGTCAGTTTGTCTTGTGTGTTTGAGTGGCACATAGACAGTTATAGACTTTTGCGGCTTCTGGTCATCCGTGACAGCTTCATTTGTAGACGCTCGTCAAAAACTCAAACCTTTTATGCCTTATGTCAAAATGTCAAAAAGCCCAGAATTAGGCACAGCAGTCATTCAGAACCAAACACACCCCAGATAATAAATGATTCATGCATCTCTAAGACAGTACTTTCAACTTTAAAAAAAATCTTTCTCAAGGAAAAAAAACACCTCTTTCAAGCATAGACCCAGATGATGCAACTTTATACACTTATTCTGTGGAAGAGTGTCACATCAGCTAAATTATTACACCCCAAGGTTGTTTCTGCAGAGGAAAGTTTACCCCCTCCTTCCTGAATAATGATGGCCTTGGAGACTGTGAACATATGCCTCTGGGCTCTCTGAAAGGATGTTGCTCAATATTTTGGTACTTGGGGAAGTTTGGTGGTTGCTGTTCTTCTTTGGATTTACACTTGATTTGCAAGTTTCGTGAAACAGAAGAAAAATGCAGGAAATGATTCAAGGTTTTACAGATGTGATCATACATTACCTCAAATGAAAGATCGGCCAGTCAAAAGGTCGGATGTCTTTTCTTACATAAATTGCATACCCTGTGTTGTGAAAGAGGTGCCAATCCCTTAACATGTGCTGCTCTTCTTCTACAATGCAAGGTAACTAGATTATGAACAGGTGCATTTATTGACATGAGTTGGGTAATTTTCATTTCTGCTAATGTATAAATCATCTTCACTTTTTTATTGGCTTTGCACAAATTCTTGCAGCTCATAACATGAGTTGTCAAGGGAAACAACAACAACAACAGCATATGTCAAAGTGAACCCTATCTTCTCCAGTCACAATATGACATTTCTGCCTTGACATTTATGCTTTAGTAGAAAAACAGAAGTTAAATCTGGTTTTATTTAAATAAGTAAAGCACTGACAGTGCTGATGGTCTTCTTTGCTAGTCTAGGTTATAATGAGGCATTAACATTGGTCTGTTTCAGAACCTGCAGCACTGTTGTTGTCTCTAATGAAACAATAGCTTTTTTATCTTAATGTGAGAAAGAATACAAGACAAATCCACTCTCAGCTTAACTTACTTTGGTGTTTGACTGATACAGTCTCTTCCTATGTGCTCTAACCATCAGCGCCAGTCAGTAAATGTTTTTGATGCCTATTTCAGCTCTTTTAAAGTATCATTACACCAACAACAGGATATTAAACCCTACTTTGACAGCGTAAAGTGAAGGTTCGATGTAAGGTGGTTGGATAACTCTAATGATGAGAAACAGCAGGATGGAGATGGATAACTTTCTTAGCAGCACTTTTACTGTGCAGCCATCTTGTCATGAACCACAACATAACCCAAAACCTTACATCCTGGACAACCCTGATCACATGTCACAGCACCTACCAATCAGAAGCTAGGAACTCAAAGTAAATGTAAATGAACCTCAGAAACACATTCTGTATAATCTGCTCACCCTCAAAAACAGCTGCAGAGAAAAGCATTTAAGCTTGTAAATATGTAAATATGAACCTGTCAACACTAGTAGTTCTCTGTATTAATTCTATAAACACATTTTTTTAGCTTAACTTAAAGACAGTTAACTTTAATAGTTAACAGAAGTATATGAAATGACTTCACTGTTAAAGCTTACAACAGTATTGTGCCATGAAAGATTGTGAACAGTGTGAGATGGTCCCTGTCTAGTTTGGTCCCTGGGTCTGTTCTGTGTTTAGTGACAAAAAGCTTCAGGGAAAATCTTCATCTAGGCTCTGGGCTTCTGTCTTCTTTTGGGACTGAGTGTCCTTCCAGAAAAAATTGAGAGAGACAACAGGATAGTGCCCTACACTGTGCTCTGCATAGAAATGCATGTGTAGACTGATTTATACCCAGTGAGGGGTTTGGCACGCAAGCCCCATGTGGTTTTATGTGTGTGTTTGTGTAAGTGACTGTGTGTTTGCTTCGTAGACACCCTCCGGTATGAGCTAGTTACAGTTTTCAAAAGTAAATCCCTAATTTTATTGACCAACACAGACAGCCATCTGTGTTTTAGGGTTTTAATACCGGTTTTTGCTTGAGATGTAGCGCATGCGCAGTAGCTTTCCCCCTTCTAGCGCCAACCGAACTCAATCTTAAAAGCAGGAGCGTCTGCAGACAGAGAGAGGGTCGGTTCACTTGGAGGAGGAGGAGAGAAGTCTCACACGGAGACTTACTTTTGTTCATTTGATAATGGAAGTTTAATGATGAATCTGAGCTCATCTGCTCCTTTCTGACCTCGAAGGCTTCGGTCATGTTGATCGATGGACTAGGATGAAAAGGTGAAAGTTTGATTTTATAAATCTAAACCGGACCATTGATTCAAATAGAAGGAGTGATGTGAGGGAAACACAAGTTTGTAAAGAAAACCTCTGAAAGAAATCTCAGCTGAGAGGATGCATATGATAGGTGAGTGTGAAAATAATCCTTATTTCATTAGAGTTAAAGTGGTCCGTTTTTAATGTGTCTATTAGTGAAGAAGGAGTGTCTAATCTGTCATAATCCTTATTTTTAATATTGAGAAGCCGTTTAATTATTTATTTATTTATTTTGCTTGAAAATGCACAAATATTTGCTTCCACCTCAACAAAGCTTCGTGCAGAAATTTTCACTCAGACTACTTCCAAGAAGCCATAAAACCCTGAAACTAATCTCTGCTGTGAAAAAAAAATTGATGCAAGAATTGATGGTGTCCAAGTGACAGCTCCTCACTTCCAGCTTCAGCCTTACAGAAGTAGAGAATCAAAATTAAAATTATTCAAAAGGGGGGTAATCTCTTTCCTCGCTTGCATCAGCATGTGGTGGCTTAGTTTCTGGACAGGGGGGGATTTATGCTGCTGACGCTGCCTGTGAGGTTTTCCTCCACAACATCTCTTTGGAAGAGGTTCGGGCTGATAGATCCATTAAACAAAGAAATTATGTCTATCGTTTCAGGACTTTGAATGAGGCTGAAGTGGACTTAACTTTCCTGGATTTTACACCTTTTGTTGAAAAGCCAGTGAAATCCTTTAACAAAGACCTGCTGCAGAGGCAAATAAGCAGTTTTTCAGGGTGACTTTTTTGGATTCGTGATTTATAATATCAGAGGTTTTTTTTGAAATTCATTTTAGACTTTTGCTCTAATAGTAAAACTCAATTTTCGAACCACGTGAGTCAGTCACAACCAAGTTAAAGACAAATGATTGATCAACAGCTGATGCAGCCTCTTGTGCCAGATGCCAGAAACATTTTCATCCTGCTAGGACAATATATCGGATTGTTTTTACCCGTCCCTTCTTCAGTCCACAAATAGCAAACAGTCTGACTAAATGTCCACAGTGTGCATGAAAACTGCTGTTGCGTGGTTTGCAGTTTGTGAGATGACATTTAGAGCAACATGCCACTTTAGTGAAAACTCAAAGCAAAAATTTGAGTGGCCTGCTGTCCTTTGGGCAACATGGTCTATTTGGGTCATATTTGTTTTATATAATAGACACAAATGTGGCATGAAATATCATTTCACGACATGGAGATGTTTTTGCGTACTTTGAGACAGTCTTCCAGTTGGATTTTGTCTGCTGTCTTTCGCACAAACCTAAGTGAACCAAAAGGGCAAGGACGATATCTGTCCTGTCGTGTACATTCATGAGTTCAGATGAGTGATCGAGCAACACAGACACATAAATCCTGCCAAGCTGTCTAATATCTTCCTCTACCTTACAATATTCCTTGATTGTAATCCCCTCACACGCTCTCTGCTTCTTTTTGCAGTCTGGGTTTTTCTCCTGTGCATCGAGGAGGGATTTTCCATGGCACAAAAGACCAGAGGTCAGATGGATAAATTCACTAAACTTCTTAGATAATGTACTTCAAAATTTGACAAAACTGAGTGAGGCTTTTACACATTTAGTTAAAGGAAAATCTCTTAGCTGTGGATTTTTTTGCGTGTCATGGACAGCACCTTTGTTTTTTCCATCTTTAAACCTTGAATGTCCCTCACATCATGCAAACAGATGGAGGATCCAAGGGAGCTAAACCCCCCCAGCGCCCACAGCACTCTCGTCATTGTGGAAACTGGGTGCGAAACACAGAAGGAGGCTCCTTCAGCTCCCCAAACTACCCAAACACGTACCCTCCAAACAAGGAGTGCCTGTACGTCCTGGAAGGTAACCAGCCTGTTCATGTTCTTGCTGTATCTCTTTGGTTTTTATCAAGTCTATCGTTTTATGGTGTCTTTTGTTGTACTTGGTGATAATAGCAGGACATTTGAAACATTTGGGAGTATTGATTAATTTCTGGGAACATTGTATCCCTGAATCCCTCATGTGTCTCATCCCTTTGTTTCCCTCAGCCCTGCCCCGTCAGAGGATTGAGCTGCTGTTTCATGGGGCCTTCTATATCGAGGCTTCATTTGAGTGTCGCTTTGACCACATCGAGGTGCGGGACGGCCCCTTCAGCTTCTCCCCGCTCCTCAACCGCTTTTGTGGCGCAGCCAATCCCGGACTGGTCCTCTCCAGTGGACGTTTCATGTGGATCCGCTTCTTCAGTGATGAGGAGCTGGAGGGGATTGGTTTTCAGGTCCAGTACAGCTTCACTGCAGGTGATTAGGACACAGAGGAGGAGTTTATTGATCCCTGAATGTTCTGACAGCATCTCTGCTGTTGTGATATCTCACTCTCTGTCTCTGTGATTTTCTCTAAAGACCCTGAATTTCATCTGCATGTGGGAGGACTTCTAAACCCAATCCCAGGTAGTCCAACCACAGTCCACTCAGATATTAATACATGATTCAAAGTCACCTCCTATCCCCTCTGTTGGTCTTTTTTTTTTCCTCTCTGTATTCTTCTTACCTTTCTTTGTTGTGCTCTGCGGTTCAGACTGTCAGTTTGAGCTGTCCGGGGCTGACGGTGTGATCCGTTCCAGTCAGGTGGAGGAGGAATACCAAGTGAAGCCTGAGCAGGCAGTGGACTGCATCTGGACCATACGTGCCCCACCAAACCACAAGGTATGCTCAGGACATGTTTTGCCAATTATCTAACACACACACAGACAAAAAAATAACATTTAAATAGAATTAAGATGAGGGGAAGGGATGTGATTCATTAAAAACAACATGACAAACAGCACAGTGGCTTAAGAGATGAGTCTCAGCCTGCAGGGTGTTTTGCATCCTGCACAGCTCTTCATCCCTGCAACATTTGTTGTGGCATATTTTGTCCATATTTAGCAATTCTTTTGAATCCCAGCGTCCTAACATAAGTACCCTGTTAATGAACTTAGAGTCTCTATATGCAATACTGATATTTTATTTGACAGTAAAGCGTCAACATGATGTCCGTGCGGCACTAAAAGGATTTGCAGCTGGAGAAAGGAGTGACATTTTCAAAGGGAAAATGTCATATGTCAGTCAGGCGTGCGAACTGCAAAATATTCAGAGCATTTCATTTTTATTTCACATCCATTTTTTTTCCAGATCTACCTCCGCTTCCTGGAATACCAGATGGAAAACTCAAATGAATGTAAGAAGAACTTTGTGGCTGTTTATGATGGCAGTAATGCCATTGAAGACCTAAAGGTATACAGCTTTACATTTGTTTGGCATACAAGGATGTAAAGTTGCTTAATGTTATGAGCTGAATTCAATGTGTGAAATAATCTCTGTCTTTGCTGCACAGCAGGATCTTTTCCTTCACACATATTTTCCTTCTTATTCAAAGATTTTGTTTTTAATTTGTAGCAGCTGTTCTGCAGACCATGGCGTCAATGAGACTACACATCCAAGCGCAATAAAAGAGATTGGTGTGTGGTTTCTTGCAGGCCAAGTTCTGTAGTACAGTAGCTAATGACATCATGCTGGACACTGGTTTGGGGGTGGTGAGGATGTGGGCTGATGAGACAAGCCGTCTCAGTCGATTCCGGATGCTGTTTACTTCTTTTGCAGACCGTAAGTTTTGCCTCAAGATTATCTCTGAACCTCTGCCATTTAACATCTTCACCCGTCTCTTTTTTTTTTAGTTTAGCCTTTGCTTGTATGACAGAGCATGTGTGCCTAAATATAAAGAAGGAACAGACCTACAGTAGCACCCTCCTGTGGCCTCTATGTGGTACTGCAGCTTTTCAAAATATAGAGCTGTCACTGCAACTAATGAGAAAAAAACACATTTATTTAAAAAAAAAAAAAGGTTTCTGGGTGTAATTTTGAAAAAAAGAGGAGGAGGAGAATATCCCTCAAATGTAATCTTGGCCAAGAAGGACCAGAAAACAGATTAATTTCTCCTCCCTGTTTGTGACTTTGCCTGCTTAAGCTCCTTTACACACTAATGTGTCTGTGTTGGTGTTTCAGCTCCGTGTCAGGGCAGTTCATTCTTCTGCCACAGCAACATGTGCATCAACACTTCTCTGGTGTGCAACGGCATCCAAAACTGTGTGTTTCCCTGGGATGAAAGCAACTGCAAAGGTACTCTAGTTGTGCCAAAGCACTTTATTATTCCGTGCTTGTCGGTGCCGTGCTGTATCACATTAAATTGTGCTGTATTACGCAAGATGATACATATCCCGTCCCCCTGTATTGTGTCACATTGAGCCTCCTTGAAAATCTGCGACTATAAATCTACAAAGTGATAGCGACTGGACACTCAGGCCTTCCTCTTCTTGCTCTAAAAAACGTTTTCACTCTGATTTCAGACAACAGTGCAGATTTTTTAATATCCTTAAAAATGTCTCTTGGCAGGGAATTAATGGTGTCATCATCTTTAAAACCTTTCCAGATAAAAGATCCTCAAGGCCTTTCTGGCTGTTGAGTAGCTTGTAGCACCTTGATTTATTTGGCTGACCGTGACTGAATTTGGCTGTAAGCAGAAGGTCTGTTTTCTCTACAAAATGAAAGAAAACAGACTGTCCTGACCTGGAAACAAGTAAATCAGTGATGTAGTGTCAGCACCTCTGAATGTCCGGCTATTAAGTCTAATTTTTTTAACTCTCTTCATATCCACCATCTAGAGAAAAAGAGCAAAGGTGTTTTTCACCAGATCACTAAGACTCATGGGACAATCATCTGTGTGTCTACGGGGGTGGTGCTGCTGCTCCTTATTATCTCCATCCTGGTTCAAGTCAAACAACCAAGAAAAAAGGTAATAAAGGTTATTAATTCATTCAGCATTTTGTGGTATTGTGTGTTTTTTTCATCATGTGTGTTCTGTTTTTATTTAAAGGTGTTGATACGAAAGAATAACTTGTTCCAGCGAGGCGACTTACAGGAGGCGTTTGATCCTCCACACTACGAACTCTTTACTCTCAGAGACAAGGTGACTTTGATTACTTCTTTATCATCTCTGTGTGTGAGATGCTTTGTGAATAGCAAAGTAAAGCTACATTATCTTTATCTTTTGCAGGAGATGTCCGCTGACCTTGGGGAATTATCAGAGGAACTCCAGTCCCTGCAGGCGCTCAGAAGATCCTCATCAGGCTCACGATGCATTCATGAACACCATTGTGGCTCTCAGGCTTCTGTCAACTCAGTCAAAGCCAGTCAGGCTGCACACGGCATGGGAAGGGGATCCCTGGAGCTTCCCCCTTTCCAAGGGGACTTCCAGAGCTCCTTACCCCCCTTGAGAGACTTGCATGGCAGTTTGCGGAAGAAAAGCTGGCCTAGCATGAAACCAGGTCGAATGCAGAGCCATCATAGTGTGGGGGACAGAGCTGTGGGGCGGCAGGACAGAGTGATGGAAGAGGACGAAGAGGATGAGGATGATGGACGGTATGCCATATATGTACGCAGAGCAGGAGGACGAAGGGGCAACTATGAAATGGCCCAGCAGAGATCCTTGTCCATGGACTTTTGAAGGGAAAAGACGAGGCAGATGCACTGCTGCAAGAACTTTTCAAGGACTGACACTTTTTCGGGTTTTGAAATTAACCCGCAAAAGCAACTTTCTAACATCTTTGTGGTGATGGTGATTATAAAAATGTGATTCTTGGCTTTTTTTTGTTCACTTGCTCCTTTTGCAGTGAGTTTGGAGAACATGAGGACAGACATCTGGGTCGGCTGAGATACTCACAAAACAAAACACTGCCCAGAAACAACCTCAAGCAGGAGTGATCGTATCGGTGATCCATGTCAAAGACAGATGATACTGCTGTGTATTGTTGTCATTATCAGTGTATTGTGTTTAATATATTTTAGCAGCAAGGACTAGGATGCAATTGACAACTGTTTGATGATTCTGTTTGACGCTGAATTTCTGCAGCTGTCAGTTTGAGGAAGTTTACGGGAAAAGCCGCTGTTGTTCCCGGCTACATAAAACCCCTCTAGGGCCCTAAAGATAGAAGAAAAGAAAAGTGAAAGACAAGTTAAAAAAAGGGTGGGAGGGAGGGGTGAAAAACATGAGAATAAAAGAGAGTAGGTCTGAATTAATAGGAGTGCCAGAAGAGGTGCGGTTGAGGTGTGGTCCTGTTCCTTTAATTGCTTTAGCACCATGCAAGAAAAAGAGACAGAGAGTAAAGACATTAAAGCAAACAATGAAATGAACACATTTCAGTTTCTATTAAGTCTGTTATCACTTGTGTCAAAGATTAAATATGTCTACTCTGAGTTATAAGTTATAAAAGTTATAAGTTATAAAAAAGTCACTCACAGTTGAACAGTTGAACAGTCTCACGCGCTCCTTCACACAGCAGGGTTATTTGTTGATCATGAAACGTGTTTCCTCTTGTTTGCTGGTTTGAATATCCCTCATAAGGAAAAAATATGTCAGTGTATAACTTGATTATACAACCTTTTAAAGCACGTTTGCTATAAACACACCTCATCATATAAGACACGTGGGTTTTTGTTTATTTTCTTTTCCTGTTGCATATGTATGACTAGTTTTTCAGCGGATGAGTTTGAGGAAAACCCACCTGGAAACCTTTAAACTTTCCTGCAAATGTTCCCATCAGAGTGCTGGCAATATAAGACATTGAAATCTTACAGTAGAGTTATGCCAATAAGCACAGCCTGCGAAAAAACTCACCAAGATCTGCAGCTCCTTAAGTGGCCAGCTGTTAGTGCTGTCTCCAAAAGCCAAGTTAGTCTCATTAAAATGACTACAACTAAACATGGGGAGGTTTTAACACTGCTCACTTCTTATGTTAATATCTAAAATCATGTATTTTCAGGGCTGTATGGAGGCCTCTAGGTGTCCGAAAGCTGTATTTGTCCTTGTAGTTCTCATAAGTTCTCGTAATTTTAAATTAATGTTAGGCTTGCTATTTACAGCCACCAATAATAAAATTACTCTATATCCCCTACAGATTGGACAAAAAGCTGTAAGTGCAATTTGACCCTTGTAGATGTTTTACACAGGTATGAAACAGAAAAGTCCCTCATAAAGTTCAAATATGATGTTGTAAAATTCAACTATATGGCCTCAAAAAGCACCAAACTGTGTCCCACTGACACACCTTTCCGTATAAAACACTACAAGATGATGTCTCACTTTCCTTTTTGATCTTTTCAGTAATACATCTGATGAGTGTGTAAGCAGGAGCTGACATGTCCAAGCATGTCCAGAACTTTATCACAAAATGCATCAGCTGATCAGAAATTGCACAAAGTGAGCACCCATGATAGACTGATCGATGGAAGTTATGACTTTTTTGAGTTGTAGCTTTACACCTACTGTGAAGTTAGAGAGACCAACTGACCAGTTATGCATGTTTTTCTGGGCTGTGGGAGGAAGTCAGTAGGATCCCTGCACAATGAGAACATGCAGGCTTCATGCAGACAGGCCCTTGCCCAACCAGATATTTGAACGAGGAGCTTTACAATTAGGTGACAATGCTAACAGCTGCACCTCAGTGTGGCCTCGAAAATTAAGTAGGTTAATGCCAAACAATGCAGCTCCACCAGCAACCACAAGAGTTTGGCAAAGAAAGTAAGTCAAGCTGTGTTATATTTAAGTTTGCTGAACTATTTTAGGTCACGGTGCCAAAGATACATTTACCAAGTTCTGACAAGTGTTGAAAGTGCGAAACCGAGGAGCCGCAGTAAATTTATAAGGACATTTTATTGAAGAAATCCAGTGTCCTTTCATTTTCATTTGATCCAGTTTTATTTAACTGTTACAGCTGTAATGAGCCACTAAACAGCTTGGTGTTTCATTCGACCTTTTTGGGGATTTGAGGGCCAGCCTGTGTGACATTCATCTTTGCCAGCTCCCAAAAGCACAACAAATAAACAACACAATTCCTCCTGCAGCTGGTACAAATAAGAAGCACAACAAAAACCGTGCCACAACAACTTTAACATGTTGGTTTTTAACTGCGTTTCATCGGCATGTATGTAGGTTGAAATTTCATGCATTGGGTGTTGTGTTGAGTCAGGAGATTGGCAGAGGAAAAAAAAAACACTTCTGCCACACCCTTTATTATAAAAAAAAAAACAAAACAGGTTTGTGTTCATTGAGCCAACCTGCCCAGGCAGCTTCGGAGCCCTAGGCTGTTTATAGAGGCAGAGGCTTATTCTGTGAGGGCCGCCTCACGTTTCTAGCAAATCTTTGTTCATAGAAACACGAGTTGATGGACAGAATATCAACAGAGAGGGAAACGCAGAACCTGCATAAAGATGGAAGAAAATGGTCAGTCTTTCCCAGATAGTTATGTGTAGCTGCTGTTTTGGTAGCAGAAATCATCATATACATCATGACATGTATACAGAAGCAAGGTATGTAGTGGACATAGAAGAGAAAAATACTCCTGGAGGTTATAATCAAGTCAGTACGTTTATTATGGGAGAGATTAAACCATCTTAATGTGAGATAATAGCTTAATTCATGATTGTCTTAAGAGGTTTCTTTGTTCTTTCCTTCATTGGATCAATTGCTACATAACGGAGGAAAACACAATCATGAAGAGCAAAACAAAACTTCATTTTTTAAGAAACCTGCAAACATCATTCTCATCCATTTGTCTGCGCTACCCCGAGGCAAGGGGCTGTCAAACATCCTGTCTTCTTTACAGTGCAGCATACGAATGAGCTACTCAGGTGATCACTTACATAAACACCAACAGGCTGGCTGGCAGGCTGTTAAGCATTAACAGAGAGACACACATGTTAAAACATGACCACCGAGTTCAAGATATCAGAACATGAGTGTACTGATCTTTGTGCCTGTACCTATAAACCGCCTTTTGTATGCAATGTCTCAGCCTTGTGTATTGTCCTAGCACATGGTGTACTGTATGGAATTGTGCACCTGAGACTGAACTCAGTGTAATCAGGACACACGTGCTCTTGACATGACACAGCAGAGGCAGCAAAATATGCAACCCTGACAGGTTTCCCATCATTCCTTTCCTGAGCTAAAAGTGCATGATAAAAATAAATACATGTGACATAACATAGACAAACAGAATTCAAACAAATAAAGTTATTACAGGTGACATCTTAACATTCATAAAATAAAAAAACAGTACATTTTCAGTATTTCAATTCAAGGAAACAGAAAATAGGAACAATTGACTGAGTCCTTGATGTCTCTATTTATACCAACATTTGAAGAAACATACTTTAACTGTGTTCATGAGCAGCTACGATACCAAACAAAGCATCAGTCATTCTCTTGTTTATGTGGCCTTTGGTCGCCCCCTTTTCAGTCAACAGGGGAGAACATTTCAGGTTTTGGTTGATTTTCCCTGAAGTCTTGAATTCTGTGCGTTACGTCCTGATGTCATGCCACAGCACAAAAGTATCCCTCAGTGTCTTTATCGTCAACAAGACGAGGTTCTCAGCGATTCATCAAAAAAAGCTGTGTGGTCCTGCCACATGAGGGGAGTGTTCTCTCCGAGGACAGCCTCGGTGAAGTTCGGCCGTCTCCAGGCATAAACCATACTGTTGAGGAAGCCCTGCAGGGACACACTGCCAGCCTGGAAGACATAAAAGCCATGCTTTAACCTTCAACTTTGACTTTAGATCCCTTCTTTGCACTGTTGGGCATTGTTCTTTTGAAATTTACCTGAATCATGTAAAGAAAAAACAGGCTGCGTTGTTCAGTGTTTGTCCAGATCATCACGCTGGACAACAGAATGAGGATCAGAGCTACAGCAGAAGAAGACATAAAATATCAGTCTGATGTGTGTTTACATGGTTAAGGAGTGTTATAATCTTTGAAAGAGACTATGTTTGTGTAAGTATGCATGCGTATAAGAGCACCTGGTGTCCAGCAGAAAAAGATGACCATGACCATATTTCTTGCAGTAGAAAACACGTTTTTGATTCTCCTTCTTGAACGCCCATCTCCCTCCACAGGAAAAAGCCCCTCATGCTTATGTGTTTCATACCACTTGCTGAGTTTATAGTAAATTACCTAAGATAAAAGAGATAAAGTAAAAGATCATGGTCTGCTTACATCTATCAAGTTATAATTTAAAAATAATATTGATGCATACTAGCAGATTAGCAAAGACAAAAATCAAATATTGAAGAAAACTGCAAAATGACTTACAGAGCATGTAGACAGCGCTGTTATCACAATCAGGAAAACAGAAGCTCTGATAAAAGTGTCATGGATTTCCTCCTAAGAGAAAGAAAATATCATTTAACTACAATTCTCATCAGTTGAAGATTTAAATGGTTTGTTTTACTGCAATATAGTTTTATACTTACAGCATCTGAGCAGGAATCTCTCCAGACATGTAGGAACAAGATACAACTGGAGAAAAAAATTAAAATAAACAATTCACCAAAAGACGAGTTTCACTTGTACTTTTTCTTTGGTCAGCTAATCTAAGTTAATAGTAAAGCTAATAAAAGCAAATATTAAGTGACTCATGAGAGTTTATGACTCACCTGGTACAGTATTGGCTATCATTTCTGATGTTTTCACCCATTGTTTTATCAGTTGTAACTAAAGCAGTGGTCATGAACGGGGTGAGCACGTAGACGAAGTACATCACAATGGGCATCATCCTGAAATAAGAGACAGAGGTAGTAATGAGAAATATACTGGGATACAGTAAATAAAGCCAGAGTGTAAAGATGCAAACTCACCACACAAGGGCATAAACAGGTAAAGTCACGATTTTCTGTCTACACTGACTCTGTGAACCAGACAGACAGAGAGGGACATTATTGTATTGGTGTTTGATTGTGTTTTTATACAGATAAAAACCTACAAATACAGTGGAGGCTTCACCTGTACACCCTCATCTTCTGCGGGTCTCTCTCTCCAACCTTGGATATTGCTTTTTGACTTCCAAGCGTAGACCACCACCAGCAGAAATGAAATGAAATAAAATGTCTGAAAAAGGTTGGACAAGCACACACAGGAAGGTAAATTTACTTGGGGTAAAGCAGAAGCAGAAGTGAAAGAATGTGGCGAGACGCTCAAATAAGTATCGCTTGGATTTGACCGGCTACTGCTCTCCTAATTTAATGTAAATGAATACATTAACTCTGTGAACTGAAAGAAGTCCCCACTCCTGTCCTCATACATGAACAGAAAAACTGGTTTTCTGGCTTTGTGAAATGTTGTTGTGTTATTTAAATATATTTTCTTTTGTCTGTTACAAAACTTTTGATTTTGACCCGAGGGTCATTGCAGTTTTCAAAGCATAACTCCAACCAGGCTCAGATGATGGCATTTTATCTTTATGAGGACATTCCACGTACAGTGTCTCTTTATTGTCCCACTCTTGTAGGTAAAGGTCTGCTTGTAAAAAACACCAGTCATGATTTATTTTAAAACTTTTTCAGTTTGAATTACAATAAAACTTAACATTGTTTTGAACCAAAGACAACTGTATCTAGAAAGAAATATTTCTCGTACATTAACCTTTTTGTTGTTGTTTTTTAAAACTTGTTTTTTGCAAACATCAAAAATGAAGCTTTTATGAAATAAAACTAACTTTCACCCCCTGATGGTGTACTGCAAAGACACGTTAATGCAAACAGATGAAGTGGTCTGAAGTCCAACCTGAGGTGACTTTATTATTAATCTCTAGTTGTAGATTTTATGGAGTTTGTTATTTGTTTCATGTTTTTGTCTTCATTGGCTTATGAACGTTCATTCATCTATTAATTTGTTCAAGTCTATGGGATTATTCAGATCATTAACTCGGCATCCAATTTATAAGTAACTGTTTAGTTTTAGGTCATGGTCACTTTATTTTTATTTACACAAATCCAGTCATGCCAGCAGATTCAGATGTTACAAACGGATCAAACTGCTTTCTTTTCATACTGAACCTTTTGAGTGAAATACTTTCCATATCTACATTTTGATACAAATCCAGTCTGAACTGAGTGACATTCCTTGCTTTGTTTGTTTTCTGTAAAGAATGAAAAGAGCAGGAAACATGCCGCCTCAACTCTCTTCCTGACAAAAAAAAAATGTAGGAATATTTTCACGAGTGAAGACATGACACAGCAAAGCTGTCCGTCATCACTCTTTATGCAATGACAGCTTGGATGCCTTGTTACAGTCAAGGACAACATCTTGAATTATGTAATTAACTCCTGCGATAGCAATCTGATCCTCAACGCTGGAAACTACAGACACACCAACTGGAAATTACTAAATTCCAAGTGGACATTGTTTAGTTTCTCTCTTTTTTTCAGGTCTCAGAGTTAAATGTGACTTCCTCCACCACAAGCTATATTTTTGTAAATCATTGTGTCACTCACCAGAGACAAGGGCAGGAAGTATTGGCAGATGGTTACGCCCATTTTAGTGCTGACTTTGTTCAAGACACTTGTGGACATCAGGATGAGAGCAGCCAGCAGGTCTGCCAGGGCAAGCTGCACCAGGAGATGTACCTAGACAAAAATATAACCCTGATGAAATGCTTTTCTACATGTCAGTAAAGACGTAGACAGGTATTTACAAATACAGTACCCTGATTCTCACTCACCTGCTCTTTCAACTGCCTCCATCTCACTAACGAAACCACAAGAACAGAGAAGCTCCCAATCACACTGCAGAAAATCAGAAATATGATAAGCATTTGATATCATTGCAGAACCTGTGTAAGGTTGTGATGCATCTGCACACAGATGATAAGTTGGCACTAAACCTGAACCAAACTTTACTGCAGGGGTCAAATCGTCTACGGGTGAGAAAGACTTGTGTGTCTGAGGGACAGCTTATCTCATACACATGTGATGCCTGCGTAAAAAGCTGTAAAATGACACACACACACCTTGCCTCTAGTTCAATAAAACTACCTGGAGGGAAAAAGGATTTGAATTTTTAGCCTGCATTTTCACATTTAACGCTTTGCACTCCTACTTTTGCTTTCTCTGAGCAAAGGAGCAAAGGATGAAAGACGGAGAGAACGTCACCCCAAGCAATACTAAAAAATAGGGTGTCTGGTTACACTTTTTTACTGGGCACAGACAAATACTGCATTAACACAAAAAAAAAAAAAAAAACAGCAACAGAAGTATTTTTTTTTTCCAAGGAGAAACTACACAACCAAATACTGGAGGAAATTTGATAAAAGAAAACTGTTGCAGCAATGATTTTCCAGTTGACAAACATGTTTATATGACATCTCTATGATTATTTTTTTTAATCCAATCCAATTATCAATTTTGCCTCATAAACTTGGATGCATATGCTACATCTATCAGCAATTAGATAAGCCAACTTAATGGAATTGAGTACAAACATATAACAAGCATTGAGAAGCATGTTACCTGGGAGTAAGTAACACTAAGTACTCGACTGTGAGAACATCGATCTGAAAAACAAAAGTTTAACATGTTATCAGAAACATACCTGTTTCATAGGATAATGTTATCTGTTTTCATTGTCAGTTCATTAATAAAAGCAGGAAAGAGTATGAGGTGCATACCTGATCTGCACTCAGAACACCTTTGAGCTCCATTGTAAATATCCAAGAAATTTAGTCTGTGCTTGTACAACCGCAACCTGTCTCCATATCCTCTCGCAAATGCAAGTCCCTGACAAAGCACACCTCTTCTTAAATATGCACCCTGTCACATGCTTCTGTTTTGACTCCACCTGCTCAATTTTTTTTTCTTTGCTTCATAACTGCACGTCTTTTTTCCTGCAGGGATTCCCCTAGAACACCAGGAGTGCTCTTGATCATATTTTAGAAATGTTTACATTTAAGGTAATCAACAAAAAATTAATACAGCTTTCCTTTAAGTAGTTTTTTTTAATTTCTTTTTATTTTTTTGGTAATTTATTTTAGAGTTGTAACTCTGAAAAGTATGTGCATTTCTGTTTGTGGTGTTAAACTCTGGAACAGCCTGGATGTCACTTTAAAAATGTCCAATAACATAAAAATATTTAAATCAAACTATAGAAAAGTATTAAAAGATTCATATAAGTAAACTAACAAAAGATATGGTTTTATACTAGATATACTTGATTGCATAAAAGTAATATTAATTCTGACTATTATATCACTGATTATTATTATAATATGCAAGTAATTAGTCAGGAGGGCCGGTTCTGTCCTGGACTGCTCTTTGGACTCCCTGGAGGAGGTGGGTGAGAGGAGGATGTTAACAAAGCTTGTATCCATCATGGACCATCCCTCTCACCCACTGCACCAGACTGTGGGGGCTTTAGGCAGCTCCTTCAGCAGCAGACTGAGACTCCCACCCTGCAGGACGGAGCGCTACCGCAGATCATTCCTCCCCTCTGCAATAAGACTTTACAATGAACAGTAACAAAACTGATTTTACACCACCACTTTTTTTTTTTTATGGCATTTAAATTGTGTATATTGTTTAGTCTATTTTAGTCTATTTCAATAACTTTTATTTTTCTTGTCCTGATGTAAATCACTTTGAGCAGCAATTTCATTTGTATGAACAGTGCTATATAAATAAACTTTGATTGATTGATTGATTGATTGATTGATTGATATAATATGTAGGTATTTATACAGATCTTTGTAATTTATACAAATGGATCTCTAATTTGCCAGGAAGGCGCAGGACTAGATAAGCTTTTTTCTTCATTCTGTTCCTTTATGTTGACATACATATGCTGTGTAAACTTATCTTTGACATGTACAGTTTTTTTGGTGTACATATGTATTATTTTGTTCGGTGTTTTTTATTTTATTTCATTTATTTATTTTGTTGTTCTTAAAGTTTGACATAAAGAAAGAAAGAAAATGTAATTTATTCTGAACTTCATTATATTAATAAAGATATTTATAGCCATGCTCCTACATCAGCTGTTTCTCATTTCATCTGCTGTCATGATATCTTACACGTGCTTTATAGCTTCTTGCATCCAAGGGCAACACAACACTAAAGATAGCCACTCTCCCTGTGACTGCACCGTGACAGCTCTCTCACCATTACCAACCTACACAGGTAGACACGAATATTACGCCATCTAGTGGTATTGAGAACACCTCCTTGTCAATCGTAAGAATTTTCTTAATGTTTTTTTTCTCCCCCTAAATCCGGCATTTTAAAAACAATTTTATCGAACATATAAAAACCTGAATGAATACTAACTAAAACTAACAGAGAGTGAACCGATTATGAAATCGTGTGTTTTTGCAGCTGCTCGTGTGTTGATAAAGTTGATTCAAAAAGATGACGTCGTGGATTCCACGTTGGCCCGGACGTGGCAGTAAGTCGGTTGCAGTCCTGAGTGGAAACCACAGCGTTCATATCAGCCAGATGATCACACACAACTTGTATTAAGTGGTTGATCACAGATTTTCGGTCGTGGTTTTAGTCATGGGGCTCACATTTTCGAATGTATTTCGGCGAATTTTTGGCCAGAAGCAGATGAGGATTTTGATGGGTGAGTCAAAGTTCAGTGTTTAACTTGTTCAGCTTAAACGAGAGTATGTGTGATGACTGTACCTTACAAGTTTTGATGAAAGGTCCTAGAAAGTTAACATTTCTAACCTAAAATAGGAGCTTGACGAAGTGAGGACTATTTAAGTGACAACTATTGGTAAAAAAGAAGAAAGAATGAAAGAAGTTTTACAACAAAACCGAGTGTGAACTGAAGTAAAATCCACACGAGACAGAAACAAATGTCATTTAATCCTGATGTATTGAATTATTAATGTGAAAAGTTCCTTTATTCTGCAGTTTTGACGGTAAATTTATGACGACCTTGTCATTTGGCAACATTACAACCAGCGACGTGGGATGACCAAGTGTCATTATGTTCATTTACATTTCTGGGAGTGTGTGAATCAACCTCAAGATAAAATTTGCATATATGACACATTATTTAACACCGACCAATGAATAAATAAATAACATGGTCTTCCACATTAGGCTACTTCCACAGTTAGTGTAAATATTGTTACAGTATTTGTATTAGTTGAATGTGTACTGTGTTTCACTGGGATTGATAAAGTATCTATCTATCTATCTATCTATCTATCTATCTATCTATCTATCTATCTATCTATCTATCTATCTGTTGGTGCTTCTTGGTGATCAGAGCTATTGATGAAATTGAACTGCAGGTTATCTATAGCTTAAACATATATTAACAACAATGTTATTTCCCTGTAGTTGGGCTGGATGCTGCTGGGAAGACAACTATCTTGTACAAATTGAAGCTTGGTGAAGTTGTGACCACCATCCCAACCATCGGTAAGGAACACAACAAGAGTCGCTGTACAGCTTGCTTTATTTCTTTGTAATCATTAAACATTTACCTGAAATATATGATAATATTTAAGATCCTTCTCTCATTTGTCCCCAATACAGGTTTCAACGTGGAGACAGTAGAGTATAAAAACATCAGCTTCACTGTATGGGACGTTGGTGGCCAGGATAAGATCAGGCCTCTCTGGAGGCACTACTTTCAGAACACACAGGTATGGTTGTTTAATGCTGAATATGTTAATGCTGGATCAGTAGGGGGCTCTGAAACAACTCCACTTTAATCAGTAAAGGTGTTTTGCATTAAAATGCTGCTAATCCACAACTCTTGTCTTGAACCCAAGTCTTTAAAATAAGATGTAATGGATTAACACGATTATATGAATATTTTCCTATCAAGTCAGATAGTTGCCTTGAAGCTGAAGAGCAAGATTCACTATTCAAACTCAACATTTAGAAATCTTCATCATGTAGCCTGTTAATAACAATTATTTATTTCTTCTAAACTATTATAATCTGTAATTGTATGAAGTTGGTAATATTGCATGTTATTTCTGGCAAATATTAAAAACAACTTCGCTCAATTTCTTTTTTGCTCAGTTGTTTGTGGATTATAGTGACCATTTCTAAATTTACCTGTATGATTTGCATTTGCATAAATAAAATTCTTGTACTTGCTAAATTTGTGAAGGACTGCATGAAGATTATTTCTATCAGTCATTGTTTTGATTGTTTTTTCCCATTAAAGATGCTTGTGACACTTTTTTAAAGTTTAGACTATTCACATTGGAGCAGGCAAAACCTGGTTAATTCTTATCCAAAAATGGACTCAAAATATTTCATTGATAAACTCTTGAATGTAGAAAGAGGTAGATAAACTTCTCACCTCCCTTTTGTTTTGTTTTTCTTTTCTTGTCTAGGGTCTGATCTTTGTAGTGGACAGTAATGACAGAGAAAGAGTGCGAGAGGCTGCTGATGAGCTTTCAAAGATGGTAAGTGTTTGATGTGCTGTTCTGAATGGACAGAGTATACCCAAAAAGTGCTCTCTGTGCAGCGATGAGTTGCATACGGGATCATTTATTAATACTATGACATGGAGAGTAGTGGATTCTGACTCAGAGTGAGCAGTCAGCTGCCATATACTCTGCTGTCGTTGAATCAAAATATGTATAAAGAGCAAGTGAATTGCAGATGTGTACGTGTGGTTCGCACACTCTTGAATTTCTAAGAGTATAAGACAACCACACTGACTTCTTCAACAATACAAGCTCCTAATCCCAGTGACTCTGCTTTTGAGATTACCCTGTGCTGTTTCAGTTACTGACATTACATGTTCACAACAATAGGTATGCACAATTTCCTATGAGTCACCAAAATAATAATGGGTGGGGTTAAAGTCAGGTGTACATGATTAATAAAGTCACTCCACACAGCTCAGTTTTTCTCAAAGTGCATGTTTATATTAACACAAAAGACAATCTAGTGAGACAGAAGAGGTTTGGTAAAACTATAGCGCTTAGGAGACGGTATCTTAAAGAAAACATCACAGTAAATAGTTGATCACATTGTGTATATAGGATAGTCCTTCATGTCATAGTTGTTTAAACAGGGTTTAGGCTGTTGCTACTGTTTGCATAGTAGATTAATATAAATATCTTTAATTATAATGTGTATCTATTAAGAACATGAATGCGTGTGTGTGGTGTACAGGAAAAATGCAGGACTGTCAGTGGACTTTAAATTCACACTCTGCCACGATCTAATTCCTGTTGTCAGTTTTCCCCCTCCTTAGAAACACAGCAGCATAATTTTGTTTGATTTGGGTGTGTTTTTGTGTATGTGTGTAAGAAAACAGATACGACCACATTGTCTTTTGAATTATAAGTTGAATGAGCAGAGCATATCCACTTTGACTAAACTTTTGGTGTTGTGATTAAGTTTTTGGCTCTGAAGAGCCCTCAAGGACCACAGTGAAGTATAAGGGGGTATGTTGGCAGAAATATTATGTTATATTATATTGGTTTTTTTTTAAGCAGCTTCACAGCTTTGGAAGGATTTGTATTAGCATGTGTGTGAGGTGGCAGGGCGGGGCGGGGACAGGTGTAAAATGGTGAATCATTCCACACAGCAAAAGTTTACATGGGATTTCTGCTGACACAGCACTCCAGGGGCTGCTGCTCACATCAGCGCATCTTTTTTTTTTTTTTTTTTTTTTGCTCTGCTTGTTCAAAGCTGTAATTTCTGCAGTTTTATTTGACAGAATATTTTTATTTCAGGCTACATCTGCAGAGATCTTTCACTGTCATAGAATAAAGTGAAAGAAGAAGAAGAAGAAAGACCTTGAATAAAGCATAATTTTGTTGTTAGATTGCACGTCAAGCAGAAGGAGTTGTTTTGTAGTGATGCCTAAACAATTGAGACCAGACTGGCTCTGATCATTAACTTCTCCTGTTTTTTGGGAAAGCCATGTGAATGTGCTTTTCTCTGTCTTGGTTAATTCTCTGGCTGCGATCCCTCACCTCCCCTGTTTGTGTAATTCACTCAGATATTCAGCAGCGGTGCTTGCTTCAATGCAGAGATTTGTTTGGCTGAATGGGATCACACGGGCAGTCTTATTAAGCTTGTAATTGGGCTATGATTTTCCAGTTAAAAAAAAAAAAAAAAACAGTGGCGTATTGTCTGAGAAAGCTGTGCAACTTAATTCAAACAGCTATTTGAATTTAGTTGTATTTACATGTTCCCTCTCATCAGAAAGCTGTAAGAAAATCAGATCTAAAAACCTTTGTGAGAGAATCATTGTATTTTGTGGTAAGATGATCCCTTCCCCACTAGAACCTTTTAGCGAGATGCTATTACTTAACAGAGCATGCCTTTTATCGCTCAGGACACTGACCACGACCACCTTTCATTAAAGTGTCCACTTCCATTATAGTGGCAAATATTCTCACTGCATTTCTCTAACTTTTGTTGTTTTACTGAGGCTGTTTTTAGTCAAATACCAATACCAAATCTGTTTTAAGTCATATGACCCTTGCGTGAAATCTTGTGACTGATATTCTTCTCTGTTTTCTGTCCCTCTAGTTGAGTGAGGATGAGTTGAGGGATGCTGCTCTGCTGGTGTTTGCCAACAAACAGGACCTCCCAAATGCATTAACTATGAACGATATCACAGAACAACTTGGCCTTTCCTCCCTTCGCGGCAAAACTGTAAGTATTGTGAATAGCATTGGCTCCATAGACCTGCATCATATCTCTTGTCATGTGCAGAGCTTTATCTAGGTCTAACTCAAGGCTAACTACACCGTTATCTCTGACCCCACAGTGGCATGTTCAGGGAGCGTGCGCCACCAGTGGACACGGCTTGTATGAAGGACTGGACTGGCTTTCCCAAGAGTTATCGAACAGAGGCTAACGCGGATCAGCCTGTCAAAAAGATAGAGACTGTACAGCGCAGGAGAGGTGTGCGGGCACAGACACCCGCAAACACACAGTGCAGATGTTCACCAGGAGATCAAGACTGGTGGAGGATATAGTCGTCTTTGGGACAATTTTTAATTCTCGCATTTTTCCTTCTGTTATCAACACTTGAACCATGTTTTATCTACACATAGTCTGTATTTTTGTCTCCCAAAAGAATCTTTGTAATGAGAAGAGGTTGAAGTTGCACATTCAGTTTTGATGAGCAAACTGACAATTTTTAAAACATCCTGAAATGCATGAAAAATATATTTTTTCTGTCCCTATTTGAAACACTTATGCAATTTTTGGCCTATACTTGTTGGGGGGAAATGATAATATACACATACTTGTGGCTGCTACAAACTGTTTTCTCTACAACCCTGTGTGGATATTTGACTCCAGTTCATCAGTGACCCTTTGCTCTGCTGGGTCCCCGCTTTTCCAGCTGAAGATTCATAGCCAACAGAGTTTGAAAGGAAAGAGCTCTGTGAGGCTCGCATTTATTCCAAACATAGTTTATTACAGAGAAACCATGTTGCCTTCCACTAAATGCAACCTCAACAAAGTGCTGTGCCTTCTGGTCCCTCTGGACACAAATCTGAGCTGTCCCTCTTGTCTCTTAATCACCATCTCAAGACTTTAAAGTGACTTTTTGCATTTGACACAATGTGTCATGGTGAAGAGGACCCACACCGGTGTGCGTGTTAATGGCCTTTATGACATCACAATCAACTTTATGACATCACAATCAACTTTCTTTTCCCTTCGATAAAAACGACCTTGACAAAAAAAAAAAATAATAATAATAATCTCAGTTCTTTTGTTAACACAGTAAGAAGGAGGCATCTTTTTCAGTGTTGACACATGGTCAGTGCAACACAGGACAGTAGCATGTTTTTGTTGGGTTTCTTGACTTTTTTTTTTTGCAGTGTCTGGGGCTGATGTTTTGTCTATGGTAAATATTGTCGTATTTAGTTATTTTGCCGTCTCTAACTCAGAAAATTAGCAGGATGAAATTATTTGTGTATACATTCCAGTCTGTGATTGATTGCAGTTGCTGATGCTGCCACTCTTCAAATACACTTGCTATAAATATCTTACAAAAAGCTCTCAATAAAGAGAAGAAAAGTGAAAAACCTTTTGTCATGGACTCTGACCCTGGTAAAGACAGGCATCAGTCCCTGTGGAATCTCAAGGAGTGTTTTGTCAGGATTTGTGCCTTGTTCGCATAAGTTGAAGATGTCTACAACTAACCAGTCACTTTGTAAAAACAGCTAGTCTTTTTCATAAACCTCTACGTGTCTAAGCTTAAAGATGGTATAAATCTGCAGCCTTTTAATATTGAAATTGGCTGGCCTATCTTTGAAACTCATGGTTTAGCTGCCAGGTGGCTCTTTTTCAGCTTTCAGCTCTAAAACTAGAGCGCTAAAAGTAAGAGAATGACTGAAATGCTGTGTTAGACTCAGGCATTGATTTGACATGACCTACAGTGCAGTCAACCTTTGTTCTGACCTCTTTTGTTGTTGGACGATTGGAGGGACCGCAGAGACAACATGTCAGTCTAATCTTGCTCTGAGGTCTGGTTTACTGCTAGAGAGCTGAAGAAGAGAATAAAAGTAAACAAAAAACAATACTAATAATTCTAACCCTAACCCTGGTGAGGTTATCAGCGTGATATAATTGGCTCGTTGTGATCCGTGCATATCTGCTCTAATGTATTTATGACGGATAATCAGGCTTAGTGAGGCTGGGTCAGCATACTCATGCAGGTGTAGCAACAAGGTGGATAAGCAATGAGGACCAGGTTTTTTCTGCTGCTTTCAGATACCTCTTTTCTGCCCTTTTAAGCGAGATTTTGAACTGAGCCGCTAAGGTACGTTTTGGATTTAACTGACTTCTAAATATAATATTGAAGATTACTCTGATACATTCATTGTATTCTGACAATTTTATTATTAGCGCTATGTAGAACTTTAGTATAAAAAATGACTAGGTAGCTCTTAGTGGCTCAGGTAGAAAAGCCTGATTTCAAGGGGTCCACTGCCAAACAGGATGATGCCAACCTTGACCCCGCACATACCAGTACCACGACCATCATACTCCCAGACCAGAGAAAACCTGGTTAAGGCTATCCCTCCAAAGCTCCTCTGTCTGCTGGCCTGTGGAGGACCGGACTGCCGCTATGAAGGACCAGAGTGCTGGAAACTGAATCAGCAAGTCATCAGAGGTGTTTTCTCTTCATGGTGAGACCCGGTGGCAGCTGTCTGAAGAGGTCACTTTCTTTGTTTTAGGCCAAATCAAGGACCCTTGTTTGTTTTCTGATTAGAAATGTCTTTATTTACAGGGTGACAGATGACATTATTGCCATGGCGCGACCATCTAATCGACTTATTGAGAAGTACAACATAATAGAGCAGTTTCAGAGGTAATCAGTGGTCAATATTACACCTACAATTACGAGCTTTTTTCAAAAGATGTGAAAGGATTGGGGCTGTCTTTAGTGCAAAAAGGGTCAAATAAGGGTATGAAGTCTGATCTTATTTTTTACAGTAATCAAACACTTGTGTAAATGTGCTGACTTGTGCTATATATATATATATATTACACTTGAACACTCTTGTCTACTGGATGTATGATTTTTTTTCCAGGTTGAACATCAGATCCATTATTAACATGCAGCTGCCAGGTGAGCACGCTCACTGTGGACCACCCCTTGACCCTCAGAGCGGTTTCACATATACTCCACAGATCTTCATGGACAATGACAGTAAGATCTTGGTACAGCAAACTTGAAATGTCAAATCAGGTATTTCGTCCATTTACAATTTAAAATGGAGTATTTCCCCTTTTAAATCTGTACCTTTCATCAAGCAGTGTATATGATTGAGCATTAGCAGTTTAGGTTTGATAAAAATGATGAGGGCTCAAATGTTTTGCAGACAAGGAGGATCTATCACTTTACACCATGTTCTGTATAGCAGTCGTAGCTCAGTAGTGAAACACTGGTGGTATTGGTAACTATGACTACTTTTTCTGTTCCTGTTAGTTATTCTTGTATGTTTGTATTTGTTTATTTGCAGTTTACTTTTACAACTTTGGGATGCCAGATTTTGGTGTGTCCTCCCTTGTTGTATTAGTTGATGCTGTGAAGGTTTTGGCCTTTGCTGTGAAGGAGGGGAGAGTGGGTGTGCACTGCCATGCAGGACTGGGTAGGACAGGTAGGAGTAAACAAGCATCCAGTGTCTTCTGTAATGCTGTGTTGTATACACTCACATGTATACATTCAGAGTGTTTACCTCCCTCCTGTCCCTGTCACGTTCTTGATGCCAAACAGGAGTACTGATAGCCTGTTATCTGATCTACATGCTACGCATCAGCCCGAGTGAGGCCGTCCATTACGTGCGGATCAAAAGACCACGGTCTATCCAGACCCGGGCTCAGATTAGTCAAGTGTTTGACTTTGCTCGACTGATTAGCTCCCAGCTGGTCCAATATCCAGACCTCAGCCTGCGGCATGGGGTCTCTTTCACCCTGCAGCACTACCTAAACCGACAGGCATGGCTGCTTCATGGCCAGGAGGCGCGGACCCTCAGACACACACCAAAGGTTAGGTTTGATCGTCATGTTAACTAGATCACGTTACTGCCTTCTCCTCTTTGACCTTCTAGATCCTATCTATAGGTGGTGTATCTCCTGTTAGTGCGTCTCTCCTGCCTGGCCCTGGGTCCACCTGCTCCTCCAGAGGTTGTCGCTGAGCTGGAAAAAAAGTCAGCACTAAGATCCCTGGGCAGGATGGTGAGGGAGACCCTAACAGCCAAACAGTACCTGCCCTTACTGGAGGAGGGTCATAAAAGCTCATGGGTGGACACAGATTCAGTTTCCTCCTGGGACCAGCCTCTTGGGTTCTTGGAGAGGAGGGGAGATGTAGTATTGTACAAACGCAGCTTTAGTGACTCTGATCTCAGCAAGAGGATAGAAAACAAGGTACAGTTTTGCATCTTTTATCCAGCAGCATATCAAGCTCACAAAGTCTCCAAATCAAACTGCTTATTGATGCTCTGCTGTCTTTGCTGCATTCTGCCTTTAAAGCATCTAGAGAGGAGTTTTTTCTTCAGCTCAGCACTTAGGAATGAGGAACACAGGTGTGTGAAGGATCTGATTCAACCTGGTCTGAGATCAGCTTACCCGATCCATTCATCAGGACACCAAGCCACCAGAAAGGAATCTGATGAACCCAACCTCCCACAATCAAAAATGACTTGGAGCAGAAACTACACCAAACTGTCCACCAGCATGGCTCAAAAGGCACTGACCAAATCCAGCTCGAACATAGAGGTAACTGTGATTCTTGAAGAGTTGATGATTATCAAAACTTTGATGCATGCATTAAAAAGTTTACAAAGTCTGCTTATAAAGTTGTGCAGAAACTCAGGTAACCCAGGCCCAACCGTTGTCGCCCGTGCCGTTGCTAAGGCGATGTCAGACCAAACTCCTCCAGGAGAAAATGTCCTGCAAAGATCGGCTCTGCTGCAGGTAAAATTATTAACCCATTTTACATCTGGTGATACAAGAGTATGAGTTTAAACTCTGCAGTCACAGAATTAATCCTGTTACCGCTTCAACAGGAGGAGCTGAACAGCAGTGACAGCGGCTGGGCTCTGCTGGTCACAGAATCAGATCCTCATGTCCTCAGTTGTCTGTTGTGGACATGGTTGGACAGGTTAAGGGTCAGTGGTATCAACATGAAACAATTAGATATTTTGGCTATGTGTTGGGGTTGTGCACTAAATAGATAGTGTTATTTTATTATTTCAATTGACACCCCCCATATTTGCATAACATCTTCCACTTATTTCTAAATCTGTCTCTCCATCCTGATCCAGGAGCCTGTTTTGAGTGCAGAGGATGTAGTCAGGTTGAGTAATGGAGCAAACAACAGGAAGCCTCTCAGTGTGCTGAAGAAGGTAAGAAAATAGATTAAGATTTACAGTAATATTAGAGGAAATTTTGTTCTCTAAACCCCTTTAATAGATACTGAAAATGTTTTTTTTATTCCAGGCACAGAGACATACCATCTACTGTCTGCTGGGCTGTGTGAGGACAGTCAGCAGCCTGTGTCCACACAGAGAGGATGCCCTGCTCTCAAGACTGATGAGGACACTGACCAGGGTAAGACTACTGTCTACTATCAGTGACTGATAATCCGGTTATGTTCAGGTCTTGGTGTGTTTACATATTTCATCATAAACAAATGAGCATCAAGGTGTTAAGTTTTGTTCTACTGTGTTTTTGTGGAACTACCAGCGCCCCCAAGAAGAAATGGAAAGCCTTGGGATCTTGATGAAAGTCTTGAAGGTGACTTTGAGTGAACTGTACCACAACTATGGAAACTTGACCAGGACCTGCAGCACCAATGTCTCTCCTTGAAGAGCTTCTTTGGAAAAGTTTTTTTCTTGTCAACCTGGTGTGTTTTCACCCTGAGCACATGGCAGTAGGCAAACTCTGAAGACCCTCTGAAGATATCTTCCTAATAAAAGATAATAATGATGGGTCGAACAAGCAAAATTCTTTAAAAAAGCAAAACTGTAAGATGGTCAAAAGCAGAAGACAGCTGGCAGAGTGCTGGAGTTAATACTATATATAAATTACCTTTATTTATTTATATACAAACTTAGAATAAAATGCGTGTTGACACTGAAAATGTGCGTGGGTTATTAAGTGGAAATGCTGACACAGCATTTCCACTTATTGTTATTCTCCTATTTCTTTATTATTATTATTATTCTGTACCCTTTTTAACTCGCTGTTGTGGCCACATTTTTTACACTTTGGACATAAAACATACATCATTGTGTTCATGGGAATATTATTTATGGGATATGACTTACTTCAGATGGTTTCTCACTGCTTTTGCGATATCAGCACTTGTCATGGGCTGTGTGCTTCGATCACACACGCACAGGCTCGGCCGCGCGAAAATTAACAAAAATTTTCAAAAAGTAATTCAACCAGAGTGTCTCATTTGAGTCACTTTGCCGATCCCAAGCCTGCATAGAGGAGGAGGGTTGGGCAAGTATTTCCACCCTACGTAATGGTCTCTTCATTAAATTTGATTTTCTACCATTTAGCAATACTGGGCAAAATTAATTTGTGCAATGTGGGTTTAGACAAAGCATCAGATTCATGAAGTTATTTTGGGAAGTGAAGTCCTATTTCAATAAACAAAATCCTGAAAAATTAAATTTAAAGGCTGTGTAAGTGTGTGTGTGTGTCATGAATTAGTCATTCAATTCTAGCAATACAAGTTCCAAAACTTAACTGGACCTTGGCTGTTGCCAAGCAACACTTGAACATTTCTTGCACTCTGTGGACATCTTTAAGAAACAGCAGATCAACTACAGAGGATTGTGTGAATATCTCTACATATGCTTTGTCTTTTCCTTCTGAACATAGTAAGTCTGCGGTGGGGGTCAAAGTCAGGACCCTCAAACTGATAACCTGAGCCGTCACACACACTAAAGGGATTAAACATACATCAAAGTGACAGAAATAGATGTTGATAATGACTCTGATTGATTTTTTGTTGTAGCGTAAAATAATTTATTACATGTAAAATCAGCTGAATTTTTTACTATATTGCAGAATTGTTTCTTTTTCACCTTTTTTATAATCAATAAATCACACACACACACGCACACACACACACACACACACAGATATTTATACTGACACATTAAGAATGCCTGACAAAGAGTCAGCTCCATGGCAACGTTGTCATAGCAAAGTTGACATGCACTAAACAGTTTTTGTTTGGGTTCAGTGCTCATTTCTAAACTCCCGGGAGAAAACCTGACACAGAGTGAAGCTCAGGAGAAGATCAAGAGCTCTAAAGGTAAAATTATTCACTAATTCACTTATCCGAATGCAATCACCGATTTAATATGTTTGTATGTATTCAGTGGACTTCTTAGTGCAGACTGTGTATGATGCATGTTGACTCTTTTGACGAAACAATGGTTGCAGCAAACTCAAATGATTGATTACCTCTGAATCCTTTATGTGTACATATTTAAAAAGAGATACAGGAGGAAGTAACACTAGAAGGGTTTATAATTTACTTTCCTGCTGCTTTATTTTACTTGCCAAGTGCTCCTTTTTTGAGTGTGTCAAGTTCCTCTTTGTATTGCTTGCTTTTTACACTGAATGGAAGTTTTGTTGTTTTTGTATATTGATTTTTAACTGTACGTTTGTTAATCTAATCAAAGTTTAGGAAGTCTTTACATTTTGAACATAAACACAGATTGCAAATCAGCAGTCAGGCACAATCCTTGTCTTCTCATCAGGGTAAAAATGTCAAACACTGAAGGTTGGGTTGGGACATGGAGGCCCCACAGGCCAAAAGGACCCATAGCCGCCCTCTATGGCAGCCCAGGACCTAAATATGCACTGCCTGGACTCACAGGTAGAGCTACAACGCATCAAAGCTCATTGCATTTTGGGACTTTTAATTGTGTTAACAATCGCAGTATTAATTAAGTTACCAATGTAGTAGGCTATTTCACCTCCTAAACAGGAAACTCCAATCATGACCCTACCAAATATAAGGCACCAATGTACAGCTTTGGGAAACGTACTGAACTGCCAATGTTTAACTCCTCTCCGGGACCAAGATACCTGATCCCCTCCAACATCACCAGAGTAGGCCAAGACGGCACTCCTGCATTTTCATTTAACAAGCGTCCAGCAGACCCAGTAGGGTCACAGACCCCTGGACCAGGTCAGCAAAACCTTTAACACAATACAGCAGATTTTGTAGAAACACATGGCCTGAAATACTGCTGACGTCAAACACATGAAGACAAACCACCAAAACTGACATTTTAGTCTGTTCTTATGGTGCCAAATTGGGACATTTAAGTTGATCTGTTTGTATGCTTGTATGAATCTGTTTCTGTGTTTTAGGCAAATACTCACCAGAGATTTCAGCAAAGTGGCGCTTTCGCTCCTCTCCTGCTTACTCTTTATCTGCAAGGCCCAAAGAGGACAGGGCCAACGAAACACCAGGTAACACACTGCACTTTGTGTCAGCCTATTTTTAGACTTCAAAATGTAAAGGAATAAGAAATACACACATTTGTAGCACTGACGTCACACTGATGGTCGTGGTGTTTGCTAGAGAAAACAAGTTTAGCCACCACAGGGTAGAAGGTGATGGGGGAGTCATAAAATGTCTTCTTTCAGTTGTTGGGGACAGATTTGTAGGGAATAGTAGCAGTCAGTAGCAGTGGTAAAACTGTACTGTATACCTGACACTGCAGGTCCAGCCGCCCACAGTCTGCCTCCTTTGTTTGGACACAATTTTGTTATTAAGTGGAAATGCTGACACAGCATTTCCACTTATCGTTATTCTCCTATTCCTTTATTATTATTATTATTATTATTATTATTATTATTATTATTATTATTATTCTCCCTCTCACTGACTGCACCCTGCACCACGGAGTCCGCGCCGACTCGCTGCCTCCGCGCTTTTAACTCTTCGGGCTCTATTTTCGTGTACGCCCGTGAGGCGGCGGAGGGCGGTGAGCCCCGCGCAGTTGTATTTTCGTCTGGCGCAGCCCGGTGTACAGTCAGTTTGGTATTTTCGTGGACTGAGGCGCATGGAGGCGAGCCGAGATCCGCCAAGCTGGGCGTGGTGGCGTGGCAGGGGGAGGTGTCGACAGAATCAGCGGGCGCAGTGACATTTTCGTGCTCTCCACCGGCATGTAAAGTGCGCTGAAAGCTTGCCGATTCAAATACCAATCCATCTGTGCTCATATGAGAGAGTGTGGAGGACGCCCAATGCAGCGCTTACAGTGACACAGATCTCTTGATCTCCTTGACTACTTCATGAAAATAGTAATACGCCTCGCCGATGGCGGATTTAAAGGCAAGGAGAGGAGCTAATGTGATTGGTGAAAACAGGTCTCGGCTGTGTTAAACCCACTCTCCGCCCTCTCTCCTCCCTCGCTACGACTTATGCCGCTGGGAGGAGCTGAGTTAGGGAGGGGGGATACTTACGCCGGGCTGCACCGCTCACCAAAATACCAAATTGTGCTTGGGAACGCCTTGTTGGCGTGGCGGACCTCACCTACGCCGCGTCGCCGGTGAGGCACGAAAATAGAGCCCTTCGACTCATCTGCAGTTTGCTGCTGCCTGGAAAGACTTGTATTCTCCTGGTGACTTTGGCGATCTCAGTGTGGATGCCTGTATGAAAAAGTTTGATTCTCTTTGCACTGAGATCTTAGACTCCATTGCGCCGATGACTTTGAAGCATGTAAAGCCACAGATCGAGCCGTGGCTAAATGAGTCCACTCGTGCGCTCAGACGCGCATGTCGACAGGCGGAGAGAAAGTGGAAGAAAGACAGTCTCCAGATTTCTCTGGATCTCCTTCGGGATTGTCTCGTTAATTATCAGCAGGCCGTTAAAGCGGAATATTTCTCCACTCTGGTCTCCAAAAGTGCTCATAAACCTCAGGTTCTTTTCAATGTCTTTGATTCACTTGTGAACCCCTGTGATGCCGTCTCTGTGGAACCATCTGCTTCTCTGTGCGAGGAGTTTTTGCAATTTTTTGTCAATAAGATGTCTGCTCTGAGATCTCCACTCCCTCAGCCTGCTCTGGACCCCTCAGCTTCTGCAGCAAGCTCAGCTGTTTTCCACCAGTTTGAACCCGTTTCTTTTCCTGCACTGGCTGAGATAGTAGAGCATTTGCGCCCTGCCACCTGCCCATCTGACAGCATCCCTTCCAGGCTGCTTAAAGACCACAGGGTAGAAGGTGATGGAGGAGTCATAAAATGTCTTCTTTCAGTTGTTGGGGACAGATTTGTAGGGAATAGTAGCAGTCAGTAGCAGTGGTAAAATTGTACTGTATACCTGACACTGCAGGTCCAGCCGCCCACAATCTGCCTCCTTTGTTTGGGCCCAAAACTGTGGGAAAACCTGCAGCTCCCTCCTTCTCCATCTGTGGCCGCGGCAAATCTGGAGCCTTCGATGAAGACTGGGCGAAGGCATGTGTTCAAAGTATTTAAATCCTTTATCTTTCTTCAAAAAACATCCTTTAGGTAATGTTACTATATACTGTACTTTTCTGCTCTTACAGACTCCCGGCCCTGCTGCCTACAAAGCTGTGGACCCAAATGTCTACATGAAAAAAACTCCCCATTTCAGCTTGATAGGTCGCAACTTCACACCAGGGGATTCCACAAAGAAACCAGGACCAGGAACATATTATCCTGAGAAGGTAGGAGAGCAGTAAATGTTAGTATGTCATGCATAAAGCCTGAGACATTTTGGCGGATATTTGCTGATTTACTCAAATTTTCCTCCTCCTAGGTGACCAACATGGAAGCAAAAGCTCCAAGCTTCTCTTTTGGACTACGTCATTCACAATTCATTGTAGATGTGCCTGAAAAATGTCAGTGACAATTTGTTTCAACTGGGCATGCAGCATGACCAAATAAAATGCAAAAAGAAAACTTCTCTATGTTTTCATAAATCATGCCAAGAACACTCAGCTGTTAATCCGTAGAACGTTGAGGATGTCAATAACAGTGTATTTTACAGGTATATCTTAATGTTTGCATCAAGTGTGAGGTCTTAAATCATTCATCTAACGTCACTCCTTTTGCTACAAACATTGACTATACTGTATATTAGACTAGACCCCACTAGTGTTCACTGACTATAAATCCAAAAGATTTAGAGCTCCCCCTGGTGACTGGCTACAGTACAGATCATAAACCCCACCTGCCCATGTGAGCGGATAGAAAAGAGGTCAAAAAAGGACATCAAAAGACATGCCAAACATGGTTTTTGCGGTGAGTGTTAGTCCACATCATGCTTATTTATGGGAAAGTCTTCATTTTCTTGAGAAGTTTAATCTTAATTAGTTGTGATAAGTGATTGACAGCTCTGTTGACAGACACAGAGGTTCCAGCAGCGCCCTGTAAAGGATTAACAAAGAGGAGGAGTCATAATGAACAATGCCAACACAGAATGCTGTTCCGGTGTGAACTGTACTGAATCATTGACATTTTATCACCAAATTAAAGCATGTGTTGGTCAGCAGAAAAGGTGCAATATCAGTCTTGTGACTAGTGCAAAACATCTGTGCCTAATGAGGCAGATTTTTTGGCTTCACACCTCACAATGGGCAGAAATCAAGTGATGTTATCATTCTGTACAGTTCACAGCTACAAGAAAACAATACACAGCAGATAGTCACATTTGGACATAAAGACATGTCTATGGACTCGCATAGGTATACATGTCTGTGGGCCCACTCGTAGTTCACATATTCAAATTGCCAACTCAATTAGCCGTGCCAGCTGATTGACAGCTAGCAGCTCTTACCTCCTTCAGTTGCTTAGGGTGAAGATAGATGTACTTAGCCTGGCTGGGCCATCCTGTTGCGTGAGTCACTTGACGTTCCTTCCCACAACAGTCTGGACTTCGGCCCATAGGAAGCCCTGAAAGTGGGCGGAAGAACGTTCCTTGATAGACAGTTTACTGTAACCAATCACCGTAACCAAACATCTGACGTCATCACAGTGCGCAATTTTATTCCCTAGTGGGCTCTCAACTGTCAAGTAAACGTTTGGTAATATTTCAACGTGTGCGAGCAACAATGTCTTTTACGTCTTCTTCTGCAGATATAAACGATTTCTGCCGACTTTGCAAAGTCAACTGCAGAATTAACGGCGTTCTGAATGAACGGCGCTTTGAAAAGTCCCACAGCATTTATTAGACGTCACCACTACACATGGACCAATCAGGGGCTGCCTTTCCCTGTTGTCCAGATAACAGTGGAAACACGGTCTCTGATTGGCCTGGTTATTTTCTGATCGGGCATACACACTCTCTATGGGCCGAAGTCCAGACTGTGGTGGGAAGGAACGTCAAGTGACTCACGCAACAGGATGGCTCAGCCAGGCTAAGATGTACTGACCTTATGATTTACTTTAAAAAGGTAAAAAGAAAAAAAAGCACTACTGGATGGTTTAACCTTGAACTGCTGGGGCAAAGATTTTTCTTTCAGCATCCTTAATATGAAAAGTAAACGTCAGATGTGACCACATTGCTACTGTGTTCGTTTCTGGCTTGCTCTGGAAGCATCAGAGCAGAGACACTGTAAAACACTCCAGCTGTGTCCTACATGATAGATGTAAGGCAGCCATGTTTCAGCTGTGGGTTAAATCTAATCCGACAAACTCTATTATTACATTATGACGACTATGTTGAACACAAAAACAATGTTTTACTTTCTCTGTAGCTTGATCGTCGACCCTCCTTTATGGTGTTCATTCACAATAAATCACACAGGAACATTCATTTATGACAGTAAAATTCAGTTGAGTTCATGTTTTAATTATAAATTTATTACATAATATAACAAACATATATCTCTGTGGTGGAGATATCCTTGGCAACATCTCAGATCTTGCCTCAAACTTCACTATCACCCTTGCTCTGTTTGCATGAAGAATACCAGGTAGCTCCTGGTTAACTATTGTTTAAACTTGGAGCTTCGTGTGTTGAAAAGGAGGGGTGTTTCTTATGCTGTAGCTGTTCAGAGGTCAGAAAAAGCTGTTGATGTTCCCAGTCTACTGGATGCTAAGAAGGGGATGTTTTCCTGTGAGACAAGGCTGAGGCGTTGAAGTGATACATCCACCAATCTAAACTTCACAGTGCAAACAAGGAGAAAACCAACAATGAAAGAAAAACCCCTCGGATGATAAGATCACTGGTTCCGGTGAATGACCAGACCCCAGTGGGTTTTTAAAAAGGTTACACTGCTCCCCCTATGCTATGTAGATTGTGCTTTGTTGATTAGAAAATAAGACAAATATAACCCTTCATTGAACTTCTTTGACCTTATGATGTGTAAGTCCGTTACACATTGTTCTATAGCGTCATTTTGCATCTGTATTTGTGGTAAACATACACAGCCATCTGACCAGGTACTCACAACAGCTGTTTTTGTTCTCACCAGGCCAGCCTGTAGGATTTGAAACTGTACACATTCACCTTAGAAGTGTAAGTGTTTCATACATTTTCATGGGAACAGTAAGCCAAGCTGGGTAATATCCTTCATCACAGTAAAATCAAGCAGTTGTGATACTTCTCTCTTCAAATTTAAATAGAAATGTTAATGCAAAGCTCACAGGTAGTTAGACACAGGCTTTATATAACATATATAGATATAGCATGTTATATCTATATACAGTATATAGATGCAATAGCCTGCTACTTCACAAAATAATAACAATGACTGCATTTCCACCTGTCAGAAATGCAGAAGTATCTAAACAAATGTCCATAGTTCTCAAGATTTCCAGGAGATGGCACCATTTTATTGAGTCTAACAGCTCAAGAATGCTTTAACTAAGATAGTCCTAAAGCAAAGACAAATATACAGTTAAAAGTTCAGTTATTTTTTGGCACATTTTTCCTTTGTGTTGTTTGTTCCTCACTGGATCACCTCATATAGCATCTCAAAACTCAGAAACTGAAGGTCTGAAAAAGGAAAAAGGAGTGCTGCCAGACAGAGTGGAGGGTAAAGAGCGCAAAATACCATCAGGGAATGGGTGTACAAAACAGTGACACTGCATAAGCTGTACCTACACAGTTACAAGGTGAGTTCTAGTTATTTTAGTGATATAAAATGTCACAATGGGCTCATTCAGTACTATGTGTTCATACTTCACTCTCTGTCTCGGTTAGAGCAGTCCACTTTTCAAAGATGTCCCCTCACAAGGACACCAGAATGCAGAAAATAATCCGTGTGGAAATCAAACATGAATGTATGTGTGCATTTTTCTGTTTGTGTGTCTTTTGTGTGAGTGTGTGTGTTTGTGTGACACAGCCACTGCCGGGAATCTCTGATGGTAATACAGTAAGGCTATAGTGGACTAACTCCAAAGATGTAAACCCTAACGATCAACCATACACCACACTCTCAAACTCGAACACACGCACATACACAAAAATTACAAGCATCTGCACACATTCACTAACACACACACACACACACACACGGTGGGGAGGAAAAACCGCAAAGGGAGGTTCAGGGAATCCAGATGCACGCATGCGCTTGGACGTTGGGTGGCTTTTATGTTAGCACCTTGTCACCTTGTTTTGTGCAAATCATCCCCTAGTTCATAGTTCAGAGTTCAAAAGTTCAAGAGTTCATAGAAAGAATAAAATCTGCTCACCTTTTCCACAGGTGGTTAACTATGCATATATGCCAAACATTCATATATAGATCTATATACTTTTTTCAAAAATTTATATGAAATCTATCATATATACATTGCTTGTGATTTAAAAAAAGCAAATATTTGTAGTTTGTTCGTTTTTACAAGTGTAAGTACGTTTAGAATGGACAGAATTTTTTTTTTCACCTTTTCTGTCACTCTAAAATTCAAATGAGTTGAAATCACATGAAAGTATCATGTTCCACACGCTACAAAAATCTACCCACAGTGTTCGAGGGTAACAAATCAACAAAGAAACAAAATAATCAGGAAACAAATGAGTCAGAGGACAAACTGTAACACTGAAGTCAAGAGAAAAATAATCAGTGAGGTCACAGTGAGGCAGTGAGTGCTATTCCTACAACCCAGATTCGACATTATATTCACCACCCTCTTTTACAAACGGCTGGCAAAAAGGAAAAAAGATGCACAGGACTTCTCGCCAAGTGTAAGAGTCTTGGTGTACTGACTGAATCTGCTGATGTGCAGAGATTTTTCATAGTAATAGAGATCACCTGGCAGCCTTCTGTTAGAGAAAAGCTTTGGGTAAAATGCTAGTAGTTGCGTGAATAAAACTCACTGTTTCTCACTGCCAGCAGAAGCTACTCATGAGTACAATTGTAGATTTTGTATTGTTTAAGGAAAATTCAGTTGTATTTTTATGCTTTTACAACCTGGGTCTCATTTTTTTAAACATTTCTGACTGCTTATGTTTATGATAATACTTCATTCACTTCGTAAACCGCAAAGACACAAGGAAGCAGCAATGTTACAAGATGCAGCCAGATTGTAATACACTGAATTTTCCTTATAGAGGCTTTCCCATCCCGACAGCCTGACAGACTACAGACACATTTCCTGTGTCACTTTCCGTGGCATCTCAGAAGGGCACACACTTGAAGTTCAGTTCATTTAAGCTGAGGTGGTTCCACTTAAGCAGATTTGGAGATCAGTTTAGTTCAGCGGTTAAAGCTTTAACTGGGCTCACACACTTAAAACCTAACCTTCGTTTCCCTCTGATGTGAAAGTTAAGTCTCAGAGATTTCTGCCTTGTGGTTATTTCATGGTTATTGCCCCTCTTTAAAAAAGTCCAATCTGGATCAGAACTTTCAGCAGGTGGACTTCCAAATATTTACAATCCAGGATCAGGCAACCCAATTTATTTTA